AAAAAGTGATGTGCAATTGTTTTCATTACAGCTAAAGCGATGTGCAAATTGCATTACACCGTTAAATTGCACACTGGATTTATGATTATGGTATCAAATTTGATGTTTTTGTATCGCGATGCTACAAAACAGAATTTTCAATATTCTATTTCATTATGAAATGAGTTCATAATCAGTGACAAAGCCATCCTGTTTATACTCCTTTAATTCAAATATTTTGAGCTTACCACTGGAAAAACAATGATTGGAATCAATTTTCTAAAAATCTGAACAATAAATTTGCTGTCAAATTACATTGTTGGAATAAAAGTTGGAATGGCTGTAGCAACTGTTCATAACATTTCTTGAAAATGGTTATAAAAGATTTATTTTTTGTTGTAAGATTGTTTGCAATTTCCACTAAGTTGTCACGGACAAAATCATCTGGCATTCAAGTTTTAGAAATTGAATCATTTAAACTTCATTGCTACCAAACACCTACTAGTGCATATGTAAATATCCTTAAATATCCTTAAATATCCTTATTCAGAAAGTCATCACAAGTTGAAGGGATTTACTACAAAATTCTCATGTTGAAGTAGCATGTTACGTAGTTCTGATGTTATTCATATTTGCTAAAGTGCTTATGACAAACTGTATTGCTGGTTTTTTAGGTGTTAAGTTTCTGGTTCTCACAGATCCTAAGCAAGGCCCAATGGATCATTTTTTGAAGCGATTTCATGAACTTTATACTGATTATGCTTTGAAGAATCCCTTTTACTCTTTGGAAATGCCTATTAGGTATCTGGTGTGCTTTTCACCACTTTCTTGTTTCTTGCTGACTAAATTTCAAAATATTTATTGCTTCCAATACAGCCTACACAACATTGAAATGCCAACTTTGATTACTACAAAGACAGAAGGATGCAAAACAATGTTCCTCTAGAAATTGAAATCTTAATGTTGGAATCCAATATTCATATTTAAACATGTATTTTATTACCACTATTTATGCACATGACTATAATGTAAAGTATATTTAAATGTGAAATAATATTTAAATTTTTTAGGTGTGAGCTTTTGATGCCAATTTGCAAAGGCTATTGAACAATTGGAAAGAAATTCAAGTCAATATTCTAATGATTAGTGGTAAACTCTTTATTTTTCTTGGTAATATCGGTTTTTCACAAGTCAAAAGAAGGCATTCATGAATCTTATACTTCAGTGGCTGGTTGCCCAAAAGCTGAATAGAGCTATCCACTGGATAGCTAAATTTTTTCATTGTTTAAAAAGGGAAATATGTAAGATTTGGACTGAGCAATCACTGAAATAAGATATTGCTTCTAAAAATGACAAAAAAATTTTTGTTTTAAGGAAAATTTGTTTTTAAAGTGAAGAAGTTTGAAAATTTTACTTTCAAATGGATTATGCTATCCAGGCTTTGGGCAACTGGCACCAGGATTTTAAACTTCCACAAAAAAATGAAACTAGAAAGTAGTCCAATATTTTGAGGCAATTTTGTACAAAGTATGATGAAGATGTCATGATGATGATAATGATTGTTCCATCCGTCAAAATGAAATGGGATCACAAATTTACAAATTTACAAATAATTGTACGTAGCATAACCAAAAGTATCCTGTTAAACATTGTAAAGAACCAGCATAAGCATTCTGATGATAACATTTGCAATATGCCAAACATGACTAAACAGATAATGTTGTGCTTTCTCAAATTCTCATGCAGAACAAGTCAAACCATTCGACTTGTGTTTGCGTTTTATCAACAGATCTTCATATTGAATGTCTAGTATTTATTTTTACATCAGTGAGTGTATCTTATAATATTGTACATGGCCCTGGATTTTCCGATGAATTTCTTGCTTCTATTTCACTTTGTCTGTCTATACATGCCATTGCAAACATCTTGAACTCTGAATAATCTAGTTCCTGAAATAGATTACTTATTGATGAACGTATTGTTCAATTGCGACATGGCTTTTCTGTATGTTAGTACAATCGTTGGAGGAGAGTGAAGAGTACGAAATCATCAACAGATCATGCGATGGAAGTGTTCTTACCGCTAGTATAGGAAACAAACAGCCCCCATCACTGTTAATCACGTGAGTATACGTCACAATAAATTTCAATAATGTTGGACTACTGGTTGTTCTATATACTGTGGTATTGTCTCATACTTACGTGATCCCCAGATACATCGAACTCTGAAAATATTGCTCGCATGGCCTCGCCTTGTAGATTAAATAAAAATCCGAATTTTCAAATTCGTCACATGATATGTTTCCGCTTGCATCTTCGTCAAGTAGGTCAAACACAGTTCTCGAATGGCGATAAATGAAATGTTTTTCTTCTTTATCGTGGACTGCAATCAAAATGCAAACTAAAAGATAAAATTCATCAAAATCCAGGGTTCCTGAACAATCAACATCTAGCATATCGAAGACATTATATATCTGTGACTTTGATAGATCAGTGGAGGAATGCATAAATGCCCAAAATTGTACATCGTTCAATTGCAGCTCTCAGTGAATATCTAAACATTTGAACAACTCTAAAATGATGTGGATAGCACGACCTTAAAGAAATAGATTCAGCGTAAGAAATTCAGAAAATTACTGTAAATCAGCATCTACATGCATATAAATGTGGATTATTTGATAAATTTATTAAACATCCTTACCGCTTAATAAGCAGTGTGTTTTGTCCAAGTGCAAGTATTTCAGAACTTTTGATGTTACTTTCATTTCAAGTTGTAAATTTACTAAATTATAAGTAACATTGAAACTTTACAATTCACTTTGTTTGTGACGTCATACAAATTTCTTTCAAAAGATAATAAAATGACGTAAGAGGACGCATATGATAAAAGATCGTTAAAGGAAAGCGCAATTTTTTATTTGTCTTATGGAAATATAAACGTTAAAATACGAAACTTTATCAACACAGCTGGAGCAAGTGCTCCAAAATTATTGGAACAGCAAAAATTTGTAGCAGCGCACTAAGAAATATGAAAGTTTTAGCCTTACAAAATCACTAAATTTATTATGAACTACTATACTACTATCCAACGAAAATGTTTAAGCGCCTTGTTATCCTATTCTTAATCTATTTTGCAATTATTTCTAATTCATTTTTTTCAAACCTTGCGTGCTCACTAATGAAAGAATACTTTTGTGAATTTTTGTACATCAAATTTTTATCAGGATACGAATTTGCTATTCACAAAACTAATTACGTAACTTGACAATGAACGAACTCGAATGAAAATTGATGAAATTAGATGACATCCAGTGGAAATCTAATAAAAGATTATGATTGTGTAAGTTAGTTATTTGTAAAATGAAATGCGTAGCTACTTATTACTTGCTATGACTTCAAATTCTACGACAGGTGTGTATTGGAAAAAGTCTTCATCAACTTCATTTTCCCGTCTTTTTAAAACCATTGCTGTCATATTAATAGATAATATTTATAATTATATGTTTGCTTTGTCTGGTTGTGTTTTCCATACTGCCTATCTTTCATTTACTGCCAACAAATTTTTTGGGCTAGCCACTTATAACTAACACGCATGCTAACCGTGTCGTAGGGCTTATTAACGTTTGTTGTGTATATGTGTTGTCAAGGTTATCATTAATGTTTGATGCGATGTTAAAGTAGCAATTGCTTTATGAACGGCTGTATGAAATAACCTTGTTGTAAAACGAAGTTTTCGAATTCTCTTCTGGTGTTATAAAAGGTAGTTTTAGTATTTGCTCTGTTTTTAGAGGTTATTATACATCTTTCTCGTTGGATTTTGCAGGTGCATGTCGTTTTCGATCTGTTTTGCAAATTGAGACAACATATACAATAATGGACTTTTCTAAATTATTTGAACGATCTGTAAAATATAATGTGCATGAGTTGATAAATTAGAGTGAAGTCACGCATTCTGTTCTGCATTATGAACTATGAGAGAATTAGCAAGTGTAGATGAACTCGCTTTATAATAAGAATGTTGGAAATTTTCTTAAACGTTCGGTATTTGAATTGATAAACAATTGCAATATTGCGTATAAGATAAAAGGCATTTTATACCTGTTTAAGTGCATTTTTACCAAGTTTATATTTTCATGATTTTGACGAAAATAATTCTACTATAGGGACTATGAAAAACTCAGAAACGCATTGTGTAGTCTTGTTGGTAATTGTTGCTCATTTTTTGTCTTCCGTTTATTCGTCCTCAACGGATACAGGTATTTCAATCTATATATGTATTCTAAGAGTTTTTATGCTTTGCTAGGTTTTTGATGTTTTTTAGCTACTTCGAACTTTAGTTGCTAAAAAATTCGGCTTGAATAATGCCTATATATTGACATTAATTATTCAACTTGATTGAAAGCTTTTACCTAGCGTTTTGCTGCATAAACTATATTTATACTCGCAGTTTCGGTTTCATGTGCATAGCAAATTGAACAAAGATGAGAAACCTCTTTAAAAGTTAGGCTTTTCAATATAAAGTGTTTCAATTGATATTAATTTATACTCCACAAGACGATAGCAACAGGTCAAAACCAACGAAAGTTGCCGATCAACATTTTTTGGGACTCTGTGGGTTGATTATTGAATAGGTTTTACGCACTATGTGTATTTTCAAAAACCCACTTGTTGATGTAATTATCTTCTGTGAGTTCATAAACTTCAAAAAAACTCTCTTTTCAACTGCTTTCTAACACCGGCAACGTCATTATGTACTCCTGCAACAACAATTTTCGAACACGTTATCACAGCCAACACGATATCAGCCATTGAATTTTATCACACGATTTGTGCAAATCAGAACTTTTTTGTGTGTCAAAAACCATTTTGGTCGCGAGCTATTTTCGTTTGGCTTAGTATCAAAGGGTATCTTTTTTCGTCTTCTCTAACGATTACCTTACCTTATTCACCTTCTTTGATGAGGGATCGCCATCATCAACCACCCCTACCCCATTAAATTGATTAATAGTATTCTGTATAGCGAATATCCAACTAAATATCAAAGATCACGTTAGGGTCTTTCAGAACATTTCTTCTTTGTTCATTAGGCAACAATGGCATAACGATTGACTGTGAATGCAAGAAAACAGACTGTGGTAAGTGAGACATGTTCGTGCTATGCGAACTGTCTGAACGTCAGTATTTTGCTTCAAATGATCCTAAGCATGATAGGCCATTTTGTTATACCTCTTACAACGGAGGTTTTTTTTCCCTGTGGAGCATTCTCTTTAATGGACAAAATAGTTGTTTTACCCACTACCGTCACACGATTGTTTGTTTACTTCAGTCAAGCTAGCTTGGATTTATCGATGTTTTAAATGGTAAATTCTAACGATGAAATGTCGCTTTTTCACAAATTCACTTTAACATTATCACGTATAACACCTTTATCAAGTTAAGAAATACTGCCGCAGTAAGTTGTGGTCTTTTTTGAATTTCTTAACTTCATCACTGAAACTCGCTTCTCTAGCAGTTCTTTCATGGCATTTGAAGAACAGCAATGACAGTTACATATTTTTGTCATTGTAGTTAATTATTATTGCAACTGTCAAACTTACTCAAATACTACTGGAGAGGCGCGGGAACGTTGTTTCTGTAAGTATATAAGAGATAAAGTTTGGTATTTTCAGTATTTTTCTTCATGGACTGTTTTTTTAGTGGTCAAAATCATCAGTTTTTACATGCAGTTGCCCATTGGTTGTTCTTGTTTGTTTTATCTTGTGTTGTGTTTTTTTTTTGTGTTGCTGTGTCAGGCTGTGCAATGTAGATTCCAAATTTATTCTTGGCGTCCCTGTGTTATATAAATGATCACGTGGTATTTGAATTTCAGATGACAGCAGTACGAATTCATGTGTTAAAAATGAAACTTGTGACAGGATCGTGACATGTGATGAAAGTGAGTGGAATGAGTTACTTGAATTTTACTTACAAATTCACGAAATAATGCTGTATGATAACGAAAAACATTGCATTGAAAAGTATTGTCATTCATAACTGCATGGTACATGTTATATGATCATTCATGACGGTATGGTACCTATTGTATGGTCACAATGGCATGATACATTTTGTACGTTCATTCACAACGGTATGCTACTTTTTTAATGGTCACCACTGTTTGGCTGATGTTGTGTGATCACAGCATCACAATATGTTGCGATGAAATTAGTCATAAATGTTTTGCAAATCACTCAGCACATGGTTAATAATTTGTAACTCTTGGTAACAATCATGTTGTGCAAATCACGTGACTGAACGCTATAGTTGTTATCATAGGTTGTCATAAAAATGCAACTTGTAAAAGGAACGATTCTGGTCACTATGCTTGTGTTTGCAATGATGGATTTTGTGGAAGTGGTACACACTGCCAACCAATATGCAATCGTAAGAAAAATGAGAATATTTCATGTTTTTCATAACATTTATAGGTTGCAAGAGTCTTCAACATAGACTGCGATCTTAGATTAACATGTGTACTTTGACATTATGACTCTGTGGACACACGTCATTGATTATTTTTTTGTTTAGGTTTCTCAACAGTTTCTTCAGCTGAGTGCAAGTGTCCTTGCCTGAAAATGGTGTATTTTTGTAATGTCAGCTCAAGTAAAAACTGAATTACCTCAATTTTATCATATGCTTGCGACTAATTTCGTATTTTACGTTTGCATATCACGTGTTATTCATGTGCATACCTACGTGTTTTCATGTGCATTGCACGTCTTTTTCATATGCAATTTAAGTAGCATGGCAAGCCTGCAAGTTGGTCGTGCTATGTTGGTATTTCGTATCATTAGCATTATTTATGTCTTTTAAATTTATTGTTTTACAGTAAATAAACAATTTACACAGCATGATCAAATTTGCATGATGGCTGCCTCTCTGTGGACGTCATGTATTTTTCATAAGCGTGTTACGTACTTTTTATGTCCATTTCACGTATTTGTCTTAAAACATATCAACCATCAACTGTTCAATAAAGGAAACTTACTTCTGCTTAGAGTAATTTCAATGTTGGAATTTTATAATTCTGTATATCAGTTTAAACTTATAGCAATGCAATCAACTATTTCTAGCGACCGATAAAAAAGCTCACATTAAGGCAAAAGTGAATGATGACTTTGTAAATTGTTTTTGTCAGATAGGTGAGTCGACCGTCGAAATAAAGTTAATCGTAAATGTATTTGTAATTCGGTTTGATTTTTGTCTGTATTACATGCTTGGGCGTCCGAATCAGTCGATAAATGTAAGAATTTTATTATCAATTACGCCTTGCTCAGGGGTAAATCTGCACCATTCATAGTTTTGTACATCCTTAGTGGCATTTTATGGTGTAGACAGGTTATTAATGTGAAAAGCAAAAAAAATCCAACGAATTCCCAAAAGCGCCCCCCCCCCTGAACGAATGGATAATGTTTTCACAAAGCCATGTATTTTACTTTGTATTCTTTTTTTACTACTCCGAGAACTGATTGTATTAGTGAAGTCAAGACTAATTAGAACGATCAACATTTGTAAACATTTCCACGTCTCCCACTGGCTCAAATCATTGTACTTTACACGTGCAGATGATATCATGTGAATTTTTTATTTTTATCAACATAGCGTATAATATTGTCTGTTAATCAATATATCTTCGATTCATTTACAATAAGAAGAAGGCAGCTTATGCTATTATAAGTGTGGTATTTGTTTTTCATATAAATACTAAAACGTCTCCTTCCTGAAACAATTTCTGTACTTGTATCGAGAATTTTAAACTTATTCCAACCAAAAATTCGAGGATGCTTCAACAAAATTTTACAACATTAGTAAGTTGTTTCAAAAAGATTGAAATAATTACATATATCTATTATTTTTGGTAATATTTGATTTCAACTCTATTTCAGGAGCCATCAAGTTTTCTAGTCGTAATTATACGGCTAACGAAAGTGATGAAATGGTAATGGTAAAGATTGAGGTTGATGGATGCGCTGTTTTTCAAGATATCGTCGTGAAGTAAGTTATAAGCACTTTTACTGACAGATTTCATATATTCGTATCGAATTCAATGCTTGGGATTTGTTTGTAGAGAGTGCAAGAAGAGTTAATGGCCACTACTCTCCCCCTTAAAACCAACAAAGTCATTTTCCAACTCTTTCAATTTGGGGGACTTTAAGCTCAACGTAGCAAATTTCTTTCTTGAATCAAGTGTAAAAACTGACGTAGACATGTAATTGTAAAAAGGTACCAGACATGCTGCCTCATAGTAGGGCCAAGAAGTATGCACTGTTGTACTAAACAGAGGTATGCACACTGGCGTAGGAACAGGAATCACGGGAAATCCTAGTATAAACAGGAGACATGAGACATTATAGTAAGAACAGGAAGCATACGACATAGAAGGAACAAGAATCATAATACATTATAATAGGAACAGGGAGCATAGGACATTAGCTATTGTAGCAACAGAAGGGACAGGATATTATGGTAGGAATTAGAGGCATGGGATATTATAGTTCGAACAGGAAGCATGGGACATTATAGTAGGAACAGGAAGGATGGGACTTTATAGTACGAACAGGAAGGATGGGACATTATAGTAGGAACAGGAAGGATGGGATATTATAGTAGGAACAGAAAGCATGGGACATTATAGTAGGAGCAGGAAGGAAGGACATTATAGTAGGAACAGGAAGGAGGGACATTATAGTAGGAACAGGAAGGAGGGACATTATAGTAGGAACAGAAACCATGGGACATTATAGTAGGAACAGGAAGGATGGGACTTTATCATTACGAACAGGAAGGAGGGACATTATAGTAGGAACAGAAATCATGGGACATAATAGTAGGAACAGGAAGGATGGGACTTTATTGTACGAACAGGAGGGAGGGACATTATAGTAGGAACAGAAATCATGGGACATTATAGTAGGAACAGAAATCATGGGACATAATAGTAGGAACAGGTAGTATGGGACTTTATAGTACGAACAGGAAGGAGGGACATTATAGTAGGAACATAAATCATGGGACATAATAGTAGGAACAGGAAGGATGGGACTTTATAGTACGAACAGGAAGGATGGGACATTAAAGTAATTTAAGTGAAAAAGACTCTTAAAGTTTGAATCTACATGGATTAAAAGGCAAAATTTTAACGTTGCAATTTACAATTAACTCTTCCTTTAGTTATTCGATAGGATATGTTTTTTACTTAAATATGTAAAAAAATAATATTATTGTCGTTATATTTTTGATTGTATGTATGACTTAATAGTTTTCAATACAATTATCATTGTATTTAGTGTAACTACACAAGATCGCTCTGCTAAAAGTGAAGAAGATTATATTCTTAAAACATTCTCAGTCAAATTTACTCCAAATGACAGTGGTCCAAAAATTGTAAATATTTCGTTGAAACAAGACAATTTGTTAGAAATGGATGAGGATTTCTATGTCTTGTTGAATGTGACAGATGAAAGTGTCCAAAAGAAAACGGATGCTGTAAAGATAACTATAATCGATTCCAGCAGTACGTGTTTTCATAGTGAATTATGAAATGATTTTTAAGAAAGTTAACCGTCATCTACAATGCACAATTAGCAATAAAAATCTTCCAGTAGCGTAATGTTTACGAAAATACTGCTTGATCAAGTCTACTTCTCATATTTTAATGTGTTTAAATGTTCAATTGCAAATTGGATTCTTGTTTGTTTTAAATGTGTTCTCATTAATGAACTCTTTTTCTAGATATAGATGCCAATGTTTCTTTTGAAAAAAGCCACTATGCATTCCGTGAAGGCGAAAATGTGTCTGTACCTATTACGCTATACGGAAATATAACTTTTACTGTGAACGTCAGGTAACTGTTTCATGTTTCGTCTTTGCGTGTATTCATACCGTTTCGTTGTAATTTGTGATTTCTCGTTTTTCACCTTTCGACTGTAGTTTTTTATCTGTTAAATATTTTTCTTTGACCAGACTCAATAAATAGAGATAAAGTAGAGAGCCGCATGTTTGGCTTGCTATTATATAATACACAACCATTATTGAAATCTTTTATTTTGCTGTTGTTCGTATATCTAAAATTGTTAATATTTTACGATTAAGATACGTATACTGCACTGGAAAAGACAAATAATTTTCAAATCTGAGTTTGGATGAATTTTCATTGCATCACTGAATCGTATTTTCATAGCAATAATTGTTCTTTCTCCAGGATTATTTCAAGCTCAGAAACAGCAGTAGAAAAGGTGGATTACGAAATCAAAAATCAGGTGATAACGTTCCATCCAGAGAACAGGGAGCAAACCATCCTATGCAATATTACCATCAATGCAGATGATTTCGTCGAAAAAAATGAGACATTTTTTCTCAAAATTTCATCACCAACAGAAATACTTCATTTTCCCGAACCTCGCGCTAACATTACCATTATAAATAAAAATGGTATGCTCTAAATATTATTGTGCTATTTCTAGTTGTATAACTGTTTGATCATTCTGGTCTTCAACTGCTGTTGTTTTTTACCATCGTGAATTTAAAAAAAGTTGATCTTGTTTCTGATTTAAAATCGATATCATGATTATAATAAGCACACTTTTGTCGACATTTTATAATTAACACGAAAATATGGTAGCTACCTTCGAAATGTCTGCCAAAGTTATGTAAAACATGAAGTGAAATATGTCATATGAACGACAATTTTTTTGAAAGTTAACATGTTTTACCATGTTCATATCATGTTTAGTATTTTAAATATTAATTCTGCATTATTTTTTGTGGGTTTGCGCAAAATCTATTTTTGCATAATGTTTATTTATACAATGTCTATTTTTTAAATGTTCTATGTTTTTTTGTGTTTAAATTCTCTGCTTACAAAGAATGATGTTTAAAGAAAATGTAAAATGTGAAATATTTCTTTTCAGTTGCTACAGTGAAGTTTAAGAAAAGTTCTTATTCATTTTTTGAAAACAATAACAGCGTTTCAATGGAAATAATTCTTCATGGTAAAATTACGTTCGACATAACTGTCAAGTAAGTAATTCCATGCAATCTTCATGTCTTTCCTGTTAAACAAAAGTCCACAATATAAACCACTATTTATTTATTTACACATATTCGACATTACATTTGTTTATTTAACTAAATTTTACCTTGTTGTTCTTTACATATTTTGGTGTTTGTTACCTCTGTTTCAGTGATTATGTATTTGTTCTTGCGTCATGTTTTTTCAAAACTTACGTAATTTTGTCGGCTTACGTCATTAATTGTTGTCAAGAATCATGAATACAGGATGAACACCCGCACTTCTAAAAACTGCGGGAAACTATTAGTCATTTCCCAGCTCTTTTAATTTCACATTTGGAGAATGTTTTGTATGAGATTTTACAAAACGTATGATTGCATTTGCTTTCTCAATGACTTAATAGTTTTCTATACAATTATTATTGTATTTAGTGTAACTACACAAGATCACTCTGCTAAAAGTAACGAAGATTATATTCTTAATACATCCTCAGTCAAATTTACTCCAAATGACAGTGGTCCAAAATTGTAAATATTTCGTTGATTCGAGATAACTTACATGAAATGGCAGAGGATTTCTTCGTCTTGTTGAATGTATCAGATGAAAATGTCAACATTACAATGGATAAAACAAATATAACTATCTTGGATTCTGATGGTATGTGTGTTCACAGTGAAAGAAAAACATTAATATTCGAACGAAGATTACTGTACGCATGCTTTTACTGCATTTTCATGGTTCAGTTATTTTTCAATGCATATATAATTAACAAGAAAGATCTATTGTCGACCTCTGTCTGTTCGAAATGTGTCTTCATCAATTGAACTTTTTTCTTAATCTAGATGTTGCTGTTCTTTTTGAAAAAAATCATTACGTATTTCATGAAGGCAAACTCGTGTCTGTACCTATAAGTCTAGACAGAAATATAAGTATTCCTGTGAACGTCAGGTAACTGTTTCATGTATTGTCTTGTAACTGGCATTCGTGATGTTTGATTGTACGTTGTGATATCATGGTTTTCAAATCTTGACTGTAATTTTTTGTATTTGAAAACATTTCTTTTCGATTGCCAGATAATAAATGTAGTAAGTTTGTATAGTAATAAAGTAGTGAGCTGCAAATTTTGTTCGCTATTATATACAATACAATCATTATTGAATTATTTCGAAATCTACATTCTTACTGTTATTATACTGTTAAAATTTAACGAGCTGTATGTGATGAGTTGATTCTGTTTTGATTCTGAGTCAAAATGAATTTTTTTGGCATCACTGAATCATATTAATTTTCATAGCAATGGTTGCTCTTTCTCTAGCATCGTCTCAGACTCGTTCAATGCAACAGCAAAAGAAAACAGTGATTACAATATAGTAAATCCGATAGTTGTGTTTAAACCAAATGATGGGAAGAAGACCATTGGATGTAATTTAACTATTTTCGATGATGGTCTCGTCGAAAGAAATGAGACATTTTTTCTCGAAACTTCGCCAAAGACAAAAGGAAACAAAGCACGAAAGTTACCATTATATCTAAAATGGTATGCTATAAATATTGTTATGCTTTATGTCAATTAAGGTGCTTGTTCTATGGTTGCATAATTGTACATTTGAAAATAATTTATCTTGCTCCTGTTGTGGAATCGATTTTGTAGTATATGTTTTTGTCGATATCGAGCTGCTACTGCGTCGAAATGTCAGTAAAAAACAACTTAGAATAGTTTTGTTAGCTAAATTGTGTGTTAAGCTAAACATTTCGTGATGAACGACGATTTTTTTCAAAGTTAACATGTTTTTTCTGCATTATTTTTTATGTATTGGTCAATGTTTCTGATTTGCAAAATGTTTATTTTCATCCTTTTATATATATCTGTTGAAACTCTCAGCTGACAAAAAGCATTAGAATTGTTTTGTTTACACGTGAGTGAAAAGAAAGTTTAAAGAAAATGTGAAAAGTTTAAACGTTCTTTCTTTTCAGTTGCTACAGTGAATTTTTCTAAAAGTTTTTATTCAGTTTTGGAAAACAATAACAACGTTTCAATTGAAGTAATCCTTCATGGTAACATTACGTTCGACATAACTGTCAAGTAAGTAACTACGATTTTCGTTCATTTTCTTTCCTTTAACGTTATACTGTATATTATTTATTCACACACATCATCAGTATACTGCCTTCCCACAATTTTTAACTCAATTTTTCGTTCTTTTCATTTGGAGATTCTTCTAAAGTGTAAATAATTTCATCATCAATAATTAAATGAAAAGAAATGTGCTTGTATTTAAATCCTTCAGTCTAGTTACAAAGAATGGCTCTGCCGAAGAAGGTGTGCATTACAGAAATCCAACAACTAACTCCATAACATTTAAACCATCTCAACAAGAGATTAAAGAGATTAAAATACCCGTCATTAACAATAACATCAGTGAATCTGAGAAAAACTTTATAGTAAAAGTTGAGTCGTCCGATCTGAATGTAGTCAGCAACGAATCAGCCACCATCTGGATATTGAAATATGATCGTAAGTAACCATATATCAACGTAATCAATGTAGCTAATTAAGTACAATAATCTTAACGAGTTTTATTTATATCTGAAACTATGAATTTGAGAGTGAATTGCAACAGAAGTATTTCATTGTTATTGCATTTAGATTTTCACGACACAACATATTTCTTGCTTTGAAAATGAACTTCTTGTTAATGAAGTTGATAAAATGTTTATTTAATTTGTATATAGTTTTCACTGAGTGGAGTGGCTGGAGTAATTGCATTTGTGGTGTCAGAAATAGAACCTGCCGCTATCATTGGGCAGTAGGAGATTGCTTTGGAAAGCTCATGGAAACAGAACCATGTGATATTTCTTTTTGTTCTGGTGAGTTAGTTTGTTTATAAATGAGTTAAAATATTTTGATAAATCTGCATGATGTTGCATCTTAAACATTACAAAACTAACTGCCTGGAATCAAACGTTTTCTTCCCCAAATGTACGTTAATTTGGACGATTAAATTTGTTTTATGCTGGCATGGTTTTCTATGACTTCTTTTTTCAGAGTCTTTGCACTTTCCATATTCTTATAGGTGTAAAACGATTAATCATTCATGCAAAAAGACAATTTGCGAAATTCTTGGTATTGAAATACTCTTTACTCTTTGCTCGGTGCTCGTTGCAATAATGCTCAAGTATTAGTGTTGGCCATTTCAATTTCAAACACGCTGAAACGTGTAAATCTTTAAACTCTAAATCGCCAGATGTGATTATTGATCAGGCATTGAGTTAATGACCAAGAAATTAAACAAGGCCCTTTCTGTTGTTACACGATTGCAAGACTACGTATGTGGTTTAGGGATCAACTACATTGATATTTTGCGATATCTCAAAAGTGCATGATAAGATTATCGGTATTCCCACTGTTCTTAAATTATTCAATTGACATTATCCAAGATTGGATGGTTTTTCTATGAGACTTAAAATCTTGTCAGTTTTATAATGAAAGATTTAAAAGTTGGGAGTTTTTTGTTCTTTAGATGATAATAAAGAGTGGCCAAACAAGGAAGGGTGCAATGTTACATGTATGACTCCCGTTGAGACAAAAAATTGTTTGAACACTACTCAATACTCTTCCAACCTTCCAGTGAAATGTCCGTTTCGACATTGTCCAGGTAGAGATTTATCCTTTTATCTAAACTTACAATTTTATGCTTGTTTAATGTTTAACTTACCAAATTTTAAGACTTTTTTATCACTGCATAAATCGGTTATCTCCACACACAAAAATTAGGTATGATGTTTAACCGCAAAAAGTTGCTTGAAAATTAGTGAAAATACATATGTAGCAAAATGTTTGTATTTCAACAAATGTATGTCGTGTTTAAATAATTGAAACATTTAAATACTTAAGTTTACTTGCTCTTAGTGAAGCTTTATATGCATTAATTTAATTATTTATAATTAAATAATTGAAACGTTTAAATACTTAAGTTTACTTGCTCTTAGTGAAGCTTTATACGCATTAATTTGATTACTTATTCTTAAATAATTGAAACATTTAAATACTTAAGTTTACTTGCTCTTAGTGAAGCTTTACACGCATTAATTTGATTATTTATTATTAAATAGTTGACACATTTAAATACTTAAGTTTACTTGCTCTTAGTGAAGCTTTATTCGCATTACTTTGATTATTTATTATTAATAATTGACACATTTAAATACTTAAGTTTACTTGCTCTTAGTGAAGCTTTATTCGCATTAATTTGATTATTTATTATTAAATAATTGACACATTTAAATACTTAAGTTTACTTGCTCTTAGTGAAGCTTTATACGCATTAATTTGAATATACCATTCAATTACAGTCGATGGTTGTTACAAAGAATGGGGGAAATGGTCACAATGTAGTAAGACATGTGGAAGTGGAAAAACCCATCGTACTAGACAATGTAGTGAACCTCTGTATGGTGGGAAAAACTGCCATGGTGATATTTTCTATGAAGAAAAAATATGTACAAACCCAGTTATTTGTCCTGGTAAGATGCGATTATTAATGTTTTTTGTGCAATGATTATTGATGATGATGGCAAAATATCGAATCATGAATGAAATAGTCGACACAAAATAATCAATACAAAAAATTAAGTCACCTTAAGATATATTATTTTGCGTTAGACGAGTTTAATTTTACATCATGGAGTGAATGGAGCATATGTAATGTATCTTGCAACTTTGGACAAAGAATACGTACTCGAGTGTGCAAAGAAGAAAGTAGTAAATTTTGTAAAGGAAGAACTAATCAAACCGAAACATGTAATGCAGGCCCATGTCCTCGTAAGTCAAATTTTTCAGTGTGCTTTTTATCAATTTTCACAAAGGCGATGCTTATAAATGTGCTTCTAAATGCTATGCTTTTTCAGAAAATGGTAATTGGAGCACTTGGTCAGAGTGGCCATATTGTCCAGGTTCTTGTGGAAGTGCAATTTTGAATCGATCACGAACATGCAATAACCCTCCTCCTAAACACGGCGGAAATAATTGTTCTGGTGCAGCAACTGAAGAAATGGCCTGCAACCATACAAAGCCTTGTACAAGTAATTTTAGCTGTATACATCATTTTGGCTATCACAGTAACCACGCAGTCGATTTGATGGCGTTTTTTTTAACTATTCCATTGCTTATCAATTACAATATTTTATAGATGAAAGTGGGTTTACTGAATGGAGTACGTGGTCGCTTTGCAGTAAAACGTGCGATAATGGCGAACAAGTTCGAGAGAGAAATTGTAGACCTGGTCAAGACATGTATTGCACTCTTGAAAGTTTGCAAAGAAAACAGTGCTTTGAAAAAGCGTGCCCAGGTTTGTTCTATTCCATTTGATTTACGTATATATGAAACAACAAAAGTCCAAAACTGCTGAAAATAGCACATAATATAGAGAGTACGAGTAGGAGTACGAAATTCGACAGTTTAAGAGAATGGCACGAGGAAGTTTGTTGACGTTGTCGCTCATTGTCGCTCCGTCAAAATTTTGTTTTATATATAAACAACAGAACGAGCTTTTGGAGCTTTGAAAAGATAGTATACCATGAATTAGGTAGTAGCAGCATTATAAGCATGTGGATAAACATCTGGCTGCAGGTTTTCCATCATATCAAACTCGATTTTCAGGTTTTTTCCCTATTTATTACCTTAACGTGAACACAATTGATTTTTACGACTGAACTGACTTCACAAGACGTGGTGCTCTTTAAAAGAATCTGTTTGTTTTCTTAAATTTTAGTGAACGGTGGTTGGTCACAATGGGGTGAGTGGAGTCGTTGTAGTTCCTCATGTGGTTCAGGTGTAAAATATCGCGTGAGGTTATGTAACAGTCCTAAACCCGACAACGATGGCCTTAAATGCTATGGAAAAAACAGAGAAGAAGAATCGTGTGTTATGCCTGAACTATGCAAAGGTTTGTGTTATTTTTTTATGCAAAATTGTTAATTGTTGAATGTTCGGTTCAGTAATATGAAATATTACAGCTGAACCGCTTTTACTGGATCTTGTCGTAAAAAACATGCGACAAATAAAAGTCAGACTGCTTACAAGAAAGAAATTTCTCGACTTTGATTAATCATTGTGCATTGTGTTTTACAATTTTGTAATTTTATAGCTAACATAAGATAACATTGCTTTCAAATTACATAGACAACTGTCAATGATGATCATGTAACGACCTCATAACGACAATCAAATTATTACGTAGACAATCCTCGATGAAAAACATCTACTGCAACCTCATAACGACAAACCCAATTACACTTTTTTAAGTAATCACTTATTCAGAATGAAACATCTGCATGCTGGTATTTTACTTAGTTTTGCCCAAGTGAATAGTTGTTTGAGCATATTTTTCTTATGTTCTTGTGGATTTTAGTGGATCATTTTTACACTTCATGGGGAAATTGGAGTGCGTGTAACGCCACTTGTGGTTATGGTACTAAACAGAGATTGAGAAAATGTACTTTTCTGCCTAAATACCCACCTGAAAATCCTAATCCAATATGTATATCACCAGAAAAAGATTATCAATATTTGAGCTGCTATGATAAGTCATGTAAAAGTAAGTGTACTCCCCCACTGATTAACGAATGAAAATTATCTTTAATTATCATCCTTCATTCTTATTAGTTAAATCCTGTATGAAGAAAAGTCATTAAGTTACAATTTTACGTATATTTTATTGCGAATGAGATACTGTAATTTACGTAGGCATGCATTTTTTATTTCAGTTGATGGCAATTTTAGCCATTGGTCATTCTGGTCATTGTGTAGTGTAACGTGTGGAGGAGGTATACGCAGAAGGAAACGAATGTGCGATCATCCTTCTCCAAAATATGGCGGAAAAGATTGTCCCGGAAAAAGATTGGATGTGCAAGATTGTAACGCAAGTAAAACCTGTCCAGGTGTTTACAAGATGTTTGAGATTTTCGTGATTATACAAAAAATGTTAACTTTCCTTAAACATTTCTTTTTCAGATGACGATTCGTACAAACCTTGGACTTCCTGGTCAAACTGTTCACGTGGCTGCGAGGGAACTACGACGAGGAAACGTGATTGTAAAGAAAACTGTTCAATTTCTCAAAATCAGACCAAAGAATGCAACACTGAACTGTGTGTTGGTATGTTTAAAGTAAATGCATGACGTTTGCTTTTTGGAAATGAAAAATTTTATTAAGAGTCCTATTATTTTGGATAAAGTTCGAATATTGACAATATTTAATGCTATAATATGTATTTTATCATAAAATATCTACTACAGCATAGGTTGTCTTTGTACTGCATAATTTGTCCACTCTACTATATAAGTAGTCCATTTGTAAGTTGTCTGCAGAACATGCAGAGTGTATAGAAGTAGATAGTTGGAAAAACGTTGCGAAAATAAATGGAGCGCGTGGTTTCCAAAAACCGTTAATGGAAATATGGAGTTGGACTTGTAATGATTCATCTTTTCGGATCAATTTACCGCAACCAATTAACAATTATTAGATCATGTTTAGCATGATATCAACATAATCAGACTTCCTTAACTTAGCTTTGGTCGATAACAGTGACATAACATTTTTCTGTTTTAGTTTGTTGCCAGCTTGAATTTATGCCCGTTCAAACCTTTCTTCTGGGGAGCAGAATGGAATGAGAACATACTTTATACGTATAATGCCGACTTTTACCCAATAAATTTCTGTTTGCACACGAAAAAGAGAGGTTCCATGCTCCCCTGATCCCCCTACTTCATAGTCCCTGAAATTTTCTTTTAGATGCAGCATTCCAAGTCCAACTTACTTATTTGCACCAAAGGTTTTTGATAAAATTTACGCCCTGATGTATTTAGTGACGTTTTCCCAACTGTCTAATTTTTATACATCCCGTAAAGTGTAATTTGTCTTCTCGATGATAAAATTTGTCTGTTAATTGTTATAAGTCGTCTACTCACTTGAAATCTAATTTCTGGGATTCGTCATTAGTTAATGGTAGCTGGTCAGAATGGACAAGTTGGTCATTGTGTGATCTGAATAAATGTGGCGAACAAAGCGAGCGTAGAAATCGAGTTTGCGACGATCCTAAACCACAAGCTGGAGGAGAGCAGTGTATGGGTGATGATTTTGAGACGATGCCATGTCGATATGGACAACCTCGACCATGTAATAAAAGTACGTTTTTCCTTGTTTTTACTTGTTTTCCTGATCAATTTTCTGCAAAAAAAAAAAAAACCGAAAATTTCAATTTCTCCCTTAACCGTAAATGGATATTGCATGTTTGAAAAGCTATATGGACAAATGGTGCGCGATTTTTAAACATTTTAAAAAAATCACGGTGATGATGTACATGAAACGTTTCAACTTTTGTTTATACTCAAGAGAAGTGGGAGCGAAGTTCAGTGGAGAGAATGAGTGGAAGCGTAATCCAAGAATTGGGATTCTCAGTTTTTGATCGGCACGCTCAGTGTCCCCGCTAATTTTCGGAAAAATCAACGCTTCCCTTGTCTCCGCTCACGACTGTCATAATTTTCTTCTGTTGTCTGAAAGTTTGTGCGATCCTTGGAAATCCAGGCGTATTTTAACTTTTCTATATAGAAATTACCCGCGCTGGTTGGACGGATTGGTCTTGGTGGAAAATTTGCTCAAAGAGTTGTGGCAAAGGAGTAGAATCAAGATATCGCAGATGTATCAACCCACCACCAACATCTGGAGGTTTGAAATGTTCTGGCAAATCGAATGAAACAAAATTTTGCAATGATTGTCCTTGCCCAGGTAATTACGTAATATTTTAACTGAACTATAGCAGACAATATAATTTTATCGGAAGTGAAAAACAAAAAAATGGGTGATGAGAGAATAAAACAAACATTATATGAAAATAACATAAAATATTGAAATAAGAATTTGAGGCCTGCACATGCTTTTCCTCCGTTACAAAATGTGGCATGTACACGATTTCCCTAGATCACAAAAACCTGTAAGGCAGATGACTTGCTAGAAGACCTGTATTAAATAATCAACCTGTCTAAAGAAATCCCTGAAGATTAATCCCTTAATACAGCTGGGTTTAATTTTATGTTTTCAGTTGATGGTGTATACTCCGAATGGTCGAATTGGACAGCGTGTTCGCAAACGTGTGCAAATGGTACAAGAAATCGCAGTAGAACATGCACACCTCCGATGCACAAAGGAAGGAAATGTCAAGGCGCAAACTTTACGAGGGAGAATTGTAATCCTAATCCATGTCCGAGTGAGTTATTTAATTTACGTCGTTATTCCTAGCTTGTATAGACTTGATGTACTTACATAATTTTGATCTACGAACTTCGATTAATTATTTTCCATCGAAAACATACCACTGAATGTAGTCGCAGAATATGCAAAGATGGTCGAAACTAGTTTAGATGAGTTGATTAAGTTCTTTTTTTACACATCATGTACTATTTTTATACATTGACTACCATTGTAAACAACAAACTATATAAATGAAGTGAAAGTTGACGTTTTTAAACGCTCATTATATTTTGTAATGTAATGGCAAGCTTTAATTTTGGGAATATCAGCGCAAATCAATGACTCTGCAATGCGTGATCTGATGATTTGAAAATTACTCTTATATCTGTGATGATTCGTAGTCATGTCTTTGTTTTTGATTTCAATTGTTGCAAGATGCAAAGATAAAAGCAATATTTTATTTGTAATAAAATCCAAGAAAACTCCTGCCATGTGAGCGGATGATTGTTTTAAATTGATCTTTTTCATTTTTCTTAAAATTTTTAAGCGACTTTAGCCCCCCACACAAGAAGTATTTTGTAAAGATAGATTCAATGTTTTACAGAGGTTCTGTTGCATAATATTTCCAACTGTGAAAACACCTTCAAAAACATTGTTTATAGCCATTGTCTATTAATTAGAACAGTTTTTGGAACCTAGTCTAAATCGATGGAACATTTTTACGCGACTAAGAAAAAAATTTTCACTGTGGTTATTGGTCATGAGTCTGGTGCTTATACATTTGTGAAATAATCAATGAAACTATTGATTCAATAAAATACATGTGCATATTATAACAAGCTGCAAACGTTGTTGATTTTTTTCTTTCACTGTTTTGACAGTTCATGGTAATTGGTCATCTTGGTCAAGCTGGTCTTTTTGTAATAAACCGTGTAATAACGGTTCTTCCGAAAGAACTCGTTCTTGTACTAACCCAGCACCGAAATATGGTGGCAAAAATTGCTCTTGTGATGAAACTTCTGGAAGTAACAATTATGGAGACTGTTTTAAAGAAGTTGACTATTGTAACGAATTGACATGTCCCCGTAAGTTCACTATTTTAACATTGTAAAGGATGTTGAATTTTGTAACATTGTAAAGGATCTTTGCGTAAGTTGCACATTGTAACATTGTAAAGGATGTTTATGTAAGTTCCACATTGTAACATTGTAAAGGATGTTTATGTAAGTTCACCATTGTAACATTGTAAAGAATGTTTACGTAAGTTCACCACTGTAACATTGTAAAGAATGTTTACGTAAGTTCAACATTGTAACATTGTAAAGGATGTTTACGTAAGTTTATTATTGTAACATTGTAAAGGATGTTTACGTAAGTTCACCATTGTAACATTGTAAAGGATGTTTATGTAAGTTCACCATTGTAACATTGTAAAGGATATTTACGTAAGTTCACCATTGTAACATTGTAAAGGATGTTTACGTAAGTTCATCATTGTAACATTGTAAAGGATGTTATGGAAGCTCACCACTGTAACATTGTAAAGGATATTTACGTAAGTTCACCACTGTAACATTGTAAAGGATGTTTACGTAAGTTCATCATTGTAACATTGTAAAGGATGTTTATGTAAGTTCATCATTGTAACATTGTAAAGGATATTTACGTAAGTTCACCACTGTAACATTGTAAAGGATGTTTACGTAAGTTCACCACTGTAACATTGTAAAGGATGTTTACGTAAGTTCATCATTGTAACATTGTAAAGGATGTTTACGTAAGTTCACCACTGTAACATTGTAAAGGATGTTTACGTAAGTTCACCACTGTAACATTGTAAAGGATTTTTACGAAAGTTCACCATTGTAACATTGTAAAGGATGTTTGCGTAAGTTCACCACTGTAACATTGTAAAGGATTTTTACGAAAGTTCACCATTGTAACATTGTAAAGGATGTTTGCGTAAGTTCACCACTGTAACATTGTAAAGGATATTTACGTAAGCTCAACACTGTAACATTGTAAAGTATGTTTACGTAAGTTCACCATTGTAACATTGTAAAGGATGTTTACGTAAGTTCATCATTGTAACATTGTAAAGGATGTTTACGTAAGTTCACCACTGTAACATTGTAAAGGATGTTTACGTAAGTTCATCATTGTAACATTGTAAAGGATGTTTACGTAAGTTCACCACTGTAACATAGTAAAGGATGTTTACGTAAGTTCCACATTGTGACATTGTAAAGATGTTTATGTAAGTTCACCATTGTAACATTGTAAAGGATATTTACGTAAGTTCACCACTGTAACATTGTAAAGGATATTTATGTAAGCTCAACACTGTAACATTGTAAAGTATGTTTACGTAAGTTCACCATTGTAACATTGTAAAGGATATTTACGTAAGTTCACCACTGTAACATTGTAAAGGATGTTTATGTAAGTTCACCATTGTAACATAGTAAAGGATGTTTATGTAAGTTCACCATTGTAACATTGTAAAGGATATTTACGTAAGTTCACCACTGTAACATTGTAAAGGATATTTATGTAAGCTCAACACTGTAACATTGTAAAGGATATTTACGTAAGTTCACCATTGTAACATTGTAAAGGATATTTACGTAAGTTCACCACTGTAACATTGTAAAGGATATTTATGTAAGCTCAACACTGTAACATTGTAAAGGATATTTACGTAAGTTCACCATTGTAACATTGTAAAGGATATTTACGTAAGTTCACCACTGTAACATTGTAAAGGATATTTATGTAAGCTCAACACTGTAACATTGTAAAGGATATTTACGTAAGTTCAACATTGTAACATTGTAAAGGATGTTTACGTAAGTTTATTATTGTAACATTGTAAAGGATGTTTACGTAAGTTCACCATTGTAACATTGTAAAGAATGTTTACGTAAGTTCACCATTGTAACATTGTAAAGAATGTTTACTTAAGTTCACCATTGTTACATTGTAAAGGATGTTTACGTAAGTTCAACATTGTTTTCATAATATCTCTACGTAAGTTTTCACGGTCGTAACTCGACTGTAAATGAATTTATGTGTACATTATGTACTTTATAGCTGTGTTGGTACGGGTTGAAACAGTTGTTCGCAATGTTACATCATCCGATTCTAATTTTAAGAAAGAATTTGCGTCATATGTAAGTGAAGTCTTCAGATTTCTATGAGTCGTTTGTTTGTTGCTGAGTCAATAATTTATGGTAAAATATAATGACGTAATTCATATTACTCGTAACATGTTAAAATGCAATAGAGATGCTTTATTGATCATGACTTTGTTGCATTTTACTTCAATTGTTTCCTAACAATTTTTGTCGATGGCTTAAATATTCTCAAATACCATCTCACTTACCAACATGTGTTTATGAAACTCTTTTTGGTTTCAAAGTTCTCCTCTTACGAACGAAATTCTCTTGAAATTTTTATTTCATATCTGTTCATTATATTTAGATCGTGGAATCATATGGAAATGTTACTCCTGTGGTCGGATATTATAATCTCACGTAAATGAAAACATACAATATTTATGCAAGCACGCATGTGCATTTTTTTTTGAAACGGAAAATGTTTGGTTGGGGATTGTGACGTCAAATTTATATAAAGCCATTATTAATTAATACATACATGTTAAATATAACTGTACTAATGTACCTAGTTCTTATTACCTATATTTTCTCACCATACGAAGTCATTGCATATAAATTAATGGTCAAATCATTATAAAACCTTTGCTTATCCATTAAATTTAGCCTTGAAGACAATACAGCGTATTTTGTCGTTACTGTTGGGTTTAACTTCTCAGATGGAGATCAGCTGCCAATTCTTCGGGATATTTTGGATCATACACTTCACGGCTACTGGAATATTAGTTTAATGTCCATGAAGTCTGATGTTGGTAATGTGTTTGTTCGCTTGTTTTTCATCTAATGTCTTAAGATTAATCTTATTTTTTGTTATTTTTACGTGATAGTAGGTTGACCCATGCACTTACTGCCCTTTTCTTAGTTATAAGAATAAATATTTTCTGAAAATTTTTAAAGATTTATTTTAAACTGAAATGTTGCATAATGCTACTCCCTTCTTCGAAACTATAAAGCTTTTGTTCTTACTGTATATGCTCGCTTAAACGCCGCGGCGCTTATTTAATTTTCCGATTCCGAATGCTTATCCGGGATCGGTGCTTAAGTGTGAGCGGCGCTTATTAAAATTTTTCAACCAAAGTTTCACACCTAAAATTTTTATTGCTCCAAAAAAATATCTCTATCAAAATGTATTTAAATGATATGATATAATATGGCTTATCTTAATATTTCGCTAGCTATTGTGAGTAAGCGCCTCACTAAAGTTTCTCAGTTAAGGCGCCCAACCGGAAGCAATGCTAAATAACTTTTCTGGATCCCGAGTGCGGCGCTTAAGTGGGAGCGGGGCTAAAGCGAGAATTTATGGTAGTCCATTTTCCCACTCTAGGGGAGCATTTTATTTACTTTCTGTTTACCGTATTTTCTTTTAGTGTATTCAAACGAGCTGCAAATAACAACCGAGTCTCTAACTTCAACCAGCATCCGTGTTACCTGGACTTTGTCCGAAAAAACGGAGATAGTAGAAGGAATTATGATCTTTCATAGAACGATGGATGGACATGCGTCATTTGTTCCTAGTTCACAACCTCCGTCGTATCAGGGAAATTTCACAATAGAAAATCTCAAAAAATACACCAATTACAAAATAACAGTTTCTCCGGCTACAAAAAATGGCACAGGAATACCAAGTAATTTTTCTACGTTGAGGACGTTAGAAGATAGTGAGTAAACAAACACTTATCTTGTTGATCACTGAATTATTGAAGATTTCAAGCGTTGTATCTATCTTTAAGATTGATATATATGTACAGAATAGACTTTTAATCGGCTTTGATTGCATGATATTTGTGTTGATGAACTGCCCCTGCCTAACTATAACAAAACTATTGCTTTGATGCTGACAAAATTTTATTATTAGTTTCTGTAATTATTGATTTTCAAATTCTCATTTACAGAGCCTAGCAGAGCTCCAGAAATACAAGTTCATTCTCCAAATACATCATCACTAATTATTTCGTGGAATCGTGTTAACAGCGAGTATTTGCACGGCATACATCGCGGTTATTGTATTTATCATAATAATGAAATGATACACATAAATAATACTTCTGTACAAATGAAATTATTGGAAGGTTTTAGACCTTACTCAAAACACACGATTCAAATAGCTGCTAAAACATCTCCTGGTTGTGGAATATTTACTCCAATGGAAACATACTTCACCGCTGAAAGTAGTAAGTTTTTTTTTTAATTTTTGTGATTTATCGAAATCATATAATTTCTTCTTTGGGTTTCAGCTTATGTTTATTTGTTAAAACTGAATTAAGCAACTATATTATTTTAAAACACGCAATTTAATGTCTGAATGAGCTTATGCAATTAACCTTTCTATTTTCAAGAGCAAGAGAAGTAATAACATCGTTAGCTGTAGACGCGTTGCCAACGGTTTGCTGCGGGGTTGGGGCTTAGCAGTTGTGATACTTCCTCTCTATAATGATTATTTGTTTGCAAATGAATAGTTTGTCGACAATGCAGTTTGAGCTTGAAGATGTCGTTACAAACAATATAAATTCATCTGCAAGCCAACAAAATTAAACTCCACCCCTGAATTAGTGTAATCGGGATGGCCTTATTAGCATCACTGGTTTAATGGTTTCTACCATCAAATTCATCGTTATTCGAAGAATGCGTCTCAACAACAATAAGTTACTTTTGTAGTTATTTGTTTGATAAATTTTCTCTGAAAACTTTATTGAGCATGAGTTATTGTTATGTAGAACCAGATGGGCCACCAAACAACGTCTCAGCCTGGAATGAAAGCTCTACAAGCGTGAAAGTAAGCTGGCAGGAGGTTGACCCAAAACTCAGAAATGGTATTATAATTGGCTACAATATAACGTACAACTCTTCTCGTGGTCCTAGTGGAAATATAATTCTTAATTCATCAAAAATATTTCATCTTGTCATTGAAAATTTGTCTGAATGGACATGGTACACTGTCTCCGTCTCTGCCTATAATAAAATTGATCATGGACCGTCGTTTTCAGTTGATGTGAGAACCGACGAAGGAAGTAAGTGTCATTTTCAATATAGAACCCGATGAACCAGATCTTTTATGATAACAGAAAATACGTCTCAAAATTGCATTGCTGGATTTGTGATTCCAAAAACAATGTTATAAAGCTGATATAATTATGTAAAGAGGCTCATAACATGAAATCTTCTCTAGCTCCTCGCGATCCTCCCGACGTTTTTGAGGCAAGAAACTCTAGTTCATCAAGTATCTATCTGAGATGGCGTTCTCTTAATAATTCTGTTAAAAATGGAGTATTTTTGGGCTACGAAGTTACTTACATCCCGTTGAATTATAAACATGCGAAAAGCGAGACGATACGTTTAAAAGAAACGGAATACAACATTACTGGCCTTTTTTATTATTGGCAATATAAAATTTCAGTTGGAGGATACACAAGATTTGGAGTTGGAAAACAAGCAGTGCTAACAATTCGTACGGATGAACACAGTAAACGCTTAGTTTTATTATTTATTGTTTGTTTTTTTGCATGAAATAAATTGAGACAAAAGTGCCATTAGAAAACCGGCCAAAAATATGATTTGTTTTTTGGATTATCTAAAAAACTTTTTTTACATATATATGTTAAAAAATAGTAGAAATAGTTACTTTCCAAATGAAATTTACCAAATTTTCCATAAAAAGTATAGTTACAAATTTCTTTTCTGACATTTAGTTCCAAGACGCTCTCCTGAAAATGTCCGTGCCGAGGTAGAAACCTCGACTAGTATCTATGTAGATTGGGCAAACGTTACTTCCAACTTCGTTCATGGAATACTGCTGGGTTATAATGTCGCAATTCAGAGAACAAAGGATGAGTCAACACGCTATGTGGATGCTCCTCCCGGTGAAAAGGATAGACCCATCTATGTGACAAATTTGAAAAAGTACACGGAGTATACAATTTGGGTGCGTGCAAGAAATTCGAAAGGCATAGGTCAATTGAATTCTCCCGATGGTTTTCGATTGAGAACTAAGGAAGATGGTATGTTCATTTGCGGTCACAGCTTTTTATAAACCAAGATCTAGAACAAGAAGGGGGTAGAATAAAGTTATTCATACTGATGCTGAGTATAGGTTTTCAACCAACATTATCCTTCAAGGAATAAAGCTCATTGTGCTGCTCGTTATGAATGATCACTTCTGCATTTGAAATTTTTGTAGCACCGGATGCAGCACCTTCCAATATCAGAGTTTCATCCATGGTATCCATTTCAGTTATAAAATTACAATGGGATAAAATCCCCGAGGATAAAGCAAACGGTATAATACGTGGATACTATATTGAATACACAGCAACCAATCTAAATGGTCAAAATGTGGAATTAAATGAAAGGGTGACGAAGACAGTCCGTGTCAGAGGCAATCGCGATTCAATAGACTTAGAAAATCTTACACCTGGATCATCTTATGATATCACAATATTTGGCTACACAATTAAAAACGGAACAAAAGTAATTTGAAGAACGGACGTAAGTGTACACTTGTGCAATTACTACGATGCCCTTATTGTTGTTTATACTGTTTTAATGTCGATTTTATTTTGCTCTTGACTTCCATTCTCAACTTTCGTGATAAAGTATCCTTAAATTTGTCTTACATGTAATATCACCTAAGGACTTCACATTATTTAACATCTTTGTTTGCTGTGACATTTACAGATAATTTAATGAAAAGCTTGAAGTTTCAACAACATTATTGATTTTATAGGTACCTGCAATTGTCCCGAATATATAAAGTTAATTGGTGGAATATTCCTCCATATACGGACCAAAGTATAGAGAGTCCTGGAGGTATATTTGCTCATACAGTCGATTTTTAATTGACATGTGTGGAGATTGTAAAATGGTCATGGTAAGAGTAAACCTTGTTACCGTCCGGGCTGCAATCAACCGTCTTCTCGAAGACGTCGAGCAATCGACTCGTACCATCAAGAAAGTTTTCAGAATTTTTTGAATAATATCAATGACGATGTAGACGTCAGTTTTCCTGTTCAAGGAAATAAGTATTTGACACATCATGGTGGTATTCAGCCATATGTTTCAGTCGTAGAAAGTACTGGATCAGTTTATTTTACTGTCAAAAAAACCCCATCAACTGCTCATGTTATTGTGAACGCTGCGGTTGAGTCCATTCCATTGTTACTTTTATTCTGCTTTTATCAATTCTTGCCGGTATGATCATTTGGATATTGGTAAGCACGTTTATTTATCTCTTCCTAATTTTTATTAATCAAATCATAAAATGCTTATGTTGCACTTCTTCGATATGTTTGTTTATGTTTCTTGTTAGGAGCGTTCTTCAAATCCTTACAGTTTTCCATTGTCATTCGTGAAAGGAGTAAAGGAAGGATTTTGGTGGGCTTTTATTTCAGCCAGCACTGTCGGGTATGATAAATAAATTTCAACCTTAGACAGATATAATGCAATTTGGAAGACAAAGATAAGAACTCCAAAGAAAAAGTAATACATTTATAATCCGATGAAAATTGCACTTTTTTCAAAATAATTTGGATAAATAGTTTAGGTGGAAAACTCTTAGCTATATATTTTATGATAAATTGTTTATAAAACTAATTATACGTTAGTGCTAACGTTTTTAGACTATAGGATATTGGAGTTGAATGTTTGCTTAAACTTTGACAAGTGACATTTAGTTTATTATCCAATACTTTGAAAATCACTGGAATAAATTTGAGTGAATGATTACCTATAGAGCAATGATTTATCCTAACGGTTTTTAAAGAATGCTTCTGGACGTTACTTAAGTATTTTGTTTGTTTTAGTTATGGTGATAGACGGCCAGTTACAATACCTGGTAAGCTTTTTGCCATAATCTGGATATTAATTGGTAACGTCATTATCACATTACTCACCAGTTGGATGGTCAATTCGATTACTTTGGTCCTTGTTGAACAGCGTTACTCTATTTACGGTTCAAAGGTGGGTTATGAAAGAAACAGTTTTGCACAAATTCTAGGCTATGTATATGCTACAATACCCAAATTTTTCATTTTTGATTTTTTTCTACAGTTTTCAAACCTAACTTTGTATGTAACAATTCAATCATTTTTGATATATTGATCTGTAATGATACCTCGTAGATTGCAGTTGTAGAAAATTCGACTGAGTACGGTCGTGCAGTGCGGAAAAATGGCCTGGGTAAGAAAAAGTTTTTTATTTTATTCTGTTTCATTACTTTTTGCATACATGGGTTCTAGTAAACTATCATTTGTTTTGTTTTCATCATGAAATTTATGAATATGTAGATGTTGCGTCTAATTTTGATGCTAATTTGTTCCAGTGGTAGGATATCCTAATGTGGACAAAGTTATTGAAGCATTGAAGAAAGCTAAAGTAGACGGTGCATTGCTGGATATGTATGCTGCAGCGACAAGAAAAGATTTGTTTAGTAGTGGTGAGATCAAATTGAATAGACAGGTCCAATATCCATCTGGATATGGTATTGTTTTATCGGGAAGAATGAAAGAGTCAGCGCCAATGATAAGGGAATGGTTTAAAGCAAAAGCTAGTGAATTATTTGAAATCATTCAAAATAACACTGATGTAATAACTCAGGTAAATTACTCACGATAATCATCAATAGACGACTTACAACATCAATGTACTGTGGACCTAGTTTACAATGGACTATAGCCATCTTATTTTTATTTGGAATTCTTGGATTACAACCAACCTCCAGGGAATCATCAAAGAATGTGGTTTGCCCACACCGGCTGGTGCCAACAATAGCATGAAAACCTTTGTGTTAAACCACCAACGTGGCGGCCGTGACTTAACATGCACACCGAGAATATATATTCTTCTTGCTTTTTATGTTTTTATTTATTTTTAATCTATTCTGTTATTTTCTCAACTCAAAATCTTCTCAAATTAAAAATTACATAATTCAAGTTTTAATTTTTTGCTCACAGGAAAGTATTGTCGATGGCCAGAATTATTGAGAAAACTTAGGACAAAAATTCCCAGACTGGTCCCTCCTGACAATCTAGAAACTCTTTTCTCAATCTAAAATGTTACGCAGATTTCGATGAACTGTCAACAACATTTCCAATCAATTCTATTGTATTTTCGTCTTATAGAAAAACAACAGAGTAAAAGAAGTGGCGTCGATAAAATCCGGTTTATTTGATGTGTCATCTCGAGCTTTTCGATTGAGTATTGTCATTATATTTTCAATGCTTGCGTTCTGTTTCTTGGCTGGATTGTATTGGCAATACAAATACCACTACAAGGCTTCAAAGCTCCGACTTCAACTACAAAGTAAGTTTTCATAGAACCTACTTGCAAAATGATAAAGTTAATCTTTCTCTCGGAGAGCAATTTTTGTTATGAAAAGAGGAGTTGCCTGAGCTTTTTCATTTATTTTGACTTTTTAACGCTGATATAGCCTACACGTGTTGCTAATATACGACCATATATGTGTATTAAATGATCACTGATTTTCTTAGTTCATCCAACTGTCTATTTTCACTCTTTTCTTCCCTCCAGGTGAAGCACCTTCTTATCCCAAGTACAAAATATTGCGAGAGGATTTCAAACGATTACATGAAGAGGAATTAAAAGATCTTAAGAACAGATTAATCATGTTAAAGGCAAAGCATATGAAAGAACTGAAGCTCTTAACCAAACTTAAAAAGGAATCAGTTCACTCTTTGCCCACATCCTCACAGAATAAACAAGTGTCTGGAAGCGTCAGCTTTGTACGAAGTACACTTCGTCTTCCTCGTTGTTCTGCTTCCGTTGCACCAATTTCAAACTCACAAACCAACATTGCGTTGAAAGTTATGGACTTAGATGAAGGACATGGTGCAAATAAACTGTCCGAAGATTCTGAGGTTTAATGAGTGCTGTTTTGATCTTCATGCAAAATTGAATGTTTTATAGTCTGAACTTTGTTACCTGTAGTTTTAGTGTTTATAGTAAATGTCGTACTGCATGTTGTAGTTTAAAAAAGATGACTTTGTCTATAATGATGAAACCTAATATAGGTAAAACTATATGTATTTAATTTCTGGTTTCTTTACCTTTAAAATTAGATTTAGCCTACATAATTCGATTTAAAATCTAATACAGCTGTCAGTCTAAACTGCCAATGTTTCAATTTAGTAGCAACCTCTCTTCTCCATTTCTTGGTTACCCAAGAGGAGCCAGAGATTTTTAATTGCCCCATACGACCGTCAAATTAAGAAATAAAATCTCTCATATAAACCGAGTTTTACCCAAAAACTGGAGATAAGCAGCTTCAATATAACAGGGACAGGTAGCGTTCCAGTGGCTTTACCCATGTTACCATACGCTTTGAATTAAATATTGACAAATAACCCATTGGACCTCATTGGACCTCATTGTCATGGACTCTACCCCAAAATTTTAAGGTCAGTGAGTTTTGTAGATTTCAGGGGGGGGAGACGTACCGAAGTATATGCAACATTATATCGGAAAAAAATAAAACTATGCTAGTTGAAAGTATTTTAAAAATTGAAAGTCTAGTCAGACTAACATAACGGCTAAAAAAAAGATTTAATTCACAGATCAAAGTGCATGTCTATTAATTACACTGGTCAACAAAAGAAACTTTTAAAAGGTGTCTGATATTTTTGACTGATTTACTATATTTTGCTATGCTAAATCTAGAAATAACATTCATTTTGCTCTCGGAGGTCAAATTTTTTTGCAAATTTGAATTTAAAATTATGCGACTTTAGTTATATTTTTTTAAAACAATGTTTTCAAGATTTACATGTTTTCAAGATGTTTCAAAACAAAATGTCAGTTTTTATGATAAAATTGCAGTATTCCAAGAAAGAATCATATACACTTCATGTACAGTACATGTAACTAAAAATGAAAACTTAATGTTTGCATTATTACGGTCTAAATTTTCGTTTTTTTGATTGTCGCGAATGTTTTGGTGCTTGCACATCTCTTTTTAAATTCCAACAGTAGTCCGCCATCATCACCATGTCCCACCTTTCTCTTAAGTCATGGTGAAAGCGCTCTCCTTGCTCATCGCTTAAAGAGCCAAGATTTTCGGGATCAATACCAGCTTTTAATTTTTCAGTTGACAAATTGGGAAGGTTTTACAACGAAACTGAAAACACCGTCCATCTTTATCCAAAGTTTTAGTGAATTGCCTTATCAAACCGAACTTTATGTGCAGTGGAGGAAATAAAATACGTCCCCTGTCAACTAGAGGCTTGTTTATCACATTTTTTGCTCTACAACTTGCAAGCTCTTCACGTACTGGCCATTCTTTTTCACGTAATGATGAGTACGATCCCTACTATCCCAGAGGCATAAAAGTATGGGTATTTGGTAAATCCAGACTGTTGACCAAGCAAGAAGTTGACCATTTTAAGTCAACGCAAATCAGCCATTTATGTTGGTCATAAGAAATTTTTCTAGGACGTACTTAATTGCTTCATGCTGTTCTTTTAATGTTGTCGAATGTGCCAATGGCACAGATGCAAATTGATTTCCATTGTGTAACAACACACATTTCAAGGACCTTTGCTGCTGTCGATAAAAGTCGCCAGTCCTCTGATTTGTATTCAGGTACGCCGAGATGTTTCAGTAGCTCTACTATGTCATTGCGATAGACTAATTCTTTTTCTTGAGCAAAATATCTTAAAAATTCCTGGTGCCTGGTACGGAAGAAACTTACCTTAACTTTACCATTTAGCATGTTCTTGTCCTTTAAACGAGATGCAAGAAGTTCGGCAGAGTCTTTTGGCAAATTTAAATCGCGAACAAGATCGTTTAGTTCGTTTTTGGAAAACAATTTTGGCTGCTCATCATTGTCATCGGGAAAGGATGCATCATCGGTAGTGGCAATGCTTTGAGTTTCATCCTGGCTACTACTGCTTTCTTCAATACTTGTATCTTCAAATACAAGTACGGGAATTTCTTCACTATAAGGAGTAGGGCGCATAGCTGACGGTAGATTGGGATACTCCAGTGTTGTGCGATTTTTTCTGTTAATTCCCATGACATTGATAGCACAAAAGTAGCAATCGGTTGCATGATTTAAGGCTCTCGCCAAGTCATGGGGATGCCAAAGTTCATGGACTTTTGCGTGCCTTTGCTCCATTGACGGAGATGCTCTGTGCATCTTTTGCAAACCATGTGAGGTGTCCAACCTTTGTCTTGATCGCCGAGCTTCATGCCAAAATATGCATAGTAAACGCGCTTGATAAAGGTGGTGACAGTATTGCGATTTGGTGCAAGTGTGTATTCACCACAAACATAGCAAAAAACATCTGGCTTATTTTTATTATTTCTACTTTTTATTATTTTTTACTTCCATTAATATGTTGGTGTGTTTTAACAAGTTTTACCATTGAATTCCAGTATGGGCTAAATAAAGCCTTATTTCATCTTTAAATATCCCATAATAATCGCAAAACCTAAACTCCCTAATTGAAATTCAATCAATAATTGCTTATTCAAATGCTTTCTTCTTTGTATTGCTAGTGCTAAAAAATTTAAATTTGTTCAGATAATAGAACTTTAAAAGGTAAATGGTTAGTACTTCTGTTGTACCTTTCTCGGGTATTTAAAAGTTAAAAAATAGAAAATTAACGATAGCTTAAAATCTCGACCTGACCCAGCAAAATAGTGTTATTTTTGGACTCAGCACATCAAAATTGTCCAAAATCAGTTTACAAAACTGAGACACCAAATTTGCTGTTGACCAGTGTTATTGAAGTGTTCGTGCAGCAGCAGGACAACAGATCAGTCTGTGTATCATTAATCATTTATCATTTCAGTGTCATCATTTGGAGCTACCAAATGAACTTGAACTTGGCCTTCTTTACTTTTACATGGCCGGCACCGATTGGCACCTAAAAATTGTTTGAAATGGTCAACGGTGATACCATTACAAAGTAAACCTTGAAACCTTTAATATTAAATTGCTTTTCCTACCGTATTTGATCCCGAGCTTAGAACTCAACTGCTATACAAGATTATATTTTGTGCCGGCTAAAGCTATGGTCATGGTAACTGTCAGGCCCTTTTAGCTTAGCAAGAAGTTCTCTCGATTAATTAGTTCGACTATAGCCGGAATTTTTTACCAGAATTGCTTAGACGACAGCTAGATACACCGACAAGTATACCAACTTTAATATCGCATATTTTTATTAAGTTTTATAAGACTATAGGTAAACCACTAAGGTTAATTTCAATTTTGTGGATTAAATCATGACTTATATCTTTATTGCAGAGCGTGTTTTTTAGAAAATATTGGTGTTTCTTTATAATCGGACATAGATGTACGGTACGGGTAGTAAGTTGTTCATGCTTTAAGGTGTTATCACCAACGAAGAGCATTCAATTGATACTATTGAAATTTAACACATGATCAATGCTACTGCATAAAACTTTTGCACAACTGTAACAATACTACTTCAAGTGCGAGCTGGATAATTCTTCATTAACAAGTGTTAAGCGACTATGAAGAGATCATGTGTTAAAAGTTGCTCTTCGTGCGTCAGAACTAAGTGTTAAAAATGATAAATAGTATTGTACAAATGAATAAATACCAATGAATACATGTCGTATTTCGTACAGGAACTGAGAAAGTCGGAAGAGTAAATTTAGGCAGCTTGCAACGCAGGCTAATTTAACCCAATTTAACCTGGTCACGCAAACTTTGTAAAAAGCAATACGCAAAAATCACGTGGTAGAAAGCGCATGAATTTCTCTTACGCACGATGGTCAAAGTTTGGTGAGCCAGATGATATATGGTTGGATATACTGAGGTATATTTTTGGTGCGTATATGGTTTTAGAAGCTATGATTAATTCTAGATCGTCTAAGGAGCTTGTAGCCGAAAATTCATATGACTTTTGGGAACTTTTTACGGAAGGCAAAGTTTTTGATTTGGACTTATTTACTGCTTGCTCTGTTGGCAAATTTGAATACATTCAACAATTGCTCAGAAATGACTCGCGCACTGATATTGTTAACATAAAAAACGAAGGAGGCTGGTCACCATTGATGTATGTGTGCTATATTGGGAATTATGAAATCACCGAATTACTCGTCCGTGAAGGTGCTGATGTTCTGTTTGAAGAGAAAGAATATGGTCGAACGCCATTGATGCTGGCTTCATCTTCCGGCAACATATATCTGGTGAAATTTTTAATAAAAGTACGTTATATTTAAAGTATTTGATAGTCTTCATGTGTAATTGCTTTGATTGGTTTCTTTGTTCGAAAGAAATGCTATTGACATTCAAAATGTGGTGGCAATCACAGAAAGTGATTTTTTATATCAAGAAATTTACTTAAACTGTTGAATTGTTTTTTATAAAGGCACAATTTATTTAATATAGTTATTATATTTGTCATTTTCTAGAATTTATGATCTTGTTTGTAAAAATTGCCTACTGTGTATTGTGTATGAATTTAGTATTTTCTAGTCAATGACATATTTTTATTAACGTGTTCACAGAATTCAATTCATTTGGGGCATGAAGTCATGTGGCCTAACCGGCGTAATAGGAAAGCGGAAATTAAAAAAAAAGACAACTCAAATGCTCTTTTTGCACTTGGATTAAACGATGGGTTTTGAAAACTTTTGCCAAAGAGTGTTTTTGTTGACAGTAAATTTTGTGTTTCATTCATTATTGCACAAGACAGGAAACTCATAGCCACATTGCTTTCAGAGATTAGAGATAGTTATAATCACCAAAATCCTTCCAAAATATTTTTATATTTTATTAAGAATAGAGCCCAAATCAACCAAAGGGACAGACATGGCCAAACTGCTTTATACCATGCTGCTGAACATGGTCAGACAAAATTGTTGAATATCTACTAAGTATTTCTGCAGATGTTTTGATAAGGTATTTTGATTTTTGCTTATTTCGTAATGTAAACCCTCATGAGTATTGACAAGCTAGGACAAAAGTTTTCAAATGTTTGTTTTTATGCTACTATTATTGACATGTGTTTTTAGTGCAGCATGAACAGCACATTGATCATGACACAGTTTATGGTTGAATTATCTATGCATAGATATTTTTCAAGCACAGATTCAAACTAATGTCATATATTTTAAATGTTAACAATATTTTAGGCAGAATGGAACAGGTTACACTCCATTTATGGAGGCAGCAAAACAAGGACATGAAGCTGTTTTTAATGCATTTTTGGATCATGTAAGTATACAATGCTTGCTTACAAGAAGCTATACCTTACAGATATTTTGTAGCAATGTTGTGGATCATCAAACACTATCTTCATACTGAACAAAGTTATGTGAGTCTTTTAAATTCTGGTGGAATTTGGTCTTTTATAGGATGTTGATTTGGGAGTTTTATCCAGTCAAGGTTACACTGCTAGAGACTTGGCAGAGCAATGTAACTCTCATGTAATAGTGAAAATGATTGACAATCATCAAATCAAGTCTCGATATAAAACAGGTAAAATAAATTTAACACAAATCATGTATTTCTAGGCTTACTAATAAACTCTTTTCAAAATGCAGTTCTCTATATTCAGACATACATTAGAACTCTGATAACTTGAACTCCCAAAGAAAATGGGAAATTGCTTATGTTTAAGAAGGTTAGAGTTAGCAAGAGTGTTTTTCAATATTGAATATTAGGTCAATATAAAAGCATTTGGAAGTTTTACTGTTTGCTTACAATTGTGAGCTATAGCAAAGCAAGACACATATGTACAGATAATTCAAGATGATCTGTGTTTTAAGTACAAACTGGGTACATAAGCTGATCAGTGATATCAAAGTTGTATGCTATTGAGGCAAATTGTTCATAATGATTTCTTGTTATTTAAGTGAAATTTAGACTTTTGACTTTAAAATTTCAACCCTTGAGGACCCTCCAAGGAAGGGCAGTTGTGAAATAACTTGTGAGTTTGCTAGGGATTTATGTTAAGCAAGTTTCAGTTTTCAGGGTTCTACTGTACAATTCCTTTTCAATGTTGTCCTTAGAGGTTTAATGTCACTCTTAATAAACATGTTATAGATTTGAGTTGTATTGGCAATACCAAACAACCACATCAAAAGGTCAACCAGTGGCTAAATGATCATAATCCAGATCATTTTTATGATGATATTCTCACAAATAAATTGTAAGCATTGTTTTTTTTGTGATTGTAGTTAATCAATTTTCATTATTTCATTAATATCAAAATGACAAGATAACTTAACTATTTGCTGATTTGATTTTCTTATTAATTCATGTGTTTTTTTACTTCATGTAGTGATGTATGTGAAGACATCAACTCACGGTACCTATTTACTGTATTTCAACTTTTACTTCTTTATGAAGAAAAGTTTTTTACTGTTAAGGTCTATTTACTCTGCAAAATCAGGCGCAAACTGGCTAATTAGGTGCCTTGCCATTTCAACAGCGAGGATCCCCAGAAAACCATTTACAAAAAATTTGGAATTTGGGACTTTGGAGTCTCTAAAATGCATTTGCCTTTTCCCTTTATGCAATTTTAGATTTAAAATTTCATTTTTTAAAAAAGAGAAGTTGTTGCATTTCCTAGTAGCCCCTATGCTATGACACAGGCCTGTCCGAGCATATGTCTCAACTGGAGCACTGGTTCAGGCTGTAACTTTATCCAAGATTACATAAACAAGCTTTTAGATAAACTATTTGTAAACTTTAAATGACACAATATTTTTGTTTTATAAAGACCAATAATGCCCTCATGTGGAATTCCAATTTGTTCTCCTTACAAACATTATTCAGTTGAGGAAAGTTTGGGCAAATCATATGGAGGTAAATCCAAAAAATTGATTATCTACCAATGAGTGCTTATGTCTTTGTTAGAATAGGTCATTTTTCCCGGTTATTTTCGTAAATTTTTTAGTACAAACATAACAAAATTTACTTAAAATATGTTTCTTGAGTAATTTTATGCAGTTGTAGCAGTATATGATATCAAAATGCTTGTCAGAGAATTTGCCAAATGTGTTAATTACTTCTCCAATTGTTTAATAATTAAAAATAGAAAACATTCTAGCTTGATTCTATATAGTATTAAAAATACCCTGGAATGTTTGAGTTTGGGAGAAACGAGATATTGCGTGGCAATGGGCAAACACGAACACGAAGTGCAATAGTGTTTCCAAGCGATTTCGAGTTTCTCTCAAAATTTCATTTGTTCTATTGTACTTTGTTTTGTAGAAAACCTTTATTAAATGTCTTTCTCAATACTTTATTGGTAGCTGCATACTTTTGTTTCCTAACATGTTTTTAACTTGTCGGCAATGACGAAATATACATTAATTGTAATGAATAATTTTTAATCCAGACATGTGTATATGTATATATTTGTGTGTGTAATTAACTAACATGAAATTTTGTTTTAAAGATTCAACGATTGTTGACTCTGATAGAACACCATTGGGTACGCCTGTAGACAGCATGTTTCAACAGTACGTGTGGAACGACAGATTTTTACAGACTAACTTATTTATTTTCTCTAATAGTTGAACTAAGAGTGATTTTTTAGCTTCATAACAACTTTAACAAATGAGAAACATGGAATAACAACATAAAAATTTTCTAGGTATATGTCTGCTGATCTTTTCTTCATCGTTCTTCTTATAATCATCCCACGCTGCAGACGTTTTAAAGGATTTAGGCTTGGAGAAATATGTCAAAACATTTAAAGATGCACATATCGACTTTGATTTACTACTTTCGTCAACGGAAGAAGATTTTAAGGAGCTTGGAATAGTGTAAGTTGCAGTTTTTTATTTAAATGTAATGAGTAACGTATTCCGACATTTTCTCCCGCTTTGCGAACATTTTGCATTCACTGATTGTAAAACAAGAGGTTTTCAGCAAATGAATGATTGAAAATTTCCACAGGATCTGACTACGCTACACTATATAAAATGCAGCTACTGTGGCGTAGTCGGCTTCCAAGAACGGTTTTATTAAGAAAAACAGATCATTAACATTATTGGTTTCTATAGAACACACAAATATTTATATAGCATGACCAAAGTATTTCAGCAGGTTTTCGACAAATCTTTAGGACACCTGCAAGGTAGTGTTACAGACAATATAGGGAACAAACAGTGGCATAAAACCACTGAAAAACAGTCAGCTGCATTTTATGACCAATAGTAACGCTGAAACAGCCAGCAAAATCAATACAACACATTTTGAATAGTCTTTCAAAAACTTTTACAGCGCATTATCACAAGCTTTCATAGAGCGAGGTTTTAAAAACCTTTACAGCATCATAGCTCACTATAAACTTTAAAAATATTTAATTAATTGGCACGCTTTATTTTAGTAAAGTTTATTTACTTGAAATAGAATGAAAGTCTCCATATGAAAATAACCATAAATTTTTAATTTCACGTCATAACAATTTGCAAACAGGCTGGGTCCAAGACGTAAACTGAAAATGGCCATAGATCAATGGAAGGAGGACAAAGGATGTGTATGTAGTCATATTGATGACACACGAATATGTGATTCATCATGGGGGGAGGACAAAGGATGTGTAGGTAGTCATATTGATGACACACAAATATGTGATTCATCATGGGGGGAGGACAAAGGATGTGTAGGTAGTCATATTGATGACACACAAATATGTTATTCATCATGGGGGGAGGACAAAAAATGTGTATGTAGTCATATTGATGACACACAAATATGTGATTCATCGTGGGAGGAGGACAAAGGATGAGTATGTAGTCATATTGATGACACACGAATATGTGATTCATCATGGGGAGGACAAAAATGTGTATGTAGTCATATTGATGACACACAAATATGTGATTCATCATAGGAAGTAAATTGAAAAAGTGGTTTTAACCTGTGGTATCGTGTACGACCAACGAGTGTGGTTTTAGAAAATTGCATAGTGAAGCTGCAAATATCGAATCCTCGTGTTAAGAAAAAACCATCTTATTTATGTGCAACATGAAACATTTTTTAACATTCATATAATTTTATTTCACACAGACTAAAGAAAAGAAATACACCACTTGTCTTGAAGTGAACGATGTTAAAGTGCAATTAGCAGATGTAAGTTAACAATAAATATACTTTTAATGCCTTCTTAAATTTTTAGACGTGAAATCAACCATTTGTTTGTGTGAACAATGTGTTCTTTACAAATCAGGGACAACGGTGCTTGACAATTTACGTAGATATTGTGTTTCCATGTGAAAAAGAGAAACGTATTACGTATTTCTTTTTTCATCAATTCTTTACAATCTGTTACATGATTAGTTAAATAGGATGCAGATATAGCTCTAATCTTCTCTACATTGCTAAAATCATTTCTAATGGTTTATGAAAGTGCTCATTATTTCTGTAGATTGAAAATGATAATGAATTGAATTTTTTATGATTAAGGTTTATTCTAAACTTGAACACATAAATGCAGAACTCGTGCATGAGAAAGAAGCAAGGTCATCACTCGAAGCTGAACTAATGGAAGGAAGAGCGAGGAAAAATCACATGTATTTCATTGGAGAGAAAGTCATAAGGGCCTGTAAAGATATGTTAAATGTAGCCAGGGATATGAAGTAATAATATGATGAAATTACTAAAAGTTATTTTTTTAAGTTCAATTTTACTCTATCCAGGATTAATTTGCCATGTACATTTCTGGCTCACTGAGAAATTTTTTTTCAATAATTTTTGTAGAAAACATGTTGATGAACTAAAATTAGTGGCAGCAGATTGCAAAGAAGATGAAGTAAAATCAAAACTAAACGAACTATTTAAACTTATGAGTGAGAATGTCGTCAATACCAACTACACTACCGAAACAATATCACGAAGAGTGGAAAAGTTATTATCTGACGGCATTAGCGAACAATCAAGCAATTCTGACTCACCAGAATCGTCGTGTACTTCCTTTAGTAAATCTGAAAGTGGTTCAGGGAATGTCGATTAGAAGGATAAGTTAGCATCAACTATTTCTATTTTGTTATTTTCGATGAATTTCATGAGGTGCAACGGCAGCGATATTGTTTAATAACTTCAAGACTGAACATTATTAACAAAACCGTACAATGAACATAAATATACGTTTATATGTCCTCGTTGAAAAAATCTGCTGCTTTTATGTCTCGTAAATTTTCGCTGTTTGATGACATAGTTGAATCACGTTGATAACTAGCCCAATACCAATACATGAGATGATTTGTACATATGTCTTGATTTGCTGTGGATATCTATTGTTCATTCGCAATTACGATGTACTTTGTTATTTAAGATATTATTTAGTATCGTGTGTAAATAAATTACAAAAACAAAATAATATCTATAGTCCATCAATGTGTGCATTTGTTTATACTCCTTTATAGTAATTTTGGTATTAATCGGTCATAATAAATGGTGAGAGTAGAACCGAGAAAAATAGAGTTTGGGGACGATTTGTGTTAAACCAAGGTCGGGATGAACAGAAATGTACAATAGGATTGACTTTTCACCATCGCCATGGTAGGGTTCCGACCAATGGTTCCAACACCACCGGATCTTTAGTTTTCACAGTTTCCACATTTATAAACACGGTTTTATCACACGTTAAAATGTGTGATAATCTCGAGGACTTCACTTTCCTCAACGTAAGCACAGTCACGTGACATCAAGCGTAAGCAAGGACGTTTGGCAAATGACGACAGTTACGTACTCCGTCATTTGATTGAACAATGAGCACAAAGCACGTTTTTTTGAGTCTCTTAATATTTTATAGAGAAATATTAATTATGCGATTATTGCAAATATGTTCGCTGATCTGCTTCATTTGGAAGCTATAAACTTATTAGGCTATCCATATGCACGCTCGTACCTATATTTAGTTTGTAATTTATATTTATAAAAATGCGCCATGATCACTGGTCATGATGCTCTGTAAGTTTGATGTAGTTTAAAGGCAAGTTATAGATTAATGAAGATTGTCAGTAGCTTATGACTTCTTGTCCATGGTTGTAAGAGTGGTAGTAAAAAGTAGCCTGTGTGATATACGAAGAGTATACCATACGTCCATCGCTTTCAACTTGTTACTTCTGTGTTTGCATCAAATTGCTGACCTGTTTTTATATTATTTGTTTTTATTTTACAATACATTCCCCGTTTGACAACTTAAGAATTGAAATTGGATGATGCCATGATTGAAGACAATGCTCTTGCGTAACCTATAAATGCACTAGATGTTAAGTTGCAACGTTTTAAACTCGCAACATATATAACCAGTAACTACAATTTTAACATATTAATCATGCGTACCTTTTGGATTTTTATAAAATGGGCAATTATTTGCACATGTCTCAGGATTGCTGTCGAGCACTGTTGGGCCGCATGAGCATAAGGATGGCACACAAAGTTGGTGTTTGGTAAGTTTTTCTTGAAGTGTAGCTCGAAGTGCGTCGGTGTATCTATATGAGGAATCGTGTTATTTACATAATATTTACTGCAATTATTAGCTATATATGGAGCTGTTTGTGGTTCTTTTCTTCTTGGCACCATACCTTGATATTTCTCTTTCTTTTTGTTGCTTTTTGCGCTCTTTTATGATATCACGATCATAATTGTGTTTCATTAGTGTTGTTTCTACCAATGACTAATAATAAAAACAAATAACAACAAGAATATACCGTCTCTTGAATCATGTTGAAAAAATACATCATCGACATTCGCACAATAAAACAAAACTACAGCTGGGATTTGAACCTTTTCCTGCGCAATTTTATGTCTCTCTTCAATTAATCCGTCAATTTCATGTTCGACTTCCCGTCGTTTTGACTCTTGAGTTTTTTTAAGTCTAAATAAAGCAATATCACTAAAACTTTAGGATAGTGTTAAACGAAATGGTTGAACCCATTATTTTATTCATCACACCTAATCATCCGTTTTCTGTGTTCCTTCATCCGCAAGTTTTCCCGAACTTGTTCTCTTTCAATTTCCATGAATAATTTTCGGTAAATTGCGAGTTGATTTTGCACCTGCATAAACCATAAAGTAAAGAAAGATAGACAAAAAACAAAAGTTGTCATTCCATTCATGAAAATTACACATACTTGTTGTTTGGACTGTTGCTTTTCTATTCCCGCGTGCATTAAATCTCCTTCATACTTCATCGCTTCAACTTTGCCAGAGAAATATCCTATATAAATGTTTTATACATCACACGTCAAAGAAATTCACAATGTTTGATCACTAAATAGACGGGGGAAAATTTTTTGCGAAATGAAATCCGTTAATTAATGCTCTACGAATCTTAATATTTTTTCGATGTATAAAATTGATTTAATTTTTTATGCTCTAATGTCGCTAATACAAATAACATATATTTACGACTGAGAATAGTTTGGATTTTATCATATCCAACATTTCATTAAATTTGGACATATAAATAATTTGGACTGCAATACATTCTATTTTTTTTCTAGTAAAAGTAGTTCTTTTCTTCTATAATTTTTGTGTTGAGTTTAAAATAACATCGTCAGGATAAGCATTTTACGTACGAAAAGAATCACACTAATTATGTATTGTTATTATCACCATTAATGTTACCAATTCCAGCTTGCAGGTTATTTGGTTCATTGTGATGGCCTTCTCTCAAAGATAAATTTTCTAATTCGTCTGTCACTTGCTGACACACATTAGGCATGAACGCTAAATCCATCTTGCCATCTTTATCTAACATGTTTGGTTGGGTTTGAATGCGAGTATTTCTGCCAGCTTCATCCTTTTAAAATGATACATATTTTTTTCAAACATTTTGTACTGCAAGTTCAATTCAACTTTACATTATTAATCCAACAAATTTATTTAGATTAGGCATGTGAAGGGAAGAATGCTTTGTGAGATTTTAATAACCATAACAGCTCTTAAAGTTTTGAATATAATTGGAAATTGTGTTCTTACTTGAGGCAATAAAAATAATTTTTCACTATATCAAATCATTATAGACTAGTTAAAAGATGCTTAGTGTGTGTTAATGAGGATGAATTGATGATAATTTAGATATTCATATTGGTATCAAAAAACTTCAATACATGTTTATGTGCAGTAAAGTCCCCATTCCACATGCCTCCAGGAAGTTCTGTTAGCTTGTCCTAAATAAAATGCAAAAATTACAAATGTAAATTTTTTTAACATTATGCAAACAGATGGTAAAATGAAAACACACTTACAGAATCAATATTCAACATTTGTGAGCCTAACACAAGCCGTGCATGTCTTTTACACTTATGAACCTATCAGTTGAAATATATTTGAAGTAAGAATTGATAAAAAAAATAAAATCAAAAGTTAAATGAGGTTTTCAGGTACCTTTGTTGCTTGTTTATCAAAGAGTTTGTTTGCCATGTTCACCTCCTGAGGATCATTTACAACGCTGTAACAATGTTTAGAGCTGCCTGGTATGGCAACTTGCAGTTTTGCATGTCTTCCTTCATGGTACAGGCATGTGTCTTTTTTTGCAGTTGCTATTTTTTTTGGAAATGAGCTTTGGTGAATTACTTTCTGTTGAGTGGACACCTTAACAGAATCAAAATACCAGAATAAACTGCTTTATACAGGCTGCTCTTTGTATAAATTTTCATTTAGGCTCATACCACTTCATATGATTTGTCCAATTGCTGGAGTTTCTTCATTTTTTCAAGTGCTTTTATTCTTTCTCTCACATCATGTTGAAATTTCGTTAATCTTTGTTTTTTCTCTGCTTGAATTGAAGCAATTTTTTGTTCTTCATTAACAGCAGAATACTAATAATCATAAATCAATCCGTTCAATAAAATGGGCAAACAACTTTTGTAAAGTAAGAGTAAAAATCAGTGTCGTTGACAACTAAATTTAATTTGTTGAAGTTACACAAATGGAGTTACTAATTCATGAACCATGAAAACACTGTTTCCCCATAACCAATCAATTTCATTTCAATGTACCTGTGCATCATGAACTTGGTAACCTTTATGGGTTTCCTGTTCTGCCCACGCTCGACATGGCATTCTGCTGGTTGTGGTAGTGACGGGACGTTGGGCTAAAATTCCAGTCGACTTCATTTATACTTCGATATTTAAAAACACTCCGTTTGCAACATCTTCAATTATATTCTATAATCTTCGATATAAATAAATCTCCACCAAGCCAGCAAAAAGCTGCTGGTAACAAAAGACAAGAAACAACCATTACATTTCAAAAGAGCCGCCATTTTTTAAAATGACGTCATTACAATCTCAACATGGCGGCAGCGGGGATTGATTTTGGATACACTAGTATAGTTATTGGTGCTTGTAAGGTGTATAAATTTTTGTGTTTAACTCTAATAATTAATCTAGGTCACGCAGATAGTATATAGTTCATTCTAGAGTAATCTCAATATCGGACGAAAAGACCTCTTCAAGGTTGTGTCAGTGTTCAGCATCATGTCAATGACCATTGTTATTGATTCAGAAGTCACTGAAATCAGGAATGATGAGACCAAATGGCATAAAAAAAACACTTTATTTTATGATCATATTGCTTATGCATATCAAACATTGTGCTTTTTCACATCTGTATAAATGCGTTATATTCATTCATAAACATTATATTTAGGATGGCCGACCTGAGATTGTAACCACAGATACAGGAGAGTGGATTACTCCTGCAATGGCAGCATTTACTGACAAAGAACAGGTATGGTCATATAGAAGCTCTATATTCCAGTAATCTAAATAAGAATTTTTGAGCAATTTTTTTGGGAAAAAATTAACTAATATTTCTCTCTTTCTTTTTCATACAATGCATAAAATGTACCACTTTAAATACAAAACTTGACTGTTTTAGTTAGGTGATGTAAATAAGCATTTTATAAATTCAATTGGTTGAGTGTATTGTCCCACACATTACTTTTATTGTTACAATATAGATCATTGGTACATCTGCTAAACTTGGTTTGATAAGAAACTCAACAAATACCATCACAAACATCAAAGCAATGTTGGGAAAGAGGTATTTCTAGTTCTAGTGCTGTTTAAATATTTAAAAAAATGGTATGTGCAGTGGCATAGCTAGCCTTCATATCTGGTTGTGCTATAAAAAAATTCAGAACATTAGCATCATTTATTTCATGAGAAATGTATTGTTTTTAGAGCAAAGTCCTCTTGAAAACTGTACCTAAAATATTAATCGAGGGGATGTTTATTCATATATTTAGTTGTGCTTGATTGATTTCATTTGAAAGAGAATTGCTCTCAGAAGAATTTGGTCACAACTGAATATATGAATAAAACATCCCTCTTCAAAGTTCTAGTGATGGCTCTGACCTCATGGTACATAAATCAAAGTTGAATAGGAGTTAATGGAGAAATCTATGAAATATATGTACAATGAAACATTTCATGGTTGATTCAAATTTCTAGTCATTTAGGAGAGCTTCAATGGTATAGAGGTCAAATGCAATGCCTTTAAATGTTGTTTAGTTTGTATGCCAAATTAGATGTTCCAATGAAATTGACCAAATAATAATGAGATACTGGCAAGTGCAATTTTAGTGCATGTTTGAATTGCAACATTTGTGATTATGTTTTTCATCGCCATTGTGGGATGGATGCAACAGCTCCTATTTTAATAGTTATTTACAAAAATTTTTTGCTCCTTTACTAATGCTGCGTGTATGTTTGTATTTATATATTTTATCATGTACCAAAGTGTTTATTTAAATTTTTAAGTTTATCGGATGAATTTTTTTACGATATGGCCAAACGTTCCCCGGCAAAGGTTTGTGTTTTCATTTCAATTATTGAAAGGTAGAAATTTTTGTTTTAGAAAAAAGATTTCCCACAATAGATACACATTTTTATGATGATGTGCCACTATGCCTCAAGACAATATTCACTTTACTTGTCAACGTCTTTCTTAGATTATTCGAAAGAGTGGTAATATTTTTTTCGAAGTCACTCAAAAAGGAAAGCAGATTCTTGTATCACCATCTGATATCATCCTTAGTATGTTCAAGAACATTTTAAGTAAGTTTTTATGTTGATGGATTTTGATTTAAGTTGATGTGCAACATTGATATTCTTACATGTTTATAAATGTAGATCATCCAGGTTGGTATAGTCCTGAGAAGGACTGTTTTTGTTATTGTTGACTGACGTTTCGACAACCTTAGCGGTAGTCATCTTCAGAGTCAAATATTACTTGGTTACATAGGTATTTGTCTCTGAAGATGACTACCGTTGTCGAAACGTCAGTCAACAACAACAAAACAGTCCTTCTCAACTATACCAACCTGGATGATCTACATTTACAAACATGTAACGATACTCCCGCGTTCAAACCATTTACTTTATTTATATTCTTCCTATGAATTAAATTTGGTTTTTTCGTTTTCCGGGTTTTTTTATTGTTTTTCGTTCTATTTGTCATGGCTGCTGAATGTCTTGAGCTGTACGTTGTTAAATATATTATTATCATGCGTGAATATTTACATAAATAGACATTTTGGTGTAGAAAGTATCCAAGCCTGTCATGGTAGCGAGGCTAATCAACTTGTCTTGACTGTTCCCTTACATTTCAGCGAAAAGCAGAGATTTGAGATGAAGTAAGAACGTACATTGTGAGCTATGCGTTGTTCGCCTTTGAATTAAATGTATTTTATGCTATCCAAGATAAGGACGCATATGCGTATTTATGAGCATTAAGAATCGTTAATTTAGAAATTCCGCTGAAAGTTGGTTTTCATGTTCTGCGAGTGATTCACGAACCTACTGCTGCTGTTTTAGCCTACGGTATGTGTTATAACTCAGCTTTATTTACTTATTATTTCACGAACTGCTGCTGTTTTAGCCTACGGTGTGTGTTATAACTCAGCTTTATTTACTTATTATTTCATGTCTTTATTTCATCTTTATTTTTCTCAATTATTTCCTATATGTTGTCTATACTTGGGAAGGATGAGTTGTCGCTGATGTTATAGATTTGCTTTGAAATTTTAAAATTGTCTTTTGAAAAATTCTCATAGGTATTGGACAGGACGATCCTTCTGTAAATAGGTGCGTCTTCTTCGATGTAAATTTTTATTCTGAAATAGTCATGTTTTTTTACACAATGGAAATGTACAGGACAAACTCCTATTTACTTTTCTCGAAAATTGTTTATAGTTTGGTTTTGGTTTATCATCTTGGAGGAAGAACATTACAAGTCACCCTTATTTCTGTAAACAGTGGAATGTATAAAATTTTGGATTCGTTTTATAATAATTCCATTGGAGGAGAAAGTTTTGATGAGGTTTTAGTTTCACATTTAGCAGATGAATTTAAAAGGTATATGTCGCTTGAATTAATTTCTGACGATTTTTCCCATATCAACGTGGAATTTTATATCTTTTGTAATTGATGCAACTATAAAATATGTATGTTTATGAATGAACTATATTTTAATCTTTACAAAATAACTTGTTTTGATTTCTAAAATATTCACATTTTATTATACTTTTTCCTGCTTACTGATTGCTTTACATTTTATCTTACGTACGTATGTAGAATATGGAAAGACGATATTAAAGAAAATAAAAAAGCTATAGCCAAACTTCGTGCTGGGGCAGAAATATGTAAACATGTTTTATCGTCTCATGCTACGGCGATGTGTTCTGTGGAGTCACTTCATGATGGAATTGATTTTCAATGTAATGTCTCCAGGTAAGTTAAGGACATTTTCCTTGAACTTTGTTAATCTAAACATCCATTTTTTACTCTGTCAATGTGTGCAAAAAAAAGTTTATTCATAAGCCAGTTATGCTTAAAATATTGTCCAAAGCTCATCAAACTAGCGCAATTTTGTGTAGTCTGCCAATGTTACTAATCTATATACTGTTGTCAGCCAATGATACTTATTCTATGTACTGTTTTAGCCAATGATACTTATTCTATGTACTGTTGTCAACTTTAACGCTATGAAATGTTCTCAGCAAATGATACTGTCTTCAAACTATAGCCAACAATGTCGCCAACAACGCTAATCTATTTTATGTCGTCAGCTAATGATTCTTGCGCTTTGTATTGTTGTCAGGCAATGATGCTAGTTACTATTTGATGGAAAATTTTCCTTTTTCTTGGTGAATTTTTCATAGTAAAATGTTTTTTGAATGCCTTGTATTTATTCTACGTCTATGCAGAGCAAGATTTGAATCGCTAAGTTCTCAGTTATTTCAAAATTGTGTCAGTCCTGTTAACGATTTGATGGAGAAATGCAACGTGAATCCTGCAGATATTGATAAGGTAGAAATGGCGGCAATGCAATGTTGACGCTGATTTACATTTCTATTTCCAACACTGAACACATGTTATTTTCAATTTCTAGGTGATTTTGTGCGGTGGGTCAACTCGAATGCCAAGAATCCAAACGCTACTACAAAATATATTCAAAGGAAAAGAAATGTTAAAAGAATAAGTCCTGAAGGTGTTGTTGCATATGGTGCAGCCATACAGGTACGTAATGCCATGGAAAATATTGGTGAATAGCATCTGTAAATTTCCTATTTATTTCATACACTAACAACCCAATGCATTGCAAACTGCATATATTAATCATATTTTTATCTAAGGCATCGTTGCTTCAAGGAAACAAAAATGAAAACATTCATAGTCATCGTATTACTTGTACTTCTCGAGCAATTGCAATAAAGGTAAACAAATGATCAAATTAACAATAATTATTTGACACTCGGTTGTGAATGCTTTTCAACCCACAGTCAACGCGTGGAACAAAAAGTTTTTATTTCTATACAATTCTTCGTAATTTTATTTAGGTAAAGATGATGACAACACAAATTATTTTATGACCGTCATTCCTCGTTTAACACCCATTCCAGTAAAAAGAATTCATAAATTTATCTCTTCACAAGACAATCAGGTACTTATGATGATATCTTGGGTATTATTTTAAAAGTGTTTCTTAGGTACTAATGATGATATCTTGGGTATTATTTTAAAAGTGGTTCTTAGGTACTAATGATGATATCTTGGGTATTATTTTAAAAGTGGTTCTTAGGTACTAATTATGATATCTTGGGTATTACTTTAAAAGTGGTTCTTTAAGGTTTACTAATCTTTATTTTATGACTCACAATTGGCTACGTATGTTACAAAAACTAAATTATTCTCGGGTTAGCAAATAATATTTACAAATAATAGAATAGACAGTTGAATGTTTTTAGAGTATCATTGTTAACCATGCACTATATGCATCTTGTGCTTATTTTTACATACAAATAGCTACTGCAATTTACACTTGCATAATTAACCAACGATAATTTTGATTATTTTTTAATGATAAATTCCTGTCGTCTGATATCTATTTTATAAGAATAGCTAGTAATGGCGTGTTTCATATTACTTGTATTTTGAACACTCTTTCTGTTTTGAATAGCTTCTTTTGATAGAGTTAAGTATATTCTTATACATACAGCGACATCTTTCATAGTAATAAATATCCTATTTTATAGTTAATTTTATCTTCAAATGAAGTTCGTAATACCAATATTTGCTGGAGAAGGAAATGTGTATTTTCTTGCTTAGACTAGATTTTACAAATACAAATACTGGGTTAAATCATTATTCTTATAACAAACACGATGGAGGTCTTCATTTTAAATCATTCGTAGAGACCAAGGACGTCCAATCAAATTCTATATGAAACGATTACTCTACAATACTATAAGAATTTATCTGCCAAACAAGTGGTTGCTGACTATTTAAATTTTAAAGTTCATGTTAAACTCATGATAAAACTTGATGTTGATATTTTTATTGAATTGAACGATTGATCAGCACATGTATGATTATTTGTATTTGAATTTTTGGTTTTTAGGAAAGTATATGTGTCGAAGTTTATGAAATTTTTGAAGATAATATCCAACAAACGAACGAGCTTCTAGCAAAGGTGTTTTATTCCTTTTTTTTTTCATTTTTTGACTTTTTTTTCTTGTCTTTCATGTAATAAAAATGTTTTCTCTCAAGGTTGTATTGGATGAGCTGCCATCATTACCAAAGGGGAATGTAAATTTTCAGCATCCTTCCATGTAAAAGTGTGAGTAATAGCTACATTATTATTTTATTTAATATAAGTGTTTGGCCTTTATTCTGGATAATATTTCTGTTTATAACTACCGAGAGGGAGTGGGCAGGGGAGATTTAATACGACATCAAGACTTATTAAATGACTACCCGAGAGGAGGGGTGGGGAGGGAAGACGGAGATTTGATATGACACCAAGAGCTATCTAAGCATATATATATTTAAGTTCATTCAAGTCTACCAGAAATAGGGAATCTTACTATCTGACCCCATTCACTTTTCCATTTACTGCATGTTTGGAATTTGGCAGTAAAATTTCAATGGCATTGTCAATAGGTATCTTGACCTTCTTTTTGATTGTGTATCATTTGTATTTTGTGTCATTGTGTGGTTTTAGAGATGGTTCCTTTCACATTCACATCTCTGAGAAAACATCAGGAAAATCTGTTGGAGTTACTGTTGATCATAACTAGCAATTGAACATTATCACTAAGAAACATTTGTTTCCACAAAAAAAATTTTCTATACATTAAAAATTGCTATTTAGCAAAATATTTTACCTTTTATTTTTCTGCGCAACTTTCGTGCGTAGATAAATTTAATGACTCAATGAAGAAAAATTGAAAACACGTGTTCCATGTCATCTTTCATACTTAAACATGTCAAATTTTATTTTTCTGCGCAATATATGAGTAATCTGTTTGGTAAAACGAAACAGGTTATTAACTAAACGCTTGTACAAATCTGCTGGTGATCTATTCACTGGTGATTACTTAATTTGACATTAAAACGTCATCACTCAGAAGTAGAACGGTTCGATTTTTCTCAGAACATTTTTTTGTTATTCAAGCATATTTTGACGTATTTGTGCAAATTGTTAAATAGTTTTTTCAGGTCCGTACATGCGAATGAGATCAAGATTCCAACTGTCAATTTCATTATTTCTTCTACATACCAAGCATGATATTTCTTTTATTTACCATTTTACTTCTCATTTCTAAAATATGGATTGTGTCTTATCATCGTGCACAGGATCATGTGTAGGTAATCAGCTTTTTTGTTGTTATACTATAATTTTTTTATATATTATACACATTAACAAAAGGGCTTGATTCTGAGTAAATTAAGAAAAATTTTCTATCATTAACATAAAATCCAATAATAATAATGAACAACTTGAAACATTTCTGGGTATCGTAGCATGCATAAATGAATAAAGAAATATTACCAAAGTTTTATATGTAAGTACTATCGGTTAATACTTCCTAATTAATCATTATTGCTAGCATAATACCATGCATACTGAAAGATGACTTCAAAGTTTTGATTCGTTTTTTCAACATGATTTTTTCATTGTCTGTAGATCATTTTAACTCTAACTACGTCAATGCATTGCTTGAATTTGCGTCTTTATCTCGTATTTTATCAAAGGCAAAAACTACTTTTCTGTCAGCCACGTGGCCACTTTAAGCCAACATGTCGTTTTTTATTTCTTTGTGAACATTTTCAAACAAAAAATACTCAATAAAATCATTCGGTAGATTTTTGTATTTGGAGTATTTTTATATGACATAAGCATGGCTGCATTTATCAAAGTATAAATTAAAAACTAATTGTTGCCTTGTGTAGAGGCCTGTTTAAATTGTTGTGCATTTGTTATGCATTTCCAAATTTTTTGATAGAATAGGTCTTCAATTTTCTTAGGGGATTTAGAACCATATAGGAACGAAATTAAAACGGTGTCATGAAACAGGTTGTTAACTAAACGCTTGTACAAATCTGCTGGTGATCTATTCACTGGTGATTATTTAATTTGACATTAAAACGTCATCACTCAGAAGTAGAACGGTTCGATTTTTCTCAGAACATTTTTTTGTTATTCAAGCATATTTTAACGTATTTGTGCAAATTGTTAAATAGTTTTTTCAGGTACGTACATGCGAATAAGATCAAGAGTCCAACTGTCAATTTCATTATTTCTTCTACATACCAAGCATGATATTCCTTTTATTTACCATTTTACTTCTCATTCCTAAAAATATGGAGTGTGTCTTGTCATCGTGCACATCCTTTAAATGATGCCTTAATCCAAAACTATATACATATATGTATATATAAATTTAAATAAAAAGTACACAAGGCATAAAACACAGTGTTGTGAATAATTTCATGATATTATTTTTTTATGATTTAGTACATACAGGTATATATAAGGCAATCTTACCAACCATACAAGGCATACGATGATTTTATGGTTGGTTAGATTGTACGGAAGGAGAGGATAATAGACTTCAAAGCAAAGAAATAGAGTGAGAAAGGATATGCTGTTCAAAGTTATCAAAAGTAGCAGGTCCTAGTGATATAACTCTTGGAGTGTAGAAGTGTCTAGAAGAAGTATCTGTTAAGTTTTTTACTCAGTTTGAGTTGGGCTTTTTTTGTTCTTGAGGGTGGGAGAAGACACTCGACGAATGGAGTAGAAGTGTATTGTACATCCATACAATAAAATTATGAAAAACAGTAAGAAAAGCTAGATAATGTGTAGAAATAGGCATCTCTGAGCATACATATACCATATGTAGAAAATGGAGAAAAGAATCAAGTGTGTTGTGTGTTAGGAGTATCAGCTAGAATAAAAGACAGTTTAAAAGATAGTTTAGGAAGAGCTGGAGGTTTCAGAGATGAAGATAGTTTGATGTTTTCTTTAGGAATAACAAGGTTAGACAGAATCAAGAATAACGCCCGTATTCTAAAGGCTCACTCGATTGATTGCTTGATTTGAAATATCTAAGAGAAAATCTTGTCTTAGATGGAGAAATGACTTTGCCAATGATTAGAGTGTGATATTTATGTCGCACTAAATGAGTGTGAAGGCGTGTGAGCTTTTATTGAGTGTGAGTGTGAGTGAGGTTTTAGAATATGGGCATAAGGTTCAGCTCATGTTAGATGTTTTGGAGAAAAAAACCAGTGTGGCTATAGGGTAAGATGATTTGTCATGTACAGAGAAGGATATTGAGAATATAGGTACAAGGATGTTAAGTTAAGAAATTTTTCAGGTAAGAGGCTTAGAGGAAAGGTCTTAGAGGAGGTATGACGTGAGGACAATGTTTTATATTTTAGATAATGAAGCATTTATTTTCCAACACCAATCATGTTGCATCAAAAATGTCGCATTCATTCATCACTAAGTTAAAGTAATAATGAGGATTTCTCTGAACAAAAGATATCTCGTTTTTGACGATAGTCAAATATTTTCTATTCTAAATATATTATGAGCCATGTTTACATTGATGTCATGCATGTGGCGCTCTTTTGTTGCAATTGTAATTGTAAAAACATTTAGTGAATCTATATATAATATAAAATAACGCGAATTCATGCTTCATCTAATAAAAATGTAGACATTAATCATATAGATACGAGGTCCACGGAAAGTTTCCGTAAGACATTTTTTCCACAAAAGCCACTTGACCTGTCTGACAAATATTATCAACACAAAGAGATTGTGCAACAATCAAAATTCATCCTAATATCAGGTGCTGCTCCTCAATGTATTGACATGCAATTGTGTAATGGACCTCCTTTTAATCCAACATGCGGTTTGCCATTACCCATATGTTCTGTACCATCTCTTCCCGTCATGGAAGTACCTTCCGAAAATAAATTAACGAATGCTGTAAACACTGAAAGACCACCTCTCGAATCTGTAAAAAGTCAACCTACTCCATCAGTTTGTGACACCAATAAATCTGATCCTAATTGCGCATCTCTGAACTCAACTCCTAAACCGTCATCTTCATCCATTCCCACGGAAGGACCACAACCTTTTAACTTTTTGACAACTAAACACCCTAGCGAAGAGAAAACAACAGGAAGTTCTCAAGCATCAAGTACTATTTATCCGCCAACACAACCTTTTAACTTTTGACAACTAAACACCCTAGCGAAGAGAAAACTACAGGAAGTTCTCAAGCATCAAGTACTATTTATCCGCCAACACAACCTTTTAACTTTTGACAACTAAACACCCTAGCGAGAGAAAACAACAGGAAGTTCTCAAGCATCAAGTACTATTTATCCGCCAACACAACCTTTTAACTTTTGACAACTAAACACCCTAGCGAAGAAAACTACAGGAAGTTCTGAAGCATCAAGTACTATTTATCCGCCAACACAACCTTTTAACTTTTTGACAACTAAACACCCTGGCGAAGAAAACAACAGGAAGTTCTGAAGCATCAAGTACTATTTATCCGCCAACACAACCTTTTAACTTTTGACAACTAATTACCCAACCAAAACGACACAAACAGAAAGTACTCAGGCTGCAAACACTGTTTATGAAACAACTAAACATCCAGTATTTACCCAACAACCAAGCAGTAGTACCCCTTCACAATCCAATAACAACCAACAGCCAAGCAACAACACGCAAGCACATCCCATTGTCAACCAGCAACGTCCAGGTAAAAGCAAGTATCGACAACCTTATATCAATTTGAATAAACCCGTGACTACAAATGGTCTTTTTGTAGTTCCATGCAATGTTAATAGAGAAGTCAAAGCTTGTGGTGACAAAAATCACGTCATAGTTACTATTGATGTACCAGTTGGTGCTGTAGCGTTAAAACGTGCTTTTAAATTGCGTAAAAGGCTCCACAAGACCCCGATTTTAAATGGTAAGTTATCTTCGCCACTTTTGAGACATCTGGCATGTAAATCAAAACGTTTCTTAACTTTCTTTACGCTACTTTGAATGATAACTTTGATCCCCGTTCTTTGTTAGGTGTAGGTGAATGAGCATACGCGAACGTTGTGTAACCGTTCATAAAATGCTACGTGTAAAATTTTCTGTTGTAGATATCTTCAATTTTGTCCTGTTTCATTTAAGAAGAAAGGCTGTTATCGAAATAATCATCACGGTGATTATCATCTTCACGAGCTACTCTTCACAGATCGTGACAGCTCTTCCAGTGCGTTTTCTGGAATCAAAAAAGCTTCAAATGACTTGCAAAATTATGTCTTAAAGTTGATTTGTCGATGTGCAGAGAAAGCTAATCAAAACCAATTTACATATTTTGCCATTCAGCACAATGGTATGATGATGCTATACTATTTTATACATCCGTTATCTTTTTTTGTAGTCCCTTCGCGAATTTGAAACAAATAAGAAATCCGAGCATGGTCTAACATAGGCTAAAGATAACGTTGTACACGACTGTGCATCGTTATAGCAACCAGTGGGCTTGAGCGTAACCAGCTTGCAGGTTTTAGTACTGCGATGTAAAGATGAGGATATTGCCATTATTTTATCGGCAAAAAATATTAATTTCAACACTCACTAAAATAGTTTCTCGTTTGAACGGTGTTATTTTCATCGAATGTAAGATTTTTCATAAAATGTGGTAATCAGTCGTAAAGATAAAACATTTTTTGATGTTTTTAAAAATTACCGTTTGATACAAATACATCGATAAAAATTTTACTCATTTTTTTGATTTGTTAAATTGTGTGTTTATTATTTATAGGAGATTGTAAGAGTGGAGATCAAACATCGCTGAACAATTATAAAAGTGTAGAAAAGTCGAAAGCATGCATTTCTCATGATCTATCACCTTGTGAAGATATTAGTTCTGTATGTGTGGGAAAAAATGGTTCTAACTTTGTGTACGAGATAACTGGTATGTCTTGCTTACAGTTAATATTAGTGATAGTAAGTACATATATTATTCACAGCAAATTCGCAGTCTTTTCTATTCCATAATCACTTTGTTCATTATGAATCTGTCTTCCTTAGTTTTTAAAAGTGATATTTTACTTCATGAAATTCTATTTTGATTTTAAAAATAAGTCGCGATAAGAGACAAATCGACTTTTTTGTCCAAACACACGTGCTTCCAGGAAGTCGCCATTATTGAACAAGAAATTTTTTCGAAAGTGCGAAAATGCTCAATTCAAGTGGCCCATACCCTTTTAACGTCGCATAAACTTGACCCCGTGCATCTAGGCCTGCATATGAACCATACAAATTGCATTACATTATACATTTCTAGGAGGTCCTGGCCCTGAGAAAAAGAGTTTTATTGCCTTCAAAGAAACTGTAAAAGAACGTTGAGAAAAATATGAAACACGAGCTTAGAAATCGCAAATTGAATTAATAACGTAAATTGTATGGTTGTTTGATTCTCTAAGTTACCTTTCATTTACAATGACCTCAAATTTCATCTCATTAAAAATCGTATGATTATAGTCATTTATAGTTAATGAGAGCCAGTCAGAGATTCTGTGTTATTATTTGACAGTGATCCATTAGTCAAAAGCGGCTTAGATTGTTCATAGTTTTGGGCGTAGGCAGAGCAAGCTGTGGATCAGAGAAACAACAGGATTAGTGGGATTACAGGTTTTCGGTTATTGGAAAAAGATCGTGTCTGTTGGTGGACCTTTCTTATCGCACACACACGCCGCTCGGCTCCCGGTAATAGACGGGAAAATGTTTTCTAGATAGATTTAATGCACTTACTACTAATGTCCGTTAATTTCTATAAGCTATACACTTCTATTCCTTCGAAATAGACTGTTGTATGTAAATATAATGCATACTGATTTCAGTGGCGTCACCACAAAAATATCATTGAGGAGATTCTCAAAGTGAGGAATATTGCGAATCCAATATTTTAGGAAACGGCGAGTTTCACTTTTGAAAGCACATTTAAAGCTGCAAAATACCTACTTTATATGAACGGGTTTTCCGGTTGAATGAATAAGGTAATAGCTAATAATTCCCAATTCCCAAAAAGAAAATCATTAGCTTAGTGTTATTTTTTTGAAAATTCAGTCTAATAGCTATGATATTTTAGGATTTCTAATACCGTATTGTACATCATTGCAGTTCCAACGAGTCTTAAGCCCCGATCATAGGTAGACACTGTTGGACAAATTAGATACACGAATTTTATTTTCAAAGTTACACAGCTTTTTTGTTTATTGTGATATTGTGGATGCTTTGATTCCACAAGATATTCCCTCTCCCAAGAAGTTTGAAGATTGAAAACTTGGGTTGATTTTCAACGTTAGTCGGGCAAAAAGTACAAGTGAAAGAAATTATTACGTGTAATTTGAAGTCAAGAAATCTGGTGAATGGGGAAAATATTTGCTGTCTCCTTCCTCTCCCCTCCCCGAGAAATTATAGATCCCTGGCCGTATGCGTACCTTATTTAGCCCATAAGACATACCGGGAGTAAACATTAAAAATTTGTGGCTGGAGAAACTCCGGAAACGCCTTTTCTATATTTGAAATAGCTGTCTCCTAATATCTCATGTAATTCCCATGTTCACAGTAATATACATGTCGACACCACTCCCTAAGTCACGTGATGAGTAAATATTTGTTATTTACTTTCATATTCTTAGAATCTTTGTTGCGAAAACTTAGATTGAGTTTGCCAAGCTGTAAGCTTCATATCGTGACGTTTCCCAGTCTATATTTGCCATAAAATTCAGGTAACATTCTTCAATGTGCATTTTGTAATACCTTAACGTAAATGAGTTCATTATTTCATATTTATTTCGAGCATGTTGAATTACTGGAAATACTTTAGTCAACTGTATATTATAAACCCTAACAACATCTTTTCCAAATTCTTAGTCGTTTACTCATTTTGCTTTTTGTACGGAAAAATATTGTCGAGGCTTAGAGAGTTTCGGTAAAACTATACCGATTGTAATGTTTACGAATAAGATTCCAATTGACGTGTATTACGAAGATACGAACAACGGCATCAGAACAGCAATATTTGAGAAGAAGCGTAGTCAGCCGTTCTCTTTAATGAACAGAATTTATATTAATGTTGATCAACGACCATACGACCGATATTGATCTATATTTAAAAATAAAATAAAGGGTGAGTGTTTGAGATAGATTGGTAGAACAAGTAAGATTCGCTTTCCAGCAGAACAACAGCGTTGCCATATATGGTTCTCTGAACACAGTATTCTACCAGTGAAATTTTTTAATCATTAACCAAAAGTAAAACGCTTGCATTCCAAATCGCTGGGTATTCTGTTGGCAAACTCGTAGATTCTAAATATTTTATATGGTTCTTGTGACCCTTCACACGATCGCAATGTAGTAAGAGCAAAACGAAAGGAGAATATAATTGCTGATGAAATTGAAAATATCAGATGATAAAGTCCCAGCGTTCGAACTTATGTGTTAAGTTAAGGTTGGCCTCATATGTTAGAGAGGGACAACGTTGGTGTAAATTTCTTAAAAAACGACGATGAGCTGAAACTATTTTACTTGAATAAATCATGAATAGAAATATAAACAAAGAACTAACTTGCAGCTAAATCGAGAGATCGGAGCACAGAAGCCATATTGAAATTTGTCACGTGAAACGTGAACTGAAAGATAAATATTAAATGTCACCATCGTTACGCGCGCGAATTGTTTTGTCGTCTGGCCGCGAAATACGATTTTACCCACTTTAACTTTTTTGTAAAAAAACATCATCGTATGCGCATCAGAGGCGGATTTAAACTTAGTCAACTAAGTCGGGCGACTAACGTATTAACGTGTCACTTTCAAAAAATTCCGTGGCTATTCCTTAAATTATAACACTTGAGTGCTTTAAAATTTCTAGTCTGAAGATCTGAAGATTTCTAGTCTAAAGATCTGTTTTATTAGATCTGAACCATGTGGAAATTGTCTATACAGCTCTGCTTCTCTGGCCTTGGTTGGAAGCAATGCTCTCATTCACACTTTGAGAGCTATGGTATCTATAGAGCTTTTTATATATGCAAATTATTATTGTTATCATCCAATATTCACTTCCACCTTAGAGAAGCATGGTGACAAGGTCTCTGTTAGTGCAAAAAATGTTTTGGCTATGTCCTGTTGTTTTGAAAGTGTGGATTCACGTTTATCAGGGCTTGATCTTGTTAAAATGGAAGCTCTTTGCAACTGTAGAGATAAAATTTGGGGTAGTTTTTTGTGTATACTTGCTCTCTCCTCAGTTACTAATAGAATCATTTCTTTGATGCATCCTGATTGTGGAGAAGTTTCTTTTAAGTTGTTATTCAACCAAATTATTTCACCTTGTCTTCCTTTACCAACACCACCTACTCAATATAACTATTTATACCTCTTGTTTTGTTCTACAACTGTATTGACTTCTAGTAAAGTCTTTAAGCCAAATCACTTTGCACCTCTTATTTTCAAACCTATCAGTAAAACTAAAAGAAAGGCTTCTGCTTTGTTAGAAAAAGCTAACAAGAAAATTCCTCATGTTCAGGCAAAGTTGAAAGGAGAGTCTTCTACTGTTAACATTTCTAATTTTTTTCAACCAGTTTCAACCCCAGCAAGTAATAAGGCTAAACAATTTATTTTGCCCAAATTATTTAGTACTACACAAACACAATCAACACAAAAGGTGCCTGCCATCACTAGTCTTGGTTTAATACATAACCCAAAACAAGAACTTTTGCAATCATTTTCATTAGATTTTCACAGCAATATCCAAATGATGTGAGATATTTTAGAGAAAAAGCTAGAAATATGAATGATTCTCAAAAGCTCCAGCTCATTCACAATGTTTTAAACCGAATAGATCCTACCCATTTCCTAAATCAGCTGATGGTCGATCTTTTCTTTATTCGTGGCTGGAAGATTATTCTTGGTTGTGTTACTCCCTTCTTTGGATGGTGCTTTTGTCTGCCTTGTGTTTTGTTTAGTGATCAGTTTCGAATAAAAATACAAAAATTAAAAACTTTTAGTGAACCAATGACATATTGGCCTGATGCTAAAGCTTGCTTCAAACGCCATATTGGTTTGAGTTCTAAGGCTCTCACCAGAGCAGGTTTGCATGAAAGCACACGTAATAAATATTTGTCATTAGTTGGTCAGGCATCAGGAGAAGGACTGCAGATTGAGGTGTTGATTGATGAGCACAAACAGCAAGTCATCAGGCAAAATAGGGAAAAACTTGTATCAATAATTGATACTATTAAACTTTGTGGTAGACTTGGGTTAGCATTAAGAGGGCACCGTGATGATTCTTCATATCATCCGGAGGTTGGTTCTTACTCAAAAGGTGGTGTTGGTAACTATGTTGAATTGTTAAATTTTCGTGTTCGGGCTGGTGACACAGTTTTAGCTGATCATTTGAAAATTGTCCAAAGAATGCTTCTTATATTTCAAAGACTACTCAAAATGATCTAATTGCTGCTTGTGGACAGGTTATCACTGAAAAAATATCTAGTGAAATAAAAATAAATAAATTTTTTAGTATAATTGCTGATGAAGCAGCAGATTCTGCAAACAAAGAGCAGCTTTCTCTTGTGATTCGTTTTGTAGATAGCAATAGGAATGTTAGAGAAGATTTTGTGAGGTTTTTGCACTGCAAATGGGGTTTATCAGGGGAAAGTCTTGAGAAATTAATTCACAGTGCATTATCAGAACTAAAATTAAGCATTGAGGATTGCAGAGGTCAGGGATATGATGGAGCTGGGGCTGTTGCAGGGCATATCAATGGTCTTTCTGCACGCATTCTTCGTTTGAATTCTAAAGCAATCTACACCCACTGTTACAGCCATAGGTTAAATCTTGCAATATGTAATTCATGTTCTGTCCCCTTTGTCAGAAATGTTTTTAGTCAAATTAAAGAACTTTCTTACTTTTTCAATCTCTCTGATGGATGGCAAATGTTACTTTCAAAAGCAGTTGAAGACTATTGCCCACATTCAGGTTAATCAAAGTTAAAGGATGTTTGTCGAACTCGATGGATTGAGCGAATAGATGGTCTAGATATATTTCAAGAATTATTCCTTCCAATTTTTCATACTTTAACTGAAATGAGCCATAATGCTGGTCATGTGTGTAATCCAGAAACATCTTCTAAAGCTTCTTCTTTCCTAGCATTGATTTCCACCTTCAGATTTATTGTTAGCCTTGTCATTAGTAGAAATATTTTAGATTTAACACTTCCTGTTACTCAGTTATTACAAGCTAAAACCTGTGATGTTATGGATGGAATGCATTTAATTGAGTCATTAAAAAACTTGGGAATTTTATTGAGGAATGATGTTGATTTATATCATGGTAAATGGTATAGTGAAGCAGTTTCTTTAGCTAAAAACGTAGATGTCGATGAAAAATGCCCAGAACAGCTGGCAGACAAGTTCACAATGAGAATCACCCATCTTCTAGCGCTTCAGATTATTACAAAAGGCTCTCACTATTCCTTTCTAGACCACTTAAACTCTGATCTTCAGGCAAGATTTGATTTTAGTCAAATCAACGTTTATAACGGCTTTAGCGTTGTTCCATCAAAAATGATTTCGCTAATTAACAGTCTTCCACCAAACAAAAAGAATTGGAAAGAGAATTTTCGTTTGTTTTCAGATTTTTACAAAGATGATCTTCCTACTCCCTTAGGATTAGATGCTGAATTGGAATTATGGGAAAAGTTTTGGATAACATATGAGGGATCATTACCGGACAGTGCAGCTTCCACACTTAAAGCTTTAGGGTTTGAAGGTTTTGAGAATATTAAGGCATGTCTATGGTTACTAGCCACTCTTCCAGTTACTTCTTGTGAGTGCGAACGCTCTATTTCAGCACTTCGCATGGTTAAAACTTACAACAGAAGTACGATGGTTGAAGAACGCTTAAATGGACTTGCACTAATGCGAATACATCAGGAAATAGAGCCTACTGTTGATGAGGTGATCAATAAATTTGCGTATGGAAACCGGCGATTAGAACTGAAATTGTAAAAATTTGACTCTTTAGGCTTGGTCATTATAGTTTTGACGAGAAGGAAAGAAAGAGCTTCTAATTTTTTGTATAGTCATGATATCTCATAAATCTTAGTGACAAACGTGTCACTTAGCCTTAATTTTGTATATTAAATAATTTCACTATGGGTAATCCTCTGAGCCTGCGTGAAACCATTTTGAAATTATTTGTATGATGTGTTGCATCATTTTAATATGTCTATTCAAGTTTGAATTAGGAATATTGGATGTAGTATTTCATCTCTTTCTCGTAGCACTTTTTAAAAGAACATTGAAAACGTCAATTTATGTGTGTCATACACAGCACAATTGCTTTTGTATCTCTGTGAAAATGGTACAAATATACAACATCTTCTGTCACTAGACTTTTAAAATGACCACCACTAAGGTTGTCGAAACGTCAGTCAACATCAACACCAACAGTCCTTCTAAGGACTATACTAACCACCCGGGCGATCTACATCTTAAAATATATATGATGCGCGTTTTGATGAAGTTACCTAACATACAAGAAATATTCACCTTTTGTAAGGTCTTAATTAATGCATATGCGTTTTGATCTGGGAATAACAACAACTTTGTCTAATTGTGATACTTGTGAAGGAACAATTGACCTTATGAAAGACCAAATATTTAACTTCATCATTAACAGGGTTACTGACATTTGGAGTCATGCTCTCAAAGGAATTAATAAGTTAACTGTGTCACCAGTCAATAGCATATCTTTTCCTAAACAATACCTTTTTATAAAAGAAATCAGTTTGAGCTTGGAGTATCGTCAAAATTTATGGAAATTGAATGTTTAGGTCAGCGTTTCGACGTTTTCTTTAGCGGTGGTTTGTGTTATTTTTCTGTTTAGCTCGGCAAAATAACCATTAGATTCAGATTATGTGTGTGCATATTCTTGGGGCGAGGTTAAAGGATTAGAATGACAGGGATGATGTAGAAAACTGAGCAATTTTAAATCTTTGAAATGTCCCACGTTGTCGCTTTTTCTAATCAAACTCCTGTTGCTTTGTTGCAAAGGTGTGAAAGGCGAGTATCTGGCGCCTTAAAACCAGACTGCTCTCTTTTTGTTTAAGGCTTCTCATTACGTTGAGGCTGTCCATGTCGGAATTGCATTTTCACGTGGTGAGGGTGCCATTTCCTAGGCATGCTGATGAGCTCTGATATAGGGTGAAACAGTCCTTATAATTCATCATATTAACAATGTTGCGTTAGAATTTTTAGCTAATGCGACCACGCCCATTTATTAAAATTTTGTTCGACCACGCCCTTCCGACTAAGGAATTAAAAATCCTGGATCCGCCCCTGCGCATTGTCAACTTTCTTGTTCTCCTTCCATTGTATTGCTCTATAATAAAGCTAAATATCTTAACGTTTTAAGTTCTTTATTATTCGTGAAAAGCGGTATGTGGAATGACAATTGAAAATTGTAATTCCAATGCCTGATCATTTTCTAAGCTTTTTAATGCATAAAATATTGTCAACTAGAGGTGATAATATTACAATAGTGTCAAGATAAACGATGAGGACGATGAATGGTTTTGCCAGTACTGTGAAAACTTAAATAATGATAACGACGAAGTATAAGGGCCAGGGCAAATATAAAATAAATAAATTCTTTCCACTTTGTTGTGTTCATGCATTTGTATTTGAGACAGTGCATGGGATGAAGTGTTAATAAATTTAAATACTTACACGGACACTTACCAGACAAAATACGAATAAACGACATCGTTTGGTTTTGGAAAAGAAAATATATTTAGGCAAGTGTTTTGCCGTGTTTTACAAATAATGACGTAATATACTGAACCCACGCATCAAATTTCAATATGGCGTCTGTGCTCCGATCTCTCGATTTAGCTGCAAGTCTCCGATCTCTCGATTTAGCTGCAAGTAAAGAACTAAGAAGACGCCATATTAAAATGTAGCTATAAAGTTTTGTCCCGGATGAAACCTTCTGGATGATCTATAGGAGTACAGTTTGACTTCCCATTTCCCAACGAGAAAGTTGTAAATTGTTGAATATTTCGGTACGAATTTATGCGGATAAATGAAATTTGAAGAGTTGTGTGTGCTGATTTTTTCAACATTTTAACATAGGAAAGATGTTTAAAATAATAGCTATAGGGTGAAAAAAAACTGTGAAAGATTTGCCCAGGTCTCCAATTATGTAGAAAATGACCTGAACAATCTATACTGATGTACACACAGTATTTTTTGGAACCAACACCAAAGTTGCTTAGAAAATGATTTTTGTTGACCTCCTCACCTTCAAGCACTTATTCAAAATCAATTTAAAACACCAAAGAACATGAAGATACATCAATTTAAAACACCAAAGAACATGAAGATACATCAATTAAAAAGTCGAAATTCAGTTGTTTCCGATTTCACAAACTTGAGGTTTATACTCCTAGTTTATCTTTATGCCTTTACTAAAATAACATCGATGATCAACGATTTGGCGACAATAAAAATTCACTGAAGACGATTACAACTGTGTTAGCTAAAATTAAAATATGTTTTTAAAAAATTTGGAATGTCTAATGTTAGGTGGTTCTCCCTTAGATGACTTCTATATGAAAAACAAACTGCGCCTAAATATGAAAGTTATGACCCATAATCACATTGTAATTTCTCTCAATAGTCACAGATTGCAAAAAATCAAAAACTCATGATAGAACTTATTATGAATAAGACTCCTTTGTTTGAAAAGAACATCACACAATCGAATTTGCTGTGCGAAACAAAATCCTGTCGAACGCCATGTTTATTTTGAATTTAGCAATCCAATATGCACCCTAGATCACTGATTTCGCTTTTCGTTGTTGTTTTTGAATGATAAAGGTTGGTTATATATTTACGACAAAGAAAAAGAGAACAGGCTCTAGCTTATGCTAAAATATTAAGCTAAATGCTATGCTATGCAATTAATGATTGATGATTACCTGAAATTGAAAGTATATGTTTTCTTTAATGCTCGTTCAATGTAGATCTTTTCACGGGATAAATTTGGTTTGGATGAAGGTATGGGTAGTGTCAACTCTTCCCAGTTAAAGCCGATACCATCGTCTGCTGATGAATTCAAAGCAGAATATGACACTTTTAAGAAGTTTGATGAAAATTCAGATACAACTCCCAGGGCATTACTTTCGCATTTCATGTTGTCAAGTGTGAAAATTCAACGCCATCCAGAATTTGCCATGATTTTGCTTATTGGAAGTTGTGGATGTGGTAAATCATCAACAATGGATCATTTACTGAATATCGAAGATCCTGTTGCAAAAATAAGTAATGAAGGATCAGCCAATAGAAAAACATCTGAATACATTCTTACTTTTGATGAACCGAGTTATGAAGTTTGTGATTTAGTTATGAGTGTTATTGATACCCCTGGCTTCAATGATATCCATGGCGTTAAACAAGATGCATGTAATTTTGTATCTATTCAACAATATTTTAGAACGCATCCGAAGTTTCCTGCGGAAACAAAGATTTATCCAAATCTTGTGTTCTTTGTTGCAAAAGCTGATGACACGAGAATGAAGGGAACTAATTCCCAAATTTCGAAATGTTTGAGAGGCATAAAGTTGTTGGATGTCGTTGACATCAGTCATCCAAATCTCGTTGTGATCTTAACATTTGTTTGTTCTGTTGGCTTCAAGAATCCAGAAAAATGGCAAGTAAAGATGCAGGAAAAGAAAAATCTTGTGTCCGACTTGGTTTTTGAAATTTTAGGAGTCAGGACGTCTGTTGTATTGATAGAAAACGATCCCTTAGAAGAATACGAACTTGAAAAGGATGGAGATTTCACGATTCTTCCCAACGGTGAACGACAGCCTCTGAACTTATACAATGCCTGCCTAAGCCTACTGGACAAAAGCAGAGATGGAAAGGAAAAAAGAGATAAATTTGGGCATATGGTGTTGAATGCAGCGTTTAAACAAAAGAAAAAAGAGCGGCCGACAAATGGTTATGAAGTTAAAGCCAAAGATTCAAAGAAAGAGCCATTATCACAAGAGGAGTTGGAGTTTGCCAATGAATTAATTGAAGCTCCTGGTAGAGGTATGCTCGTTAAATATAGTTTTCTTACAAAAATTTTGAAGCGAGAGTTTTCTTCTGAGAATCGTGTAAGCTGGAAACTTAAAAAAAATCATTTGTAAATTAGTTTAATGTTGTAAATCTCACTTGAGTAAATCCAATAATAGTTGTTAATGATATACACCTTATCAGAATTACAACACCTTTGCTTGGATAGAACCTACACAATCTAACTGGAATGTTTTTAGATTTTGATAAAGAAATGAGCTGTGTAGCTACTTCCCAGTTAAAGCCCATGCCATCATCTAATGATGAATTTATAGCAGAATATGAAACGATTAAGAAGCTTGATGAAAACTCAGAACCAACTCCCAGAGCATCACTATATAGTTTCATTTTGTCAAGTTCCGCAATCCAACGCCATTCAGAATTTGCCATGATTTTGCTTGTTGGAACTAGTGGATGTGGTAAATCATCAACAATAAATCATTTACTTGATATCGGAGATGGAACTCCTGTTGCAAAGACAAGTAATGTAGAATCAACCACAAGAAAAACATCTGAGTATACTCTTACTTTCGACGAACCGAATTATGAAGTTTGTGATTTAGTTATGAGTGTTATTGATACCCCTGGCTTCAATGATAGCGATGGCGTTGACCAAGATGCATGTAATTTTGTATCTATTCAACAATATTTTAGAACGCATCCGAAGTTTCCAGCGGAAACAAAGATTTATCCAAATCTTGTGTTCTTTGTTGCAAAAGCTGATGACACGAGAATGAAGGGAACTAATTCCCAAATTTTGAAATCTTTGAGAGGCATAAAGTTGTTGGATGTCGTTGACGTCAGTCATCCAAATCTCGTTGTGATCTTAACATTTGTTTGTTCTGTTGGCTTCAAGAATCCAGAAAAATGGCAAGTAAGGATGCAGGAAAAGAAAAATCTTGTGTCCGACTTGGTTTTTCAAATTCTAGGAATCAGGGCGCCTGTTGTACTGGTAGAAAATGATCCCTTAGAAGACTTCGAACTTGAAAAGGATGGAGATTTCACAATTCTTCCCAACGGTGAACGACAGCCTCTAAACTTATACAATGCTTGCCTAAGCCTACTAGAAAAAAGCAGAGATGGAAAGGAAAAAAGAGATAAATTTGGGCATATGGTATTGAATGCTGCATTCAAACAAAAGAAAAAGGATCGACCGACAAATGGTTATGAAGTTAGAGCCAAAGATTCAAACAAGGAGCCATTATCACAAGAGGAGTTGGAGTTAACCAATGCTTTTATTCAAGCTTCCAGAGGAGGTAGGCTTCCCAAATATTTTTTTTGAAACTATGCACTTTAATGGATTATTAACACAACAAAAGGTATGCTTATTTTAAAAAGTTTTCATGAAGTAAGAAAAGCACTTCTTAGCGTAGAAAATAATTTTTTCTCGTCGATAAATACAATTGAATAAAAACAATTTTTGCTCATTTGAAAATTTATTCAGCATTTTTGCTGTTTATTTCATAGTATGATTAGCCTTTTGAGTAACGTATGAGCACTGATACAAGCATCATAAATATGAATAGTGCTGCAAAGAGTTATCTTAGAAATTCAGAGTTAAAAAAGTGATTATCATCAATCTCTCTTCTAAGGTGATACCAACCCACTTGTCATACATGCTATGGATTATCTTACCGAGAATGACATTCAGGAAGAATCTGTGAAAAAAGAAATTTTAGAACTTGTGGAAACTATGAATTCGATGGGATTATCGAATAAGTCAAATTTGAAGCATACAACCATCAGTGAAATCAACTATCATCACACAGATAGTATTACTGAACATGGCCTTCAAATGTTGGAAAAGAAATTTCGTATGAAATGTGCTGATATTACTTCGTTTCATGCAGGTATTCTTTATTCTCAAATTGTTATATCGCAAACAATGATTAAAGTCAATGAAAGACAACTATAGTTTATAGCTTATAAAATTTTATAGTTCATTAGGTTTTTACTTCATCCATAGTCGTGAATGTTGAACTAAAGTATGTTCTAAAATTCATGTTTTTCGGCATAATATAGCTGAATTCATTGGTCAAGGATACAATGTTGTCATCAACAAGTCCGTTCCAGCTCAGGTTTTGAAATTTTCAGTGGTTGACAATAAACAATTTGGCTTTAAAATTCCTGAATGTGCACAAATAATGAAGTTAAATGAAACTCGAACCACCCAAATACATACACAATCGCATGAAAGCTATATTCGATCGCGCCTTCTAAACTTTGGCTTGAATGTTAACATAGCACCTGCAATATTGAAGATTGCCCCAAAGTTTGATATGACTTACAGCGAGAAGCGTCAAAAAAGTGACTCGGGATCTTCAACTACTAAAAAGGAATTGACAGAAGTGAGAATAGCAAAGATAAATGTTGGTGAATTTAAATCGAAGAAAATTGCTTTTACTGACGCGTTTCTATCTGTTGTAAGCGAATTGCCAAAAGGAAATATGGAGGAAAAGAAAGCGAAGCAAAAGTTTACAGATTTTTTCAATAGATTTGGTCAGTTTGTCGTCACTTCTGCTTATGTTGGAGGAGCAGTTGAAGTTGAAACTTGTGATGATAACATGAAAATTTCAAACAAAGATGAAGATTGTGCTGACGGAGGAATTGATTCATCTCTCCCTGGGGCGTTGAGATTTTCAGGAAAACATGAATTGTCAGTAAACAAAGAAAGCAATCAAGTTTCAAGCATTTCAACAACTCAATGGAAAGGTGGACGTTCTGACTTGCATGACGAAGGTACGTTGCACTCAAATGAAAAATTCTTGGAATGGAAGACATCTATTGCTAACGATCCAGTATTTTTAACAAATGAATTGACAATGGAGCCGATTTCTACTTTTGTTGGCATGATAGACGTGGAAAAGGGAAATCTTTGCTACCAAGCATTGCAAAAACTTTTCCAAAATAAACACCTAAATCTTCACAATGACAATGTAACGCAAACAAAAAGCTTGGCGAAAGGAAGCAAAAACTCCAACACAAGAGTTGGTTCTACTAAAGATCCTGATACTAGTGATTGGTCAAAAATGTTTGGTGGCCACGCAAAGAAGACTGGAGCAGGTGTGCTGACTGTTATTGGTTTTGTTGTTGGTGCTGTTTGTATTGCAATATTTTTTGGACGACGATAAGATTGATGTTGTTAGATTGATGATAAAAGTTAACATTAAATGCAAAAATGTATGTAAACAGCATTATACTTGTTGAAAAATTTGAAAAGCGACTTAGTGCATAATTAAAGCATTAAGTTGAAGTTGAAGTCAAAAATTCAAGAAAAGAACGACTATCAGATGTGGGATCGAAATTTTCCAATGCTTTTAGAAAAGTTAAAAAAAAAGGTGAGCTTAAAGTATATTTACTAAATTTATTCCAGATAAAACTTTGCTATGTTTAAAAATAACAGTATGAGACACAATGATTTGTGATTGCAATTTTTAAGGAAATAGTTAAAAAATTCAAAATATAACTTAAAGACATTTTTTATTGAGGAATATTTTTGTTAATTGCCTACGGTTGCTTGAGCATGCTGAACTCCAAAATGTTATGTGGTACAACGAAGTACATTCTTGGAATTTATTGTGTTCAATTAAAAGCCGGAAAAATACAACGCTCTTCTTTAGCAGTTTTTCATTACATTTAAAGATATTGAAGCGAAAATGTATCAATCTCTTTATTGCTACTTTATTTATAATTTGTAAGTCTGTCATTTATATTCCCCACTTTGTAATCGTGGCCAGAGATTTGCCAGGCGGAAAGCGAATTTTCAATATGAACATAATAGCCCAACATAAGACTTTTGAAAAAGTCATCACAGTAATAAAATAAAGAAAGATTTATTAATAACGTTTCGTCTTTAACTTAAGACATCTTCAGATTATTTGAGATAAATTATATACATGAGGTTTTAAGTACAAGCATATATTACAGGGTGTTAAATTACATGTGAGGGGAGTAGGAAGTTTAGATGACGGAATTAGGTGAGAATGGCGATATATTAAAGAAGGTGAAGGGGGATTGAGTTGCCTTGGGTGTTAAGAGAGGGTTTAAGTTTGGATTTGACCCACATACCAGAATATCAGAACACTTGGGAATCTCTCCCTTAACAGGGAAACCTTACTTATGTTCACCACCATCTGCACTTCTTTCCCATATAAGAAACACATCTCACTCTGCCGATTTTAATGACTTCTCAATTCTCTCTTCCTCCTCCGACAATTATGACCTTATGATTCATGAAAGCCTTCTTATATCTAAACTTAAACCCTCTCTTAACACCCAAGGCAACTCAATCCACCCTCACCTTCCTTAATATATCGCCATTCTCACTTAATTCCGTCATCTAAACTTCCTACTCCCCTCACATGTAATTTAACACCCCGTAATATATGCTTGTATTTAAAACCGCATGTATATAATTTATCTCAAATAATCTGAAGATGTCTTAAATTAAAGACGAAACGTTATTAATATATCTTTCTTTATTTTATTACTGTGATGGCTTTTTTAAAAGTCTTATTTTGGGCTATTATGTTCATATTGAAAATACACTTTGTAACATTGTATTCTATCATTCTGAAGATGTCGCGCGTTGCGACGAAACGTCAATAAAATACTTTCTTTAAATTTTTGCTTTGTTTGTCAAATAAATATCTATTCCTAGGTTTTACCAACTTACTTGCCATGCGTGCAATGGATTTTTTTACCGAAAATGACATCCAGGTAGAATCTGTGAAAAAAGAAATTTTAGAACTTGTGGAAACTATGAATTCAATGGGATTATCAAATAAATCAAAATTGAAGCGTACAACAATTAGTGAAATCCTCTATCATCACATAGAAAGTATTACTGAAAATGTCCTTCAAATATTGGAAGAAAAATTTGGAATAAAATGTACGGACGCTACATCGTTTGACCGAGATATTTATAAAATACTTTATAAATACTTTATATAAAACTATAATTGATTTTTATGATTCCAAGGAGGAAAACTTGAAGTAAAATTTTACTTTCAAAGATGTGTAAACTTTCAAACGCCAAATTGCACATTTTTAAATAAAGTTCGTTTGCGTAAATTGTTTTTCAATAGCCTCCTTTAATCTTGGTTATTTCAATAACTAAATCAGAGTAAATCTACCTATCTACCAAATTTGTATAAGTTTATATTATTTTAGTTTATGTCCTGGTGATCAACATTAACAAGAATTAAACATTGACTGAGTCATTTTGAACATGTTTGTAAATGTAGATCGTCCAGAGTCAAATGACTCTGAAGATGACTACCGCTAAGGTTGTCGAAACGTTAGTCAACAACAACAAAAACAGTCCTTCTCAGGACTATACCAACCTGGACGATCAACATTTACAAACATGTAAATGTCTTTAAGTTATATTTTGAATTCTTTAACTATTTCTTTAAAAATTGCAATCACAAATCATTGTATCCCATACTGTTATTTTTAAACATAGCAAAGTTTTATCTGGAATAAATTTAGTAACTATACTTTAAGCTCATCTTTTTTTTCAACTTTTCTAAAAGCATTGGCAAATTTTGATTCCACATCTTGCCCGAGTGAGCAAACCAGGTCAGTGGTGTAACAAAGATTTTCTGTCAGGGGGGGCATTCAAAGGGGAAATCATAAGGCTCAAGATTAATTTACAAACATTGTACACGCAACCTTAATAGAAAGATGTTTGCTCATAGACTATTTTATATCATTTACAAGCATGTTTGTCATATTTTCATTTAGGTGGTTTCTTGTTCTTTCAAATGCAAAGCGTTGCGGTTAAAAAGACATTTAATATACATTGAACCTAAAAAAAGTCAAGCATCCAGAACTTTGACAGCTTCCAGGGATTTTGCAATTTCAGTGGTAACATCACTTAAGTCTTTCCTCATAGCATAAGCATCTTCACCATCAGCATAATATTTTGGCTCAACATCATAAATAGTAAACTTTAAAGTATTCGTATACAGATGTAAAGCTGCTCTATTACTTTTCCTTACATGAAGTGATACATATTTGGCATTAAAACATTCCACCATAGCTCTGGATGCTTGCTCCATAAGTTTTCTCGCTAAGCCAAGTCTTCGATGTGAACGTTTCACAGCAAGAGAGGTGATGTGACCGTGAGCTGCTTCATCAGACTCTTCCTCCATTTTTGCTAGTACATAACCAACTATTTTCCCTTTCTCGTCTTCAGCAACATAAGAAAGCTGAGGCCATGACAATCCATGATAGAAATAATACTTCATTTGGTAATTCTCAGGCAGACACAATAAATTACAGTGCTGCATATTCATCAAATCTTCGGGAGTAGCACAACGTATATTCATTTTAGGCAATCAAAACAAAAAATTCAACTATTTGGCCTTTCAATGCCAAGTAATGAATGGGTTGTTGAAAACTTGAAATAAGCAAAAATTTATCCCTTTATAGTCCCCGAGTGTGAAAGCGTTTCGACCAATTCAACTAACATTTCACGATGCGTTGTCCTAATTGGTTAATTTTTTAACTTAAGAGCCAATAGTACCCCGACTTTTGGTGTTTAACAAGTCGAACTATATTTCAATGAAAGTTGCAGGAGGGAAAATCATCAAACAAGATGGCGCCAAAGAACGTGGTAACTCCAACTGTATTTATAGGTGTTTTTATTACGTTAGCCATCCTGTTTCGCAGTCGTAAGAGCTTTTTGTTAAACTCGATAAACAAAAATGAAAATTCTAGTCCAAGTGATCCATTAAAGCGGAGGAAATCCAAAAACTGCTCAAAGAAGAAATAGAAGCACTACAGAAGAAGACAAACCGAAGAAAAGTAAGGGAAACTTTTAATTACTTGTTCATTTTTGAATAAATCTATCCGTTCTCTAAATCAGTATTTGCGCATGTAGCAATATCTAGTATACATATTAATTCCATTCACATAAAGCAACACATTGATATGAAAAGACCATGGTATTTACCTCAGAATACTAACATTAGTAACATACTAACATACAAATACAGAAAGGTGAGAAAGTTATCTTTAGTGGACCAGTGATTTTGGGCTATATGCTGTATGCCATTAATTTTCAATTTTGCCACTGCAATATTCCTTGGGCTGAGTGGCAAATGAATGGCATACAGCACCAGTTGCAAAACTCTCAGAAGTTTTTGAATAACCAGGGGTTCGTTCAGTTGCCTCAGACCAACTGACCAAGCCAGTTTATCATTTCCACAATGAAACAGAACTGTTGTGATAAATATCAATTTGCACCATTTGCAGCTTGTTGTTTCATTTAGATTAAATGTCGAAAAAAATATAATGTGTTAATGAAAACCATTAACTTCCTTCATCATCATAGTTGAGCTAGTTAACAAGAGGAATGGATTAGAAATGAATGAAATGTTTTCTGATGATCATGAAAAGGAAAAAATAAAACCAGGCTACAAACCAACATTACAAATATCAGTTGCTATTAAAAAAGGCAAAGAAAATGGGATGGAATCAAGAACTGTTACACAGACTATTTTAGTGAAGGATTCTCATCCAGTTCAGTCTAGTTTCCAATTTAATGAAGAAGAAGGGATTTTTGACAAGAATTGTGATAAACATGTCAAATCTTGCCCAGTTTGTAAACATACTTTCATTGATATTGATCCTGATTTCAGTAACTGTGATCATAAACTGTGATGATTGCCTGGATAGTAAAAATGTTCAAGTAGCAAAAAAAGAATCCAATGAAGGCTTTCCTTGTCAAATTTGTGGAAAAGATCTTTCTAAATACAATACAGCACAACGTCAACAACATGTCAATAGATGCTGTGATTATTTGGATGAACAAAAACACAAAGATAAAGAAAACTTCATAAACATTACATGCTTTATATGTGGGAAAAAATTCAAAACAACGAAGGTAGATTATTCACCGACTTAGAAAAGTTAATGAAGCATTGAAGCTTGACATTAATTACTTGTTTGCCATTTTAGAGTTTGATTTTTCATATGTTTCCCTTCTAGACCCTGCAAACTCACATGAAAAAGTGTGCAAAAGAGAACAATATTTCTACTAATGAACTTGTTAAATTAAATCGCATTCATTAGCCACTAGAACATTCAAGCAAGGATAAAACTAAAACTGTTTCTGACCACAGTACTTTAAAAGGATCGCTTGGTGTAACAAAAAACTGCGGCAAAAGGAAAAGAAAAAATAAATTTGACGAGTATGTTGAATATTTTATATCGACGTGTAATTCGGCCTTCATTTTTAGAATTAATTTTTTAAAATTTACATTTAAGAAATGTTGATGATATTGAACTTACTACGACCTCAAATCTTACGGACGAAAAAAAGAAGAAAACGTTAGGTCGAAAAAAAAGATTAAAAAACAACGACGTTGTGTAAGTTATGTCCATTTATCACGTATTTATTTTGAGGTAAAAGTTGGTGTTCATCAAGGTTCAGTCTTGTAGCCGTTATTGTTTGCTTGTGTGATGGATGTACTGACAGAGGAAGTGAGAAGAAAAGAAGGATGCTGGTGTTTGTTGTATGCAGATGACATTGTCTTGGTGGCGGAGTCGAAACAGAAAGTCATGGAATGGTACCGAGAATGGAAAACGGCAATAGAAGTCAAGGGACTGAAAGTGAATGAGGCAAAGACGAAGGGCATGAGATGCTCGAGGCAGGTGGAGGTGAAGGACAGTGATAAATGGCCATGTGGTGTGTGTGGGAAAAGAGTTGGAGTGAATTCGATAATGTGTGGGAAATGCAGTAAGTGGTTCATGGAAGATGTTCAGGTGTCCGTGGTGCATTGACAAGAGTAACTGATTTTGAGTGCGGGACGTGTCGAAGTGGTGGGCGAGTCGCGATTGAACGGTTTGAACTGGGTGACGTGAGTTTGGAAGGTGTATCGGAGTTTAAATATCTGGACGATGTGTTAAATGATGGTGGAGGTGCGAGCAAGCGGTGAGGAACAGAGTTCAAGCAGCGTGGTGGAGTTTTAGAGTTGTCAGGAATGTTGTGCGGAAAGTCGACTTCGTTGAAGCAGAAGGAGAATTGTACAAGGCATGTGTTAGAAGTGTTTTGGGATATGGAGCAGAGTGTTGGGCGCCGAAAGCAGAGGACCTGAGAAGATTGGCGTCGACGGAAAGGAGAATGCTTAGGATGATGTGTGGTGTAACGTTGATGGATAGGATTCGAAGTGAAGAGATTAGAGAAAGAGTTGGTGTTGAGTGTATCGAGAATTGGGTAAGGCGCCAGCGTTTGAGGTGGTTTGGGCATGTGGAAAGGAGGGAAGAAAGTGCTGAAATTCGTAGAACGTTGCATATGAATGTTGATGGAGTCCGCAAACGAGGTAGACCGAGAAAGAGATGGATGGATGCTGTGAACAGTGATATGAAGGCGATGGGTATAACGAGAGATATGGCGAGAGATAGAGACGTTTGGCGTAGAAAAGTTCTTGGACCGGTCAACCCCCCTGGCGGGGATTAATACTGGCCGTTATACAAATGTTATTTGTTTGTTTGTTTGTAATTCGGCCTTCATTTTTAGAATTAATTTTTTAAAATTTACCTTTAAGAAATGTTGATGATATTGAACTTACCACGACCTCAAATCTTACGGACGAAAAAAAGAAGAAAACGTTAGGTCGAAAAAAAAGATTAAAAAACAACGACGTTGTGTAAGTTATGTCCATTTATCACGTATTTATTTCCTCAAGAAAGTGCATTGATATGCTATAATATGTTCTTTTCTATTTTAAAAGCTTTTAACAATCAATAACAGACCTTTTATCATTTAGATAGCTACATTTTATGAAATAATCATATTTCAACATACACAGCACCTTTATAACAAAATCTATTGTAGTTCCCAGGTTCCAGCATTATTGTTGCGAGATAATGATGAAACGAAGAGAGTGGTGGCAGCAAGAGCTGCAGCAGTTCTTTGTAACTGGGTAAGCTCGAGGACACAGATAGTTGCTTGTGTATTTAATATACAGAATTTTGTTTTGATTCAGGAATTTGAAGGAAGAAAGATACCTTTGTAATTTGGTTTATTAAGACTTGATCATCGTTTTGCAATGTTTTAGGCTGATGAAGATGATGAAATACAATGCACGCCTGCTTTAGCTCCAAGCTCATTAGTTCAAAATTACTGTAAAGGATCGAACATCAACTCAGATGAAAGAGAAGAAGATTTCTCAAAAAATGCACAAGATTGTTCGGAATCAAATTCTCGTAACAATGATGAAAAATGCCAATGTCAGCTTGGTGAATCTGCTTATTCTCTCTCAAAAAATAAGGTATATTTAAGCTAAAGTACACTCTCACTTACATTGCACTCTGCTGTCTCTGAAATATTTTCCTTCCTTTTTTCATTTACATTTCTTTTAGGAAAGTGAACCCGAGTTTTCCTTACAATGCACATACTGTAACTGCATGTATTTTCAATATTTTTATTTTCATACTTATGTTTTTAAGGAATATTTTTCCGTTGATTCAAGAAGGCGTCTTTGGACACTCTCTTCAGTCCGCGCTAAAGAAATTCCAAGTGACGACTTTTATGTGCCAAATCTCCTGCCAAAATCTACACCAGTCAAGACAAAGAAACCTATGAAGCAAGATAATGGAAACAACAAACTTGTTGACGATATGAACAAGAATGAAAGCAGAGATGTTCATCTTGGTGAGAGATTTTCTTTCAGATATGATGTTCAATTTAACTAAGCCCGTGTTTATTGAGCCAAGTATTCGTTTGTTAGATTCTCCTTTAAAAATGTCAAGTCAAAGTGACAGTTTAACAGAATCTCAAGAAAACAATATAGAGATGTTGGTTGAACTGATTAATGATGATGATGGACAATTAACTGTTAATTATACGGAATCAAGTGATGATCTGGGTGAAACATGGCTTCCATCGAGTGGTTTTTGTGTTCGCAAAGATATTAACGATGTTGAGGTGTGAATAATATATTGATCTCAAACCTTAGTGGAAGGAGCCTTGTACCTCGTGAAATGTTTTAGTAATTGATAGTTTTTGATGGAGTGTTTATACTTTAACGCGCTAAAATGTTTAAATGACTTACAGGAGAAGGATAAAGAAGATGTCGATATTTTGATTAGCGAGTTGTCTTGTATGGTTGGGAATCCATTGCTCAGTGATGTTGAAATCATTGCGAAGAACAAAAACAAAATTTTGGCGCACAGTTTTATGTTGTGTGCAAGATGTAAAACATTGGCAAACGTAAGAATGCATTTTGACATTCACAAGAATTTATAAACAAAATCTATAAATACTTTTTTTCCCTTCTATCTAGTTTCTTCAGTCAAGCCAATCATATTGTAAAGATGAATCAGGTAATGGCTTAGTTCGTGTTGAACTACTGGATATCGATGTTCGTGCTGTTCGAGCTGTACTTACTTACATCTATACGGCTTGTTTTGTTCCTGTTCTCGACGAGACTTTAGCCGATGTGAAAGAACTTGTCCTCAGGTATATTCATTTGAAAAATCTATGTGCTAGTCTAATCCATAATACTATCCATTTGCTTTTCCTATGAAACCATGCATACCAAAAGCAAATGGATATTACATGTTCGGTGTGCATGTTAAATTTCGCCCTCTATCCCCGAGGAAAATTGATATGTAGATCTCCAAGAAATCTTTTCAAATTTGAAAGTATGTCGTTTAATGTTTTCATGTATGTTGGTGGGACGCGGCTACGACTTAGTTTATTTACCTTTTTACATTTTACTGCGATTGGATATATTATTGTGTTTAGTTGAAGTTTTTTATTCCATATAGATGGAATTTGAATATTAATCCTGAAAAATGGAAAGTAATAAAAGATGAATGTGAGAAAAACAGCGAAAAGGACGTAGATCAATGTAATGTTGGCTCTCTTGATGTCCTTTTGAAATCTTTATGGGAAGGTGAAGAAGACATGGTACGTATGTGTGTATTCGTACGACAACTTACGTAAAAAACGTTTGTTCTATGTAGAAGTTTTCTGTACTATATGATAAATGGTGAAAAATCATCCAAGTTAGTCTTTATGTTGAGGGGGTATGGGCAAAATTAACAAACAGTTATTTCAATACCTCAAAAGACGCCTCGTCCAATCCTCGAAAAATAATGGATGGATTGCAAACTAAACTTACGATTCATCAATGTTGTAAATTTTCAGAATGGCAATGAAGAAACGAATGATAAGAATGTTTTTGCTGAAAGTTTCTTGGATGAGGAACTTGCAGGAATGACGATAAAGATTTATTCTCAATGTTCTTTGGAACAGGTGGAATCTTGTGAAAAGAAAAACGACAAAAGTTCCCCTTTGAAAGAAAACTCTTTACATCAAAAGTCAGAGAAGAACGATAAGGCAATTTTTAGCACAAAGGTAAGTAGCATTGTTTGTTTGTATATGTGTTTTCTGTATACATTGCATAAAATGAATATACTCATGTTTGTTTAACAGACGAGCTCAAAGGAATCTCCACTTGTTGACAAAGAGAAAACGAGCAATATGTCGGAAGAATGTATTGTTGTAAACGAGGATGCCGTCAAAAACAGAACTGAAAATTTTAATGTTGTGGATAAAGGCTCTGTCTCTATTTCTAACCAATCACCTTCAACCTTTTTAGACATTAATGATGTGGAAGATGGCTCTGTCTCTATTTCTAGCCAATCACCTTCATCCTTTGTAGACATGATATCGTCTCCAGAGTTTTCACCTCTTCCAGAGAATATTAATGATTTTGAATTAGACGATGAGACTGACGTGTTAAACACTGCAATTTCAGCTCAAGATACTTCTGAAAGCGACATGAATGTTGTTGATGTTAAATTTACTACAGATATTGTAGATGATCTGGTTTCCAGTACACCCAAAAAAATGGAAACTGTTGTCGTACCTGCAGAAGACCAACAAATCGCGTCAACACCTGATGAGAAGGAAGATGACATTTACTTTCTCCGACGTGCAGTAAGAAATGTTCTCGCGTCACTGGCAGAAACAAAATGAAACAAAATGACAGTTTGTCGAATGTGTTCGATATTTCTTTGGATTCAGATGATATCCAGATGTCGGACATGAAAGACACTTTGAAAAATAAAAACATTTACGACGTGTCTGGTTTGTTCTCGAATTCAAGACCCACTTCACCCTCTTTATACAGCGAAAAGGACGAAGATATAATTGAAATAAATAATGTTGAAAGTAATTTTAACTCAGATAATGATAAATCAAAATCAGGTGCGTCATCCATCAACACAAAAAATGGAAAATCAAGTGCCGTGACTGACAATCGAGCCAAAGAGATTTCTTGTTGTCATGAACTAAGTTTATTGTCACACAATATGGCAGAAAGCCATAGCTACTTGAATGACTCGATGGGGGAATCCGCTGGAATAAGGGATTGTGTTGAGACAATAAATAATGATGATCAATCTATTGACTGCTATGATGATGGTGGATTTAATTGTGATTTAAATGAATTTGTTATGCATGAGACAAATACTTCTCCCAGAGAACAATGGAAAGACTTGAAAACATCTGCTCAAAGTAGTGATAATCTTGGAGCAATGTCGACTGACGAAGATGTAAACATTGACCATGGAGAGAAGACACCTCCTCAAAATAGATTTATTCTTGAAGCGGAGTCGACTGATAAAGAAGCCGTTTTAAAAGAAAGGAAAACATTGGGGGCTTCTAAAAATGATTTCTTTGTCAGACATTCGAGCAAAGTGACTGGAGAGGATAATTTACGTACACCATGCACGCCAATGCTTGATTATTCCAACATGGCAACACCTGATTTGAAGGTATTAAAGTTTCCTCTATTTCATAGAATTTAATTAAAAAAGTATTCGAACAATTAGAAAAGTTTGATGAGCATGGTCAGAGGTGAACAAAGGTACATCGTGTTGAATTGTTTGCATATGAAGGAGTTTCAGCTGAGTCCAAAAAATTTATTGAAGACGTAAACTTAGAAAATGTTTCTTATACCGTGAGTTGGACACTTACAAATTTCGTCTATTTTGTTTAACACTATTTGCGCTTATTCATCTGTGATTTTTTAATTCCTCGAGCGTGCAATTTTACAAATGCATGACTGCAATGTTTAAAGTATTTACCGTATGCATTGTTATTTAGGTTGAATTAAAGCAATATGGAGTCAGGCCGTTGGCAAAACGCAAAATGGTCGTAAAACTAAAAGAAATATATAATTACACGCATAAAGATAAAGGTGAGATATACACTTAAGCAAGAACGTTTCACATCGTGTTCAACATGGTTTTCTCAAATTAAAAACTTTAACTGTCTTTTTAGTTGCTGCTGAATCTGGGTGTTTAATTGACCGGGACAATACGCCTGTTAGTCCGGAGAAAGATGCCTTTGGAAGCTATGACAACCAAGGGGAAGTTGAAGCTTTTTCTCAGCCAGATAGCAACAATGCATCAGACAGGTATTTAATATAACGTAAAACGTGACGTATATGTTAATACGTTTATTGAATATTGGTGATCTTACATCAAGTTCAACTGCACATACCTTTCTATCCACTATAATTTTTATTATTCCTTCATGGTACACGTACTTGCTGCCATTTATAGCTTTGAAACGTTCAATTGAAAGGATAGATAAAATATTCTGGTTCTTTTCGCATGCAGTGTCTTTTATTTTGACACTGTGTGTTGTATATCCAAGAAACATTTTAGCATTTCGCTTTTGTAGTGCTCAGTAGAAACCGTTCACCTTATTTAACGTCACTTTTCTTTGACTTTTTTACTTCTTTAGCCTTAGCAATAGCGATAATGTTGTGTCAGAACAGGATGAAGATTCCGATGAATCGGGAAGACTGTCTCAGGTACATGAATTTGACTTAAACCATTTACAACGAACTTTATGGGAATTGGATAAGTTATAGTTTTAATGGTTAGCTTGATTGACTGGAACAGCGACTGTAGAGCGGTTAGTATCAGAAAGATACGTTCATGTCAAACTACGTATATTAATTTACTCTTGGTCGAGTGGCGCACATTTTCAATGTATTGGAAAGTTTCTGTATTTGAAAGAAACCTGAATGTTTTTCTTGCACACGCAACGTTCAGGTTTCAACACTCTGCCGTCTCTATAAGCCTTATTTAAATGCTATCATTTTAAAAACGTTAAAGTTGTGGAATCAATTATTTTTTTCAACATTAAATGAGACATAGAGACTGCGCGTGCGCAGATCATTACTAAGCTAGCTATTTACGTCAAAGTGGGTACTAGTAGATCCAAGTCATATGTTGTCACTGTGGACAGTTGGTCGAGTTGACTGCGCATGGCGAAAAAGCAAAATAGCCAATAAAAAACTCTAAACATTACAACGTGGAACAAAAAGAAAATTGCTTATATGTAAACCATGGACAACATGACAAAAACGGTTATTTCGACCTATAGCTTGTGTTGCCTTCACGATACATGTTCTGTTTGGTTCAAATTACGAGTAAAAAGTCAGTGTTTTTTTTTAACTTTACGCTATTCTTGGATTCCTAGTTGAAACTGTAATTCGCCCTGAGTGTTGCTGCTCAAACGAGATTGCAAACCGAACAAAAGTGCTCGAAATAAGCTGTTTTCGAGTGTTGTATGGAGTGCTGAGTAAAGCAAACATCTGGCAAAGTGTTTGCTGTTTAGTTATCGCACATTAGTATTTTCGTATTTTTAGTCATTTTAGTATTATCTCTCTATTTAATCGTATTTTTTATTCGTACTAGCTATGAATGTGATTCAAGCTTACGCTGTGTTCACTTTCTTTCAATAGCAATCCTCATCCAACATATCCAAATCATTGATGTCCATTTTTAAAAAGGACGACGTTTTGTATAAAAAAATTCTTATGTACTTGGTAAGTAAACTTTTAAAGTAAAAATGTGCTCAGTCTTCTGCTTCATGATTTTACTTCATTTATCGTGGTTCATTGGTATGATTTGTTAGTAATATAATGCACTCTTTCATGACAGCCAATTTCTGTGTGTGAAGTATTTGAAACCATCAAAAGAAATGGAATACAGTGTAATTTAGAGCAACTAAAGAATTATCTAGATGAACAGGTTCTTATATCAATTGTTACGTACACTCAATACATCACAAATTTTGTTTTGTTACTTGTAATTTTTGTGTTTACTCTTCCCATTAAATGCAATATTTGTATTCCTCCAATTATCTCTAATATTTGGTTTTTCTATAGTGCATAACGTATACAGATCCACGAACTAATCGTCCTCAGCGAAGAAAAAAACGCGGCAAAAGAAATCCTGTATCAATTGAAGTTTAGGTTGATGGCTGTATTTTAAGATGTTCGTTATTTTAAATCACATTTATATTTATTTGAAATCTTGAGCGGTTGAACCTTGCACATAAAATTCATGTGATCGGTTGACTGCTAACTTTAGTAATAATTATTTCCGGGTTTAGTCGGTAATGCGATGCGATTCTGCGTATGAATACTAATGTAAATTACGATATGTAACAAACAACCTGGATTGTCTCGATGAGTTTTACAAATTGAAAGCTCTTATATGTCAAATTGTAGCTATCATAGAAATATGTTAATTGTTAGAGTTCTATATGTTGCATTCTCGAGCTGGGAGTTTGGTATGAGGTAGGCATAGCAACCATCTTTGATTCCTCTTCATGCACATGCCATCAAATGTGCTCGAGTCTTGATGTAAAGAAACATTTCTAGAATATAATATGGTTATGTTTTATTGTAGATGATAACCGTCAATTTCCCAAGGAATGGTAATTGACTACCGCGGTATTTGCTCATATCTGTGCTATCATATTTGTTGTCAAGATTAATGAACTTCGACTTAAGTTAGATTAGTTAATAATTATATTATGACTTATGAGATATGAATTCGAATTATCACATATATAAACAAGTATTCATCTAGGTTTTAACTGCAGTTGAGTTTGTTGTTTATTTCGTCAATTCTTGATCTTGTCTGCATGGCCATATTAAAACCTTGCTCTCAGTATTCAAATGAACAGTCAACAGTTATAAAGGAAAACAATGTCCACGTCCAAATCAATTGAAAGGGATCTCAAAACTCTCCGCGCATCAAAGGTATTTTTATTATTATGTAGATTTACGTTAGCTGTAACATCTTGTTTCATAAAATTTTACCTAGCATTAAATAATCAGTGGGTACGTCTGTGTTTTTTTTTATCAACATAATATTCTATCGTAGTCTATGGAACGGATGGCTATTCTATTTACATTTAATTACAATATAGGACATATCTAGGCATGTGATCTCTTTAGAATATGACTGAGTTTCACCAATGTTGCAACAGAGTTGACGAAATGTTCTTCCATCTATCCACCCCACTTCCCTGCGTATAGTAAAAACTGCTAAAGTTGATTTTTATGGGGGGATTAAGATATATAATAACGTTTATACACTTAATATTTTGTTCTTGTATTTACATATTCTTTTAAATGCAAAAAATTCAATGACTGTAACGAAGAATGTTAAGATTTTTTATATCTTCATACTCATACATACTAATATTTTCCATTTTAGTTAACATTTCATCATATCTGCTTGGTCTTACTTCTATTCCAAATTATCTATGTGATAATTTTTTCTAATTCTAAGCTTATGTCGACTTTTCCGAAGTATAACATGATGATTATTCAATTGGAGAAGTTTTATAACGAAGAAGCAAAAATAATTGAAAAGAATGAGAGAAAGGACCTTGATTTAAGGTGATTAAATATGATGCTATAGTGTTTGGGTTTCGTAAATTCTTGTTATCTTAAAGTGCGTATGAAACAAAAATTTTGCAAGTTAAATTATGTTTGCAATTATCAGAACTTTTGAAATGACAATGTACTTTCTAAAACAGTAAATGCATATCTCTTTATATTCTCGTGATATTGACGTTTTTGTTATTTCTAATTTATCCAACTTGTGACGTTCATATTGCACAATGAGTTCACACAATGTTTCAAACACTCTTCAGTTTCCTGGCAACTTTAGGTTGATACCATTAGGCTACATTTTTTATCATTAACAACGTCCCAATGAAGTGAACTCTCTTCTTGTGAACTAAAGTTGAGATAATTATACCTAGCAATTCTAGTTCTCATTATGCTATGAGACGTCACAAGTTCGATAGGACAAAGCAAGAATCTCAATATCCGAAGAATTATGTGATATGCATTAACTAGTTTAAAATTTCCATTGTCATTTTAAAATATCTCTTCAATAAAAGTATTATTCAGATAGCAAAATTTTCGTTTCTTAAATGAAAAAATTTAGGAAGTCTAATAATGCATTATATACGAAACGAACATACACACCTGGACTATAAGGCCATTGTTTTACGGCAAATAACTAGCTAATTTTAAAGGACCATAAAACTGTCGTTTTGTGTGATTTTGAAGTTACTGTTCTGGCTTCTGGCAACGTTTTGGAAAGATTCAGATAACGTTTGACAAGTTTTATTACGGCGTCTTTGGAAGGTTTGAAGGGTTTTGGTCGTTTTAGAAAGCTCTTGGAAAACGTTTGAAAAAGATACATCACTCAGTTATGGGAAGACTTCCGACATTTTTGTTTTTTGTTTTGGGAAGGGGTCTCTAACAACGTCTTGGAAAGGTTTATCAATCCGTATTTGGATGCTTTTGGAAGAAGTCGCAAAACGTTTTTGTTCTAACATTTTCTTATCGCGATACTGTTTTGTCTTCATATTTTAGTTTATACTTTACCCTTCAGGCCTTTTCTTTATGATGAGGATGACACGTACGAAAGACCATTTTATGACATTCTTCTCAAACTCCTGTATGACATCGTCAGGTAAGTTAGTCCTAAATATCAATGTGTTATCAACGTAACTGATGATTGGTGAATTTATTTGTCTCTCTAGTTTCCAAAGCTATAAAAAACAGCAAGAAGATGTGAACAAAGTGTACGAGTGGTTTTTAACACATAGAAGATTGATCAGCCAGGATATTGTATGTTCTTTTGTTAAAGGAGATTTTTGTTAAAAGGGAGAAGGTGCATTGAAAAATTTTCGGTCGTTCTGCTGTTACGGGTTGCGTTTTATCAAAAAATTATGATTGTTGCGTAATACATAGCAAATTGGATTAGTATTGATAGAGAATACTTGCCAGTGACAAATATTGAAATAATAGAAAGCGACTGAGCATAAGTTCTTTAAAGTACATATCACAAAAACTTCACGAGTTCTAGACTTAAGCATGCAAATATTGATGATTATTTAATACAAATTTTGAATTTCCTATCATGTAAACCTCACGGATTTTTTGTATTAGAAAACTATTAGTTTATCAACAACAATTACGCGTTTTCTTCATAGAATAACTGCGATACATCATCCAGCGACATTGAGGTTACGAGAGAGAATATTTCAACCCCCAAACTTCTGCTAAGACCTGCTACCGCTGATAGTAGTTGCAATCGTGTATCTAGACATGTGACTTGTTCACGTGACTTAAGATCGTCAATGACGCATTATGAAGAGATTAAAAACCGAAACGTGAGTTACACCACTTATGAATGTTTTATGCAGTGCGGTGTTTGAAATTAAATGAAGATATGATCTTCGCACTTTGCTTGACAATTTAAGCAATCGTCTCAGGACCTGAAAAAATCAGGTGACTCAACGGGATTCGAACCCATGACCTCTGCGGTGCCGGTGCAGTGCATTCATACGACATTCCTTTCACGAGAAAACATGAGCCCAACAATATTGATCTGCTCACCACTGTGTGACTCAGTTGGTCGGAGCACTGCACCGGCACCGCAGAGGTCATTTTATTTGAAGCGAACATTTCGCACTTATTTTTTAGAGAAAGAAATACAGTCCTTTGGATAGTGTATCAATAGCGTTGAAAGTTATTCCATTGAACCAACATAAAAACAAATTAAATAATAAAACTCATTCAAAACTTGAACGAAATACTTCTTATGTAAGTATATAGATTTCAATGAACCATTTAATATCTTTTTATGCAGTTAAGACAACTGCATGTGTATATTTCTTATACATAGTTTCCCACTCGCCCACAAAGAAAGTGTTCTTTGCCAGCAGATTTTATTTTGAAACCATGTAAACAGACGTCTTCACCACCTGCTTCATCAAAAACTTCCAACTTCTCCATTTCTCCAAAAATATCACCTGTACAAGGAAAATCGACGTCACAATCTCCACTGGTTCCACGAAGGTAACTTGCGTGCTGTCATAAATTAATGGAGAAAATTTCCTTGAATACGAATAATTTTATACAAAAAATTAATTTCAAAGCAATTGAAAAACTGTGCAATTTGAGTTCATTTTGTAATCACTGTATCGTGAAACATAAAGCCTCGCTCGGTTAAAATATAAAGTATCACATCCTCAAATAATTCAGATGCATAGAATACAGAAAAAAATTGTTCCTGCACACATCACGAGAGTAAAAAAGAGACATGTGAAATAATTACACAGATATAAATCAATCATTGGAAAGTCTGATTTTTGACTCAACTGTAGAGGATAATATTAAAGATGATTCATTTTTTGTTTGTTGTATTATTATGTTTTACAGGATTGCCTTTAATATTCAAAGTTCTGCGCTCAGCAACAAATTATTTCAATGCGAGTCTGACAATCCTCTGCAAGTAAAAAATATTGAACGTTCCTCAACGAGCTTTAAAGCGAACACAAACAATGGAGAGGAAGATGCGAATACAACTAAAGAAGTCGAGGGGATTTTCAAAACAAGTATGGTCGATAAGGAAGCTAAATTGCTTGAGAATCAGATGAAACATCTCCAAAATAGAAAAAGAAACAAAGAACTGGAACTTATGGAGCATTTTAAAAGTGACACCGAAAATCTTCTGCTCGACGAAATTACTCTCCAGTCGCTACTGCTACGAGATTATGAACAGTTCATCAAAAATGAAAGGGAAAGGAATGCAAAGGAATTTGACTCGTTATCAAGTACCCCTTCGACTTTACCGAAAGTTGAATTGTATGATGTTGGTAAACAGCGACCAGTATCTGCTGTCGAACTCCGGTATGTGAAAGATGTATTAACCTTAAAAATTATGTCGAATCACTGTGATTTAAAGGCACGTATCTGAAGTGTAAAAAGGACAGATAGCATTTACCAAAGAAGGATAGCCAAAGGAATTAAATTATCCGATAATGTCATTGGTGTCACACATTTCCGTATTGCAAAATGATTCTGTCGTTCCATTGATCTTATAGATAATGTTTTATTTTTAGAAATATCCAGGATAATAATGTGTGTTTAGAATCAATTATTGATTTAGTACATCCAGTTAGTGAGCAAATGAAATACACGAGAGAAATGAAGGTATTTATCTTCCATATGGCAATAAATTTGCATTCCAACATCTGAGATTACACCTCGTGCATGTTGCAACTTGCTAGATTGCTTAACGTGAGGGTGCATAACAGCATGTTAAGGGTTGCATAACGTGCATGTTTTATAGTTACATAACGTGCTTGTTTTAAGGTTACATAACGTGCATGTTGCAAGATTGTATAACAGCATCTTGTAAGGTTACCTAACATGCATGTTGCAAGATTGTATAACAGCATCTTGTAAGGTTACCTAACATGCATGTTGTAAGATTGCATGGCATGAACGTTAAAGATCGCATAACGGGTATGTTGAGGGATGCAGAGCATGCATGTTGTAAACTTGCGTAACTCTATATACACATGTTCATCACCTTTTTTTCCTTTCTTAAGTCAAATGGTATGAGTATTTGGGATATGGAGTCAACAATGTCCGATACAATACATTCATGTCAAAGAAATCATTCTGCTGCATCTCGCTTGTCGTTTTTTGATGGTTTGGACAGGTATGAGAATATTTTATGAATCTGACTTCCTTAGTTTTTAAAAGTGATATTTTACTTCATGAAATTCTATTTTGATTTTGAAAATAAGTTGCGATAAGAGACAAATCGACTTTTTTGTCCAAACACACGTGCTTCCAGGAAGTCATCATTATTGAACAAGAAAATTTTTCGAAAGTGCGAAAATGCTCAATTCAAGTGGCCCATGCCCTTTTAACGTCGCATAAACTTGACCCCATCTAAGCCATCATATGAACCACACAAATCGCATTACATTATACATTTCTAGGAGGTCCTGGCCCTGAGAAAAAGAGTTTTATTGCCTTCAAAGAAACTGTAAAAGAACGTTGAGAAAAATATGAAACACGTGTTTAGAAATCGCAATTGAATTAATAACGTAAATTGAAATTGTATGGTTGTTTGATTGTCTAAGTTAGCTTACATTTACAATGACCTCAAATTTCATCTCATTAAAAATGGTATGATTATAGTCATTTATAGTTAATGAGAGCCAGTCAGAGATTCTGTGTTATTATTTGACAGTGATCCATTATTCAAAAACGGCTTAGATTGCTCATAGGTTTGAGCGCAGGCAGAGCAAGCTGTGGATCAAAGAGACAACAGGATTAGTGGGATTGCATGTTTTCGGTTATTGGAAAAAGATCGTGTCTGCTGGTGGACCTTTCTTATCGCACACACAATACGCTCGGCTCCCGGTAATAGACGGGAAAATGTTTTCTAGATAGATTTAATGCACTTACCACTAATGTCCGTTAACTTCTATAAGCTATACACTTCTGTTCCTTCGAAATAGACCGTTGTATGTAAATATAATGCATACTGATTTCAGTGGCGTCACCACAAAAATATCATTGAGGAAATTCTCAAAGTGAGGAATATTGCGAATCCAATATTTTAGGAAACGGTGAGTTTCACTTTTGAAAGCACATTAAAAGCTACAAAGTACCTACTTTATATGAACGGGTTTTCCGGTTGAATCAATAAGGTAATAGCTAATAATTCCCAATTCCCAAAAAGAAAATCATTAGCTTAGTGTTATATTTTCAAAAATTCAGTCTAATAGCTATGATAATTTATGATTTCTAATACCGTATTGTACATCATTGCAGTTCCAACGAGTCTTAAACCCCGATCATGTAGGTAGACACTGTTGGACAAATTAGATACACGAATTTTATATTCAAAGTTACACAGCTTTTTTGTTTATTGTGATAATGTGGATGTTTTGATTCCACAAGATATTCCCTCTCCCAAGAAGTTTGAAGATTGAAAAGTTGCGCTGATTTTCAACGTTAGTCGGGCAAAAAGTACAAGTGAAAGAAATTATGACGTGTAATTTAAAGTCAAGAAGTCTGGTGAATGGGAAAAATATTTGCTGTCTCCTTCCTCTTCCTTCCCCCCCGAGAAATTATAGATCCCTGGCCGTACGCGTACCTTATTTAGCCCATAAGACATACCGGCAGGAAATTTGTTACCTTAAAAATTTGTGTCTGGGAAAACACCAGAAATGCCTTTCCTATATTTGAAATAGCTGTCTCCTAATATCTCATGTAATTCTCATGTTCCCAGTAATGAATACTGTCTATAACAGAATCCAGATTGTCACATCAACTTTAGCTCGAAACATGCGTGTCGACACCACTCCCTAAGTAAGTCACGTGATGAGTAAATATTTGTTATTTACTTTCATATTCTTAGAATAATTGTTATTACTTTCATATTCTTAGAGTCTTTGTTACGAAAACTTAGATTGAGTTTGCCACGCTGTCAGCCTCATATCGCGACGTTTCCTAGTCTATATTTGCCATAAAATTCAGGTAACATTCTTCAATGTGCATTTTGTAATACCTTAACGTAAATGAGTTCATTATTTCATATTTATTTCGAGCATGTTGAATTACTGGAAATACTTTAGTCAACTGTATATTATAAACCCTAACAACATCTTTTCCAAATTCTTAGTCGTTTACTCATTTTGCTTTTTGTACGGAAAAATATTGTCGAGGCTTAGAGAGTTTCGGTAAAACTATACCGATTGTAATGTTTACGAATAAGATTCCAGTTGACGTGTATTACGAAGATACGAACAACGGCTTCAGAACAGCAATATTTGAGGAGAAGCGTAGTCACCGTTCTCTTTAATGAACAGAATTTATATTATTGTTGATCAACGACCATACGACCGATATTGATCTATATTTAAAAATAAAATAAAGGGTGAGTGTTTGAGATAGATTGGTAGAACAAGTAAGATTCGCTTTCCAGCAGAACAACAGCGTTGCCATATATGGTTCTCTGAACACAGTATTCTACCAGTGAAATTTTTTAATCATTAACCAAAAGTAAAACGCTTGCATTCCAAATCGCTGGGTATTCTGTTGGCAAACTCGTAGATTCTAAATATTTTATATGGTTCTTGTGACCCTTCACACGATCGCTATGTAGTAAGAGCAAAACGAAAGGAGAAAATAATTGCTGATGAAATTGAAAATATCAGATGATAAAGTCCCAGCGCTCGAACGTATATGTTAAGTTAAGGTTGGCCTCATATGTTAGAGAGGGACAACGTTGGTGTAAATTTCTTAAAAAACGACGATGAGGTGAAACTATTTACTTGAATAAATCATGAATAGAAATATAAACAAAGAACTAAGAAGACGCCATATTGAAATGTAGCTATAAAGTTGTGTCCCGGATGAAACCTTCTGGATGTTCTATAAGATTGCAGTTGACTTCCCATTTCCCAACGAGAAAGTTGTAAATTGTTGAATATTTCGGACAAATGAAATTTGAAGAGTTGTGTGAGCTGAATTATTCAACATTATAACATAGGAAAGATGTTTAAAATAATAGCTACAGGGTGAAAAAAAACTGTGAAAGATTTGCCAAGGTCTTAAATTATGTAGAAAATGACCTGAGCAATCTATACTGATGTGCACACAGTATTTTTTGAAACCAACACAAAAGTTGCTTAGAAAATGATTTTTGTTGACCTCCTCGCCTTCAGGCACTTATTTAAAATCAATTTAAAACACCAAAGAATATGAAGATACATCAATTAAAAAGTCGAAATTCAGTTGTTTCTGATTTCACAAACTTGAGGTTGATACTCCTAGTTTATCTTTATGCCTTTACTAAAATAGCATCGATGATGAACGATTTGGCGACAATAAAAAGTCACTGAAGACCATTACAACTGTGTTAGCTATAATTAAAATATGTTTTCAAAAAAATTTGGAATGTCTAATGTTAGGTGGTTCTCTCTAAGATGACTTCTATATGAAAAACAAACTGCGCCTAAATATGAAGGTTATGACCCATAATTGCATTGTAATTTCTCTCAATAGTCATAGATTGCAAAAAATCAAAAACTCATGATAGATCTTATTATAAGTACTACTCCTTTGTTTGAAAAGAACATCACACAATCGAATTTGCTGTGCGAAACAAAATCCTGTTGAACGCCATGTTTATTTTAAATTTATTAATCCAATATGCACCTTCGGTCACTGAGTAAATCCAATAATAGTTATTAGTGATATACCTTATCAGAATTACAACACCTTTGCTTGGATAGAACCCTACACAATCTAATTGAAATTTTTTTACATTTTGATAAAGAAATGAGCTCTGTAGCTACTTCCCAGTTAAAGCCCATGCCATCATCTGTTGATGAATTTATAGCAGAATATGAAACGATTAAGAAGCTTGATGAAAACTCAGAACCAACTCCCAGAGCATTACTATATAGTTTCATTTTGTCAAGTTCCGCTATCCAACGCCATTCACAATTTGCCATGATTTTGCTTGTTGGAACTAGTGGATGTGGTAAATCATCAACAATAAATCATTTACTGGATTCCGGACATGGAACTCCTGTTGCAAAGACAAGTAATAAAAAATCAGCCACAAAAAAGACATCTGAATACATTCTTACTTTCGACGAACCGAATTATGAAGTTTGTGATTTAGTTATGAGTATTATTGATACCCCTGGCTTCAATGATAGCGGTGGCGTTAAACAAGATGCATGTAATTTTGTATCTATTCAACAATATTTTAAAACGCATCCGAGATTTCATGCGGAAACAAAGATTTTTCCAAATCTTGTGTTCTTTGTTGCAAAAGCTGATGACACGAGAATGATAGGGACTGATTCCCAAATTTTGAAATCTTTGAGAGGCATAAAGTTGTTGGATGTCGTTGACATCAGTCATCCAAATCTCGTTGTGATCTTAACATTTGTTTGTTCTGTTGGCTTCAAGAATCCAGAAAGATGGCAAGTAAGGATGCAGGAAAAGAAAAAGCTTGTGTCCGATTTGGTTTTTCAAATTCTAGGAATCAGGGCGCCTGTTGTACTGGTAGAAAATGATCCCTTAGAAGACTTCGAACTTGAAAAGGATGGAGATTTCACAATTCTTCCCAACGGTGAACGACAGCCTCTAAACTTATACAATGCTTGCCTAAGCCTACTGGACAAAAGCAGAGATGGAAATGAAAATAGAGATAAATTTGGGCACATGGTGTTGAATGCTGCATTCAAACAAAAGAAAAACGATCGACCGACAAATGGTTATGAAGTTAAAGCCAAAGATTCAAACAAGGAGCCATTATCACAAGAGGAATTGAAGTTAACCAATGAATTAAGTCAAGCTTCCAGAGGAGGTAGGGTTCCCAAATAAATTTTTTGAAACTATGCACTTTAATGGATTATTAACACAACAAAAGGTATGCTTATTTTAAAAAGTTTTCATGAAGTAAGAAAAGCACTTCTTAGCGTAGAAAATAATTTTTTCTCGTCGATAAATGCAATTGAATAAAAACAATTGTTGCTCATTTGAAAATTTATTCAGCATTTTTGCTGTTTATTTCATAGCATGATTAGCCATTTGAGTAGCGTATTAGCAACGATACAACCATCATAAATATGAATAGTGCTGCAAAGAGTTATCTTAGGAATTTAGAGTTATAAAAGTGATTATCATCAATCTCTCTTCTAAGGTGATACCAACCCACATGTCATACCTGATATGGATTATCTTATCGAGAATGACATCCAAACTACACACCTAAATCTTCACAATGACAATGAAGAAAACTCCAACACAAGAGTTGGTTCTACTATAGATCCTGATACTAGTGATTGGTTTTCAATGTTTGGTGGCTACACAGAGAAGATTGGAGCAGGTGTGCTGACTGTTATTGGTGTTGTTGGTGCTGTTTGTGTTATATTTTTGGGACGACGATAAGATTGATGATAAAAGTTAACATTAAATGCAAAAATGTATGTTAACAGCATTATTATACTTGTTCAAAAATTTGAAAAGCGAGTTAGTGCATAATTAAAGCATTAAAATATCTCGCTGAGGAAATTTTACAAACTACTGCCAACGTAGGCAGCCACGTTTTACAAAAATTCAACAAATTTTTTCAACATAACAATTTACATTTTTTGAATCTAACAAATGAAAAGTGAGAAGACTCATTTAACAGCCAAGATTAATATACTGCCTCACTGGCCTCTCAGAAAATTGTTTTTGTTCAACATATTAACTAAGTGAATTCAAACGCTTATGTCATACTAAAACGTGAATGCAAATATTTCATCAAAGAACACCAATCGCTCCTTAATATTTTTATCATAATTCTTCAGCAATTTGAATAGACTTTTCTAGAAATCATAATCAGTTGACAAGATAATTCCTGTCTAACGCAGTCCACGCTGTTTCAAATAGTTTACACTCGCAAAAAACTTACTTTTCTTCTTCATGTGTTAAACTTTTATGCACGAAGTATTTTATGCTGAAAAACTGTGGTTGCATGTAAATATATTTTCTGAAACTCAATTTTTTACTTCGAATAAAAGTTGTATATATAGCATATGGTATTGGAATTTAGTTACAGCTTGTTCAGCATGGTTGTCATGCACTCCATCTTCAAAGCTTTTGAATTTTGATGAAATAGGAGTCTTTAAAGAGGCAATAGTGAGACAAGTGCATGTGTTTGCTCACAATGTTCTCATATACACGTGTAAAGACTATTTTATCCTTTTACTTGCTTGCACCTTTGAGAAATACAAAAAAAAAGATGAACAAACGCTTCTCTCAGACTGTGTATATGAAAATAACTTCCAAAAACTGAAGTTTACCATCATTTCATATGCCTTCCCAATTATTTGTTCAGTAAAGCGAGTGTCTACTAAATATAGCATTTATGAAAATAGGATGTAAAAATAGCATCTATTTATACTTGCAAGAAAATCTTCTAACTTATATTATGTTTGAAAATGTCTATGATGCATTGATCATTAATACTTCAACATTAATTATACTCTGAAACATTGGTAGCTACGTATTTATTTTCATTTGGGTACACACGCTCAGGTAGCGTGCAACAGTTAAGTTCTTATGACTTAAGAGTACAGATAAAATTCAAACTTTCTGACAACTATTTGCTTTAGCATCCACATTGAAATAAGCCATTTCTCTAGTTTTCTTTACCAATACTAGGTGTCAATAGACAAACAGGTTAAAAGCTTGAAAAGGCAGGAAGTCGAATGAAATACTCTGATTAGCAAGAAGAAGCAGAAAGTTTACCGAGAGTGGGAGTAATTGGAGTAAAAACAAAAATAAAAGTGCAAATTTTCGTATTTGCGGAGTGCACAATTCATTACCATTCCGCCCATTGCTCATGTTATTATTTTTAAAAAGCAGAATTGCTTCATTAATATGCCAAGAAGTTTTATACAATAGTAACTCTGGAGTATAATTTGAATTTCTTTGCCATTTTGGAATTTTTGCCACGTATTAAAATGTAGTCTCCAATGACACAGTCACATTTCTTGTCTGCATTCGCCATGTATACTTCAGGTAATTTGCTAATCATGATATGTTTATTTTACATCATGCGAAAACATTAAGCATCATTTTTTTTATATTTAGTTACTTTTTATGGTTCAAGATGAGCTGTAATGTTTAAGAAAGTACGCAACAGTAAAGGTACATACAGACGACTTTAGTCTGAAACTTCTTATAATTTTCAGGATAAAAACATCAATCGTACAGTTCGGAGGTATGCTTATGAAAGCCCTGTGTTTTAATAAATATTTTTTATCTGTGGTTAATACAGATACAGAATTTCACACAGAGTTGCGAAAAGCCAAATTTTTCTTTACATGCTTCGTATTAATTTTATTGTAGAACTAATGATAAAATATTTATTGCTGTTTTGCAAAGGGCATACGATTGCTGGTTGCTATTTATAATTTGTTGAATTGCGTGCAAGAATTTTGATGTTTGCTTGCATTTTAAAGTAAGACGTTCAAAGACTTCCTTTTCTTACTGTACGTCGTTGCAATAATTTTCTAATAGTTTAGTACTTAAATAAATTTTTCTCGAGCAATTAAATGAGGAAATATGAATGTCAATATGATGAAAATTACTTTAGTTAAATAAAAGGAAATCAAGGATCTAATCGACAATAGGTAAATCCTGTAGAAATGTTACACTTTTAATAACAAGAATTTTGAATAGAATTTACTTTTAGTGATAAAAAGATTTTATTACGCAGACAATGGACGATTTGTGTAAATCGTATATTTGAAAGTTATTTGAACAAAGAACATCGACCTTTACACGTCTACATGGAGCTGTTAGGATGATCCCAATGTAAGTTGATCTCAGGAGCCGAAGGTGCCAGAAACTTTTGGTAAAATCAGGGGTGTCAGGTGTGCTTGGATTATCATTTCTCATTTTGACTACTACATGTTTGTACTTCTGGCACTAATAGCCGTTAACGTATTCTCCATTTTTAACCAAACAGAACTATGACTTATATTCCTTTGTTTATCTCAAATTTAATAGTAAAATGTTTAGTCGTCGCTCGATATATACAAAGTGTGAGTATACTTTCTTGCTAAAATTTACAAAGAGTAACTTTTGAGAATTTATTTATATATGTTACATTGTTGCCATTTATGTGAAAAAATCCAACTCATTATTGGCTAACTTAGATTCTTACACGTTTTTCTGACTGCTTACCATGTGAAAATTATAATCATTAGTATTTTCACCTTTCAACATAGGACATTTCAAGGAAGATTTTTCTGTAACGCTTTTGTAAGAAAAAATGGGCAGTGTAGCATCCCAGTTAAAGCCGATACCATCATCTGCTGATGGCTTCAAAGCAGAATATGAGACTTTCAAAAAGCTTGATAAAAACTCAAAACCAACGCCATACACAATTTGCTATGATTTTGCTTATTGGAAGTACTGGATGTGGTAAATCATCAACAATAAATCATTTACTGGGTATTGGAGATGGAATAAGTAATAAGAAATCATCCTCAAGAAAAACATCAGAGTATATTTTTACATTTGACGAACCCAAGTATGAAGTACGTGATTTAGCTATGAGTGTTGTCAGTTCCCCGGGCTTCAACAATAGCCGTAGCATCGAGCAAAATGCCTGTAAATTTGTATCGATTAAAGAATATTTTGAAACACATCCAAAATTGAAAGCAAAAAAGATTTATCCAAACATGGTGTTCTTAGTTGGAAAAGTGGGCGATGATATAAATCTTTCAAAATCCTTGAGAGGCATCAAGGTAATGGATGTTGTTAACATCGGCCATCAAAATCTCGTTGTGATCTTAACACATGTTTGTTTATCTGGCTACCAAAATTCGAAAAAATGGGTGAAAAAATTTGTAAAAAGAGAAACCATGTGTCAGACCTGGTTTTTCAAGCTTTGGGAATTAAGGCGCCAATTGTATTGATGAAAAATGATCCTGATGGATATAAACTTGAAAAGGATGGAGATTTCACAATTCTTCCCAACGGTAAAAGACAACCTCTAAACTTATACGATGCTTGTCTTAGCCTACTAGAAAAAAGCGAAGATTGAAAGGAAAATAGAGATAAATTTGGACACATGGTGTTGAATGCTGCGTTTAAACAAAAAGAAAATGTCGATGTGCAGAGAAAGCTAATCAAAACCAATTTACATATTTTGCCATTCAGCACAATGGTATGATGATGCTATACTATTTTATACATCCGTTATCTTTTTTTGTAGTCCCTTCGCGAATTTGAAACAAATAAGAAATCCGAGCATGGTCTAACGTAGGCTAAAGATAACGTTGTACACGACTGTGCATCGTTATAACAACCAGTGGGCTTGAGCGTAACCAGCTCGCAGGTTTTAGTACTGCGATGTAAAGATGAGGATATTGCCATTATTTTATCGGCAAAAAATATTAATTTCAACACTCACTAAAATAGTTTCTCGTTTCAACGGTGTTATTTTCATCGACTGTAAGATTTTTCATAAAATGTGGTAATCAGTCGTAAAGATAAAACATTTTTTGATGTTTTTAAAAATTACCGTTTGATACAAATACATCGATAAAAATTTTACTCATTTTTTTGATTTGTTAAATTGTGTTTTTTATTTATAGGAGATTGTATGAGTGGAGATCAAACATCGCTGAACAATTATAAAAGTGTAGAAAAGTCGAAAGCATGCATTTCTCATGATCTATCACCTTGTGAAGATATTAGTTGGAGAAGTATGTGTGGGAAAAAATGGTTCTAACTTTGTGTACGAGATAACTGGTATGTCTTGCTTACATTTAATATTAGTGATAGTAAGTACATGTATTATTCACAGCAAATTCGCAGTCTTTTCTATTCCATAATCACTTTGTTCATTATGAATCTGTCCTCCTTAGTTTTTAAAACTGATATATTACTTCATGAAATTCTATTTTGATTTTGAAAATAAGTCGCGATAAGAGACAAATCGACTTTTTTGTCCAAACACACGTGCTTCCAGGAAGTCGCCATTATTGAACAAGAAAATTTTTCGAAAGTGCGAAAATGCTCAATTCAAGTGGCCCATGCCCTTTTAACGTCGCATAAACTTGACCCCATCTAGGCCTGCATATGAACCATACAAATTGCATTACATTATACATTTCTAGGAGGTCCTGGCCCTGAGAAAAAGAGTTTTATTGCCTTCAAAGAAACTGTAAAAGAACGTTGAGAAAAATATGAAACACGTGTTTAGAAATCGCATTTGAATTAATAACGTAAATTGTATGGTTGTTTGATTCTCTAAGTTACCTTTCATTTACAATGACCTCAAATTTCATCTCATAAAATATGGTATGATTATAGTCATTTATAGTTAATGAGAGCCAGTCAGAGATTCTGTGTTATTATTTGACAGTGATCCATTAGTCAAAAGCGGCTTAGATTGTTCATAGTTTTGGGCGTAGGCAGAGCAAGCTGTGGATCAGAGAGACAACAGGATTAGTGGGATTACAGGTTTACGGTTATTGGAAAAAGATCGTGTCTGTTGGTGGACCTTTCTTATCGCACACACACGCCGCTCGGCTCCCGGTAATAGACGGAAAGATGTTTTCTAGATAGATTTAATGCACTTACCACTAATGTCCGTTAACTTCTATAAGCTATACACTCCTATTCCTTCGAAATAGACCGTTGTATGTAAATATAATGCATACTGATTTCAGTGGCGTCACCACAAAAATATCATTAGGAGATTCTCAAAGTGAGGAATATTGCGAATCCAATATTTTAGGAAACGGTGAGTTTCACTTTTGAAAGCACATTAAAAGCTGCAAAATACCTACTTTATATGAACGGGTTTTCCGGTTGAATGAATAAGGTAATAGCTAATAATTCCCAATTCCCAAAAAGAAAATCATTAGCTTAGTGTTATTTTTTTGAAAATTCAGTCTAATAGCTATGATATTTTAGGATTTCTAATACCGTATTGTACATCATTGCAGTTCCAACGAGTCTTAAGCCCCGATCATATAGGGAGACACTGTTGGACAAATTAGATACACGAATTTTATTTTCAAAGTTACACAGCTTTTTTGTTTATTGTGATATTGTGGATGCTTTGATTCCACAAGATATTCCCTCTCCCAAGAAGTTTGAAGATTGAAAAGTTGGGTTGATTTTCAACGTTAGTCGGGCAAAAAGTACAAGTGAAAGAATTATTACGTAATTTGAAGTCAAGAAATCTGGTGAATGGGAAAAATATTTGCTGTCTCCTTCCTCTCCCCTCCCCGAGAAATTATAGATCCCTGGCCGTATGCGTACCTTATTTAGCCCATAAGACATACCGAGGAAACCTTAAAATTTGTGGCTGGAGAAACTCCGGAAACGCCTTTTCTATATTTGAAATAGCTGTCTCCTAATATCTCATGTAATTCCCATGTTCCCAGTAATATACATGTCGACACTCTAAGTCACGTGATGAGTAAATATTTATATTTACTTTCATATTCTTAGAATCTTTGTTGCGAAAACTTAGATTGAGTTTGCCAAGCTGTAAGCTTCATATCGCGACGTTTCCCAGTCTATATTTGCCATAAAATTCAGGTAACATTCTTCAATGTGCATTTTGTAATACCTTAACGTAAATGAGTTCATTATTTCATATTTATTTCCAGCATGTTGAATTACTGGAAATACTTTAGTCAACTGTATATTATAAACCCTAACAACATCTTTTCCAAATTCTTAGTCGTTTACTCATTTTGCTTTTTGTACGGAAAAATATTGTCGAGGCTTAGGTAGTTTCGGTAAAACTATACCGATTGTAATGTTTACGAATAAGATTCCAATTGACGTGTATTACGAAGATACGAACAACGGCATCAGAACAGCAATATTTGAGGAGAAGCGTAGTCAGCCGTTCTTTTTAATGAACAGAATTTATATTAATGTTGGTCAACGACCATACAACCGATATTGATCTATATTTAAAAATAAAATGAAGAGTGAGTGCTTGAGATAGATTGGTAGAACAAGTACGATTAGCTTTCTAGCAGAACAACAGCGTTGCCATATATGGTTATCTGAACACAGTATTCTAGCAGTGAAATTTTTTAATCATTAACCGAAAGTAAAACGCTTACATTCCAAATCGCTGGGTATTCTGTTGGCAAACTCGTAGATTCTAAATATTTCATATGGTTCTTGCGACCCTCCACACGATCGCTATGTAGTAAGAGCAAAACGAAAGGAGAAAATAATTGCTGATGAAATTGAAAATATCAGATGATAAAGTCCCAGCGTTCGAACGTATGTGTTAAGTTAAGGTTGGCCTCATATGTTAGAGAGGGACAACGTTGGTGTAAATTTCTTAAAAAACGACGATGAGGTGAAACTATTTAACTTCAATAAATCATGAATAGAAATATAAACAAAGAACAAAGAAGACGCCATATTGAAATGTAGCTATAAAGTTTTGTCCCGGATGAAACCTTCTGGATGTTCTATTGGAGTACAGTTTGACTTCCCATTTCCCAACGAGAAAGTTGTAAATTGTTGAATATTTCGGTACGAATTTATGCGGATAAATGAAATTTGAAGAGTTGTGTGTGCTGATTTATTCAACATTATAACATAGGAAAGATGTTTGAAATAATAGCTACAGGGTGAAAAAAAACTGTGAAAGATTTGCCCAGGTCTTAAATTATGTAGAAAATGACCCGAGCAATCTATACTGCAATGCACACAACATTTTTTGGAACCAACACTAAAGTTGCCTAGAAAACGATTTTTGTTGACCTCCTCGCCTTCAGGCACGTATTTAAAATCAATTTAAAACACGAAAGAACATGAAGATACATCAATTAAAAAGTCAAATTTAGTTGTTTCCGATTTCACAAACTTGAGGTTGATACTCCTAGTTTATCTTTATGCCTTTACTAAAATAGCATCGATGATCAACAATTTAGCTACAATAAAAATTCACTGAAGACCATTACAACTGTGTTAGCTATAATTAAAATATGTTTTCAAAAAAATTTGGAATGTCTAATATTAGGTGGTTCTCTCTAAGATGACTTATATATGAAAAACAAACTGCGCCTAAATATGACGGTTATGACCCATAATCGCATTGTAATTTCTCTCAATAGTCATAGATTGCAAACAATCAAAAACTCATGATAGATCTTATTATAAGTACGACTCCTTTGTTTGAAAAGAGCATCACACAATCGACTTTGCTGTGCAAAACAAAATCCTGTTGAACGCTATGTTTATTTTAAATTTAGCAATCCAATATGCACCCTCGGTCACTGATTTCGCTATTCATTGTTGTTTTTAAATGATAAAGGTTGGTTATATATTTCGGCAAAGAAAAAGAGAACAGGCTCTAGCTTATGCTAAAATATTAAGCTAAATGCTATGCTATACAATTAATGATTGATGATTACCTGAAATTGAAAGTATATGTTTTCTTTAATGCTCGTTCAATGTAGATTTTTTCACGGGATCTACATTGGTTTGGATGAAGATATGAGTAGTGCCAACTCTTCCCAGTTAAAGCCGATACCATCTTCTGCTGAGGAATTCAAAGCAGAATATGACACTTTCAAGAAGTTTGCTGAAAATTCAGATACAACTCCCGGGGCATTACTTTCGCATTTCATGTTGTCAAGTGTGAAAATCCAACGCCATCCAGAATTTGCCATGATTTTGCTTCTTGGAAGTAGTGGATGTGGTAAATCATCAACAATAAATCATCTACTGGATATCGTAGACGGAATTCCTGTTGCAAAAAGAAGTAATGAAGAATCAGCCACAAGAAAAACATCTGAATACATTCTTACTTTTGATGAACCGAGTTATGAAGTTTGTGATTTAGTTATGAGTATTATTGATACCCCTGGCTTCAATGATAGCAATGGCGTTGAACAAGATGCATGTAATTTTGTATCTGTTCAACAATATTTTAGAACGCATCCGAAGTTTCCAGCGGAAACAAAGATTTATCCAAATCTTGTGTTCTTTGTTGCAAAAGCTGATGACACGAGAATGAAGGGAACAAATTCCCAAATTTTGAAATCGTTGAGAGGCATAAAGTTGTTGGATGTCGTTGACATCAGTCATCCAAATCTCGTTGTGATCTTAACATTTGTTTGTTCTTTTGGCCACAAGAAGCCAGAAAAATGGCAAGTAAAGATGCAGGAAAAGAAAAACCTTTTGTCCGCTTTGGTTTTTCAAATTTTAGGAATCAGAACGCCTGTTGTATTGATAGAAAATGATCCCGAGGAAGACTACAAACTTGAAAAGGATGGAGATTTCACAATTCTTCCCAACGGTGAACGACAGCCTCTGAACTTATACAATGCTTGCCTAAGCCTACTGGACAAAAGCAGAGATGGAAAGGAAAATAGAGATAAATTTGGGCACATGGTGTTAAATGCTGCATTCAAACAAAAGAAAAAGGATCGACCGACAAATGGTTATGAAGTTAGAGCCAAAGATTCAGAGAAAGAGCCATTATCACAAGAGGAGTTGGAGTTTGCCAATGAATTAATTGAAGCTCCTGGTAGGGGTATGCTCCTTAAATATAATTTTCTTACAAAAATATTGAAGCGAGATTTTTCATCTGAGAATCGTATAAGTTGGAAACTTAAAAAAATCATTTGTAAATTAGTTTAATGTTGTAAATCTCACTTGAGTAAATCCAATATTAGTTATTAATGATATACCTTATCAGAATTACAACACCTTTGCTTGGATAGAACCTACACAATCTAACTGGAATGTTTTTAGATTTTGATATAGAAATGAGCTGCGCAGCTACTTCCCAGTTAAAGCCCATGCCATCATCTAATGATGAATTTATAGCAGAATATGAAACGATTAAGAAGCTTGGTAAAAACTCAGAACCAACTCCCAGAGCATCACTATATAGTTTCATTTTGTCAAGTTCCGCAATCCAACGCCATTCAGAATTTGCCATGATTTTGCTTGTTGGAACTAGTGGATGTGGTAAATCATCAACAATAAATCATTTACTGGATACCGGAGATGGAACTCCTGTTGCAAAGACAAGTAATGAAGAATCAGCCACAAGAAAAACATCTGAATACATTCTTACTTTCGACGAACCGAATTATGAAGTTTGTGATTTAGTTATGAGTATTATTGATACCCCTGGCTTCAATGATAGCGGTGGCGTTAAACAAGATGCATGTAATTTTGTATCTATTCAACAATATTTTAAAACGCATCCGAGATTTCATGCGGAAACAAAGATTTTTCCAAATCTTGTGTTCTTTGTTGCAAAAGCTGATGACACGAGAATGAAAGGGACTGATTCCCAAATTTTGAAATCTTTGAGAGGCATAAAGTTGTTGGATGTCGTTGACATCAGTCATCCAAATCTCGTTGTGATCTTAACATTTGTTTGTTCTGTTGGCTTTAAGAAGCCAGAAAAATGGCAAGTAAAGATGCAGGAAAAGAAAAACCTTGTGTCCGATTTGGTTTTTCAAATTCTAGGAATCAGGGCGCCTGTTGTACTGGTAGAAAATGATCCCGAAGAAGACTACGAACTTGAAAAGGATGGAGATTTCACAATTCTTCCCAACGGTGAACGACAGCCTCTGAACTTATACAATGCTTGCCTGAGCCTACTGGACAAAAGCAGAGATGGAAAGGAAAATAGAGATAAATTTGGGCACATGGTGTTGAATGCTGCATTCAAACAAAAGAAAAAGGAGCGGCCGACAAATGGTTATGAAGTTAAAGCCAAAGATTCAAAGAAAGAGCCATTATCACAAGAAGAGTTGGAGTTAACCAATTCTTTTAATCAAGCTTCCATAGAAGGTAGGCTTCCCAAATATTTTTTTGAAACTATGCACTTTAATGGATTATTAACACAACAAAAGGTATGCTTATTTTAAAAAGTTTTCATGAAGTACGAAAAGCACTTCTTAGCGTAGAAAATAATTTTTTCTCGTTGATAAATACAATTGAATAAAATAATTTTTGCTTATGAAAGTTTATTCAGCATTTTTGCTGTTTATTTCATAGTATGATTAGCCTTTTGAGTAACGTATTAGCACCGATACAACTATAAATTCATCGAGTTATCTTAGAGATTCAGAGTTAAAAAAGTGATTATTATCATCAATCTCTCTTCCAAGGTTCTACCAACCCACTTGCCATGCTTGCTATGGAATATCTTACCGAGAATGGCATTCAGGAAGAATCTGTGAAAAAAGAAATTTTAGAACTCGTCGAAACTATGAATTCGATGGGATTATCGAATGAGTCAAATTTGAAGAATACAACCATCAGTGAAATCAACTATCGTCACACAGAGAGTATTACTGAACATGGCCTTCAAATGTTGGAAAAGAAATTTCGTATAAAATGTGCTGATATTACATCGTTTCATGCAGGTATTCCTTATTCTCAAATTGTTATATCGCATACAATGATTAAAGTCAATGAAAGACAACTATAGTTTATAGCTTATAAAATTATATATTTCATTAGGTTTTTACTTCATCGATAGTCGTGAATGTTGAACTATAGTATGTTCTAAAATTCATGTTTTTCGGCATAATATAGCTGAATTCATTGGTCAAGGATACAACGTTGTCATCAACAAGTCCGTTCCAGCTCAGGTTTTGAAATTTTCAGTAGTTCACAATAAACAATTTGGCTTTAAAATTCCTGAATGTGCGCAAATAATGAAGTTAAATGAAACTCGGACCACCCAAATACATACACAATCGCATGAAGACTACATTCGATCGCGCCTTCTAAACTTTGGCTTGAATGTTAACATAGCACCTGCAATATTGAAGATTGCCCCAAAGTTTGATATGACTTACAGCGAGAAGTGTCAAAAAAGTGACTCGAGATCTTCAACTACTAAAAAGGAATTGACAGAAGTGAGAATAGCAAAGATAAATCTTGGTGAATTTAAATCAAAGAAAATTGCTTTTACTGACGAGTTTCGATCTGTTGTAAGCGAATTACCAAAAGGAAATATTGAGGAAAAGAATGCGAAGCAAAAGTTTACAGATTTTTTTAATAGATTTGGTCAGTTTGTCGTCACTTCTGCTTATGTTGGAGGAGGAGTTGAAGTTGAAACTTGTGATGATAACATGAAAATTTCAAACAAAGATGAAGATTGTGTAGACGGAGGAATTGATTCATCTCTCCCTGGGGCGTTGAGATTTTCAGGAAAACACGAATTGTCAGTAAACAAAGAAAGCAGTCAAGTTTCAAGCATTTCAACAACTCAATGGAAAGGTGGACGTTCTGACTTGCATGACAAAGGTACGTTGCACTCAAATGAAAAATTCTTGGAATGGAAGATATCTATTGCTAACGATCCAGTATTTTTAACAAATGAATTGACAATGGAGCCGATTTCTACTTTTGTTGGTATGATAGACACGGAAAAGGGAAATCTTTGCAACCAAGCATTGCAAAAACTTTTCCAAAATAAACTCCTAAATGACAATGACAATGTATCGCAAACAAAAAGTTTGGCGAAAGGAAGCAAAAACTCCAACACAAGAGTTGGTTCCACTAAAGATCCTGATACTAGTGGATGGTCAAAAATGTTTGGTGGCTACGTAGAGAAGATTGGAGCACGTGAGCTTGGTTTTGTTGGTATTGTTGGTATTGTTGGTATTGTTTGTACTTTTTGTATTAAAATATTTTTTGGAGGACAAAAGTAGAAAATGTAAAAATATTTCACATTTTTCGGATCTTGAATTCTCACAAGATCGTATTTTTTCTTTTGTAGTAAACGTTGACTCGTATTAAATGCAACACGTTCTTCATAGTTATGCACAAAATATAAAGTTGTATGTTTGAATGTATGAATGTAGGGTATATTAAGTCTAATTTGTTTTAAGTTGAACCAATAACGTTATCACCAATTATTATTAGTTAATTGGTGCATTGTTTTTTATTAATGAGGGGCCGCTTGCACGAAGCCCAGATAGCACTATCAACTAGATATTTTCAAAGGTTTAAAAAATCTCTTACAAGGCGCAATGAAATAAAACGTTTAGTTCTAAAATGAAGACTTTTCTAATAAAAAACATCTAACCACTTGATTCACACGTTTTAAAAAATCAGTTTTGGGGATTCGTGCAACCGACTTGTGTCAAAAACATTTTTTATTGTGTTTTTTGGAGTTCAGTAAATTAGTACTGACTAAATAATTCGATTTCAAGAGACATAATGTCATCCCATTAACTAATAACATGTATTTTATTCAATAGACCTTAGAAAAGCTCTTCATGAGAATTACAGCATATTAAAGTCAGTCACTTAAATTTAAAGAATAAAAGTATAAAACCATTCATTTTTTGAAAGAATACCACTGAACTATTTTAAAGCTTGAAATTCAAGCAGGATGAGAGCTGTCGATACGAATTCATTTACTTGTAGTGACATTTCTTATGCTATGGAATTTCAATCTAAAACACGAGATTTTTTGGTGTACTTTTTCATTACTGAAAAACATTGCTTTTTGCTGAAAATGCATACATTAACGTTTAGTAGGAAGGAGAGCTGTTTACCTACTCTTTCACACGAATAGCATTTTGGGATGTAATTTTGGACTTTTTTGTACCCTGAATAAGCATACCAATTGTACATATTTAAAAGATTAAAGCATGTCAACAGTTTTAACTTAACTGGCTAAAATAACAGCAGTTATGTTAAATTGACATTTGTTTTCAATATAGCTGCATATTGCCCGAGTGAGCAGTCAGTGGCGTCACTAAGATTTTCTGTCAGGGGGGGCATTCAAAGGGGAAGTGGGGCAATAACCGTCATTTAAACAATATAATATAGGTAAAACAACACCTGCCCCCCCCATCTGGTTACGTCCCAGGGGAAGACTGCAAGATATGATAATTTAAAGTAAGGAAGTACATTTAAAGAAGGAGATCTTCCTTGTTTAAAATTCACGTACTAAATGGAGAACACCCTACAAGTAAGTAGTCACTCATGTACGAAAATTTCTCATCTGTTTGTATTTCTTCATCGTATTTCTCTTTTTATACCTGTAACGATGATGTCATCATGACGTCATTATCACTATGCTTACGATTACGAACAAAGTGACAAACATTACACTGATCAAAGGTCAAAGGAAGGTGGTGTTTGTGCTTCAACAGTGTTTGAACAAAATACTGCCTATTTCATATTTTTTGAAACTGTTTCATACCACTGAGAAGCTTCAAAATGTGTTCTCGATGCCGTCAGAACTATCATGAAACTAGCGAAGCTGAAGTGAACAAGCAAATCAACTTGGAGTTGTCTGCTAGCTACGCTTATTTGTCGTTGGTCGGTTTATATAACAACCACAATGGTCGTTACTTTCATCTAATTTCACATGTAATTTTTGTTTAGGCTTACCACTTCGATAGGGATGATGTTGCATTGCCCGGTTTTCACAAATTCTTTAAGAAATGCGCAGAAGAGGAACGTGAACATGCTGAAAAGGTAAGTATTTCGTTTCAAACGACGACGACAGGATATCTGAGATGCGACTTTCTCATACTTAGTCGTGTTCTTTATGTTTTTGTAGTTTATGAAATTTCAGAACACACGAGGAGGGCGAATTGTATTGAAAGATATAAAGGTATACAAAGATTGAATAATAAAGATAATAGGACATCTGAAATATTTACAAACAAGTGAAATTCGACAGAGAAAAAAATTCGTCATCTGAAACTGTAACGCTGGTAGGGGGTGGGGATGTAAGTGCGGGTTAAGTGATTGCCTAGAAATGCTTTTTGAAAAAAGAAAGGTTGGTTTGTTGTGGTAATTTAATTTTATTAAGAACATATTTCTCCAGATTATACTTCAGTTTAATAGTTTCTACCAAAAAATATGAACTATGCAGCCTATGATAAGTGATTTCTTTTTTAATTGATTTTTGCTGCTTTCTCAATTTTATGGAAATTGATTGTTTATGAGGACTGTGCATCCACAATGTGCTTGTTTTTGGATGTATTGGTACATTTATTTTTATCCATGCTTAGAAACCTGATTATGACGACATTACATCACCAGTAGAGTCAATGAAGATTGCTTTGAACTTGGAGAAAAAAGTGAATGAAGCATTGTTTCATTTACATGAGGTTGCTGTTACCAACAAAGATGATGAAGTATGTTGAATGAAGTTTCTGAGATTTAATGTAATTAAAAATAAGATAACTTCTAAAAAGATAGCTGACATTTTCTTTATGTGTAGATGGCTGATTTTATTGAAAGCAACTTTCTTCATGAGCAAACTGAAGGCATCAAGAAGTTGTCTGACTACATTACCAATCTTGAGCGTGTTGGTGATGGACTTGGTGTGTACCAATTTGACAAGCTTACTTTAGATGGTGGTGATGATTAGTTCTTATACTCTCCAGAATTGTTGTTTGTTCTGATGAAGATTGTAGATTAAATTTAAAAAGAACTGTAATGATTTACAAAAATAATAAATGAGTTGTGCAATTGTGGGGATTGTATTTCATCCAAAAGGGTATGGCAGACAAATAGAAAAGTATTTTGGTGAAATGAATTTACTGAAAAATATGAAACAATTAGTTGACAAAAAGAAACATTTTAGTGGTTGACTGTTTCCAATTTCTTACATGCAAACCAGTCTTACAATTGTTCATAAAAATACAAAAATGAAACAGACTTTAACATTTTCACTTCACATAAATATTACTGCTGCTCTGAAAGTCCTTTTCTCTCTGAATAGTACACTGATTTAATTTTGTCTTTTTTAAATTAACTCTTTTCACCTTAGATCATCCATTGTTTTAGCATCTTAGTCTACCATTTCATTTTAGTTGAATTAAATTTATGGTGGATCAAGAGTAGTTTACCAAATGAATGTTTTTGAATTTCAAAATGCCAGGAAAACAATTCATTTATTGGTTTTTTACTACCACTAGATATCACTTTAGAAATACAGTAATATAAGGTTCAAGATTAATTTACAAACATTGTACAAACTGCCTTAATAGAAAATGTTTGCTCATAGACTATTTTAGATCATTTACAAGCATGTTTGTCATATTTTCATTTAGGTGGTTTCTTGTTCCTTCAAATGCAAAGTGTTGCTGTTAAAAAGACATTTAATATACATTGAACCTAAAAAAAGTCAAGCGTCCAGAACTTTGACAGCTTCCAGGGATTTTGCAATTTCAGTGGTAACATCACTTAAGTCTTTCCTCATAGCATAAGCATCTTCACCATCAGCATAATATTTTGGCTCAACATCATAAATAGTAAACTTTAAAGTATTCGTATACAGATGTAAAGCTGCTCTATTACTTTTCCTTACATGAAGTGATACATATTTGGCATTAAAACATTCCACCATAGCTCTGGATGCTTGCTCCATAAGTTTTCTCGCTAAGCCAAGTCTTCGATGTGAACGTTTCACAGCAAGAGAGGTAATGTGACCGTGAGCTGCTTCATCAGACTCTTCCTCCATTTTTGCTAGTACATAACCAACTATTTTCCCTTTCTCGTCTTCAGCAACATAAGAAAGCTGAGGCCATGACAATCCATGATAGAAATAGTACTTCATTTGGTAATTCTCAGGCAGACACAATAAATTACAGTGCTGCATGTTCATCAAGTCTTCGGGAGTAGCATAACGTATATTCATTTTAGGCAATCAAAACAAAAAATTCAACTATTTGGCCTTTCAATGCCAAGTAATGAATGGGTTGTTGAAAACTTGAAATAAGCAAAAATTGATTCACTTTATAGTTACCCCTCCCGAGTGTGAAAGCGTTTCGACCAGTTCAACTAACATTTCGCGATGCGTTGTCTCATTGGTTAATTTTAACTTAAGAGCCAATAGTACCCCGACTTTTGGTGTTTAACAAGTCGAACTATATTTCAATGAAAGTTGCAGGAGGGAAAATCATCAAACAAGATGGCGCCAAAGAACGTGGTAACTCCAACTGTATTTATAGGTGTTTTTATTACGTTAGCCATCCTGTTTCGCAGTCGCAAGAGCTTTTTGTTAAACTCGATAAACAAAAATGAAAATTCTAGTCCAAGTGATCCATTAAAAGCGGAGGAAATCCAAAAACTGCTCAAAGAAGAAATAGAAGCACTACAGAAGAAGACAAACCGAAGAAAAGTAAGGGAAACTTTTAATTACTTGTTCATTTTTGAATAAATCTATCCGTTCTCTAAATCAGTATTTGCGCATGTAGCAATATCTAATATACAGATTAATTCCATTCACATAAAGCAACATTGATATGTAGAGACCATGATATGTACCTCAGAATACTAACATTAGTAACATACTAACATACAAATACAGAAAGGTGAGAAAGTTATCTTTAGTGGACCAGTGATTTTGGGCTATATGCTGTATGCCATTAATTTTCAATTTTGCCACTGCAATATTCCTTGGGCTGAGTGGCAAATGAATGGCATACAGCACCAGTTGCAAAACTCTCAGAAGTTTTTGAATAACCAGGGGTTCGTTCAGTTGCCTCAGACCAACTGACCAAGCCAGTTTATCATTTCCACAATGAAGCAGAACTGTTGTGATAAATATCAATTTGCACCATTTGCAGCTTGTTGTTTCATTTAGATTAAATGTCGAAAAAAATATAATGTGTTAATGAAAACCATTAACTTCTTTCATCATCATAGTCGAGCTAGTTAACAAGAGGAATGGATTAGAAATGAATGAAATGTTTTCTGATGATCATGAAAAGGAAAAAATAAAACCAGGCTACAAACCAACATTACAAACATCAGTTGCTATTAAAAAAGGCAAAGAAAATGGGATGGAATCAAGAACTGTTACACAGACTATTTTAGTGAAGGATTCTCATCCAGTTCAATCTAGTTTCCAATTTAATGAAGAAGAAGGGATTTTTGACAAGAATTGTGATAAACATGTCAAATCTTGCCCAGTTTGTAAACATACTTTCATTGATATTGATCCTGATTTCAGTAACTGTGATCAAAATGCTGAAATAACAAAACACATTAATGATTGCCTGGATAGTAAAAATGTTCAAGTAGCAAAAAAAGAATCCAATGAAGGCTTTCCTTGTCAAATTTGTGGAAAAGATCTTTCTAAATACAATACAGCACAACGTCAACAGCATGTCAATAGATGCTGTGATTATTTGGATGAACAAAAACACAAAGATAAAGAAGACTTCATAAGCATTACATGCTTTATATGTGGGAAAAAATTCAAAACAACTAAGGTAGATTATTTACCGACTTAGAAAAGTTAATGAAACATTGAAGCTTAACATTAATTACTTGTTTGCCATTTTAGAGTTTGATTTTTCATATGTTTCCCTTCTAGACCCTGCAAACTCATATGAAAAAGTGTGCAAAAGAGAACAATATTTCTACTAATGAACTTGTTAAATTAAATCGCATTCATCAGCCACTAGAACATTCAAGCAAGGATAAAACTAAAACTGTTTCTGACCACAGTACTTTAAAAGGATCGCTTGGTGTAACAAAAAACTGCGGCAAAAGGAAAAGAAAAAATAAATTTAACGAGTATGTTGAATATTTTATATCGACATGTAATTCGGCCGTCATTTTTAGAATTCATTTTTTAAAATTTACCTTTAAGAAATGTTGATGATATTGAACTTACCACGACCTCAAATCTTACGGACGAAAAAAAGAAGAAAACGTTAGGTCGAAAAAAAAGATTAAAGAACAACAACGTTGTGTAAGTTATGTCCATTTATGACGTATTTATTTCCTCAAGAAAGTGCATTGATATGCTATAATATGTTCTTTTCTATTTTAAAAACTTTTAACAACCAATAACAGACCTTTTATCATTTAGATAGCTACGTTTTATGAAATAATCATATTTCAACATACACAGCACCTTTATAACAAAATCTATTGTAGTTCCCAGGTTCCAGCATTATTGTTGCGAGATAATGATGAAACGAAGAGAGTGGTGGCAGCAAGAGCTGCAGCAGTTCTTTATAACTGGGTAAGCTCGAGGACACAGATAGTCGCTTATGTATTTAATCTACAGAATTTTGTTTTGATTCAGGAATTTGGAGGAAGAAATATACCTTTGTAATTTGGCTTAGTAAGACTTGATCATCGTTTTGCAATGTTTTAGGCTGACGAAGATGATGAAATACAATGCACGCCTGCTTTAGCTCCAAGTTCATTAGTTCAAAATTACTGTAAAGGATCGAACATCAACTCAGATGAAAGACAAGAAGATTTCTTGAAAAACGCACAAGATTGTTCTGAGTCAAATTCTCGTAACAATGATGAAAAATGCCAATGTCAGCTTGGTGAATCTGCCGATTCTCTCTCAAAAAATAAGGTATATTTAAGCTAAAGTACACTCTCACTTACATTGCACCCTGCTGTCTCTGAAATATTTTCCTTTTTCATTTACATTTCTTTTAGGAAAGTGGACCGAGTTTTCTATACAATGCACATACTGTAACTGCATGTATTTTCAATATTTTTATTTTCATACTTATGTTTTTAAGGAATATTTTTCTGTTGATTCAAGAAGGCGTCTTTGGACACTCTCTTCAGTCCGCGCTAAAGAAATTCCAAGTGACGACTTTTATGTGCCAAATCTCCTGCCAAAATCTACACCAGTCAAGACAAAGAAACCTATGAAGCAAGATAATGGAAACAACAAACTTGTTGACGATATGAACATGAATGAAAGCAGAGATGTTCATCTTGGTGAGAGATTTTCTTTCAGACATGATGTTCAATTTAACTAAGCCCGTGTTTATTGAGCCAAGTATTTGTTTGCTAGATTCTCCTTTAAAGATGTCAAGTCAAAGTGACAGCTTAACAGAATCTCAAGAAAACAATATAGAGATGTTGGTTGAACTGATGAATGATGATGATGGACAATTAACTGTTAATTATACGGAATCAAGTGATGATCTGGATGAAACATGGCTTCCATCGAGTGGTTTTTTGTGTTCGCAAAGATATTAACGATGCTGAGGTGTGAATAATATATTGATCTCAAACCTCAGCGGAAGAAGCCTTGTACCTCGTGAAATGTTTTAGTAATTGATAGTTTTTGATGGAGTGTTTATACTTTAACGCGCTAAAATGTTTAAATGACTTACAGGCAAAAGCTGATAAAGTTGCTCCATTGTAGGAGAAGGATAAAGAAGATGTCGATATTTTGATTAGCGAGTTGTCTTGTATGGTTGGGAATCCATTGTTCAGTGATGTTGAAATCATTGCGAAGAACAAAAACAAGATTTTGGCGCACAGTTTTATGTTGTGTGCAAGATGTAAAACATTGGCAAACGTAAGAATGCATTTTGACATTCACAAGAATTTATAACAATCTATAAATACTTTTTTCCCTTCTATCTAGTTTCTTCAGTCAAGCCAATCATATTGTAAAGATGAATCAGCTAATGGCTTAGTTCGTGTTGAACTACTGGATATCGATGTTCGTGCTGTTCGAGCTGTACTTACTTACATCTATACGGCTTGTTTTGTTCCTGTTCTCGACGAGACGTTAGCCGATGTGAAAGAACTTGTCCTCAGGTATATTCATTTGAAAAATCTATGTGCTAGTCTAATTCATAATACTATCCATTTGCTTTTGCTATGAAACCATGCATACCAAAAGCAAATGGATATTACATGTTCGGTGTGCATGTTAAATTTTGCCCTCCATCCCCGAGGAAAATTGATATGTAGATCTCCAAGAAATCTTTTCAAATTTGAAAGTATGTCGTTTAATGTTTTCATGTATGTTGGTGGGACGGGGCTACGACTTAGTTTATTTGCCTTTTTACATTTTACTTCTATTGGATATATTATTGTGTTTAGTTGAAGTTTTTTATTCCATATAGATGGAATTTGAATATTAATCCTGAAAAATGGAAAGTAATAAAAGATGAATGTGAGAAAAACAGCGAAAAGGACGTAGATCAATGTAATGTTGGCTCTCTTGATGTCCTTTTGAAATCTTTATGGGAAGGTGAAGAAGACATGGTACGTATGTGTGTATTCGTACGGCAACAAACGTAAAAAACGTTTGTTCTATGTAGAAGTTTTCTGTACTACATGATAAATGGTGAAAAATCATCCAAGTTAGTCTTTATGTTGAGGGGTATGTGCAAAATAAACCAACAGTTATTTCAATACCTCAAAAGACGCCTCGTCCAATCCTCGAAAAATAATGGATGGATTGCAAACTAAACTTACGATTCATCAATGTTGTAAATTTTCAGAATGGCAATGAAGAAACGAATGATAAGATAATTGCTGAAAGTTTCTTGGATGAAGAACTTGCAGGAATGACGATAAAGATTTATTCTCAATGTTCTTTGGAACAGGTGGAATCTTGTGAAAAGAAAAACGACAAAAGTTCCCCTGGAGAAAACTTGAGAGAAAACTCTTTACATCAAAAGTCAGAGAAGAACGATAAGGCAATTTTTAGCACAAAGGTAAGTAGCATTGTTTGTTTGTATATGTGTTTTCTGTATACATTGCATAAAATGAATATACTCGTGTTTGTTTAACAGACGAGTTCAAAGGGATCTCCACTTCTTGAAAAAGAGAAAACGAGCAATATGTCGGAAGAATATATTGTTGTAAACGAGGATGCCGTCAAAAACAGAACTGAGAATTTTAATGTTGTGGATAAAGGCTCTGTCTCTATTTCTAACCAATCACTTTCAACCTTTGTAGAAATTAATGATGTGGAAGATGGCTCTGTCTCTATTTATAGCCAATCACCTTCATCCTTTGTAGACATGATATCGTCTCCAGAGTTTTCACCTCTTCCAGAGAATATTAATGATTTTGAATTAGACGATGAGACTGACGTGTTAAACACTGCAATTTCAGCTCAAGATACTTCTGAAAGCGACATGAATGTTGTTGATGTTAAATTTACTACAGATATTGTAGATGATCTTGTTTCCAGTACACCCAAAAAAATGGAAACTGTTGTCGTACCTGCAGAAGACCAACAAATCGCGTCAACACCGGATGAGAGGGAAGATGACATTTATTTACTTTCTCCGACGTGCAGTAAGAAATGTTCTCGCGTCACTGGCAGAAACAAAATGAAACAAAATGACAGTTTGTCGAATGTGTTCGATATTTCTTTGGATTCAGATGATATCCAGATGTCGGACATGAAAGACACTTTGAAAAATAAAAACATTTACGACGTGTCTGGTTTGTTCTCAAATTCAAGACCCACTTCACCCTCTTTATACAGCGAAAAGGACGAAGATATAATTGAAATAAATAATGTTGAAAGTAATTTTAACTCAGATAATGATAAATCAAAATCAGGTGCGTTATCCATCAACACAAAAAATGGAAAATCAAGTGCCGTGACTGACAATCGAGCCAAAGAGATCTCTTGTTGTCATAAACTACGTTTATTGTCACACAATATGGAAGAAAGCCATAGCTACTTGAATGACTCGATGGGGGAATCCGCTGGAATAAGGGATTGTGTTGAGACAATAAATAATGATGATCAATCTATTGACTGCTATGATGATGGTGGATTTAATTGTGATTTAAATGAATTTGTTATGCATGAGACAAATATTTCTCCCAGAGAACAATGGAAAGACTTGAAAACATCTGCTCAAAGTAGTGTTAATCTTGGAGCAATGTCAACTGACGAAGATGTAAACATTTACCATGAAGAGAAGACAACTCCTCAAAGTAGTTTTAATCTTGGAGCAATGTCGACTGACGAAGATGTAAACATTAACCATGGAGAGAAGACACCTCTTCAAAATAGTTTTATTCTTGGAGCAATGTCAACTGACCAAGATGTAAACATTGACCATGGTGAGAAGACACCTCCTCAAAATAGTTCTATTCTTGGAGCAATGTCAACTGACGAAGATGTAAACATTAACCATGGAGAGAAGACACCTTCTCAAAATAGTTTTATTCTTGAAGCGGAGTCGACTGATAAAGAAGCCGTTTTAAAAGAAAGGAAAACATTGGGGGCATCTAAAAATGATTTCTTTGTAAGACATTCGAGCAAAGTGACTGGAGAGGATAATTTACGTACACCATGCACGCCAATGCTTGATTATTCCAACATGGCAACACCTGATTTGAAGGTATTAACGTTTCCTCTATTTCATAAAATTTAATTAAAAAAGTATTCGAACAATTAGAAAAGTTTCATGAGCATGGTCAGAGGTGAACAAAGGTACATCGTGTTGAATTGTTTGCATATGAAGGAGTTTCAGCTGAGTCCAAAAAATTTATTGAAGACGTAAACTTAGAAAATGTTTCTTGCTCCGTGAGTTGGAATTTCATCTATTTTGTTTAACACTATTTGCGTTAATTCATCTGTGATTTTTTGATTCCTCGAGCGTGCGCTTTTACAAATGCATGACTGCAATGTTTAAAGTATTTACCGTATGCATTGTTATTTAGGTTGAATTAAAGCAATATGGAGTCAGGCCACTGGCAAAACGCAAAATGGTCGTAAAACTAAAAGAAATATATAATTACACGCATAAAGATAAAGGTGAGATATCCACTTAAGCAAGTACGCTTCACATCGTGTTCAACATAGTTTTCTCAAATTAAAAACTTTAACTGTCTTTTTAGTTGCTGCTGAATCTGGGTGTTTAATTGACCGGGACAATACGCCTGTTAGTCCGGAGAAAGATGCCTTTGGAAGCCATGACAAGCAAGGGGAAGTTGGAGCTTTTTCTCAGCCAGATAGTAACAATGCATCAGACAGGTATTTAATATGACGTATAACGTGACGTATATGTTATACGTTTATTGAATATTGGTGATCTTACATCAAGTTCAATCGCACATACCTTTCTATCCACTATAATTTTTATTACTCCTTCATGGTACACGTACTTGCTGCCATTTATAGCTTTGAAACGTTCAAATGAAAGGAGAGATAAAATATTCTGGTTCTTTTCGCATGCAGTGTCTTTTATTTTGACACTGTGTGTTGTATATCCAAGAAACATTTTAGCATTTCGCTTTAGTAGTGCTCAGTAGAAAGCGTTCACCTTATTTAACGTCACTTTTCTTTGACTTTTTTACTTCTTTAGCCTCAGCAACAGCGATAATGTTGTGTCAGAACAGGATGAAGATTCCGATGAATCGGGAAGACTATCTCAGGTACAGAAATTTGACTTAAACAATTTACAACGAACATGATGGTAATTGGATAAGTTATAGTTTTAATGGTGAACTTGATTGACTGGAACAGCGACTGTAGAGCGGTTAGTATGGGAAAGATATGTTCATGTCAAACTACGTTTATTAAATTACTACTGGTCGAGTGGCGCACATTTTCAATGTATTTGAAAGTTTCTGTTTTTCTTGCACACGAAACGTTCAGGTTTCGACACTCTGCCGTCTCTATAAGCCTTATTTAAATGCTATCATTTTAAAACGTTAAAGTTGTGGAGTCAATTATTTTTTTCAACATTAAATGAGACATAGAGACTGCGCATGCACAGATCGTTACTAAGCTAGCTATTTACGTCAAAGTGGGTACTAGTAGATCCAAGTCATATCCATGTTATCACTGTGGACAGTTGGTCGAGTTGACTGCGCATGGCGAAAAAGCAAAATAGCCACTAAACAACTATTGACATTACAACGTGGAACAAAAAGAAAATTGCTTACATGTAAACCATGGACAACATGACAAAAACGGTTATTTCGACTATAGCTTGTGTTGCCTTCACGATACATGTTCTGTTTAGTTCAAATTACGAGTAAATAGTCAGTGTTTTTTTTAACTTTACGCTATTCTTGGATTCCTATTTGGAACTGTAATTCGCCCTGAGTGTTGCTGCTCAAACGAGATTGCAAACCGAACAAAAGTGCTCAAAATAAGCTGTTTTCGAGTGTTGTATGGAGTGCTGAGTAAAGCAAACATCTTGCAAAGTGTTTGCTGTTTAACATCTTGCTAAGTGTTTGCTGTTTAGTTATCGCACATAAGTATTTTCGTATTTTTAGTCATTTTAGTATTATCTCTCTATTTAATCGTATTTTTTATTCGTACTAGCTATGGATGTGATTCAAGCTTACGCTGTGTTCACTTTCTTTCAATAGCAATCCTCATCCAACATATCCAAATCATTGATGTCCATTTTCAAAAAGGACGACGTTTTGTATAAAAAAATTCTTATGTACTTGGTAAGTAAACTTTTAAAGTAAAAATGTGCTCGGTCTTCTGCTTTATGATTTTACTTCATTTATCGTGGTTCATCGGTATGATGTTAGTAGTATAATGCACTCTTTCATGACAGCCAATTTCTGTGTGTGAAGTATTTGAAACCATCAAAAGAAATGGAATACAGTGTAATTTAGAGCAACTAAAGAATTATCTAGATGAACAGGTTTTTATATCAATTGTTACGTACACTCAATACATCACAAATTTTGTTTTGTTACTTGTAATTTTTGTGTTTACTCTTCCCATTAAATGCAATATTTGTATTCCTCCAATTATCTCTAATATTTGGTTTTTCTATAGTGCATAACGTATACAGATCCACGAACTAATCGTCCTCAGCGAAGAAAAAAACGCGGCAAAAGAAATCCTGTATCAATTGAAGTTTAGGTTGATGGCTGTATTTTAAGATGTTCGTTATTTTAAATCACATTTATATTTATTTGAAATCTTGAGCGGTTGAACCTTGCACATAAAATTCATGTGATCGGTTGACTGCTAACTTTAGTAATAATTATTTCCGGGTTTTGTCGGTAATGCGATGCGGTTCTGCGTATGAATACTAATGTAAATTACGATATGTAACAAGCTACATGAATTGTCTCGATGAGTTTTTACAAATTGAAAGCTCTTATATGTCAAATTGTAGCTATCATAGAAATGTGTTAATTGTTAGAGCTCTATATGTTGCATTCTCGAGCTGGCAGTTTGGTATGCGGTAGGCATAGCAACCATCTTTGATTCCTCTTCATGCACATGCCATCAAGTGTGCTCGAGTCTTGATGTAAAGAAACATTTCTAGAATATAATATGGTTATGTTTTATTGTAGATAATAACCGTCAATTTCCCAAGGAATGGTAATTGACTACCGCGGTATTTGCTCATATCTGTGCTATCATATTTGTTGTCAAGATTAATGAACTTCGACTTAAGTTAGATTAGTTAATAATTATATTATGACTTATGAGATATGAATTCGAATTATCACATATATAAACAAGTATTCATCTACGTTTTAACTGCAGTTGAGTTTGTTGTTTATTTCGTCAATTCTTGATCTTGTCTGCATGGCCATATTAAAACCTTGCTCTCAGTATTCAAATGAACAGTCAACAGTTACAAAGGAAAACAATGTCCACGTCCAAATCAATTGAAAGGGATCTCAAAACTCTCCGCGCATCAAAGGTATTTTTATTATTATGTAGATTTACGTTTGCTGTAACATCATGTTTCTTAAAATTTTACCTAGCATTAAATAATCAGTGGGTACGTTTTTTATCAACATAATATTCTACCGTAGTCTATGGAACGGATGGCTATTCTATTTACATTTAATTACAATATAGGTCCTATATTATAGGACATATCTAGGCATGTGATCTCTTTAGAATATGACTGTGTTTCACCAATGTTGCAACAGAGTTGACGAAATGTTCTTCCATCTACCCAGCCCGCTTCCTTGCGTATAGTAAAAACTGCTAAAGTTGATTTTTATGGGGATTAAGATATACAATCACGTTTATACACTTAATATTTTGTTCTTGTATTTACATATTCTTTTAAATGCAAAAAATTCAATGACTGTAACGAATAATGATAAGATTTTTTATATCTTCATACTCATACATACTAATATTTTCCATTTTAGTTAACATTTCATCATGTCTGTTTTGTCTTACTTCTATTCCAAATTATCTATGTGATAATTTTTTCTAATTCTAAGCTTATGTCGACTTTTCCAAAGTATAACATGATGATTATTCAATTGGAGAAGTTTTATAACGAAGAAGCAAAAATAATTGAAAAGAATGAGAAAAGGACCTTGATTTAAGGTGATTAAATATGATGCTATAGTGTTTGGGTTTCGTAAATTCTTGTTACCTTAAAGTGCGTATGAAACAAGAATTTTGCAAGTTAAATTATGTTTGCAATTATCAGAACTTTTGAAATGACAATGTACTTTCTAAAACAGCAAATGCATATCTCTATATATTCTCGTGATATTGATGTTTTTGTTATTTCTAGTTTATCCAACTTGTGACGTTCATATTGCACAATGAGTTCACACAATGTTTCAAACACTCTTCAGTTTCCTGGCAACTTTAGGTTGATACCATTAGGCTACATTTTTTATCATTAACCACGTCACAATGAAGTGAACTCTTTCCTTGTGAATTAAAGTAACGATAATTATACCCAGCAATTCTAGTTCTCATTATACTATGTGACGTCACAAGTTCCATAGGACAAAGCAAGAATCTCAATATCCGAAGAATTATGTGATATGCATTAACTAGTTTAAAATGTCCATTGTCATTTTAAAATATCTCTTCAATAAAAGTGTTATTCAGATAGCAAAATTTTCGTTTCATAAGCACTTAAATGAAAAATTTAGGAAGTCTAATGATGCATTATATACGAAACGAACATACACACCTGGACTATAAGGCCGTTGTTTTACGGCAAATAAGTAGCTAATTTTCAAGGACCATAAAACTGTCGTCTTGTGTGATTTTGAAATTACTGTTCAGGTTTCTGGCAAGGTTTTAGAAAGATTTAGGTAACGTTTGACAAGTTTTATTACGGCGTCTTTGGAAGGTTTGAAGGGTTTTGGTTATTTTAGAAAGCTCTTGGAAAACGTTTGAAAAAGATACATCACTCAGTTATGGAAAGACTTCCAACATTTTTGTTTTTTGTTTTGGGAAGGGGTCTCTAACAACGTCTTGCAAAGGTTTATCAATCCGTATTTGGATGCTTTTGGAAGATCTTGCATAACGTTTTTGTTCTAACATTTTCTTATCGCGATACTGTTTTGTCTTCATATTTTAGTTTATACTTTACCCTTCAGGCCTTTTCTTTATGATGAGGATGACACGTACGAAAGACCATTTTATGACATTCTTCTCAAACTCTTGTATGACATCGTCAGGTAAGTTAGTCCTAAATATCAATGTGTTATCAACGTAACTAATGATTGGTGAATTTTTGTCTCTCTCTAGTTTCCAAAGCTATAAAAACAGCAAGAAGATGTGAACAAAGTGTACGAGTGGTTTTAACACATAGAAGATTGATCAGCCAGGATATTGTATGTTCTTTTGTTAATGGAGATTTTTGTTAAAAGGAGAAGGTGCATTGAAAAATTTTCGGTCGTTCTGCTGTTACGGGTTGCATTTTATCAAAAAATTGTGATTGTTGCGTGATACATAGCAAATTGGATTAGTATTGATAGAGAATACTTGCCAGTGACAAATATTGAAATGATAGAAAGCGACTGAGCATAAGTTCTTTAATGTACATATCACAAAACTTCACGAGTTCTAGACTTAAGCATGCAAATATTCATGATTATTTAATACAATTTTTGAATTTCGTATCATGTAAACCTCACGGATTTTTTGTATTAGTTTATCAACAACAATTACGCGTTTTCTTCATAGAATAACTGCGATACATCGTCCAGCGACAATGAGGTTACTAGAGAGAATATTTCAACCCCCAAACTTCTGCTAAGACCTGCTACCGCTGATAGTAGTTGCAATCGTGAATCTAGACATGTGACTTGTTCACGTGACTTAAGATCGTCAATGACGCATTATGAAGACGTTAAAAACCGCAACGTGAGTTACACCACTTATGTTGAATGTTTTTGTTTAGACAGTCATTTTATTTGAAGCGAACATTTCGCACTTATTTTTTAGAGAAAGAAATACAGTCCTTTGGATAGTGTATCAATAGCGTTGAAAGTTACTCCATTGAACCAACATAAAAACAAATTAAATAATAAAACTCATTCAAAACTTGAACGAAATACTTCTTATGTAAGTATATAGATTTCAATGAACCATTTAATATCTTTTTATGCAGTTAAGACAACTGCATGCGTATATTTCTTATACATAGTTTCCCACTCGCCCACAAAGAAAGTGTTCTTTGCCAGCAGATTTTATTTTGAAACCATGTAAACAGACGTCTTCACCACCTGCTTCATCAAAAACTTCCAACTTCTCAATTTCTCCGAAAACGTCACCTGTACAAGGAAAATCGCCGTCACAATCTCCACTGGTTCCACGAAGGTAACTTGCGTGCTGTCATAAATTAATGGAGAAAATTTTCTTGAATACGAATAATTTTATACAAAAAGTTAATTTCAAAGCAATTGAAAAACTGTGCAATTTGAGTTCATTTTGTAATCACTGTATCGTGAAACACAAAGCCTCTCTCGGTTAAAATATAAAGTATCACATCGTCAAATAATTCAGATGCATGGAATACGGAAAAAAATTGTTCCTGCACACATCACGAGAGTAAAAAAAAGACATGTCAAATAATTATACAGATATAACTCAATCATTGGAAAAACTGAATTTTGACTCAACTGTAGATGATAATATTAAAGATGATTCATTTTTTGTTTATTGTATTATTATGTTTTACAGGATTGCCTTTAATAATCAAGATTCTGCGCTCAGCAACAAATTATTTCAATGCGAGTCTGACAATCCTTTGCAAGTAAAAATATTGAACTTTCCTCAACGAACTTTAAAGCGAACACAAACAATGGAGAGGAAGATGCGAACACAACTAAAGAATTCGAGGGGATTTTCAAAACAGGTATGGTCGATAAGGAAGCTAAATTGCTTGAGAATCAGCTGAAACATCTCCAAAATAGAAAAAGAAACAAAGAACTGGAACTTATGGAGCATTTTAAAAGTGATACCGAAAATCTTCTGCTCGACGAAATTACTCTCCAGTCGCTACTGCTACGAGATTATGAACAGTTCATCAAAGATGAAAGGGAAAGGAATGCAAAGGAATTTGAATCGTTATCAAGTACCCCTTCGACTTTACCGAAAGTTGAATTGTATGATGTTGGTAAAGAGCGGCCAGTATCTGCTGTCGAACTCCGGTATGTGAAAGATGTATTAACCTTAAAAATTATGTCGAATCACTGCGATTTAAAGGCACGTATCTGAAGTGTAAAAAGGACAGATAGCATTTACCAAAGAAGGATAGCCAAAGGAATTAAATTATCCGATGATGTCATTGGTGTCACACATTTCCGTATTGCAAAATGATTCTGTCGGTCCATTGATCTTATAAATGTTTTATTTTTAGAAATATCCAGGATAATAATGTGTGTTTAGAATCAATTATTGATTTAGTACATCCAGTTAGTGAGCAAATGAAATACGCGAGAGAAATGAAGGTATTTATCTTCCATATGGCAATAAATTTGCATTCCAACATCTATGAGATTACATCTCGTGCATGTTGCAACTTGCTAGATTGCTTAACGTGAGGGTGCATAACAGCATGTTAAGGGTTGCATAACGTGCATGTTTTAAGGTTACATAACGTGCATGTTGCAAGATTGTATAACAGCATCTTGTAAGGTTACCTAACATGCATGTTGCAAGATTGTATAACAGCATCTTGTAAGGTTACCTAACATGCATGTTGCAAGATTGCATGGCATGAACGTTAAAGATCGCATAACGGGTATGTTGAGGGATGCAGAGCATGCATGTTGTAAAGTTGCGTAACTCTATATACACATGTTCATCACCTTTTTTTCCTTTCTTCAGTCAAATGGTATGAGTATTTGGGATATGGAGTCAACAATGTCCGATACAATACATTCATGTCAAAGAAATCATTCTGCTGCATCTCTCTCGTCGTTTTATGATGGTTTGGACAGGTATGAGAATTTTTTTATATTTTTCCAATACTTTAAAACATAAAATTTCCCGACAGATTTTGACGAAATTGCGCATGTTTATGTAAAACTGCATAATTTTTTGAATTTTGCAGAAAATTTGATAATATACATTCATTAAAGTTTACTGAACCTGACTTGAAACCAGAGATGAAAGCCAGTGACTATACTGTCCATTTTCCTCATCAATATTGCAATCACGATTCAGATTTAAAAGATTACAAAACATCTGGACCTGTATTACCTGACTCCGTCCGCTACAAGTACGTTATCTTTAATGGCAGTCTGTAATTACTTAATAAATTATCTTTGTAAATATTTTGACATAAATTAACTTAAAATATGTTTTGCAGGTGGACTGACGATGGTTTTGGCAACAGGACGTACTTAAAAAAGCGAAACCCAATGTAATATTTATTTATCATTTTATATTTCTACTACCTTTGATGGGTACATGCAGATTAAGAAAGTGCTTATGATGTTTATCTTTTTGTTCCTGTTCAATCCTGAAATACCTCAATTCTTAATTATTTGCAGAGAAAAAAAATCACATTCGTCTCAAAGATCGTTTTCTCCTTTACTTGATTGCGATGTTTCCATGGTTACAGGAGAGCGGGGCTTGGATGAAAAAACACTGGCATCCATGATAGTTATAAGGCATTTAGGAAGCAAAGATCGACGCAGCGACAAGTAAATAATTATTTAAACATTTACTTAGGAGTGTTAGTCTTTCCTGATTTGAAAAGTTTCGTGTTGAAATTATTCTAAAAAATTGTGCGTTGGGTGCGAAGTATACAGGCTTTAAAAAACATATAGGTTGCAATAAATCTTAAGTCAACCATTTTTGTCGTGTCATTGCCATAGCAATATGCCAAACTTAAGGTGAATTGACGTGAAAAAATCTTCATTCAAATATTTTTCTTTTATTGGGATGCGGGTGCTTGAAATTGATAATACTCCATTTGCTTTGAGAATTTATTTTTGATCAACTTCTGGTGATTTATTTCAAGACTTGTTGTTGCAGCGTGTTTTCCACTCGATCTTATCCTGTTTATAAGTTGGACGAATCTGTTCATTTTCATCCATCTTTGGAAGACTCAAGTGAGGAGGGGGACAAATCTCGACACAACGTCGAATATCTTCCTTTCTGGAAGCAGATACTTGCTAAAAGAGGTACATTTTTGGCTATTATTCGAAACTGAGAAAAGTTTAAAATACCAAACAATAAACACCTTTTGTGGTCTATTTTATTGATGGGACTAGTCGTTCAAAGCAAAATTAACTTGGTCGACTATCACAGATTTTTTTGCCATATTTCACTATTAAACAAATATTTTCATCGCAATCTATCAGATAGAAAAAAGATAGAAAAGATGCTTACATTCCTATATTATTAGTTTTTCGTTTAAACGTAGCTGTTGCAGCTCAAGATACTTCTAAAGGAGAGAAGTTGAATGCAGATTGCAGAATTGATGTAAAGGAGAAAAGAAGTGAAAAATGTTCAACTCAACCTCAAAACGTCTTGAGAGAAATGTTTTCTAATCTCTCTCCCCAAAAAAGAGAAAATTACAATGTGGGTACCAGCTCTCTCAGTGTAAGGGCACGATCTATATCACCAGTACCAAGGCGACGACAATTTCCAACACCAAATAATAACGCATCACGTCATCTACGACCTGCTCCGAGTCCTACCCCGACTCACAGTCGACCTACATCAGCAAGACGTTCTGATAAAGATAACATATCGTCTGCCAACTTCTCGGTAAATCATTTTTCGCACTTCTATTTAGATGATAATGTATGTATGTTGCTATAATGTTTGATATTTTGGTGTGGCATATAGTCTGAAATGGTTGAGAACCTTGGTTTTAAAGAATCTGTACACATAACCAAAACTATGCATTCAAAACCTTTACAGTTGGAACTTATGGATGACTACAAACGTCAACGTGAAATATGGGCAGCAATTAACATCCAAAGGTAGCTCTGTTTGTTTCCGTTATGTGCAAAACCACAATGCTTTGGTCTTGCCATTTTGCTTATGAGAATTGACAAATTATTGCGTTGAATCAACAACTATAGCTATATCATCATTTTATTTTAACGTATATCATTTAACATGACAAAGTGAAGTTTTCATCTCAAAGAAATAATAATAATAATAATAATATTAAATTATCTAGTGGGAAAGAAATAATTGCTTGTGTTATATTTCGTTGCCATTGTATAAATAATGTTTTGATGTTATACCTTAATTTGATATAGAATTTTTCGTGGTCATATATCACGGAAGTATGTAAAGTCTCTCAAGCAAGCGAAGAAGGATCGCTTAAGAAAAGCAGCAGTAGCCTTACAGAGGTCCGTTTTATAGTGCTTTTCAGTTTTTCTCGTAATAATATTCCTAGAATTTACTATTCTATGATAGTGCGAAGCAATCAATCTTTACAGAAATTCTATACTCTAAGTATATATAATTTACAGCACATTTCGTGGATATTTGGCGCGAAAAAGATTAATGAAGGAAAACTTGCGGAATTATAAACCAAGCGTGCGTGATTTGCTATGGGCTAGACAATATAAAGAAAAACTTAAAGAAAAGGAAATGATGAGGCAGAGAAAGAATATGGGTATTTTACGAAAGTAAGTTATCAGAAATAATGACTCCATGCTTTGAAATCAGCAAAAGCCAACTTAACACTTCTTTTTCTACATTGTGCAAATCCTTTTTTACATCTATTTTTTATTGCCTTTTTCCGTTTTATCTTTGCGTCCAGGCTAAACAGAGAATTTGAAAAACATCAAGAACAAATTTCTAGTGTTACTGCTTCAGACATGATTCGTGTGTAAGTCTAACGTCGCTATTATTTCATAGAAATATCTCAGTAACTTTAAAAAATTCATGCGTAACTATAAGAACACGTAACATTTAGTAGAAATGTCTGGATGCATGGAATAGTGACAATTATCTGTTACAAACATTGCACGCAACCAAACGTCTTAAATAGTGTTTATATTAAGTTCTCTTCCAACTTCTCCTTTTGTTTCTTCCTATAGTTATTCATAGAGATATTGCTAAATAAATATTTTTCTTTCAGTATCTTTAACCCTCCAAAACCTTCAAAATCTCAAATGAAAGCAGCTGCAATAACCATACAAAGGTTTGTCGTCATTAACTTTGTTTAACTTTTCCGTGTTTCGTGAACATTATTAGAGGTAAGACAATGGTGGCATTTTTTAAATAACCGGAGTTATAAAATAATTTTTTAGATATTTTCGTGGTTGGTTTGTTAGAAAATCATTGTCTACTGTGAAGAAAAGGGTGTGTGTCTATTGTGTGTCATACCTTTATGGTTTTGATGCAAAAGTAGAGTTTAACTTTATGCTTTTTCGCTAATTTTTAGGTTTTGAAGCGAACTTTTTCTTTCTCAAAGTTTATTAAATCTTATCAAAACCTCATTCACCGGATTCAGAAACGATACAAATATGATAGTCCATCTTCTACATTACAGTTTCACGAACTTGAAGAGTATGTCGACAGATTATTTAGTAAGTATATATTACTAAGTACACGTGTGTTTAATATTAGGTTATATACTTACGCTGTAAAGAAAGGATGCAAATTTTGATTATGTACAGTGAGAGATAATATCACTCTAGTAAAAAAACTACTTTTCAAATCAAATATTTTTCTGTGTAGAATATGAAATCGCTTTTGGTAAGATAGCCGAGAATGGAATTTTGAGGTATGAAGATGTTTTAAGATATTTTAACGAATGCGGACACAATCCATCGGAAAAAGAAGTACACGATGCGATTACTATGGTGATGAAAGGTTTGCTAAGTAGTATTGTAGTTTCATTTCATTTTATTGTTTTGTGCCAAATTAAGGAATATATATGAAATATGTCAGTGATGTCAATTTAACCGAAATCAAAATGTCTCTTAAAATTGTTAAGCCGCAAGAAGTATAAAGACATTATTTATTAGTGATGGAGATATTTATCATCGAAATTCACCGTGTCTTGCTCAAATATGTATACTAATGTAATCTATCCTATTTCTTATTCAGATACTTCAAAAGAACGAGGTTTGAGAAAGGCTGAAGCAGTTGAAGTCGTATTCCACATATATATACCTAAAGGCACAGGACTTACTTTGGCTGATGTTCGTAAATCGTCCTGGATGAACCCTCTCGTTAATGGACAAGACGTAAATAAAGTTCTCAGCAAAAAGGACTTAAAATTTACTAGCCTAGACAAAGTTTTTAAAATGATTGCTGACTCGCGAAAAGAACGCAGTCTAGCTGAGGAATCAACACGAGATCCTCACTCTCAGATAGTGTATCATGCTAACAAGAAGAGAGAAAATCCTTTTCTTGAAAGTGGAAAGAAACGGTCACAGCAATCGTTAGGCAAGTCTGCGGGAGGAGGAAATGATACTATTTCTCATCGCCTACATGTACCAAGCAAACCAAACGAAAAGAAGCAATCTGGAAAAAGAAGACCAGGGAAATGAAAGAAATGAATTTTCTTATGGAATCTTTGTTTTGTCCAAGAGATTTTTTTTCCTTTTTGAGTGAATCATGAAGAAATTCTGGTGTGTGGGATGCTTCCAGGCTGTTGTCATTCGTAAATATACATACATTGTCTGTATAAAAAAATTATTACAAATTTCATTTATTAGATTGTTAGCTTTCTATTTTCTGTAATGTTTGGTTTATTATATAAGATGATGGCGTATGTCGCGTAATAATTTTATAAAATTCTATTTAGATTTATTATGATCAACTTTTCGTTACGAAAAACGCTGTACAACTTGCGCATGCACCTAAGCAACATATACAAAAGAATATTATCCCCATTATGACGTAACTCACCGTTACAACCCAGAATGCAAACCAATAAACAGTAGGGTCACAATAGTTTGAAAGATTCTTTGAGGATGGTTTCATATTGGGTTTGTAGTGAGAATAAACCCATACATTTCCAGCTATAAACCATGTAAACATGAATATATTTAGAAGCCCGTCCATAAATTTGCTTGTATTTGATAAGTCTTCGTTTGATGAATAATTTTCGACGAATGCCTGCTCTTGAGTCGTGTTACAACTCTTAAATTTTTCAAACGATAACGTAAGGCATTTCAAAAGTCCACATGAACCGGCGATAATGAGATAGATCGGTATGAAAGGTTCTACTGGACAATTGTGTCTAAAGTGAACGCCTGAAATGATAAAGTGTTAATGGACTACAAAAAGGAATAAACATTTGTGCTACTTACTTACTCCTATTGTATTACATGTTACTTACCAATGACGATCATGGCCGTTGGAAGAGCCAAGAGAAAACATGTAGCAATGGTACAGCCGACTGGAAAAGTATTAAACAAGATGTTTTTTCAGACACCAAAAGAAACGCTTCCATGTACATATTGAAAGCAATTCCATGTAAGTATATATCTAGTCGTGCGTCCTTAATTTTTCTTTTTAAAAACATTTTGCATGATATAATTGACTCGTCGCCAGAGTTTAAAGATGTAAAACAAAGAAAGAAACCCACTTGTTCCAGCAAATAATTGAGTTGCTGTTTTCATAAAATCAAATGGTCCATCTGACTTTTCCTTAACTTCCTTAAATTGTCCAAACAATGATGGATAAGATGGGGGAGGATCACCATTTTCCCAGATCTTTTCATCCTCTTCGTGAGACACACGCTTTCTTTTCTCTATCTGAAAAGCAAATTTCTTGTTACTCGTAAATAAATACCAGCCCTAGTATTATAACTTGTATTGGTTTCAGAGGTAGAACGGCTGAAGTTTGTAAATTTGCACTTTGAAGAGTAGTATTGTTGTAAGTGCGCTCAGGTGTAATAAAACTTTTGTCTTTCCGTTTCTCGAAAAAAATAGGAAGAAATGTCATTTGTTGTAATCACTTATCAGCAATGTCAATTTCAAAGCTACGTCTTTCGTAATCAACTTTTTGTTTGATCAGCTCTCAGCATTCTGAACATCAGCATTTTTCATATGAACGCCCCTTCTTAAAGTGAATTGCTTATTATGCATAAAGTTGATGGATCATGAATGATATGACTACTCCCATACTGTTCGTACTCGTAGTTACATAAATTCTTTTGTCCTTGTTGTCAGAACTCAGAAACAAAGCTTTGATCATCGTACATATTTGGAAATGAGTTTGGTCTGTATAGGCTAATTGATCTATGTATAAAAATATCAGAAGGCCAAGTTCTGGAGCAGTGAGTTTTATGAAAACATTTACTCTAGCTCATACAAGTTGAAGTGTTGAACCTTCGAGTAAGCTATAATAATCATTTTCATTCGTAATCTGCTGTAGTCAATTTATATGTTACCTCAGTTCTAAACCAGTCTTTCCATTCTCCGACACCGTCGCTTAACTCATCGTCGGACATCATCCGCGATTAAAGAAAAACCCGAAAGCAGTAGTTGAATTTATAACGCCATGCAATTGTCATACACTTTACAATCATTGCCTCCCAGGCGCATGTTTTACTTTTATGACGAAATTTGTAAGCTGAGACGCTATATACCTAACTATTGACACAATGATGTTGTGTTTTAGTTGAATGAAAAGCATATGGCCATATTCATTGTCACGGTCGTTGTATCACAAACAAAGAATAACCAGTGAACTGTGTAGGCAATATATTAACATAAAATAAACATAAAAAGCAAAATGATATTAAAAATGGATTCTATTCTTGCGCCATTTAAAAAACATCAGCCTTTCAGCTGGGAAAATATTTTTATCATCGCAAAACGGTCATCTAATTTTACCTCGTCAACTGCGATTTGTTGATTCATTATCACAAAAAGATGCAAAATACCATTTTGTCCTAGATGTAGTTAATAAATTATTCAAGCTAAGGTACTTAGGCTTGAATACTAGGTAGTTGATCCTTCAAACGACCTCGGAACTAGGAAGGAACTCTTTGTAATCTTTCTTACGATTTCGTTGTCTTATATTGAAATTATCATTTATTATTTATAATTCCTGAACAACAATAGCGATACCCGTGCTATACCAATGACTGAATCATTGAAAATTGTTGAGGCATTTAGGACTAAACATTGATGTGGAAACTTAAGGTTGGCAGTTAGCACAAATGGCAAAAGTAAATATTGTATCAATTTTACGAGTAAGCACACCAAATAACAGTATCAACAATTTGTCATGTGATTAATTTATTGAAAGTGCAATTGTGAAATTAACTACTAACAAGAAAATGTGCAGTTGTAAAATGAGTGCAATTGTAAAATGAATTTCAAATAAGAAAATCGATATAGAGAAAAAGTTCAAATTCATGGTCGTTTTTTAAACCATTCACCCACTCCAGGAAGGTAATGAATTGTTTGATAAAGTTCATTTAAACAAGGATAATTATCCAAAATGGGTGGAATATCTTCTTTTATTTCCAGGAAAAGCAGATCCATAGTGGCAAAAAAGTTTACATCAGCATAGGTCAGCTAAAGGGAAAATTTTATTGTGATTGAAAGAAATTGTATTTTGATGTATATTGCTTCCACATTAGACAACGTATGGTGACATTAGGAGCTACTTTAATGAAATGTTTTCCAAAGAATGCCTTCGGTGAAAATTTTATACCTTATCAGGAACAAAATATTTTCCCTTGGAATACTTGAGGTTTTTTCCAAGAGATTTAATGCATTTAGTAGAACCTCTTCTTAAAATTCTTTGGCAAATTTTTTCTATAATAAATACATTTTAATAATAAAATCATGAAATCATGTAATTTTCTTTCTAATACCACTTTTCTAATTGTAAGTTTTACCTTAAGCTCTTCATCTTTTTCCTTGTGGAGTATTGAGGTTTTTTGCAAGACCTCACCCAGTGTATCACCAATCATATCAGCTTTAGCAATGCCAAAACTGTCTGTTGGTGCTAATCCTAAATATAAAGCAAACCAAAAAATTCCAAGAAATACTGTTGAACATTTAGGTGATTTAGGCAATCAAAATTTCCTAAAAAGTTTCATTTCATGTCATGCATATATGAATAATGCATTGCCTCCCTCCGGGCCCTTATCGTCGATTTTCGTCCTTTGTCCCTGTTTGGGTATTGAAATGTCCACACGCAATGCCAATGGTGAGTATCCAGTAGTGGGAGTACCCAGGAGCACTCAGTGGCAGTGGGAGTGTCAATGCCACTGGTCATGTCCAGGCCCAGGCCCCATGTCCCGGCACGTGCACGGCCAACAATACATAATTATTATAATATTCTACAACAATGAATGTAAAATATTGATTCACTGAAGACCGAAAATAGAGGAGAGTGTACTCGTGAATGTGGAAAATATTCCCACATTAAAATCTTCAAGATTAAACAACGCAAGGAATGAGGCTAGTAATATTAGACAATTATAACTTTGTCAGTGAATGGGCTGCCAAGTATGTTCGTAACAAAATACTTGCTGCCAATCCTGGACCGGATAAATATTTCGTTCTTGGCTTACCAACAGGTAAACGCACGATTTGTTAAATATAACTTAAAGATGTACTAGTATTATTTATTTTGGGATTTGAAAGTGACGAGAAGTATCGCGTTTGTATAAACAGACACTCGTCAAAAATTATCCATTTGACTTTTATGTCACAATTTTACCGTCCAGTGTTGCTCGCACAGGATAGTATATAATTTTATAGGGACTGAGGGTGGGGACTCCATCACTTGGGCTCCCAGCAATTTCTTATCAACTGTTCAAGTAATATAAATTGCAGTAAAAGAAAAAAATTTTAATCCAGAGATTGCTAACTGCATAAATGCTTGACAAATCTAATTTATTCAGCAAACTGCAAGTGTACATAATATATGTCTTATATCATACATCACAGTTATTTCCTTTGTTATTTAGGTTCAACACCTGTTGGAATGTATAAAAAGTTGATTGAGTTCCACAAGACTGGTGAACTGTCCTTCAAGTATGTGAAAACATTTAATATGGATGAGTACGTAGATCTTGCACGAGATCACCCTGAAAGCTATCATAGCTTTATGTGGGACAATTTTTTCAAGCATATTGACATAGATCCAAAAAATGCTCACTTGCTTGATGGTAATGCTGAAGACTTGGAGGGGGAATGTAAAAGCTATGAGGAAAAATAGCTGCTGTGGTGTGGATCTTTTATTGGAGGTACAGCAAGCTAGTTTTTTGGTTCTTGATTTTTGAAGAGTAGATCACAGCTATCTTTCTACTCATGTCATTGCAGTTATAACTAGCTTTTAATTGTGTAAAACTTCATGTAAATCATTGTGTATTGAGATGACTGACTACAAATCCATGAAAAAGTTGATTTTAAGAAAATTTTCCCAAGATGAAAGTAGTTAAATGGGGATAATACCACATGAAAATTTTAAAAAAATCCTACGTTGTTATAGTGTGACCATACATGAATAATTAATGACTAATTCATTATGGATTATAATAATGGGGTTAAGGAAAAATTTTCTGTGTTAATTTGTGATTTAAGATCACTGGCCGAAAAAGTGTTCAATTCGTGATAAAATTTGAGCCATTCTCAGTTTAAAGAATCATATAAATGTAATTTTAAGTTAGTGCTTTATGTATCACCTAAAGGCATTGGTCCTGATGGACATATTGCTTTCAATGAGCCTGGCTCATCACTTGCTTCTATTACAAGAATTAAAACATTGGCTAAAGAGACCATTGTTGCCAATGCAAGATTTTTTGGAGGTAAAATTTCTGATGTACCGACCCAGGCTCTCACTGTTGGTGTTGCTACAGTCATGGAAGCTCGTGAGGTAATTATTTTTTGATGCACACATAATGAAATCTTTCTGTAGTGGTTTGTATTTGACAAATTACTTAAAGAATTATCCAAAATACTTATAAAGTTTGAATAGCCGATGAAATATGCCAGTTTTTTTTAATGAGAAATACATAAAACAATCACAACAAGCCCACAGAAATGTTCACGTTGTGTGAACATTATTTAAAATATTACCTCCTAGGTTAGCTTAACTGTTTGGTTAATAAGATTTTTAGCATGATAATAGAATAAGATCTTGTAAGATTATGAACCAAATTAAAATCTGTATTGTAATCATACACATCATATTTATTTCATTAATTTTCATCATGTCACAACACAATCAGTTTCTGAAAAACACCAGTAGTTTAAAGTTTTTGAATATGGAAAAGGTCAGGAAAATGTTAAGTAGATCCAGGTAGTTAACATGCTTAAAGGAATTAAGCTTTTACATAGAGAAAGTAATTTTGTTAACATCATTCTTACAAAATTTTTATAAGACATATATTAACTTTTAGAAAGTTGCATGTGAAAACTCCTGTATTTTATTATCTTAATTTTTATTTTTTATTTTTTTGAGTTTTATCATTTTCATTATTATGAGTTGAATTTTACACATTGTTGAATTTAAATTCATATTTTAGGTTATGATTTTGATTACTGGAGTACATAAAGCCTTTGCTTTGCATAAAGCCATTGAAGATGGTGTGAATCATATGTGGACTGTGTCTGCCTTTCAACAACATCCTCAAACAATATTTGTTTGCGATGAAGATGCCACAATGGAACTTAAAGTGAAAACTGTGAAATATTTCAAAGGTTTGATGGATTTACATAACAAACTTGTTGAAGAACCAGGAAATCCAGCATCTCCTGTCAAACGCACCAGAAACATTCAATGTCTAAAATAAATAAAAGATAAAACGAGATTTTACAATGTAATGCCATTTACTAAATTCAAGATTCGCAAACATTGTACCATGATTAAAAATGTTGTAAGTATGCCAAATTTTTGTGTACTAATTTAGATAAATGGTTTGCAGGGAATATTAGATTTTATGAAATAACGTAATGGTACAACTTTGCTCTATCTCTTATTCATATTATTTTATTATATTATTGATGTTATTTTCTGTATTTTCCTATCAACGTGTAAGTTAGGATATGATCAGTCAATAAATAGACTTACACAGCTTGTCTATGGTTGACATCTTACTATAAAATCATTAAGAAACATAGTCACCCCATGTGTTGGACACTCACTTTTAGGATTACCATATTGAATTTGTTTGTCAGTGGAACAAAGCTGTAAGAAGAAAGATTTGAGCTTTTACTTAAATTACTTGATTTCCATATTATCGTATGCACGCAAAAAGATGCAACTTATTTCAGTGTTGAATACAGAATGTTGAAGCAATGTCTTAGCACCCAATTTTCGTGGTTGTTGAAAAAATAGAGCGATATTGTTGGACAAACATTGTGACGACATTTTGAATTTGAATTATAAGAATTTGTTAATTAACCGTTTTGGTACTACTACGAACAAATAAATTGCTAATTTGCCAATTGAACCGGTCCTGTATGAAAAAAATAACGTGATATCTTTAGTTGCATCAAAGTCTTTCACTGTGTGTTTTAGCCTTAAAAAACTATCAACAAAAAAATAACTTTTTTATCACTAAGGTATATATTATAGCTTGTTCACTTGAGAATTGATCACGAAACTTTCACCTTGGGTAAAATTTTTCGAAGCAATCATTATTTTGACAAATTTGATTATGTAGTTATCTTTCATCGCGCGTTCAACGAACATCGTGGGACTTTTTAAAGATTGTATAGCGTGCTTTACCAATCACGTGGACTTTCAATGATTGTATCACGTAGCTTACGAGGCACGTGGTACTTTCAATGATTGTATCACGTGGCTTACGAAACATGTTGTACTTTCAAACATTGTATCACGTGCTTTACGAAAAGCTTGGGGGACTTTCTTAGGTGGCATTCACTACATGATACAATGGGCCACTAAGCTACTGACTAAATCATCAATTTAAACAAAATCATAACTGCTAATTCCTGAATTATAATTAAGTTTTCTTTCCGTAAAACAGATAAAATGTTTAAATTCATGGTCGCTTTTTAATCCATTCATCCACTCCTGGAAGGTAACGAATATTTTGATAAAGTTCCTTTAAACAAGGATAATTATCCAAGATGGGTGGAATATCTTCTTTTGTTTCCTGGAAAAGCAGGTCCAAACCGGCGAAGAAATTGATATCAGCATAGGTCAGCTAAAGATAAGAATATATTTGTTGTTGTAAGAAATTGTATTGTATAGTGTGGTTACATGTTTAATACAACATATGGATTGCATTAGCATAAAGCCCATTGAAATGTTATGTAAAACAACTGATGAGTGTTGAACATGATGGTTACATTTGTAGAGACGTCGTACCTTATTTGCAGCAAAATTCTTCTCATTTGAGCTTTTGAGCATTTTTTCTAGTGGTTTCAAAGAATTTGGTAGAATCTCTTCATAAAATTCTTTTATTAACTTTTCCTGCAATATGTATATTAAGAAAATCATTTAAAGTCTCAAACTCCTTTTTCGTGGTTCAATTTTACCTTTTTTTCTTCATCTTTTTCTACAAAGAACTTTTTGGCCTTTTTCAAAATATCGATCATTGCATCGCCAATCATGTCAGCTTTAACAACTTCGTAGCTATCTTCCGGTGCAAATCCTGAATTTTAGGGAAAAAAACCTCAAAAACTTTCATTGAATTTTCATTATCTTTAAAGTATCTCTGTTTATTTATTGGTTCATCTCACTAAATGTAATTACATGTTTTTGTAACAAGTATTTATCGTTTTAAAAAAGTCAATGCAAGCGTCATGAGCGAAGTGCAAGATTACAGAAGGCACCATTAGTGACAAGAAAGAATTGCCTTGTGCAAATGTGAATCCATTTTGTGGTTCAGCTTTATTTTACATCCTACACATCATACTTCAAAAGTCGACTTGTTCTCGTAACTACTGTGAAATATAAATTATTTAAACAATGTAAATGTTATTAACTTTTTCAGTAATGTGTAAAGCCAGCGCGGCCGTTTGGGCGTTAGTCGAAATAAACTCTTGCTATCAACCAAGTTGCCTCTAAGGAACTTGGAAATGTAAATATGATCAAAAATAAGCTACACTAATTTACTTTGACTTAACTTAAATCTTCCATCAGTGCACATATATGCTATCCATTGGTGCTAACTTCCGTCATCTAACTTGTAACTACACACCTTAATTAATATAACTTTCGTCATTTTGTATATATATTTTAAACACTTAAGTATCTATTAAATCCCCTGAAGAGTGAGAAATCACGAAACAGGCTTGTCGGGATGAATCTGTAGTTTTTCGTGATTTTTTTTTTCAACATTACTACATGTATTTACGCTCTGCTCTCGGGCATCGAGCACTGTTTTATACGGAGAATAACATATAAACTTCCTATCTATAGAGTATATATATGAAAGCATTTTCTGAGTGATTGATCATCGAAGTGCGATAAAAGACTTTATTAATAACTAAACAAACCTGTTTCTCTTCCTAAGTACCTCATTATAGCTGATGTTTGAGCTATAATTTTATCATCAAACTCAAGAATAGGTACTTGATTAAATGGAAGCTTGCCACCTGAACATAAATTTGATCGTTATGTTAATTATAATTAGGTAAAGTAATGATATAATAGTATAAAAATACTTATACAGAACATCTAAGGTAACAAATTATCAGGGTAATCGCTCGTGTAAATTAAGTTTGGCAAAATGAACTGCAAAGTGAACTCATTATAATCGTAATAAAACCTTACTGGATTTTAATTGTTGAAATTCCTCCTTTCCAATTCTACAATCTTCATATTTAACACCTGCAGCTGCAAATAGCAGGCGAATAGCTTCAGCACGTCCTCTAACGTTAAAGTATGTGAGCTTGTATTGTGCCATTATAAAGATGAAGCTAATAGTAACCTACAACTTAGTCTATAGACAATATATAATTTTGATTCCCTCAATTGCTTATTGCTGAACCTGGATATAATTAGCATGTATATTGACGCCCAAACAGGTTTTAACAAGCTTACATTGTTTTGCAGCATTAAGTGTTGAATACTTAATGCTGCAAAACAATGTAAGCTTGTTAAAACCTGTTTGGGCGTCAATATACATGCTAATTTAAAACGTGAATCAGCGAATTTCTTTGTTGCTGTTTTCCTCCACTGAGTCACGCGTGGTTATGATCAATCACAATTATGAAAAATCGACAAGTACCAACTAAACTGTTCAGTTCAAATTTTTAATCGCCATTGAAACTGTTTCATTCAAAGTTTGTTGTTGACTAGTATTAATACATATACGTAGATATTGAAATCATGAATTCAAGATGGCAATAATGGCAATCCCCTATGAATTTTTTCAGTTTTATTTGCATGATAAAAAAGCGGACATACCAGAAATAACTTTTCATACTTCGTGGATTCTGAACAGGGCCTGATATAGTGAAATTGCTCTCTTGAATCATGAATTTGGTTATTTTTTCTAGTATTCAATTGAGCCAGATATAATAAAGATCTAGTCTTATCATCCGAGGCGAACCTTTTTGGTCTTTAATGCTCGCGTCGGTCAAATATAGTATCTCGTTAATATAATGTTAAGAAATGATAAATATCTGTGTGTAGCTGAAAAAATGCCCAGTGATTTCATTGTTCACGTTGGCAATTCTACTGAAACTCTTATAGCTACTATTGTTAAACTGTTTAGTGTATATTGACATAATTATGGGATATGGCTCGTAATTTTTGGTTGTACTTTTCCAAGGTTCTACCTCATTATGTTGCGAAGCTCGTGTCTTAGATATTGAGAGGTTGGGCTGAGAACGAATGAAATAAAAAGAGCCAATTCAAATTAAGCAGTTTGTGATTTTAAAGCTGTCTTTCTTATAAATAACAATTTGAAGTGAATTCAATCTGCTTGACGAGTTCGTGAGTTAGTTTTTGATTTGACTTTACTACAAGATGAATAAGACAATTATACTTTCAAATGTACAATATAACTGTTACTGCTACTCGTATATTTACTCTGTTGGAGCTACGATCACGTAGCAATGTATGAATTGTTTCAAACGGATTATTTACATTGTGGGATTTGAAAGCGTCGTTGAAATTTGAACAATCGAGCTGAAATTCTCACGCCACCACTACTATTCAATGTCAATGAAAATGTAAATTATGTTTGTGTGGCACTGCTCAATATACTTTTGCAGCAATTTGAAAGTAATGTTGTAATTCTCCGTTATGAAAAAGAGAACCTGAAGCTTCTCATCCGCGTATTAGCCTTTTTGATGCACGATTTCGTAAACAATCGCTGTGTGAGACATAATTAAACAAATAAGTAGCTAGAAAACCTATTTTTTATCCTCGACAACGGGTACTAGTAAGTTGATGATGCCGTTTTTAATCGCAACATCTGTTCTCACTACTTTATTGGAAATCCACAGTTCATTCCGCATTTTTATTTCAACATAATCGTTCACCAAGAAATCAGTATTGTTGCATCGATCCTTCTATAAATCATTTGAAGAATTGGAAAGTCAATTGGTGACAACACTGTATGTTAAGCAATACATTATTATGACTATCTTTAAAATATTATTTTATCGTTACAATTAACTAGTTGTTCCATAACGTATTCGATGTTTTGTGTCTTTATAACAGTAATTGATATCAATTGATGGCAAATAAAATAATTTAAAAAGTCAGTTTTAATCAAAATTTAAATGCTTTTGTTCTTTTCAATTCAGTCGTGTGGGTAATATGCCATTTTGCGGCAGACTCAAATATACAAAATTTTTATCGACAATTATGGATGAAGTTTGAGGCAGCAATGTCTCTGATGGTTATTCATTGCTGAAATCAGTTCAATTGAAACTGATGAATTCCGAGTTTAGTCGAAATTTTTGCTTTTTACGAGCAACTTGTGATAGATTTAAATTTGTAAATCCAAAACAACGTTGACGGACTGAAACTTGCTTTAAGAATGTCTGAAGTTTATGATTGTAATGTGTCTAAAAATTGCATCTATATTTAGCAAAATTATTATCTGTGTGTATAATAGATGTTTTATTTTGGTTTTCAAGAGTTTTCAATGTTATGAAGTCAATGAATTCGAGCAAGAAATATTTCATATTAGTGATAAACTGTTCGTAAGTATTTTGTAAAACATGTATGTAGATATATATATGCGTACAATCGATCTCATGATATCAGATAAATTGGGTGCTTTCAAGTTTCAAACTCTTTATGAATAATTGTAGTTATAGATTTGGCAACCTTTCTATTCTTAAATATATATGATAAATTAGTCCATTTTCTTCAATGCTAATAGACGTCTTTACAAATCATCATATTTAATTCAAAAACGTACGTGATTTGTCATAACTGAAAACTATTTCAGATACTGCGGCACGGACTTTTCAGCATGTGGTATAAATTTTTGTTTCTGCATGATATTTAGATAACACAAAAATTATATAACTTGTGAGTGCTAAATATTTGCATATCTGTCGAAAAGGATGAATTTTTATAAAAGCTGCTACGTTTTCGTGTTATTGTTGGCTTTACGTACCCTGTGAGGTTTGCAGTCTCACTGTGATAGTTAGGAAAAACTTAAACAAATTTTCTGTGGTGATTTCATCTGTTGCATTCCAGTAAATATTGATGGCATAATAAAGTGTTGATAAGCTGTTGATGTGTCTGTTGATAGAAGATAATTTTCGTGTGCAACTTTGAGCAAATGAAGGTATAAATACATGAAATATAAAAAATTTATCTTTAAAGTTTTATATAAAAATGCATATATATGTATCTCGTGTCTGTCGTGCATTTTTAGAGTATATATATGTAATTATATATCGTAAAATAATTTTATGCCTTTGCTGTATGGTCATCTTGTCTATTTTTTTCCAGTTTTTGATCACGATTATTTCTTAAATGATTATTACAAAGTAAACCTTCGATTGTTTGTAAGCTATAGTGTTACTTGATTGGTAATGTTACTTGTGATGTTACTTTCTTTTTTATTTCTGAAAAGCAACATATAGAGAGCACAAGAAGAGTGAAAATATTTGTCAACTTACGAAACAATGAAGTTGACTTGTTGTCGTAACTGTATATAATACCTCACTTGCAACTCTTCAGTCCTCTATGAAAAACATTTCACCGAAGTTTTTCCAAATGTACGCTCAATACTTCATGCTAATTTAAGATGATTAACTTTGACGTAAATATTCAGTAAGTGTCTAATTTAGAACTCTTGTTGAACAATGTATTTGCATGCGATCACACCTGTTCTCATAGTCTCCACTATAGATAGTAGAAAGACGGCATAATTCATGCTCAAGTTGCTATTTGATAAAAAATATACGTAATCATGAAAAGTACTTCATCTTCGCCCTCTAATTCAAAGACTGTATGGCAAAGAGTATTCGAGGTATCCTCTTTTATGTTGACAATGTCATTACGAAGACATTACTGCTATAACGTTTGTTTCTTGCGTTGACATATGTTTATAGTAGAATGCTAATGATATATTTTATGCAAAGGCATCGACTCGAGAGAATCAATCATGAAATCGCGGTTATGTGTTTTATATCTGTTTCCTTTTTTATTATAACATTCTTCGCTTTATCCAGGCATTATTTTAAATTAGCTGTACGTAGCTGTTAGTTTAGTGCATTCATGATCACTTGTCATACTATAAGATGTGTTAGAACTAATTATATTTTACCAATGTAGTTCTTTTCAATTAGATCGATTTCTTGCTGAGCTTTTTATCTTTTGTGTGTGTAGCTATGCAATATATGTTAAAGTTTTTTCTTGGTTCAATTACAGACACTCAGATATTACTATTTAAATAATATTTGCCTGATCTTCATTGAAAAAATGAAACTGTAGGACGTACCTTTTTTGTTGATTTCAAAATGCTTATGTCTGTATTTTGATTATGTTTTAATAATTTTATAAATTTTTCAAGTTTCCTATGCCTGGGAGTCGTCTTTCGATTGTTTGCTTCTTGTATAATTTGGGTTGAAATCACTAGGAAGATTTTCGTCCAGTCATGAATTCGTGCAGTCATGAAAACGTCATCCTCTGCTTAATATAAAATTGTAAAAATGCATTCATTGATTCCTAAGCAAACAAGTTTTTTAACCACTAAAGTGATGTTTATAAATTTTGAAAAAAGTTGAAACATATTTCACATTTCTATAATACTGCAATGGCACAAAGTACAAATCTTAGCCAGCAGTAGCACTTCGGAGTATTTCTTTTTAGTTTTTATCAGATATTCATACATAGAGATGCTTTCAATTGCTATATACTTTAAATATAGAGACGCTTGTTTTTTTTTACTTTAGTTCGATTGCTATAAATTGATTACAAAAATACAAATTTCCTTGGTTCATACAAAATAAAATCGTAAACGATTTGTTGCATGGAAACGCGTTAGTTCATCAATTATTAAAACTTCATTAGCTACAAACCAATTTTAAATAGCTACATTAATTATTCAGTTAACTTTTAGTAAATTTTGTTTGAAATTATGCTGCCGAGGCACGAATATTGTACAAAAATACTTAGTTAATTGCTTGAGTTGTAGATTTTATCTACATTCGGTAAGCGCTTTCTCACTATCTTAGTCCGACTTTATACATATTTTAATACATCGCTTAACTTTCAAAAATATTCTTTCGTCATTTTTAATTTTCTTTTTGGAAATTCATTGGCTTAAATTTTGAACATAACATGTGTTCAGCTTTTAATCACTTGTTTACGATGTCATAAACATATAATATTTAGAAAATTGGATAATTTTGAAACATTGGCTCTTTCATGTATCAATGCATATTTTTGTCTATCTCGACATTACACAAAGGAAATTACTTCAACGCATTCCTAAACCAAAAAACGATCTTACGCATGCAGGTATTGATGGTTTATAATGTCCATTATATTGTTGATAAAATAGATAAAAACTTATCTGAGGTCATGCATGGGTGTGTCCTTGTACTACATTATGGAAAGTTTTCAATTGTTTTACACCATTTTTATTACAATTTTGGGAGAAATCTGACTTTATAAAGTTTTCCAAATCATTAGTAAATTATTTGGTTTACTCTAATCAAACACAGCTGGCTGTGCTAAAGAATTTGTTTCTCAGCAACGCTACTTACGAGCAAGAACTCAAAAGGAACATCAAATAGTTTAATTTTATCTTCTTATCCATTAAAAGAAACCCAAGCGAACACAAGATGGTTAATTTAGTCCAAATAATGTCTTCATTTAATTATATAAATGATATTTGACATAAAACAACTTAAACACGCGATTACTAAGCCCTTTATAACCGAGCCTGAGGTCTTTACGGAGAAATATCGGACCGAGGTCTTTTTGAACGGATAGAGCTAGTAGGGCGAGATTTGTACAAAAAGATAGAGGTCCGATATTTCTCAGTAAAGACAGAGAGAGTGAGGTTATTAAAAGGTTTATTATAAGGCATTATTTGACATAAAACGAAGCTTGCTTTCTTTCTCGTTGCTTCGAGCCTTCATCAGAATGAGGAAATTATTTATTACACTTGCTTTTACACTTGCTTTTTAAACATTATAATGCCTGGATTACCAAACTTTAAACATAATAATATATTTATATTTGTAATATTTTAGCAAAATAATTACTGATGTGCATGCATGCGCACAATGCGCGCACAACCATTGCTGGTACAATCCACCAGCTGACCAAAATTATTGCTTTCACTGCCAGCTATAAGAACTTGAGAAGCATGGAATTAAGTTTTTTAGGCAGCAGGTACCATTGCTTGTTAAGAGAGCTTTGTCATACAAACATCTGAATTTTCAGTAGTAATATATTGCAATTCACTCACTCAGTTCAAGGTCTGCTCATTGAGCCAAAACAATGGTATGAATACATGATCTTCATATACAAGCAAAGTTGCTCAGTCATTATAAATTACTTATAGTGTGTCATTGTTTGTGTTTTCTCTTCGAAGGTGATGTCTTTGAGTCCATCAGTAAGTTACAAAGCAGCTGAACCTACCATTCATTCACGAATAATCAGACATGATTCCTTGTCAAAAGCTATTTGGGATTGGATCGTTTTGCTACTGGTAATTTACACTGCAATCGAAGTACCGTACAACGTTGCGTTTATAGTACCGTTGCACAAGAAAGTGTCGCTAAAAGATAATATATGGGAGATTCTCAATCTTTGTGTGGATATTCTTTTTATTGTCGACGTGATCATTAATTTTCGCACTACTTACGTTGAGGGTAGAACTGTCAAAGTTGTAAGTAACCCTAGAAAAATTGCCTGCAATTACTTAAGGACGTGGTTCTTTGTCGACTTTGTCTCAGCGATGCCATTTGAGTTAATTTCCCTCTTGAGTTCACAAAAGGTAAGTTATAGATCCATCATCACAAAAGATTGATTGAATACCATGCACTCTTTATTGTTTCTTCACACTTTTAGAACAATATGTAATTGTGATCGATTCAGAGCTAGCAAACAATTAAAACAGAGAAATCAAGCCTTGCTCAATGTTTTATATTTTATGTGCTCTCCTTATCTAGCCTTGCAGTGCACTTAACTTTTGTTGTAGATGGAAGGCAAAGGTGGAAGAAAATTGAAAATTGGGTGAGGGTGGGAGGACAATAATCGCATATTTATATTGTATAATCCCGAATAAAATTTGATTTCAACAAAAAGTAAAACTGTAAAACATGCATTAGCTCCGTTAATACTCCATCATTCGCTGTCCTTTATTTAAAGAAAATCAAAGTGAGCAGTTATTTCATTTCCTTTTTTAACATTTTTGACTGGTCCTTACGAATCCTTGAAGAATTCACACGTTCTCATTCTGATGTTAACTGCTGACCTTTTTTCCTGTGTTATTTTATAACAGCATACAGTATGGAAGTTACTGCACTGGAATTCTTTTTATTTTATTTTGACAGGGCTTTGTCAATTTGATAAGTCTCTTGAAAACTGCACGACTTCTGAGGCTGGTTCGTGTCGCAAGAAAATTGGATCGCTATTCCGAGTATGGCATAGCTGTAATATTCTTGCTTATGGGATTATTTGCATTATCTGCTCATTGGTTTGCCTGCATTTATTATGTTATTGGAAGAAACGAGAGAGAACATCATGCCAATTGGATTAACGTACTATCTCGTGGACTGAGTGGCACGTCATGTAACACACATCACAATATTACCCGATTGACTTTGAATGTATCGATGACACAAAGCTATCTTTCAGCCATGTACTTTACTGTAAGCAGTCTCACTAGTGTCGGATTTGGAAACGTAGCAGCTAACACAAATGCCGAAAAGGCTTTTGCAATCTGTGTCATGTTGGTCGGTGGTAAGTATACATTAAATAATTGAATTATATATTACACTATAACTTGGCATTTGTTTAAGATCTTGATTCTATGGGTAAAATTTTCGCAAATGAATTTTTCTAAGTTTATTTGCTTTCGCAAAAATGAGCAAATGAATAAAATGAACTTTTATTGACTGGCGTAAGGAATTTTTTGTTATCCATTGGATAGTAAATTTTTCAAACTTGTATAAAGGTGGTTATATTTTTTTTACGACTATGAAACTTTGTGATTCCTCAACCAATATTATATTTCATTGAATATCCAGTTCAAATCGTAGATTTTCCCCTTTCCATAGACTTTCGAAGCGCTCATAAACATTGCTATCCAGTGAATAGTGCTATTTGGTCTTTGTGCAACCGGTCTCTGAATTTTAATGCTAAAATAATCATATCGAGTGATTTTTTGGTTTATTCCCACTAGCTTTGATGTTTGCCACAATTTTTGGTAATCTTACTGCTATCATACAACGTTTGTATCTAACCACATCCAAGTATCATAAAGATCTAAGTACTGTTCGCGAGTTTATCCACTTTTATGAAATACCCTCGCCTCTAAGTGATAAGTTGGAAGATTACACAAAGAATATTTGGGCACAGACAAAAGGAGTGAGCGTAAAGAAGGTAAGTGTTTCTTTAATGTGTTTTTTTTTTTTTTATCAAAACAATTGTCTTTATGACCAACATTATTTTTTGTTGACTTCAGGTTTTGGAAATTTTTCCTGAGTCGCTTCAAACAGATATCTGCTTTCATTTATGCCAAGGACTGTTCACCACGGTATCAGCGTTTCAGGAGGCCGATGAATCTTGCTTGCGAGCATTGTCGATGAAGTTTCACTCATTGCACTGTTTACCTAAGCAGTATGTAGTCAAGCAGGGTGATCCTATTCAGGAGATTTATTTTATCTGCAGTGGGAATGTACAAATTGTTAGAGATGGCAGAACTATGTTAACCTTGAGTAAGTGCTTTAATTGTTGATATTCATGGTAATAAATTACATTTATGTGTCTATTATGTTGTCGTTGATATGTTCACGTCAAGGATGAAACTATACTTAACCCTTTATCTGGCAATTTTTTCATTTCGTTTCCTAATTGTTGCAAATTTGTAAAAGTATCCACGAGCTAAGCGGAAAACCTCCGGCACTTACAAGTATTGTTACATTTGAATCTATTTCTTGTCATTTTCATTCATAATAAATAGAAGCCGAGGGAGAACTGGGTGGGGTCAATGGTCAAGCATCTAGATGTCAAATATACATTTTTTTATATTTCATGCATTCAATCTACAGCGAACAAGTTGAACAGCAAATAAATAAAAATTGTCCTGTCTTAAAAAGAAATGTTTCAACTTCATTGGTAACATTTCAACATAGCTTATAGTTGAATGATTTGATATCACTAAGAGCAAATTTTATCAATTCAATTTTGATTACACAGGTTTTGCATGAAATGTTTCATTGTTCCATTGTAAAGTAACTATAAAATTTATATGAATATGTTGAAGAAAAAGTATGCAGTTAAAATCTATGTAATTGATAGTATGAGAAAATATTCTTAAGTGCATGACTGGAAATATAACATAGAAAATATTTCGAACATTGCAATGGTGTTTTTCATTACTTTGCAGCATCGGGAGATGTAATCAGTTGTGACTATCGAAGCCCGAACCATATACCGAAGGCTAACGCAGATTTAAGCGTCATTGGAATAGCTGAAATACAATCAATCAATTACGAGGACTTGTTGGAATGCCTTCGAGCTCATCCTGCATTTGGAGATGTCTTTTTCCAAAGGCTAGAGGGATCCTACAGTTTGGAAGAAGAGGAAGAGGTAACAATCTCCACCATACTTTCATTTGTCATTTTAATTCTCTTAATAATCTAACCTTCAAACGTCCAAAAGTTTCCTTGAACGAAGGAATAAGAAACATAGCTATGGCTTATGATGAACGTTTTGAACTAAAATGATGACCGTATGTAGCTATATTGTTATGTTCAAACAATTTACGTGAATTTTTGACTTTCCATTTAGTGCTGTGAGGAAAAAACAAAGTTCCCACATTCCTTCATTAATGCTCGTAAAGAACTATCATATTTTAAACTATCTCCTTCGTCCCATAAACAAAAAACTTCAGCGAACGGATCAACTTGCATTCAAATTCAAGAAACTTCATTTACAACAAACTGTGCAGGACCATCACATAATAAAAAGGAAAAAGAAGAAGCGGCTTCGAACAATTTACTTAATAAAAAAATCAACATGGAGCAAAAACTAACACAACAACGTTTGGATGTGATTGAAAGTAAATTAAATGAAATGGAAGATTCTATAAGGAAAAACTTTAATTTAGTTATAGATATGATCAAAAAAGATAAACGTGAAAAAACTAATGAAATAGATTAAAAATTAAAAATGATCTATCAACTATACTATACGAGCTACAGAGTCCTCATACTCTCCCAATACTTTTGTTGTAAGGCAAATGTTTCTGTGGGCATATTCCTGTGGAAAAGAAAGCCGGTCTAAAGTTCGGACTGGCTTCACACTGCTGTAAGAGCAGTTGGATTTTTGTTTGATTGGTTCTTTGTTGGCCACTGGTATAAAGCAAAGTTTAAGACTTCTGTTTGATTATTATATAGTCTTAATTGTTAACAAATCTTCAGGAGACCGCTTCTCAGTTACTTATCTCAGGACATTATAATTTTTTAATTATGTATATATTTTTACTGTACTTAATTCCACAAATAACCGAATGTAAAAATGTTTAACAATTTAATGCGCACACCAAATTAATTATAGTTGTATTTACGAACAATAAACTGTGTTACCTTGCGAAATAAAAATTATGTTCAAAGTCTAACCTTAGTTTAGTCTAATTTATCCACTTTATAGTAGTCAATTTAATTCAAAATAGTCCTTAATTAGTTTATTCAAAATAACAATAAATAAAATTGTAAGACATAGCTACATATATATGTGTGTGTTAAACCACTTGCTTTTCGAAAATCACAATACAGGGTGTGTAAAAAACTGAACATTTAGGAAAACGTTGCCATAAATTCCTCATCGTCATGATTTGCAAAAACTTTTGTGGCACAAATAGATAGTTGCACTCCAATAGTTCATCTGACAGTAAAATTTTCGCAAGAATATTCATTTTTTGATGAGAATTGTGTTACCAAGAAGCACCCAGATGAAGTATTGGAAGTGCAACTACCTGTAATCCCACAAAGGTTTTTGCAAACTTTGAACGCTGTTGAATTTTGGCGAAGTTTTCCCAAACTGTTCAGTTTCTTCAGTTCGATACACTCTCTATAGTTGCCAAAAGCTATATCTCAGCCTTCCATCCTAGTATGTTTAGTGCTTTGATGACAAAGAAGGTGTCAATCAAAGAATTAGATTGCCTTTACTTGGTATTTATGAATTGAATGATTTCCCAATCTTGATTTTAGTTCTCAAAAATGATGCATACTTGTAAGCCCCCATAACTTTTCTTCGGGCGGTTTTCCAGTGGGGCTCCCCACGTTTCGCAATTGGTTTTCCCGCGTAAATTTGTTCATGTCTATGTTACATGAAGTAGAGCTCCTGTCTTCATCAATGTGCAATGTGCTTCTTTGTCAGCAAACAGCATGGCATCGTATGGTCAGTATGATTGTTATGTTATTTTGTGAAAGTGAAATTGAAAGTTGAAACTATTGTAAGCAAATTACAGACCGGGTTCAATAATTGTTTAAAGTTTGTAGATTTTTAGAACTTATTGAAAGTTACAGAAATATTGAGTGTGGCGACTGACGTTGTAGTCATTGAAGAAGATAACGTCAATAACGTGACTGCAGAAAAGATGCCTAATATTAAAGTATTTGGCGGTAGTTCTCATCCTGAGCTGGCAAAATTGATCTGTGAACGCTTAGGTATCAGCCTAGGAAAATGTACTTTAAAGAAATTTTCAAATAAAGAAACAAGGTGAATTTTTGTTTCTTCTTTCAAACTATGTTTACTTTATCGACATTTATATTTACCTTATCGAAATTTTGTGGTGTTACAATAGACAATGAGTTTAGCATCGCACTGTTAAAAAATCTCTTTGTTTTTATACTTTCTTCACCGACCACAAAGTGAAAGAAATAAAATAAAAGAACATCAAACAACTGAAACCAGATGTGGTTATTTATTAATTCACAGATTAATTCATGAAAATATTGTTGCCTTTTAATCATTTGGTTTAGCATTCTATGAATTGTAGAAAATGATTAAAAATGGCAAGTCATATTTAAAATCTAAGAAATAATTCAGATATTTTACATTAGTGTTGAGGTTGGTGAGTCTGTCAGAGGAGAAGACGTTTTCATTATTCAAAGCGGTTGTGGGGATATCAATGACAACTTGATGGAACTTCTTATTTTGATCAATGCTTGTAAAATAGCTTCTGCAGAAAGAGTCACTGCTGTCATTCCTTGTTTTCCATATGCACGACAAGATAAAAAAGACAAGGTATTTATTGCAATTACAGTGAATTCAAACAGTTTTCTTTTGTGATATTTTAAAATGAAGTGTGTATAACTGATCATACTACATTATGAGGTGCATATATGGCAAGTGTGAGGAGTGTGACAATTGCCAAAAATTTTTTACAATAATTCCAGTTGCCAAAAGACTCAATTAGTTTGCATGTGACAAGCAATAAAAACTATGAAAAAGTTGCTGGAATGTCATATTTTAGTTTGTCTAACAGAGCTTAACTTCCAACTGTAAGGTTTCATGATGATAGCTCACAATACAAGAAATCATTATTATTACTTAATTTATTTTTATTATTTATGCAGAGCCGAGCACCAATATCTGCAAAACTTGTGGCGAACATGCTCTCAGTTGCTGGTGCTGACCATATTATTACTATGGATTTACACGCTTCACAAATTCAAGTAAGATGAATTGTACTGAGATGAAAGAACTCCAGTGCTTCTTCTGGTTATTCAATTTATGTATTAGTTTTTGTTCAACATGATTTAGACATCGTGGGGTGGTACGTATGTTTAAGTTATCTAAAAACATTTGTTATTTTTTATTTTTAGGGTTTCTTTGATATTCCTGTTGATAACCTTTATGCAGAACCTGCTGTTCTGAAATGGATTAAGGAAAACGTTAATAACTGGAAAGAATCTGTGATTGTTTCTCCTGATGCAGGAGGAGCAAAAAGGTTTGTATGTTTAACCAATATTAACAAAATTTCCTTTTCTTGATCAAAAAGAATCAAAGATGTAGGTAAGCGACTATCATAATGATTAATTTAGGGTGACATCAATTGCTGATCGACTGAACGTGGAATTTGCTTTAATTCATAAAGAGGTGATATGAAAACAAAGATGTAGTTTTCAGTTGTAGGTTGTAGGGGGGTGGGGGAGGTTTGCCTTTTCTGAGCCCTCAGACAAGTTAAGTTTTCTTTCATTTTGTGTTATTGACAGTCTTGATGAAAATCGCATTTTCTAGAGGAAAAAAGCCAATGAAGTTGCAAGTATGGTGTTGGTTGGCGATGTAAAAAATAAGATAGCAATATTAGTTGATGACATGGCAGACACATGCGGTACTCTTGCCTTGGCTTGTCAAAAGTAAGTGTCAATATTTAGTATTTAATTGAAGATAATCATGGCTTGTCTTTTTTTTAAATTTAATCATGCCAATTAAAAAAAATCTTGATTATTTTGGGGCTCTAACATTCTGTCTTTTAAAAAATGGCCAACATGGAAGGAGCATGTTTAATAGAATTTTTTGCATTGAATTAAAACATTTACTATTATCTATTTAAGTCATATTGAGCATTCTTAACGTTTCTACACCGAATCTTGGCATATGTTTGTACACACATAACCATGCATACCTATGTTTGTACATACATAACCATGCATACCTATGTTTGTACATACATCACCATGCATACCTATGTTTGATAACCAATGGGTGCCAAAAGTTAACAACTTGCTATACTACAGAGTGTTCGTTCTTTTTGTCAACTTTTAACTTCTTATTGAGAAAATATAGACTTACAGTGGTCACTAAGCACATAGAAAATGCCAAATCATAATAACCATATTTTTGATAAACTATGCACTAATGGTCAGTAAGAACTAATCATGCTGATGGTAATGTAATCGCATTCTTTCATTGACCAATAAGAACCGCAGCTTACCCCAATACCCATTTTTTTAAACTTTGAGATATGTCATGCTTTCATTCGCAGTAGAGATTGTTCTCATGTTTAACGTCTTCTATGGGACAAAGAAAGTGATTTATCGGTTGTTAGTAAAGTCATTATATGCTTTATGCAAGAAATGGAAGACGGGAAATTAAGGGTTGAAAGCCAATAATAAGTTATGAAAATTGAGGAAAAGTTTTGGCATTATCTGAAGAAAGTTACAGCCAGAGGGACATTCGCACTCGAGTGTTTAGTAGCCTGGACAGCGTTAATGTACATGCTGTCAAGCAATGACTGACTAGGAGTGTGATAAAAATAAGTTCCATGGACGGAAGTTGATGATATGTAAGAGGCAGGACAACATGTTTGTACGAATAAGCATGTCAAATCACTTCTAGACGTGTTCACAGATAACACCCAAGATGCATATTGAACATAGTATAAACACAATCTGTTTTGCTCGAAAAAATAAGGCTTAGAGAGGCATGTCCTAATGGCTGCAGGTTCAGGAGGAAACTTCGTCTTACTGATATTCATTAGATTCTAATGATTAGAATATCAAACCACAGTTTGAACGAACGCAGAGACTGGACTGCTGATTGGCGGCCCAACCGTCCAAGGCCATATTTTGGGGACTAATCTTGATTTCTTTGCACAAGTGATGAAAGAGTTTATGTTAGAAGGATGACTCTTAAAACAATGGTCTAGGGGTAGCATCCCATTAAGAGTTTTTTATAGGCCTAGTTGTAGTGATTTTTTCCGCGATCAGCGGTTCTTTTTGACCGCAAGCAAAGCTTTCTCAAGTAATTATGTTTATTGTATGATAGATTAAAAGATGCTGGTGCCAAACAGATTTTTGCAATCTTAACTCACGGGATATTATCTGGACCGGCTTTAACTCGTATTGACGCAACCGATATAGAGGCTGTTGTTGTAACAAATACAATTCCGCAGGACGAGAAAATGAGAATTTGTTCTAGGTTGAAGGTGATCTATACTTCTTTATGTTAAAAATATTATACGTATTTCGTAGATTAAACACTCCCCATTTCAATTGTCTTTGCATGACATATTGTTTTTGTCTTAAGTGTTTACATGCCAATAAAGTTGTTATATTTTTAAGGTTATTGACATATCTATGATTCTTGGTGAAGCTATACGAAGAACGCATAACGGTGAATCAGTGTCTTACCTGTTTAATCATGTACCTTTGTAAAGCATGAAGATTAACTTAAATTTATGTGTAGTCAAATGTGTTGATGCAAAGGTAAATTCAACTTGTTGGTAATTTTGCAGTTTTTATATATATGCATGGTGCGGTTTTTCGTGTTTTACTGAAATAAGAATTTTGCCTTTGTTTTTGTTCACATTAATCCAAATGTTGATGTTCGCCAGTGCTCCATGGAATAATTAAAATTTTGGCGAATCTGGTATAGTTGAAAGACAAAGCTACTATTTACGTAAAACTTTTCACATATAACTTTTTGAGGGGGATGATCTATCTTATTGTAAAAAAAACATTTTTGAACGTAACTTATTTCAATAAAAGTAACCTTATCTATGTAATTGTGTCGAATTGAATATTTACGTAATTAGAACACACTTTACTGCTTAATAGGACACACCTTTTATTTCGTTTAAACGAATTTCGTTTTTTTAAACCTGCATGTTTAGGTACTTACTTTAGTACATAGTTTCTGATGTTATTGTGCAAAGAAATGACTGTGATCCTTGTGGATGATATAGTAATCCTAACATTTTTAATAAGTCGTCGATAGCTATTTATTTATTTATTTAACTTTCTGTTTTTTTAAGCTGGGTAATCGCAACAGCTTCCGCCTATTATAACTATCCCTAATAATGTCATGAACAAACATAAAATAGAAAGAACAACACATTTAGCAGTCGACAGATTATGACATGTGTTACAACACAAAAAATGGATATTCAAGCTCTAGGATCCTCTGTATCATAAATATTTCGTAAAGTTTGTTTACAGTACTTGAGTAGTTCTCGTTTAGATTGATAAATGTTTCAGTCGACCTGTTTGAAAATCATTTCACATAAGAAAATTCTTTACAACTAGTGCGATATCCAGAGCACAAAGTATCGCTTGTTTGCCCAGTCCAAACTTACAAAGCTTACTACGGATTCTTGGCAAACTTTGGAAGATTTGAAAAATATCTACGTAGGAAAGTTCAAGTTACCTGAGGTGACGTAAAACTTAATCTTTACTTTGCTACACTTCGAGATAATTTGGTGGGATTATGTAAAGTTGCTTTTGGTTTGAGCTCAAATAATTTGTACTCCCGGCGATAATGATAATCAACATAATTTTGCTTTTTAAATTTTCGCCTTAACTTACACCCAAGGTTTATTGATTGTGTTGATTGATATATGAAATTTATGCATAGAGATAGAATGTAGTTTAGCGGACACCACTCATGGACACCAGTAGCCATTTTACGGTGAGAATTACCCACGAGGACTGCGGGCACACATTATGTCGAGGGAAGCATAGAGGGAAAGCAACTACGACAAAACGATAACAAATTCCGTTTCACAGTTTCACTCTGTAATAAGTTGATAAAAATAAGAAAGTTTAAGTGTGCAAAATCTTAATGCTAGAGTTGGGATGTTAGGTTCTGGCTTTCAAAATAAATATCCACTGCCCTTATCTTTATTTTGTGAGTCTGCACTACCACCAGTGTCAATAAATCATCAGTGTGAACTAATTTATTCTGCCAAAATTTTGATCAAACCTCGTCTTTTCTATCTTTTTTTTTTATAGTAGTGCACATTTCTTTAATATTCTATATTCCATGTAGTTAGCGCTGTATCATCAGTCTAATGGTTTTTTTTTTTAGGGTGCAAGATATTGGAAAGATGATTTACACTTTGGTCGACAGAGACTGCAAGGATGCAATCCAACAATGATACGTTTTAAAGTAAATGGTTTGAACCCGGGAGTATCGTTATATGTTTGTAAATGATGATCGTCCAGGTTAATAAAGTCCTGAGAAGGACTGTTTTTGTTGTTGTTGACTGACGTTTCGACAACCTCAGCGGTAGTCATCTTCAGAGTCAAATGGCTCTTGACTGTAAAGTTAAATTTATTGTGACTCTATCTTAAACCGTTCATTCAATCTTGGGATATGCACTGAAAATCCACTGTGAAAGTCTGGTGCTAATTATTGTTTTTATTATGTATCATTATGTTGCAGTCAATTGCCAAATAATAATTCGAGTCATTTTTTTGGTAGGTATTGCAACTTGTTTGTTTATATAGGCAGGACAAGATACATGTTGCTCACTCTGATCAAATTTCTTGTTGATTTAATGCATTTATGTAATGTATATGAGACGTTTTGACATTTTATGAAAAACGTTTATTTCAGCTACAAATGGTGTTGTGCTGGCTGCTGAAAAGAAACAAAAATCAGTTCTTTATGATGATTCCACCATTCACAAGGTTTGAATGAAGTGGATCTTAATATTTACAATGATTATGTCTTATTTTTTATTTCATTTTAATTTTTTATTTTATAATTTTTTCAAACATGATAATTAAGTATGTTGGAGCTTGACAGCATGACCTTTGTTATGAAAATGCCGTGAATCTTTTCCCTGAAGTTCATCACTGTTGTGCTTGCAAAGGAAGATGTTAATACACATATTGCTAGATTTTGTAACTAAGTTCGATTTGTGCTATTTAATGTATCTAACACAATGATCTCTCATTTATTGTGTTTGTTGGGGAGTTAAGCTTTGGGATTTTGAGGAGTGTCAGTTTTTAATTTTGGTTGTGAAATGCAACTATTTATGGTCTTTTAGGTTGAAATGATCACGAAAAATGCTGGTTTAGTATATAGTGGAATGGGTCCAGACTGCAGGTTTTTGTGCATTTCTTTCATATCATTATGCTCCACCACCATTATAGCTTCAAAATTAATGTGGTGTTGAGCTGAAAATATAACAAATAATTATTAGCTACAGTTGACATACGTAAATATGTTAGAAATTTCATGTGGGGTAGAGATAATATCAATGATAATGCAACAAAAACTATCTGTCTTTGAAAAACAATTTTATCAGTAAAACACTTTTCAAATTTATATGCTTAGAACTTATTCAAATAATTGCTTTTCCTCACACCTTCCTCAAATATTTAATTCTTCATGATGTCACCAACTCACACCTTCCTCAAATATTTAATTCTTCATGATGTCACCATCTCACACCTTCCTCAAATATTTAATTCTTCATGATGTCACCAACTCACACCTTCCTCAAATATTTAATTCTTCATGATGTCACCAACTCACACCTTCCTCAAATATTTAATTCTTCATGATGTCACCACTCTAGTATAATTATTGACACAATTAGCTTGTTATAAGTGTGTCATATATTTTTATAAATTATGGCTGTCAAATACCTATACACTGTAGGTTTTATTTTAAATTCAAAGCATTTTACTCATTTAAATTAAGGCAAAGCTAAAAAAGTAGAATTCCTACTAATTTAAATAACTTGGTTGAATGTTCCGGGCAATGATAATGATTAATGATACTTACCTGTAACCACATTTTGTTAAATACTATTGTTTTTATTTGTAAGTAACTAAGTGTTGAACTACCTCTCATTAAACTATCATTTTTTCTGCCAGAGTGAACATAGATATAATTTCCGGCTGTCTTGGAGTTGTACAGTTTCTGAACTCAGACAATCTTTTACTCATTTTTTTAAGGTTATTGGTGCGACGTGCAAGAAAAATTGCCCAACAATATTTCTTAGTTTATCGTGAACCAATTCCAACGTCACAACTGGTTCATAGAATTGCTTCAGTGATGCAGCAAAACCCAATGTCAATTATTACTCATGATAATAATAACTATATGTCTCCTTTTTTTCTCATATTACGAAATTTGTCCTCTATGGAAACACTGTTCATATTATGAACAGTGTTTCCATAAAGGACAAATTTGACATATGCGATGTTTGAAAAGCATAATTATTCAAATCATGCTCCGCCGCCTCAAATCATCCTTTTTGTTGAGACCGTTACGTGACTTGTCTCTCCAGTCGCATCGATCCGCCGCTTCGAGTTGCCAATTATCTATTGAAATTTGACATGTTTTCAAAGTGTATTTGAGAGAGTCTTTCCAACGCAGGAGCGGACGACCAGTACGTCTCTTTCCTTCAGCGAGCTCTCCAAAGAGTAGCTGTTTGGGTAATCGATTGTTTGCCATGCGAGCAACATGACCAGCCCACCTTAGCTGCATTTTGGCGAGGGTAATCTCAATGTCCATGGAGTTGGCTCTCGTCAGAACTTTGTCATTCGTTACACTTTGTTGATAGGAAATGCGGAGGATTGCGCGTAGGTGACGTTGTTGTAGCTGACGGAGACGTGTGACGTGTTTACGGTATAACGTCCAAGATTCGGCACCATACAAGAGAGTCGACAGTACCACTGCATTATACACGGCGATCTTTGTAGTAACTTTAATGTCATGCGAAGACCACAGACGTTTCCACAGCCTGCCGAATGACGAACTGGCACACTGTATGCGGTTGTCAAGTTCTTTGTCAATGGAGCAGTCGCTGGTGACAGTACTGCCAAGATACTTGAAGGATTGAACGTTTGCGAGCGGAGTGTCATTGACAGTGATCGGGGATGTTATCGGTGAGTACGAGAGAGACATGACTTCTGTTTTCTTCGTGTTGATGATAACGCCAAAGGATTTGGTAGCAGCCTCGAAGCTATCCATCATGCGCTGAAGGGATTCCTCCGAGTTGGCAACAAAAACCCAATCATCTGCACATTGCTATTTACATTGCCGATGCCATGGTGACCGAGAACGGATGGCCAGGTGTGGAAATCATTGCCAACTCTAGCGTTGAAATCGCCAAGGACGATACATTGTAAACTAAGTAAGTTTACAAAGAACTTGTAAACTTAGTCTGGAGTTTGAACCAAACAGTCTACGTTCTTCGAAATCAGCTCGTCTTTTTTATTTTGCACATTACACACAGTTAAGAAAGAGTTCAAGAAACGTAATAAATGTTAAAAACACTATTCTGCTAACACCAATTACAGGTATACCTAACTTTAACTTGAAATGGAAAGCAAGAAGTTGCTTGCTTACAGTACCGCTCGCGTATTTGTTAACATACGCTACGCGTATGATACGCGTATCATACGAAAAACATACGCGTATGATACGAGAACGATACGCGTATGATGAGCGTATAATGCGTGAACGATAAAGTAAACGCCTTTTTTCGCTAATGCTGAGATTAAGATTAACAACTGTTTCAGGATCAAACGTGTTTTCTTTCGTATCAATAGAAATATTTCAATTCAATTCATTTTCAGCAGATTCTGAGATGCCTTCGCCTTCCTTACGTTCATTTGAATTGACAAAGCTGTCAATATCAAATCATTCACCAACAGAATCACTGCTTTTGATTCATTTGAAAGTATGCTCATCTTGATCGTTTACATCTGTCGACTCAGATTTTTCTTGCGCATGCACTTTTTTAAGGTCTTCACTGATGTTCGGCGTTTCCCTGAGTTTTAATTCTAACTCCTCTGTTGTTTGTGACAAAATGCACGGTGGGTCATTTTGTATAGGTTTAAAGTAGTCAAGCAAAACTCCCCCAAGTTTTGAAAATTCTTCTTGTCTAGCTTTCTTTAATCTTCGATACTCAGCACCCGACTTTTTTCTCTTTGTAGTGTTGAAAGAATTAGACATTGCAGTTAGTCTTTAACATTGCACCATGATCCATGATGTACATTAAATAATATTAAAATAGACTTCCCAACACAAGTGGAATTATCAAATGAAATGTTTGTTGTGTGAATTACATCGGTATTATATCTGCTCAAAATGAGAGTTTTGCATTTTGAGACATTAATTTAATTGGTCTTCAAATGTTGTTGTTTAAAAATATCTTAATTTCAATTAAATTTATGCTGTTATGCACATTCGATAACTGCGGATAAATGAATCTTGAACATTTACGAAGAAGCTTTAAGTGATTTAAAAAAGTTTTACCGTATAATAACTTGCTTTACTACTGAAAATGACAAATGAATCGTCGTAACGATGAAAATGTAAATAACACAATACAAACAATGCAGTACATGCTGCGGTATCATTAAGGGCTGTTATCATTTGTTGGCGATGTTAAATTCAATAGAAATCAGCAGGGAAAAGCTGAATATATGAATATTCACCCCCCCCCCAATTAGAGTTCTAGTTTCTCCCCTGCATGTATGTTGTCTACAGTCATCGTGACAAATCATGCAGGCGTTGTGGCCACAAACGAAACATCTAATTATAGAATGTTCGTCATTATCTTATTCTTTAATCGAACCCCTTACAAGGTTTCATTTTGGTCTGTCTACTTTTTCCCTATTTCCCTAAAGTTAACTTCATTCACTGAATATATAACTGCGAAAATAACTGTTACTGTTTCAAATGCGTTTTTAATTTTTTATAGCCCATTTTTAAACCTTGATGACTCGTATTCAATTCAGCGCCCCCAAAATCAACAGCTAGGGGGGGCCTGGCCCCCCTGGCCCCCCCCTGCCACAACGCCACTGGATACGAGAGGGATTGAGACTGTTACATCGATCATTTATATCATCAAGTTTGGATTGAAGACCAGCAAGAACCTCTCCTGATTCAAGATCACACATTACTGTCTGACCTGTCTAGTTTAGAGAAGCAAAAGTTTCGTGGCGGTTGTTAATATCCACTTCTAAAATCTACAAAGACAAACTTCAAATGTCAACTAAACATAACAATCTACGCAACCTACCAAACTGCGAAATGCCCTCGATCTTATTGAAATAAAAATGTGCGAAAGTCCACTCAAGTATTGTGTATTCCAACACTGTTGTCAATGTTTGAGGATAAGCAATCAACAACAATAAATGAACACAAATTACGAACTTTTAGTTCTTCTTTCAAAGAGGAGCGATCGGTGTGTTCTTCAGCTGCATCGGCCGCACTATCCAACTCAGCAATTTTTGATTCTGTTGAAGTGAGCCAAGTGAGTGCTTCTGTCATGCTTTCATCAAATTGAACGAGACGGCTCAACTTGTCTGTATGCTCTGCACAACTATTGAATGATACATGTACATATATATAGTAAATAGACACATTTCTAGGGAAAGACAGTATTAAGTGTGGATGTTAAAAGTATTAGTCCTGAACGGTCCTAATTCATTCAGTAAATACTTATCTTACCTTGAAGCCAGTTTGTTGTAACGTTGTGTATCACGATGTGAAGTTAAACGAATGTCATTCGGATTATGTTCGGGGAATTCTCGTATTAATTCGTTGCCAACATCATTCAACCTATCTACAAGCGGTTGCCAACTTTCGACTTCATCTTCAAAATTCTGCAGCAAATAAAAAGTCCTTGCATTTAACCAATAAAATAACACAATAGCAAATCATTCTATAATATTAAGCACTCTAGTGATATAAATAAAATCCAATAGCATACCTTATGATTTGTCAGTAGTTCTTCCAGTTCCGCGACAGTATTTCCAGACGCCTTCCAAACTTCTAACATTTTTTCTTCTGACTTGGTAAGCCATGCTTCCAGATCCGTTTTGATTTGTTCATATTGTCTCCACAAATCCCACATCAGGTTTATCCGTGTTAACCATTCATTATACTGCTGTTGGACCCTGTGCCAATGATCCTTGAGAGACTGGACCTGTTGACGCAATATGTTCTTATGGGACTCATCGTCTGTCTCTTCCTCGAGTTTAAGACTCATTTCAGAAACATCATTCAGAAGATAATGTTTACCACGAAGTTCGCCCTCAACAGACTGTAACAACACAAACAGATCATTGATTAAATGAAAATCCTAAATGCATCTTTCAAATCATTCATGATTCATTTATTCTTACACAGCAAACTAACCTATTTTTGTTTGTTCGTTAATCATTCCATTTCATCAACGTTACCAAGCATGATGCGTTGACTTTTAATGACTTCTTCAACAATAGAGAGCCAGTCATGAAGCTCTGAAACAGCTTTGTCAAACTTAGGCCATGGAGTCTTATCTGTAATAATGGATTTATTACAGATATAAGACTATAACGGTTGATTAGACAGATGATTACAGATGATTTACACTTTGGTCGACAAAGACTGCAAGGATGCAATCGAACAATGATACGTTTATGCACAGAACTTGTAGATATCCTTGTTGTAATACTCTGTTTTTACCTTGATGAGCTGACGACAGAAAGAAAATTCTTGTAAAAATGCGACAGGAAAGAAAAGCTTCGTTCATCACATAAAATCAATAATCAGTTACGTGCTGTTGTTGCTATAGCGACAGGTTTTCAATATGGAGGAAGAAAGCGGTGATTTCGAAAAATTTTTGAAAGATGTCGATGAAGTTGGTAAGTATTTAAGAAAACCAATATATTATATCAGCTATCCAATTTTCTGTATGAATCATTAAAAATTTGTATTTGTACTGTTGTGCAATATGCAGAATCTATCATAAAGGATCTTACATCTGACGATGAGAAAAAACAGAAAGAAGCAGTGAAAGCATCAGACAATTTTATGAAAAACAGACCATGTCAAGGAAACCTGACGATAAAATACGATAAATGTTTGATTAACGAGAGAAAGGAATTCTCTGGAGTAAAAGCGCAGTATAATTGTTTTAGATTTTGTCAATCATGTGTAATGATTTATATAAGCATGAATTTTTATTGATTACTTATGTAGGAACAAAGCAGAAAAGAGCAATCAGGTATTTCTTTTTATGTTTTTAAGCATTTAATTATATCGCATGAAATTTGCTTTTGTCAGAAGTACAACACACTATATAGTTAGATAAATTGGGGTAATTAATTTATTGTGGGTATAGAAAGTATTTTTAAACTTGCCCTTACATAAATTGCAATTTTTTGTATATTTAGATGGCATTCTTCGGAATATTCAAGAGGATGCGAATCAACGTGCTCAAAGACGAAAAGAAAATGAAGCAAATTCCAAAGAATTAAAGTTGAAAGGAAACAAGGAGTTCAAAGCAGGGAACTACAAGATAGCCATTGATTATTACTCCAGAGCCATTGGACTTGTCAAATATTTTCCAGCACTTTACACGAACAGAGCACAGGTTAAATTATTTCATCCATTGTGTTTAGGTGTTTCATGCACATACAAACAAATTGGAATGGCTTTATGTAAATTCCAGTAAAATGGAAAAAAGATCAAACTTTTTCAGGGTCATTACGCACAGCTCATAGGTGCAGGCAAGATTTGTTTGGAGGGGCAAGAACCTCCCAAAATTGCACTTAATTATATATTATACAAAATTTATGAGTAGTATTTTTGATAACGTATGTGAAATACTATAGTCTGGAAAAATTGTAGGGAAAATGCACCCCCTTTCTGCGGTGTCAATGTTACAGTTGAACCTCCTCAAACTACTCTTGAAAGCAGGCACCTTTTGTAAACACTAAGTTGTGGTCAGGGGGGGTGAATATTCATATATGAGAGTTGAATATATGAGTATTTAACCCCTCCCACACTTAATGTCCTAGTTTGGCCCCTGGTCATGGTCCCAATGGTGTCTGCTAATGGGAGTTTTGACTGTATAACCAACAAATATTGAAAATTTGAAGAAACATTTGACTTATGATGTGAAATAAACTGACTGTTACTATAGCTTTATACATGCTAGTAACTTTGTGCAATTGTATGCATGGAATAAATGTACATTCCAAGTCAATACTCTAATTATTTTATAACTGTTATTGGCACAAATTTCAGGCTTTGATCAAAGTTGAACAGTACGACGCTGCAATTGATGATTGTAAATGGGCATTAAAGGTTTTTTACACATAGAAATTTTTAACATATTTTGAACTGTATTGTTTAGCAACTGGGGGAGGGTTAAATCAACGAGACGCAAATATCATTGTATAACTTTAGATTGATGAAAAATGTGTGAAAGCCTATATTCATTGTGGACGTGCCTTTCAACGAAAGAAGTGCTTTTCAGAGGTAGTTAAAAACTCTTTCAATGATTTTCAAAATATTTTGATTGAGAGATTAGTTCACAAATATTAACATCGTTTCTCTCTGATTCATCATCATGATGTTGCATTTTCATGATGTTGCATGTAACATCGGCAACTCCTGAAAAGAACCTGATTCTTTAATTTTTAGTATTACAATCGACAGATTGCTCAAATAGCAATGCTTTTTTAAAAAGACTTTGCTGTATTTTTTAACTTTACATGGCAGAAATAAAACTGTGAGCTGACTAGACCACTGGTCTCATTCAAATTGAATCAAATTCAAATATTTATATACGTTGAAATGTTAAGTGCGGATGGCATTTTTTAGTTATAAATAAAAACAAAATTCCAATGTTTTTTCAGCCAACCAGATCGCTAAAAAATTCTGAAACAAAGAAAATTTCCGAGTCAAAAAAACTTTGTTTGGCGAACACGCTGAATGCCGAATATTGATTAATGATAGCTATAAAATAGTTCATATTTTCTTAACATGATACGACTTCTTTAGGCGTTATCGTACTTTAAACAAGCTCAAGAAATTGATCCAATGAAAAAAGCTATTTTTGCAGGTTTTCAAAGAGTTTAATTGACATCTTGGCTAGACTGTCATGACAACATTTGTGTTGTAAAAAATTGAGAAATACACAGTCAGTATGTCGGAGTTGTTTAATATATCTTTCCTTTAATTTTGCATAAGAATATATTTCAAAAGCTGAAAGTGAGAAAGAAAAGTTCGACGAGGAATATAAGGTAAATATGATGTATACGTATTTGGTATATAAAATAAACGACAAATTTTTTTTAAATACGTATGAACATGTTTTGACTTTACATTAAGTCATCTTCAGTGTATGAATCAAGTAGAATAATTACAAACTTCAGTATATAGTAGGATGCATAATACATATGAATTGGAAAAGGTTTTAGAGTTTACAAAAATTTCCTATGAAGCCCAAGTGTACGTTATGTCCAAAGCAAAACAGAAGAAACGTTGGTCTGCAGATATCTGGGAAATTCGGAATTTCGATCATGGTCTTATGGATAATAATAGATATTAATTTTGTTGTTTTTGTAGATCGTTACAAATCTAGAATATTCATCTGACCTAAAGTTCGTGAAAGAAACCATAGAAAAACTGGAAGAAAATAAAGATGATCCTAAATTTTGCATTATTCTTCTCCGTCAACTTCAAGACTTTGTGCTGAATGGTGAGTGGAATCTTTTTCAAATAGAATGATAAGAAAAAGAATACACAACACTCAAACAATAATGATACAAATGATACCTTCACTGTGACTCATATCGAATATTTCTTTGCTGATGCTTGGATTCAAATTTTTTATTGTATAACGCTTTCTTATTATGTAGATTGTAAAAAGAAGGTTGTGTTTCGTGTTTCAAAAGGTTTCGACTGTTTTGGCAAAAACTCAAAATTTAGTAGGTTAGTATATATATGTACGTAAGTTGTTTAAGTTTTCATAGTTGTCATTCTGAGCGATCACTTTATGCCGTTGAACTTAGGTTTTGGAAAAGTTAAAAGTGAATACGACAATAGCAACGTACTCACATCACAACTGCAGGCATCATAGTTTCAAGATTTTGCGTTCAACGTCGCACTGCGGAAAACAGGTAGCTAATAGAATGACATGATTAACGGGTTTTTGTTTTGCATTTTAGAATTTGTAGCAATCCTGGCTTTTGGCAATTTTCTGACCAAACTGATTTTGTGTGCGCTATGTTAACTTTAGGAAAAAATGTGATTGTAGATAATGGTGAGCTTTGTTGAAGAAGCAAGTTTTCTTTCTTGAACTATGAGATCAGTCTAACCTTAGTTGGTTTGTTATATTTTGTATGTTTAGAAAATAACTGTGAAGAAATTCTCAACCAAAACATCCTCGATATAATTTATACATTATCACGTAATTGTGACGTTAAGAAAATCCACTTAGCTTCATTTAAATTGATGCACCAAATTACCGAATTTACATATGGACGAGAATCGATTATGGATTACACTTTGCAAAATAAGTATGTCTCCTTTTGTATTGTAGCTAGTTTTATAAACCATTGAACGTTCTATTGAAGAACACCTTGTTGTTTTGTAGATGTTATGTCCAAGATCTGTTGGCTTTCATGGAAAAGAAAAGCCTTGTTTCAAAGATTGTCATTGGATGTTTGAACAATTTATCACTGAATCAAAGGTGTGCAAGTTAATAATGACTTTAACCATGTCATCATGTTTTAACATGTTCTGGGTGCAGTACTTTAAGTTAGGTTTTGTTTTTAAGGACGAACAATATCAAATACCTTAAAACTTATTTCATTAGAATTGAACAGAGGAAAGAGAAGATTCGTCTGTGGTTTATTACTGTAGAGAATTATTTTGAGTGTAAGCTAACTTTAAATTTTTTTTAGGTTTGCTCTAAATTATTGCTGGCAGCTGGAAGAAGTAATATTTGCGTTTTTGGAAAAATCTCTTTCCGCGAATGAACTTGTAAGAAGCGAACATGTTTTGAATAATCTTAAATTAAATGTAAAGTTCTGTATAGTAAAAGTATCGCGGCACATATAGTTACATGAAATTGATGAGAGCCATCGTGTTGATTTATTACTAAAGATGGATGCTGTCATAGTCATGGAGCTTATTACGTCTTGTTTTTCAACTCTGGGAAATCTCTCGCGAATGTTGGAAATCAGAAAGCGGCTGCAGAATAATGTTTTATTGTGGAATCTATGTGTTCAATATTTGGTAAGATTTAGCTATATTTATTGTTTTCCTGTTTAATATAACTATATTTTTTTTAAATGTCGAAATATGTTTAATAAAGACGAACAATCCAACAATACTATTAATCTCAATGAATTGTATCATCTATGCATCGATGTCTCAAATGGAATAGCAATGTTATGCATTTTTACGTAATTAGAATTATTGTTTGAAAATCAATGTCTCTATTATTACAATTGAGTTGAATTAATAAACTTTTTTGTGCACAGGATAAATATATCGGTGATGTTGATCAGGAGACGATTAGTCACTTGATTTATTCTCAACTTGGTTTTATTATTAATTTATTATGTGAAAACTCCACTAATCTACAGGTAAATGTACCAATTTTGCGTCAAACGGAATGAAATACGAATTTTTTATTATGCCATGTAAGAGAGCTTGTAGCTTTTTGTTAATTTATTTAGGAGCATGCTATGTCTATTGCCCAATTGCTATTGCCATTCATAGGTTCAAAAAATACGAGTATTGGCGAGGTATTTGGTTGATTCAAAGCCATTCAAACTAAATTAACGTATATATATATATATATATAATGTTGTTGTTTTTGTCGCAGCGTGCTCTGGTGTGTTGCAACAACTAATGGTGTATAATGAAGAAGTTCTCAACTTTGCTTGTTCAAAATTTCTCTATGTAGATATTGTAAATATATTAAAGGTATTGTGTATTTATAATGCATGCTTTCACAAGAAAGTTATAAATCCAACAAACAACGGATGTTTTTTGTTTGATTTTTAGGAAACTTCTTATGAGGAGAAAACAATTTCTTATGCAGTAAAATGCCTGGCTTTGTGTACCGTTAATAACAGCAATGCGAGAATATACGTTCATTCGCATGGTTTTGGATTTCTTTTGCACTTGCTCTCTTTGAGTAATGAAATAATCGTTGGAAATACTGCTCTTATTCTCAGCAATTGTTTTGAATTGGGTATTTATTGTTTTACTTTATGTTTTATCAAATGTCATGATTTTTTGAGTGACATAATTAATTTGTATTCGCCACCAGATAAATCCTTAGATCAGCTGATTGGTACTACAATAATTAAAGACTTGTTAACCTTGGTTACAAGAACCGAATACGATGTTGAAGTGAAACAGAATGTGGCAATTGCTATTGCTAAATTAGTAAAACGTGATCGAAGGTAAGGGGTGTTATACCTTCCTATTAAATGATGTTTGAACGTAGATGGATTTTGATTGAAAATTGCATGTTTGTGTGTTGTTGTTATACATCACTTACATTCATGAAATTTTTTCTTTGCAGATTTTTAAGGCATTTGACCGACCTCCACGGCGTAGAGATTCTGAACTCAGTTTTGAAGACAAGCAACCTTTTGGGATGACAAAAAAGTCATCACACATTTTTGAAACAAAGCAAATTACGTAAGGATCATATGAGCGTGACACGTCTTTACATGATGTGAAGACCGGTGTGTCCGTTTTACTTTATAATGAAGGACTATTTATTTTTCATTCTTTTAAAGCTAAGATGTCTAAATCCTTAATTGCACGGATAGGTTACTTGCAAACGATGCCAAAGTTTAATGTTTAAAAAAGATTTTTATTGAACCTAACTAATAAAATCGCAGTGAACTTTTTTAAACAGTCCGTGCTCCTCTCTTTTCATTATGGAGATGGTATTGATTATTAAGGTTTTTAATGCCCAGTTTATTCAACGAGAGAGGCCGATTTACTTTACGTCAATCTCGTGTACACAGTGCGTACCTGTTCTTCGTGGCTAAATGTGAGCGCGTGCGCGTAAAACACAATATTGAATTAGCGCCAAAAATCCTTCGAAAACGAAAACATGGTTGCCAGAAAAGACTAGGTTGGGGAATAGTAAGTAAAATTTTGAATAAAATCACTTCGAAGTAACGTAGATTTTTCTAACTTATGCTTGTAGAGTGCTCAATCTCAATTTTTATATAATTTTTGATTGTTTTGTGTGAGCAGTTGTGATGGAGACTTCAGAGTTATGTATATGTACAAATTTTGATCATGATTTATTGAATGCACGTTGTTTTTTTTGCTTTATTGCATCGTTTCTATTTGCATAAGTTTTTGTCATTAATTGTATATGCATGTATATGAAATGAAATCATGGATGCAGCATCTCAGTGACAGAGGCCCCTTGCATTGTATGAATTATATAACAGCATTAGCAACTAGCAAGTGCTGCTATTGTACAATGTTGACCAGCTTTACTGATATTCTTCACTTGATTAATATAGTGTGTATATTTTATAAAACAGCTTTCTGAGAAATGAGCTACAGTATGCATGGACCATAAAATGTCCCCAGGTATATATCACACTCATGAGAAAATGTTAACTCCTATCATTCATTAAGTAAATTGGATTCTCTTTTTTTCTAGAATAGGTGCCCTGTTTTTGATCTTTGTATTTATTTATTCGGTGAAATAAAAGTACATATCATTGTGTAATGGATTCATCGGAGGGTTCAACAGAGGTTTGTTTGATAATTTCTTCTCAAGAGTTGAAAAAATATATTTACGTAGAGATGAATTATTTGACAGAGCTAAAGTCATGTTAACTGCTGACACAAAGCAAGAAAATTGATGTGCTCAAAAACATCAATCCAACATTCTTTTATGGGGATTGTATTCATATATTCCACTATCAGCTAAGCCTGGCTAATTTCCTTTCAAAACAATGTCTCTTTCAAATCTGCAATAGAAATTATCATTTTTATTGATGACAGCCGAAAAATCCCGAAAAAAAATTGAAATGATAAATAGGTATCAGAAAAGTGTCTAGGAAGCTAATTGGTTTCATTTAAACTCCTTTAAGTAAAAGTTTTTGCAATAATTTTGCTAAGGAAGAATAACGGAAGTTTTAAAAGTAATTGGAGTCATTTTGTTTTATGCTCATTGATCACCAATCTGTATATCAATACTATTTGATGACTGTTTTTCAAACTTGTTTCTTTTGGTTTGGTATTAGGACTTTGTAAGCCCTCTTCGTAAGAGTACACGAAAGAAGACCCAACCTGTTCTTTATGGTCATGGAGTGACAATATCCAGCCTAACCAGTCCACAAAGTTCTTCCTCTAATGATACCCAAAAAATGGATATCACACAGTATGACTATTTAACTTTGTTATTACATGTTTTTGATTATGGAAAAATTGTCAATTACAAAGGTGGAATAATCAGTCAGGTCTGGTTGCTATAAGGGTGTGCATCCATTTTTATAAATTGTTTATTGATTGAAATAATTAACTTGAATTTCAGGACATTTGAAGAAAACAAAAATGACGAAAGCAGTGATGATGATATTCCATTAAGCCATTATAGTCCACTTAAAGGAAAGAAGGGAAATGCAAAGCAGTCAAAGAAATTACCTGTATGTGATGAAATGGATTATACTTTTTCAGAATTGCAATCTCACTGCAGTTTGTGTTGCTATAATTTACAAATAATGTTTTATTGTGTTTAAGTAATTTGTGTACATACCAACTGCTTATGTAGGTACCATTTTGTGTTATGCATCCAATTCCATTTTCCTTGTGTATAATTTGATATGTAGCATGCAGGGTTTCCATATATGGTCCAGTTGACAATTATCAGACCTTTAACATGAAAAGGCTTGTTGTCAGTCATTGTTTGGTAAATTTTTCATTTTGACAAGTATAAATGTGTCATGGCAAGCGCATGGTCAGCATCTATCTTATTTTTCTCACTTGTGTTTCATGCATGCATTGTCTACAAAGATTGCCATGGAAGAAAACTTGCATTTTAAAAACAGTCAAAGTTTTCAAATGTTGATTATGCTGTCAATTTAAACGCCTTTACAAGGCTTTTCCTGCATAAATGTTAAATATGCATCCCCATGATTACTGTCATTCTATTACTATGTATGCAGTAAAATGTTGGTACGTAATATGTGTCTTTTAGAGTTATGTTTCATTAACTACAGTGTGCGAATTAACGGTGTGCAATGTGCAATTTGCACATCGTTTTTGCTAAAATGAAAACAATTGCACATCACTTTTTCTAACAATATGCAAAAAACTTCTTTATTGATTACTACCACACAAATTGAAGAAAGTTTTCAAGCTTAATCTTTACTGATCTTTACTTTATAAACAAGTGCGCTGCACGACATTAAAAACCATGTTGACACAATGTCATCAAATTCAAAGACGTTGTCACTTTGAGACCTGGGAAGTCTGTCAACAGTCGATATACATGGTGCTTATATGCTTATGACAATAGGAGTGTATTATTAATGTCTATTTTTGCATTTGCATTGTTTTGTAAACCGTTACGTACTGTTTTTGGCATCATAGCTATTTTGAATATTTTCTGTACAATCAGGAAACATTTTGATTTTGATTCTTAAAAGAAGGCAAAAAAAACTTAAATAAGCCAAATTTGAAAAATAAACCAAATGGAATTTTGATTTTAAATAAGCCTAACGTGAGAAAAAGAAGCCAAATTTGGCTCAAAATTTTATGAAAAACTGGCAACCTTGATCAGCCATACTTTTTGCTATTACATATTGCTTGTAATATGACATAAATATGATGTTTTTTATCGTAAGTAAACATCAAGGATGTTACTGTTAATAATCAGAAAGCAAAAGTATATTCGGTTATTCTCTTTTCACTTTTGTCTTTCTTGTCATCTTCGTCGAAAGGTTGTAGCTACCAGCAAAGTTAATACAGTAAAAAATGGATGGAAACATCGAATGCTGACTCGTTTGATTACTAGGATGATGGCCAAGTGGTGAATTTACTGCGCTGTAAAGTTTGCACGAAGAAAGAGAATAACATGCGCAAAAAATTTCTCTCATACATTTGTGACTGGATAAGCGGTTGTAACGAAAAACACTGTCGTAAATCATATGAATTTGTTCACGTTTAAAAATATTAATTTAGCAATTAGCGCTGTATAATAATTAACGTAATATCGATTTGATTTTGCCTCTAAAGAAACACTTTTGTCAAAAAAATTTGCACATCGTTTTTTCTGAACCATTTCGCACACTGATTAACTATCATTTATAGGTAGCAAAGAAGGGCAGAACGAACAAGAACAAAAATAATGCAGCTCACGAAGAAAGCTTTCCAGATAAAGGCTCAATGTTTGATATCATTAGAGGTGGAAGGGTTGTATTGCAGGTATAATGCGAGCAAAATTATATTTTTTCGAGTAATGAATGAAAAATTTGACTTGGATGGCCAAAGAAAGAAGTATCAAATCTTGTGACAAAAACCATTTTTCTACTGCAGACTGTAATAGATGACTGGATTGAAAACTACAATAAAGATCGTATATCAGCTATGGTCGATTTGATTCAAGTTGTTATACAATGTTGTGGTTGTAAAGGTAAATTTTTGTCCAACCGCATGATAAACTTGATAATTGGATGGGAAGGACGAAACCAGAACTTGAATATATGAACATTCTCTCATTTTTCCCAACTATTAAGCTAACTATTATCTTTTCATGAGATGTTTATCTGATATCTCAATATCATTGATAAAATTTTTACTCAAGGAGTTGTAACTGAAGACATGCTTGAGGAAGATGAAAATGTTAATGCAATAAGAAAACTCACTGAAGTATTTGACGAGGTTCGTAAATGGCAATTAATTTGGAAGACTGAGCATGTGTACTTGATTTTTTCTTGTAGTATTCACTCATAATTTCAACAATTTGCAATGTAGGATCATTTTCGAATAGTCATTCAAACATTGAGTGATTTATCAAGTTTATGAACTGCAATCTCCCACACTTTATTAACACTTGACACTTATGTAAAGTGGGGCTCAATTCAGACTAATGAAATGACTATGCTTATTCATTCTTATCATTGTAAAAACTTTAAAGTCTTGGACTCAAATATTTACTTAAACGTTAAATGAGACAAGAACTTGAACAGTTGTTTGAGATGACCAAGCATGTACAGATTTGTTCTATGTGAGCAAGTAAGTCCAAACACGGTGCCAGTTGATCAAGTTGGTCATTTAAACTCAAACAATTTCTCATGTCAATTGTCAAGTGCTTTTGGTCAGATTATTTCTTTAATAATTTATGACTGAGGAAGCTGGTTACTTTGAAATGAATGCGGGTAATACTTGACATACACATACGTATATTTGAACAGTTGGTCTAGCAAACTGTTCATATTCTGATGACTGTTTTTGTAGTGGCTCCACTCAACCATAGATGTTAAACCTTGAACATAAAGAAAATTGCTTACATGTAATAAGACTAATAATCAGGACAAGCAGACAATTTTAAGTAAACAAAATAAAACAAATTCCGAAAACGGACCATGATGATGTCTTTGGAATAAAGACGAAATATTACACCATCTTTTGTTTTAAAACTCTTGTATTATCTTGAATATCAAGAAAACGAGATGTCCGTTTTCGGAATTTGTTTTATTTTGTAATAAGACTAAAACAGTGGACAACAACACAACAAGTGCCTGTTTAGATTATTGCAAATTTTATTAAAAATTTTTCACTTGCCATGAAGTCAATGGATGTTTGCCTCATGATACATGAATCAAAATAACATGGGAGTTAATGGATAAATTTACTAAACATTTTATGGTTGATTTAATTGCAAAAGGCAGTGTTTTAACTTTGCACTATCTTTTAATCCCTTTTACAAAAATACTTTGCATGTTTTTTCATGAAAGAAAATTAAAACCAGTTTAGTAATGTCACAAAGAGCTGATGAATAAATTTTTTTGTAGGACTCTCATGAGTATCCATTAATTATGTCTGGTGGGGGATACAAACGATTTAAGGTAAGTTTTTTTTGTTTAATTTTTTTCAGCGTCTACGTATTTGATAATCACTTCGAGGCGAGAGAAGATATTTTGAAAAAAGTGTTGATGTGTCGATCTATTCAGTTTTTGTTAAGAAGTTCATTTGAAATTTAGGTCTTTGTCCATTGAAGAGTTCAGGCTCTCTCATTACAAATGCTAGACGTACTAGTTTTCCCATCTCTTCATTTTAGAACAATTTTTGTGATTTTATCAGTTTGCTAATTGAGCAATGTCAGCATAATATTGTTTACGATGATTACATGTTGGATAAACTCATTACTTGGCTTATCAGTCTGTCCGATTCACAAGTAAGAGCGTTCAGACACACCAGCACCTTAGCAGGTTTGATATTACATAAATTATTATAACTTTATACCTTTACAGCTTACTTTTTTTCTGTATTATGTTTGTCTGTAGCTATCTCAACAAATCCAACGATATTTATTAGTAAAAATACATGTCCTAAAATGAAACTTTTTTCATTTTTGACATTACATACATGATTGAGTAAATCATGTGATTCTTTTCGCCCGACCAACCACTCCTTCTTCATTGAATATTTCGTTAAGTTTTTGCTCCTATTATACCTACTACTCATTGCAGCTTTTGTGGTACGTAAATGATTGTCTGTTTTTCAGGAATGGTATTGGTGGCCTCATTGATTCAAGTTGCTTTGAAATTAAACGTGGAACTAGATAATACACAGGTGAATCTCATTGCAAATTGTTTTTTCAGTCACCCTACACTAAAAACAGTCTTCCTAAGTACATACTGCTGTTTGCAAAATCATTAGAACTTGGAAGTTTTCAGTAGCTAAATACCTACGTACCTATTATGAATGGAGTTTCTCGTTCGGTTTATAAGACATAATTGATCAACACTACAAATTTTTTGAAAATACGTAGACATGTTTCGACATCTCATGATGCCATCTATTTTCAAAAAATTTGTGTCTACATTAAATGCGCATTAGCGATAGTGCTTTTACGAAATTATAATCAACACTAATTATGTGTTCTTTAGATTTATAATTTTGTGTAGTATTTTGTAACTTTTCTGTTTCACTCTCGTTTTCACTTCAAGTTAACAATGCCTATAAAGGCGTGCTTTTAACTATATACGTATACTGTATGTTTTTTGTGCAATTTACCACATAACATCTTTGTTCCGACCTATCTGCAAGGGCGGCCGAAACAGAGCATGAACTTTGGAATTGCGTGAAACTTTTAACCGTTCAACCGTTATGATTTGTTTCTTTTTGCCCCGCTCTCAAAAAAGCAATTTCGTTCCACTGCGTCTGCTGTGGATTGATATTTGGTATTCATAGAGTAGAGGTCATTTTCTAGCGACAACTTGACAGCGAAAAACGAAAAAGTGCACAAAAGCGTGGACAGCAGAAAATGGAAATGCTTCAAAATAAGAAAGAACAGGTTTGCTGAAGAATTAAAGTAGCTCAAGAATTCTTTTTTCTCGGTTTTTAGATCATTCTCTGTTCTTACGAACACGCGAAATTGATTCCTAATAAAATTTACAATTGACCTACAAACAAACAAAATTAAACACCGATTAAGATATAAAGTATTCGTAAGATGTGTAAGAATAGATTAGATATCTAAATAAAGTTTAGGAGTTTTCTTAAGTACCGCCAAACTTGATGAATTAGCTAACAACATGAAAAGGTAAAGCTTTCCAATCTTCAATATACGTACCGATTAAAAAATCCAGAAGACTTAAAGTAATTTATACGGAATACCTTAGGCCTTAATTTTAGCCAACTATGGTTGGCTCTGGTTTTTGTTCGCTTAAGTAAATCAACATATTAGTCTTGATCAAAATCATGATTGAAATGTCTTATATTAAGTGCTACTACAGATGTAAATATCTTTTGATCTTCTAGGGTTGGCACCCATTTTTTTTCAGTTTTTTAATATATCATTAGGATGATATATCACAGATCAAACTTGTACCTCTCCTCTGTATTGATTTCAAGGCATAAATGTGTTTTTGAACATCTCGATGGTAGGCAGGGCGACATTAGAATCGTGGACCATTTAAACAATACGTAAAACAAAAACCCTTGACATTTATTGTACGCTATTGCTTGTAATCATTACCACATTGAATTATTTAAGGAAAGATTTGAATAGTTTTATGAAAATATCCTTATTTGTCGTGAAACGAGGAAGAGGAGTTAAAGAAATTAAATAAATTAAAAAACTGTTTTGAAACTTCATTATTCTTGGATCCCTACTTTTGAATGGTGTACATTGTTTGTATTGATAATTTTAGCATGCAGTCTATATCTATTTATCTTTAAAATTTGGGTAGTTATTTTACTATGTGAATATACCTCGTGATATAGGATTTTCTGCATATTGTAGCTTACAGAGACTATTCAGCAATTGGAGGAGTATATGAACTATGTTTTTCAAGGGATATTTGTGCATCGCTACAGGTATTTATAAAAGATATTGTTGTGTTTCTTGAGGGCAAATAAATTTGCTTATTTTTCTTTAATTCCATGGCATTTTTTTATAGGGACATACGACCTGAAATCAGATGTCTTTGTATGACGGAGATTGGCAATTGGATGAAAAATTACAGGTATTCGTCGACAATTGATCATTGACCGAAAAATCGATCATTTTATGAATTATTATAATGCATCTATTTATCATGTTACTAAATAATATAATATATTGTTTGAAACAAAACGTCAATCCTCAATCATTTTCCTTACAGCAACTATTTTCTATCTCATAAGTATTTGAAGTACGTTGTTTGGACTCTGCACGATAAGGTATGTGTTATTTAAAGGTTTTTCAAATGTATGCATGACTTAAAGGGGAGAGGGGTGGTTGGGTGTTAAATGGTTCATAACGTTTTCGTTTTATTTACTTAGGAAGGTGAAGTTCGTAACCATGCCCTGGAAACTTTGTACAAGCTCTATCAGGTGGAGGAATTTCTTTCACAGTTGGAACCGTTGACGTCCAGATTTAAGGTTTACAGTTGTGTTTGTTGTTTGTTTGTTTTTGGTTGATGATCAATTTGATTACTGATCATCGATGAATGTTTACCTTTTTCTTTTTGACAGAATCGGATTGTTTCTATGACACTTGATGTAGCTCCGCCTGTTCAAGTTGTAGCCATTAAGTTGGTGACATTGTTATTACGGTATGTTGTGAAACGTTGTAACAGTTTTTATCGGTGGTCTAGCGTTCACAGGCTACACAATTTTTGTTTACTGTAAAATTTTCTATTAACACATCCATCCTCCGACCGAGCTGCTTGATCGCTCTATACAGACTGGATGTAGCATTTCTATGTTGTAGCTATTACAAAACAGTTTGAGCATAAATACAAATTCGTAAAGATTTTTTATGTGTTCATATCTTATAAAATTTCCTACAGTATAATTTTGACGATATTGTATCTTTATACTGTACCAAATGTGTTTTTTTAGTCGCATGTTCAAAAAGTATTATTTAATTTTTTTAATCATAAATGGCATGGAAAAAATTTAAACGTTAACACTTGAAATGTAGCATGTATGTGAAACATGACAATTGAAAATGGCTTCTTTTTCAATAAGTTTGGTACTCTTATATAGTTATGGAGAGCTTGAAGAAGAAGATTGCGAACAAGTGGAACAGTTAGTATTTTGTAGCGAGCGTCTTGTTGCACAGGAAGCTGGTGCATTCTTAAATGCCAGGCTGTTATTAGAAGTGGAAGCCAACAGTCCAACAAAAAAGAAAGGTGAAAGAATTTATTATTACTTGTTTTAAATGTAATGGGTAATAGTAATATCTGTAAAAAATATTTGGATCTGTACACATAAATAACGCTATCTTTGGGAGATTTATCTTCACTGTAATTCTGTTTTTTAGCATCGAAAAAATCTGAGTTACAGCGCAAGGTAGATTACATCCGAAAGCTCACAGATTTCTTTATTAACAATCAGGTAATTTTAGCTATGAACAGCTACAAAGAAATGTACGAGGGCCTGTTCACTCTGGTCGTTAAGATCCATATATCGTAAAGCAAGCTATTGATAATGGCCAAATTATTTACGTAATGGATATTCTCTTTAAATTAATATGATAAGTTTTTTCAACATGGTTGTTTTAGATTCATGATCATGGAGCGTATATTGTTGATAGCCTATGGCAACATTCCGATCTTTTAAAGGTAAAACCGCTGATTAATGTGCCTACATACTGTGAGCTCAGAAATAGGGTTTGTCTGTGTTGTGTGCAAAAATATTAGCCCATAATATTTCAAGTTGTATTCATTATCTTCTATATTTTAAAAAAATGAACTTGTTTCCTTGAAAGCACATTTGTATTTTTATTTTTTCTATCTTTATACATGTCCTAAACTTTTTTCTCCTTCTGTGTAAAATAGAGTATGTTTTTAATTACGCTCAAATTTACTGTTATACGTCAAGTGCTGTGTAATCTGCTACGTAATAGGTAATGCACTTTTGACGTCATACTGCGGGGAAAATCGTGATAATTTCATGATTGTTTCACCTTAGTATGTAAAAAATAAAAAGAATACTTGAACTAAATATATGATTTCTCAGCCCAATCCATAATCGTATTATCATAATGATAATAACGTGGTTTGAGCCTTCTAGGAACGAGGCGTTTATTAGAAAGAGGCGTGTAATACAAACTCACTCTTTAAAAGGGGGCGTTTATGGAGTATGTTTTCTTTTCATTTTATATTTGCGGCTTTAGGATTGGGAATTGATGAACTCAATATTGTTGGATGATAAATTCAGCGAAAGTTTATCTGACGACGAAGAAACAGCTTTGATTGAACTCATGGCATGTTGTTGTCGTCAGGCAGCTACAGGAAAAGGACCTTCAGGTCGCTTTGTCAAACGAGTAAGAATTTGGAATTACTTTTTTCCATTGACTTGTCCATCCTCGTAGCCATGTGTAATAACGAGGACAAGCAAACAACTTTAGATAGTGCAAAATACAGCAAATTCCGAAATCGACATCTGGTTTTCTTGATAGTCAAAATAAAGAAAGAGTTTACCTACTAATCTGTGTCTAAACTCTTGCTTTATCTTGACTATCAAAGAAAACAGATGTCTAGAATTGGAGCCCATTTTGTTTTGTACTATGTGTAGTAACCATATCTTGCTTTGATATTTCTCTCAGCTCCTTAGCTCTAAAGAAAAGAAAGCAATCGAAATTGACAAACGTGAAATGAGTGGTCATTTTATGGTACAACTCCCTTTGCTACTGGAGAAGGTGATTATCATGGGCAAGAAAGTGAACATTGACATAAGAGCTCTGCCATGTTTTCAAATTTTGCGCGGTATTGACCAATTCAACCCTGACATGCAGTAGTTTGTGTAAAATTTTTAATCCTCCAACTCGTCATATGCTAAGTTGTCGACATAACAAAAATTGTATATATACACATTATTTTAACTTACCGTCTGTGTCCCGTTTCACTTTTATGACTAACGGCTTTGATTTTCCTTGTGTTTAGTATGGAACAGATTTGCCCAAGGCAGAAAATCTTGTTATGATTGCCCAGTATTTTGATTTGGAAGAATATAGTGAGAGACGTCTAGGCGAGGTAAAAAAAAATGCTTAATGTTTTACGTCTATAATAATTTTGACTGTTGTCAGTTTTTTATAATTACGTATCGTTCAGCAATGCGAATTTTCCACCATTTTAGGAAATGAAAAATGAGTTATTTCTTATTAATTCTTACACATTGAGATAAAGTTTGCATCTATGTAGTTAAATATGATAATATTTTTTTGTAATTTTCAATGCTACCTACCAGGATTTCAGTTGTGATTCTTGTTAATCTATTTGAATTTCAAGCATTTTGATAATCTTCTTGACCAAATTGACGATCTTGTTCAGAAAGCACCTGAAAAAGCAGTAAGTATTCGTGTGCTTTATTAGTTACTTTTCAAAACATAAATATCTACATTGATGGCCGATTTTCTCCCTTGTAGTTGCTAGAGGAATGTGCTAAGACTTATTTGATGTTGATGGACAATGAACTCACATTAAAGAGTCAAGCGGTATATTTCATATATTATATAGTGTTTAGTATATTAATCCTGATATAATTAAGATATAATTAGGATTAATATATTAAGTATATACTCTGATGATGGCTTTGGAATAAATATAGTGTTTAGAGACGATAGATTTTTGCTTGATGATATTTTCCTTTTGATTTAGGAGGTTGCACGTAATAAACTGATTGATAATATTGTTGAATTGTTCAAAGAAGCCTGTAAGAATCCTAACGCACACGATGTAGGTGTTAGTGGTGTTATTGTTGGAGTAATAACTGTAATGAATTATACCTTTCTTTGATGCTTTGAAATAAGGCTAGTTCTGACAAAGGGGAACGCGGAAATGATGCTGACTATACCTTACAAGTTAACTTGAGAAGATTAACCGCTTTCTATAGGTAAGATTAACTGCTTTCTATTGGTTATATACATAGGGTTAGCAAAGTTGAGATCGATATGTAAGGTTGTATTGGTAAAGTTAACGAGGTAGGGTTAGGCAACGTTGTATTAGTGCAAGGTAGGATAGTACAAGTAAGGTTGTTTAGCTATAGTGCAAGGTGGAGTTCTATAGGTAAGGTTGTTTAGGTATAGTGCAGGGTGGAGTTCTATAGGTAAGTTTGTTTAGGTGATAGTGCAAGGTGGAGTTCTATAGGTAAGGTTGTTTAGGTATAGTGCAAGGTAGGGTTCTATAGGGTTTTAAGGTTGTTTGGTATAGTGCAAGGTAGGGTTCTACAGGGTTTTAAGGCTGTTTCGATATAGTGCAAGGTAGGGTTCTATAGGGTTTTAAGGTTGTTTCGATATAGTTAGCAATGTAGAATAAAATATATGAACTTTATAGGTTTGCATAAAGCCATAACTTATAACAAACATTTTGTGGTAAGAACGTAAATTGAATTTTCAGAAATCATGATCTTGGAGCATGGGATCTTTATGATTGTCTCGTGGAAATTCTTAGAAATATGAGCAGTCACGATGAGGAGGTATAATAAACCCTGCATATTTTCATAGTAGATGTGAAAAGAAGCCTGCTTATTCTACACTTAACATTCAGAAATTGAGAATATTTCTTATTTCAGTCCGTGTTATTGTGTTGGATATGTTGTATTTTTTGATTTTCCGTAATCTGATTGGCTGCCGTAGCGGGCAACTCTTAACAATATCTTGACCGTGCTCTTGGTGTTATTAATCTCGTATTTTGTTATTTAGGTCATTATTAATGTAATAGTTTCCTTACAAATGTATCTGCTGTGGAGTCTTCATTCAATGACAGAAAAAAATCCAAGCAAGGTAAGATTCTAAACTGGCTTCATTGAATACATCTGTTGCTTCTCATTTTCTTACGATACTCGTATGATTTGATTTAACATTTATTTCGTGTTGTTCACCAACTGGTAAAAGCAGTTGCTGTTTGATTTAATTTATACGCTTTTGTTTTTACGGTTTCATGTCATCGTTAGTGTAACATTAGTAAGAGAGTAAAATGCTTCTGACGTTTTCAGGGCACTCAAATCTTTGTGAAGAGCTGGATAGTAGGATATTGAATGCATAGTTGTAAAAGTTCTTTTTGACTTGTTTATGTTAATTGTCACACTCATAAAATTTCTTCATTCTGTTGTTCATTGTGAGCATTTTCTTTTTCATAATGAAAATTTCGTGAATGGGATCATATTACGTTATTAATTTGTCGCATTAAAAATGCCTGTTTTAGCGTCAGCTGAATATTTTGAAACAACGTCTTTATTCATTCATGGATATATGCTGTTATATAGTCGAAAATGAAGTGGGTGAAGTTAGAAAAGAGGTATGCATATTATAAGTAATTTGAAGTTGAATGATAATTTGTTATGTCATAATGTGTATTTTTTTAGGCATTTTTATCTGCTACTGATCTCATGGTTGTATTTGCAAAGCAGCTTGTTAATAGTCGTAAGTATTGAGAGCAATATGACATTCGTTAATCAAAATATTTTCATCCACACGTTACGTTTTAATGGTGGTTTTACTTGCTCGCGCAAAAATGAGTGATAATCTTAAAAACGATACTTCAGTTTATGGCACATGCTAATACTACAAGAGCTTTGTTTGCTACATTTTATAGAAATGCTTTTCATACTGAAAAAAACGCATATTATACTATTCTTGCTTTATCACGCCTTTAATGCTCGCTTCTGAATTTTGGTGTAAGATGCGAATGATTTTCATACCTAAATATTTAAGTTGAACTATTCATAATATATATAGATCCTTCTCTGGCACCAGTTGTTTATACACCTAGCGACGAGGCTCAAGATATCTACACTAGATTTGCCGCAACTTACGCTTTCTCTGATGTGAACCCTGAAAACGAAGAAGAAAAGGAGGAAGACGGTAGATTTTCATGTGCAATAAAGTTATCATTGTTGTTCTTCATTCATTTATAACTCTTCGATTTTTTACTTTGTATTTTTAGATGAAAACACTGAGAATGAGGTGCAAGAATTGAGCAGTAAACGCGTTGTGTTGGCGGCAATCTGCAAACTTCTTGCTTATGGAATGTTTGACATGCAACAAAGCGCTCCTATTTTTTCACAGCTTATATCGGTAACATGTGAACTTCACGTGACATTAGCCAATAATTTATTAGAAATATTTCACAAAACTTAAAGATCTATAATTACGTCCAACAATTGTTTTTTTGTTGTACGCGAAAATGCAGTTGCTTGTTGTTTTCTATTCAGTTTCAGTAAAAATACAAGCATGTCATATGAGTGAGAGATCCGTTTTACTTACTTTTTCCTTTCAATGATTTTGAAACTTACTTATTTGAACCATACTTGGGACTTTAAATATCTTTTTCAGGCATATGGTGATTTTGGTGATCTTATTAAACAAACAATGTCGAAATGTAAAGAACTCAGTATCAACCACTACACAAGGACCCTGGCATTAACATTGTTCCAGGTATAAGAATTTTCCTACACAATGAAGCGTGAGGGTTTTGTCGTCAATTCATGTTATTGTGGTATTTTTTTGTGTCATAGGAATATGAATTACTGGTTAATGAAGCTGGCGATGTTTTTGATAATACATCAATTGAAAGCACGGCGTTAAAAGTAATTTCACATTTAATATTATATGACGTATTGTATACCTACATGTTCCCCGATAATTTAGAGGTAACGTGTTGTGTTTTGTTTTCCGTTTGCGTTTTATTTGATTTGATACTACAGGAACTTGCAAGACGGTTTGTTGTGACCTATGGTATCGATTTGACGAAAGATTATGTCCGAAAGGCTATGATAAACTTTCACAGGTAAAATTTTCTAGCGTCTCCAAATAGAAGTGCACAATCTGGTTTGGATGAAATACTTACTGTATGTATTTATTGTCCTAGGGAAGCCATATTACTTGGTTTTCATGGAGATGGCAACCAGCATGATGAGTCATTTCCTAAAAGTGGATTCTTTGATATTATAAACGAATGTGCTTCACGATTGATACCTGTAGACAAAAAGGCTGTGTAAGTATTGTTCAATTCCCATCTTGTATATTTTGAAATCTATATTGTTAATTAATGTGTTTCATTGAGTGAGTATTCGCTTACAAAGGCACTCAAATACCAAGAAAAACTCGGATGGAATATTGATAATTTAGTCTGATCTAGGGGGAGAGGGAAGGTGTGTATTTATATGATCAAGGTTCGTTTACACACAACGATTTGTCGGACAGGCACTTACGCCATATTACGTGTTTCTTGCTATAAATGGAAAATTTGTCTTGTAAGACAAATCGCTGAGTGTAAATAATGCATCAGATGTATTTATGTGTTTTCGAAACCCGAAAAAGAAAAGAGAGAATATTCCACCTTAGAGAGAATATTCTACTTTAGAGAGAATATTCTACTTTAGAGAGAATATTCCACCATGGAGAGAATATTCCACCTTGGAGAGAATATTCCACCTAGGAGAGAATATTCCACCTTGAGAGAATATTCCACCTAGGAGAATATTCCACCTTAGAGAGAATATTCCACCATTAAGAGAATATTCCACCTTAGAGAGAATATTCCACCATGGAGAGAATACTCTACTTTTGTGAAAGCATTTCACCCAAGATATATTTTTTATAAACCAAAATTCACAATAAAATAGATTAGAAATTTTCTTAGGTGATTTCATAACGAAAAGCGCTCTTATTTTTCCAGCTAGCCAGCAATGAGAATACGTACAGTCATATAGGTAGCTACTATATTTCATGTTTGTTCTTTGACGTTGTAGGTTGAAGATTCTCGATACAGAGTTGCAAAATAAGCAGTTGAAAGTAGAAGAAATAGCAGATGATCCAGAACTAAAGTCATTATATTTATATTACACGGTGATGCTGAATGGAAGTCAAGGTAAGTTATAGAATTTCAATTTCAGTGCAAAGTTATCATGGATACTTAAATTCATACTTACGTAGTGTAAGCTTTCCCATGGGGAGTAATGAATGCAATTTATGTTCGTTGTGAAATTATGTATTGTAGATTATTTAAACAGTTTCAATGCCCTTAAGGTTATTTTGACAGTTTCATTTGTCATATTTAAATAAACTTTTAGTCATCTCTGCCAAGATTACAAAAAATTTTATAGAAATCATTGCTTTATTGTAAATCATGTAGCATGTAAATGTCGGTGTCGGTCGTGTAAAGCATCTTACTCCAGACCAGCGTTATATATGGAGATCAGTCTACGAACCCAAGAAGTAGACTGGGACAGAGTAGTTTTCTAATGTATCAACAAGTCAGATGTTGAATATTGAGTAAATCTTCGAGAAACGTTCCCTGTCATTTAATAGTCATCTTTGCTCCTTTTGTATTTGTTGCATGTTGTTGGCAAAGATAAATAAATAAATAAATAAAATTAAATAGGAGTCAATGAGAAAAAAATGAACGAAACATTTTATAACTGATTCAAATTACGAGTCAAAAAGCAGAGCGTTTTTTGAAACTTTACATTATACATGGATCCCTAAGTTCAAGATATTTTTTTAGTTTTCTAGATGTTTGAATTTTTATTATAACTGGTTGCATTTGTAAATCTTAATATTCTTTTTCGTGTTTTTATGCAGAAACAAATGAAAAAGGAAAAAAGAAGGGCACGATGACTCAAAAGGCACGAAGAAAACTATCTCTTGATGGTAATTGACTTTGCTTTCGTTCGTTTTTGTACAATGTACACACGTTTGATTTATTTTCCCATCAAGATGCTAAACAGAAAGTCGCTGCTAAAAAAAGACTCGAAACAAGTAAGAAACCGTCAAAGGAAAATGAGGCTGGTGAAGAAATCGTTAGAGAGGAAGCTGCTTTGTTGCATGAGAACCAGACAGATAACAGTGTTTCAAAAAGGAAACGAGATGATGAAGAAGATGATAATTTACCTGATGAAGAAGAAAATAGTGATGATGATTTTCAGCAGTATGTATCTTTAATGGAATGGTCTTCCTTATCATGTAATTTATGCAACATTTATATATCGTATATTTTATGCATTCATATATCATGAATACTTTATCATTGCTTTAGACCTAAATTCCTATAAACAACAGTCCCAACACCATAAACCTGCAGAACTTATCAGAAATTTCCACTAAAAACCATACCACATATGTTTTATTGCGCTTGATTTACACACACTTAATTATATTATCTAAGAACTTCGATCGAATGCAGGATCGATGCATTGTGGAAACTGATAATTTTATTGAAATTTCAATTGTTGGTTTTTAACAAAGTTCGTTTCATTTCATGTTTTCAACTAGTTCCAGAAGTGCTAAAGGTCTTTCTCAGGCTTCTTGGACAGCAAGTCAACCAAAGAACAAACGCTCTGAGAGCTATTCTCGAGTAACTTATGACAGCAGAAGGAAAGATCAATCATCGTGAGTAAAATACTCTGCCAATTATGATTGCATTGTGAATATGTCTGTTAACGGAGGTTAACTGTAAACTAAAGTAAAATTATTTATTTGTTGTTTATGTTGTCTTTTCGCTTCGTATTCTATACCGTTTGGTTTCATGTTGTAAATAGAATGCTAGTGTCTGAAATTACATACAAGCAGTTACCAAATTCGGTTTAGTTTCTGTCAATTGATCATCAGTTGCAATTTTTCTTCTAGTGTTGCACCAGTGATTGAAGATTCCGAAAGTGAAGAACTTTCTGACCGCGATGGTCTATCAAGTCCTTTGAAATCAACTGAGGTATCAGAAATTCCTGGAGTAGAATTTTTTTTCACTATAATTTTACACAATGTGTGAATGTCAAACTAAATATTTCCCTTGACGTAAAGATGACAAACCTATGATTCAAATATAAAACGTACTTTGTAATAACATGCTTCAATGGAAAGGCTTCTGTTGCTAGTTTCGATTTGCACTGCAGTGTAGGTTGTGTTAACATTCTATTTTGTAACATTTGTTGTGTCTTTTTTTGAAGCAACAGTCGATTGAAACACCACCACGAAAAAGATCGAAACGAGATCTTCCTGACAATATCTTTGCTGAAGAATCGTCTGCTGCTGAATCTCTACAAGTAAGATATTATCTCTGCTTTCTATAAAACAAATTCAGTAATTGTTAAAAGGAATTTTATGTATTGTAGGACGATGATTTACCTATTGGTAGATATTATCTCTGCTTTCTATAAAACAAATTCAGTTATTGTTAAAAGGAATTTTATGTATTGTAGGATGATGATTTACCTATTGGTAAATATTATCTCTGCTTTCTATGAAACAAATTCTATTATTGTTAAAAGGAATTTTATGTATTTTAGGAAGATGATTTACCTATTGGTATCAATAGATCTTGAAGTTCGTGCAAGTTTTATTTTTTACTTTTATAAAAAATTGTGAAATTGTTGTAATTTTTTCAAAATTTGGTTGATTTAAAGTATATATTTTGTATAGAAATTGTTGGAAAAGTTTACATTCCAGAGTTAGACGCGCGTTGCGACAAAATGTCAATAAAATTATTTCTTTATGTATTTATCGCTATAATGGCTATTCATGTAATTACAATTACGTTTCCCGTCGAGAAAATCTAATTTATCACAGTTAAAACCAGAGTTTTGAGTTGAAAATAATAGCTGTGTTCACTTTTTTATGGAGTACATTTATATGCGTGTTTCATTTTGATATGTATGTTTCATTTGTTTTGATGCATTGATCATATTTTGTTCTTTGAAGTGATATATAACGTACTGTTCGTGTTGATATTCGCGTGTGTTGGGCGCGTCATTCCTTTCAATAGAGTCAAATGGTATTGAAGGTCGTTTGCAAGTTATGTCACAGACAAGTCATAGTTACGTAAAGCAAACAGTTTTCTTGTGAAGCAGAACAGAAATGACATTTAATAAACAAGTAGACTCCAGGAATAAAACTTCAGAGACGCCTCTCATAAATAAACAAAAATATATAATAGATTTATTTGTATAATTAAGCAAAGTTTCCTGTAGTTTAGATTGATGTTCATAAGTACTGTTAATCCTACACAACCTAATCCCTGATAAAGTTCGAATACTAGTTTCATTTTAACTGAAACCTGATTTCAAGATATAATATTTTACGGTTTGTTTCTCTTTTTAGTTTCGCTTGCTAAATTTACTTAGGTACATGGTTATATGAGACTACGCAAAGGTAATCTTTCTCGAGCAACGTATGTGAACGAGCGTGTTGTATATTATATACATCCCATTTATGTTCAGTCGATGACAACACATGAACCAATGAAAGCTTGTTTTGTCTCCAAATATGCATAGGCGACAGACATCTGGGGGCAATTAAAATAAACGAAAGATTTGTGCATTAAGGAACCTCAATAAAAGAGTAGACTACTACTGCACAGTTGCGCGAGATTTATATAATTTGACACAAGTGATTTTGGTGAGTAGATATATATTTTACGCGTTTTAAATAATCAAATTTATGAATCGTGATGATTTCCTGTTATGTATACATTATGTCACTCTGTCTACAGTTATGTTGTACATTGACTGCCCTTCAATTGAGAAATATACTTCAACGACAGTAAAAACCTTCCGCAACAATATTTATGCAACAATGCATAAATAGATCAAACTGAAAATGGCCTCCACTGTGGATGAAGTCTTTACGACGATTGGTGAATTTCGTCAATATCAATGGTATCTTTTGACAGTAATGGGACTTGCTGTAGTTGTTATTACTTCCTTTCCCATTATGATACCATCATTCATCACAGCTGAACCTCCATGGATGTGTGTTGATGGATTTATGAATAGCACTGTATGCCAATTCAACGGAACAATATCGTTGACCAGTGATAATTATAAAGAAAGATGTCATATGCCGAGAGAAGCTTGGAAGTTCGTTGACGATTTCACATCTGTTGTTACTGAGGTGAAAATTTATTACATAGCACTTGGCTTTGTGTTGAAAAAAAGTTGACAAGTTATATGTTTTGTTAACTGCTATTTTCAATATTCCCATCTGTGTTAGCTAAGAGAAGATTGTACAGCCACTAAAAAAAAGTATTTTAAAATTATTCCTCATTAAATCATGGGTACAAAACAAAAGTAAATTTTGTTTAATTTTATTGCTGTTGTTTCTAAGTAACTTTCTGTTACATCTTTCATCTTTGATCCGTTTTCTCTAAAACATCCATCTCAAGTTTTTCAACTTTTTTTTAATTTTTACAGCATGATCTCGTTTGTGACAATTCAATCATACTCTCCATCGCACAATCGTGTTTATGGATCGGTATGCTGATAAGTTTGTTGGTCAGCGGTCAACTTTCCGATTATCTTGGTCGAAAAATTATATTGTGTTTGGGCTGTGGAGTTATTATTGTAGCCACTTGGGTGATGGTGTTTCCTAAAGTTTTTGCTGTATTCATTGTTTGCCGTGTTTTCATTGGTATTGGCTCAGGTGATTTTAGATTTGTGATTCTTAATTCTTTAGGTATTAGATAAATTACTATAATTTTTTAAAGTAATATCTATCTACGTATTGTTAACGTCTTTATGTTTCAGCAAAGATTAGTATGGTATTTATGAATGAAAACATTAAAGTAGTGCGATGTGTTTTTTGGACTTGGCAATGCCGTTGTCTGTCCAAAAAATTACAAATAAACTTGAGTTTTTGGTTTGTGAAATCTCCGAATCAGATAATTCACAACATTTCGATCCACATTTTCATTTTCTGAGTGCCAAAATCATACAATCGATTCAATCTCGCTAAAAAAGCTCCTATAATAAGAGGAAGTTGAGTACTAAAGTTGGGATTAAATTATCCCCCACACACACCCACAAAATAGCATTATCCTGTGTCTTTTTTTACTTAGTCAACCTTTTGAGAATGACACCTGTTATGTTTTTGTCACAGAGTTTGAGCAAAACTAGATTATTTCCGTTGTTTATGTCGCAGAAAGTTCTTTATAATCCTCTGCTTTTTTACTTTAGGATTTGTGAACACAACATTGTTTCCTCTGTTGACGGAATTCACAACAGAAAAATATCGTTCCTGGATGGGGATTGGATCGTTTATATTCTGGGCTGTTGGTATATCAATCCTTCCTCTAATTGGCTTCTTGGTTCCTGCATGGAGAACGTTCTTGCTTGTCACTGCTATTTCAGCGACTCCTTTCCTCTTTACTTGGTGGTATGTATGCTTTATCTTAGAACTGTAAATATTGAACGGTAAAAAATGTTCTTATATTTATGAAATGTTTAAGTTTAATATTGATATTTTCACAAGGCTTATTCAAGAATCTCCTCGATGGCTTTTACTGCACAATAAAGAAGAACAAGCGAAAGTTGTTTTTTCAAAAATTGCCGTCAAATGGAACAAGCGACAATTGCCAAATAATCTTCTTCTACAGAAGCCTCCGTCCACAGAAAAACGAGCGAATGTATTTCAATTGTTTCGAACATGGAATATGGCAAAGAAAACATTGATTTCATGGAATTTGTGGTAGGTTACCCAAGATTCTATTTGCAAGTTTCAATCTTGCTCTGAACTTGCATTTGATTCTTTCATCAATCTTTATACAGCATTTAATCTCGTTGAAATCAAAAATAGGAAAAATGAACACATTTCATCATTTTTTATTCTGAAGGTTTGTCAACGCACTTGTATATTACGGTGTTTCCTTTGGTTCAGTTGATCTTGGTGGCAATATATATCTGAACTCATTCCTTATTTCTGTTGTTGAGATTCCTTCAAATTTTTGTTGCATTTGGTCCGTTCGCAGGTACGTATTTATAACTGCATGCGCATGCAAGTAAACTGAAGTAAACTTTTCGAACTATCTTTAGTTTGTACTTTATACCTGAATATTTATGCATTTTCCATTTAAATCTTTAAGGTTTGGTAGAAAAAAAAGCGTTGTTATTCCCATGATTGTCGCATTTATTGCTTCTACTATTCCCGTTGCCATTCCATCAAATGAAAGTTCAGGTATAAGTATGCAATTGTGAACTGTAGCGAATAAAAACGATCTTGTCAATCACTCAAATTCGTACACTGAATAAACGACTAACTGACAAGTCTATTTTTTGGCAGAAATTGTCGGTAGTCGTGTAACTGCTGTCGTCATCGCAAAATTTTTCATCAACTTTTCTTTCTCTGGTATTTACTTATGGTGCACTGAGCTCTTTCCCACTGTAATACGGTATGTGTGTTGTATATCACTGCTCAAGCAACTCGCCAGTTTTGCTACGTGATTTTCACATTTTGATGCCTATATCCTCATAATTTTCTAAAAAGTTTTGCATGAAATAATAAAGTGCATATTTCACATTATTCCAGTGTTGTGCATGAAAACATTATATATATACTGTCACATTCGTTGGTGGTCTTTTTACTGACATCTAAAATAGTTCATATTTTCAATAGTTCAAAGGTCATTTCGTTTTGAGAAACACGAAATTGCGGACGAGTTAGTAGCTACAATTTAAAATCATAAAAACATTGCACATTAAGATGACAGGAGACGATTCCGAGATAACTTCATTTATTGGCCATTTATAGATCAACTGGACTGTCAACTTGCTCTTCTATGGCAAGAATTGGATCATTCTTAGCTAGCTATATTATATGGCTTGTAAGTCTCAATCATTTAACTCGTCTTTAACATTTATTGTAAGTTCGTGAAAAAGGATTGGAGTGATGACGCTGCGAAACTTAAAGTTTTGCGAGTATATTGCTTTTTAGTTGTTTCGTTTAGCTCCCATGTATGAGATCTTTATGAAGGGAAAAATAGAATTTTCCTGCGGACTATACCACTCCTTGTTTGACTGGAGAGCTTCATTTTTAAAAAGCACAATATTGCCTACAAAACTTAGTTTTGTCTGATAGACTTGGATTGTCGTTGCACAGGCTATAACAACACTCTTTTGTGCTTTTCTATTTTAGATTCGTATTCATGCAGCACTACCGTTCAGCATCATGGGAGTTTTATGCCTTCAAGCAGCTGTACTCGGCATGTTTTTACCTGAAACTAAAGGAAAGCCAACTTTAGAAACCATGAGCGATCTTAATGGTATAAAATCAAATGGTTTTGATCAGTCGAATACAAATGGCGAAGGTGAAATCGAGCTTAAGGAAAATGTCTTAAATAAAACAATGACCGCAACCTGATATCTTGCAATTTTAATCAATCTTTATTGTCAGTAATGACGGAATATTTTGTTATCACAACTGTTTGCAATATATTCAGGGGTGCCAGAAGGTACATAAAGGTGTGGGGGGAACATTTTAGAAATTTTGAGTACCAATTTCTACAAACTAATGAAATAATAGAAATGTAAAACCTTCCTGCGTGATTGTTTGGAAGTCCACTCAGCTGCATTGTATGTATATACATTTGTTCTATAGTCAAAACAGACCAATAGTGTAACCATTCACTTTCATTGTAATTTGCTATTTTAATGCAATTTAGGGGGACTCACCCCCTGTCCCCCCCGTTTCCGACGTCCCTAAATATTTTCACTAAAACTATGTACCTCGTGCACCAATCCATTCAAGATTCTGTGATTTTTACTTAGTAACCAAAAAAAATCGTTACATGTTCACTTTCACACTAGTGAATGCTATAACTGCTAAATCTATTTATCAAATCGTAAATGATTAGATTTTATGATAGGATGGAGCATCTTGAAAAAAGACGCCAAAAACCAAGCTGTCATGTATGTGTAACGAAGAATGTTTGAGAGTTAAGCAGTCACGTTTCATTTTCAGAGTTCAGGTTTATACTAAATCAACATCCACTATCCTTCAGCTCTTCAATGTTGCATCGTTTAATACATTAGATCTGGTTATTTTACCAAAAAACGCTTTATAAGGTGTTGATATAGTTTCATATTATCTGCCTCGTTCTGCTAAAAAAATCACGTTCTGTCCATTTGCCCAAAGCGTGCAGCAGTCTCTGGTCTCTATAGTAATCAGAACAAGACATCATATTAATATCCCATGATGTCGTCAGTGTTTAAAAGATATCCCGCCGTAAAGGTAGGATTCTGCTGCATACATCATATTTTTTCTAGGTTTTTCCTGGATGTTTAATAATCATTTTTGTATGCATAACGTACAAAGTTTTAATTAAATGTTATTAAAAAAACCTTCAGCTTTTTTAAAAGTAACCTTGTTTCTATGTATTTTCTAGTTAGTGTCAATTCATTGATTATTTAACGATTTCCTACAATAAAGTGAAGTTTGAAATAACCGTGCAAGAGGAAAAATATTCGAGATTAGTTTTCAATACGAGGTTAGTATAACTTTAGACAAATGTACATTGCTAAGCAAAATATACAATATATTGCATAAGCTTCGTGTTTAAATTCAGATGTTTGATTTAACTGTGATCTCACAACTTAAATAAAGATATAAATGAGAAACTTTTGAAATGGTAAGCATAACCCTTTTCAGTGGAAAGTTTTACTTTGAATGTAAAAGTATGACTGAAAAAGTGGATTGATATATATTTATGTATCAAATTTCACGAAAATTTGATTACGTGACTTCTCTGATAAAAAAAGTTAGTAACAAAATCTATAGACTCGTCTGGCTGTTTAGACAGCCAAGAATTTGCATTTCTCTTCATACCATCTGAGCTATGAAGTCAAACAGTGGACATGAGCCAAACAAAAACAGAATTTGAGCCAAACAAAATTGACCTGCTCTCCACTGTGTGACTTCATAGCTCAGTTAGTCAGAGCACGGCACCGGCACCGCAGAGGTCATGGGTTCGAATCCCTTTGTGTCACCTGAATTTTTCAGGTTCATGAGACAATTGCTTAAATTGTCCAACAAAGTGCGAAGATCATATCTTCATTTAATTTCAAAACAGCGCACTGCATATATAACATTCTTCATATAATATTTAAATCGTCTAAAGTTAACTTGTATTTGTCTTGCAACTTTCTAAAGATAGAATTATTTATGAAACGAACATCTACATAGTTCATCTTTTTATCATTATGATTTCTCTTGTGTTAATAGATCAAACTGAAAATGGTCTCCACAATGGATGAAGTCTTTAGGACGATTGGTGAATTTCGTCAATATCAATGGTATCTTTTGACAATAATGGGACTTGGAACCATCGTTATCTCATCGTTTCCCATTATGATACCATCATTCATCACAGCTGAACCTCCCTGGATGTGTGTTGATGGATTTATGAATAGCACTGTATGCCAATTTAACGGAACAATATCGTTGACCAGTGAAAATTATAAAGAAAGATGTCATATGCCGAGAGAAGCTTGGAAGTTCGTTGACGATTTCACATCTGTTGTGACTGAGGTAAATCTGTTGCATGTATAGAAAACGTTGCTCAAAGCACTTGGCTTTGTGTTGCAAAGGGTTGACAAGTAATATGCTATATTTAATATTCCATCTGTCTTGTCTGAGATGTAGATTTTAAAGCCACTAAATAAAAAAAAAATTTTCAAAAATGTTTCTCGGTGATTTCATCGACACATGCAACGCAAAAAATTTTTGTCTTATTTTTGCAACTTTTTTCTATTGTTTTGTTGCATGTTCTCAAACGCGCGTAGCGTCCGCGTTACTTGTCCCAACACCTCTCTGTAAGTTCTCTTTCCCTCGCTTGGAAATTTTGACTCTGAAGATGACTACCGCTAAGGTTGTCGAAACGTCCGTCAACAACAACAAAAACAGTCCTCAGGACTATACCAACCTGGACGATCTACACTTTTGCAACTTTGATAGACTGTACAGCGCAAAATCTTTGTCCGATTTCATCAAAATTTTGGAATATGTTTTTCACACCCCGTACATTGGATAGTGTAAAAACCACGTAAGGTTTATATGCACTTTAAAGTTTATCCTTCCGTGTTAAAAATAGAAATTGGCAACGCTGGTTATTTAAAATGGCTTCTTGTCACTGTTCTGGTATTAAAAACTTCCATTTTATATATTTACAATTTGTGTCATTGTGATTTCCTGTTTTTCTTACATCTTTATAGTATGATCTTGTTTGTGATAAATCCATTCAACTCACAATTGCACAGTCTTGTTTTTGGATTGGTATGATAATAGCCTTGCCTGTCAGCGGTCAACTTTCCGATTATCTTGGTCGAAAGTTTGTACTGTGTTTGGGCTGTGCTGTTATTATTGTAGCTACTTGGGTGATGGTGTTTCCTAAAGTTTTCTTTGTATTTATTATTTGCCGCGCATTCATTGGGATTGGCTCAGGTGATTTTTTATGAATGAAACAATAAACTATACCATTTTTTATAACCTAGCTGCAAAATTTATATTAGCTAGGTCACCTTGAATCTCCTATATTGTATTTGTTTCACCTTCAAATTTTTTTATTTTGTCATTAGCATGATTGTTGGCGTAATTTATACTTAGCGCCAAGCTGTGGGCAATAGTTCTTTTCTATAATGATCGAGCGATCTCTGAATTACGGAGCTCGTTACATTCAAAATTTATGTGTAGAAACGTCGTAGCTAGTTCGCTCAAAATTTGCATAAAATGACCAAAACTCGAGCGTCGACTATATAAGTTACTCAATGTTATTCTACATTTGGCAAAATAGAGTACGATTTATGAGATCATTTTTATGTAAATATTCTATTCATTTTTCTTATCAAAATAGTCTGACAACATGCAGTGTTGATTTGATATAAATGCGTTAAAAACATTCAATATTTGTCGCAGAAAGTTCTTTATAATCCTCTGCTTTTTTACTTTAGGATTTGTGAACATAACATTGTTTCCTCTGTTGACGGAATTCACAACAGAAAAATATCGTTCCTGGATGGGGATTGGATCGTTTATATTCTGGGCTGTTGGTATATCATTCCTTCCTCTAATTGGCTTCTTGGTTCCTACATGGAGAACGTTCGTACTTGTCTCTGCTATTTCAGCAACTCCTTTCCTCTTTTCTTGGTGGTGTGTATGCTATATCTCATACTTTAGTTTCATGTCATTGTGCTCGCGTGTGTAGCTTTAACGTAAAGGTTAAGTTTATAAAACGCGACTGAAAATGTCTTGGTAGTAGATCTTTGTAATTAATCGCTTTTTTCTCAAAACAAACAGCTAAAAAAGTATTTCTGTCAGGTAAGCAATTTAAGGCAATTTTTTGTTAAGGTTTTTTCATGAATCGCCTCGATGGCTTTCTACGCAAAATCAAGAGAACAAAGCAAAAAGCATTCTTTCAAAGATCGCTAAATGGAACAAGCAACAATTACCAAATGGTCTTTCCCTAGAGAAGCCTCCATCCACAGAAAAACGAGCGAATGTATTTCAATTGTTTCGAACATGGAAGATGGCAAAGAAAACTTTAATTTCTTGGAACTTATGGTAGGTTACCCAAGATCCTATTGCAAATTGCAATCTTGCTCTGATACTAAACTTGCGATTGATTCTTCGTAAACAGAAAAACTGAACACATTTATCAACATTTTTCATCCATCTTAAGGTTTGTCAACGCACTTGTGTATTACGGTGTTTCCTTTGGTTCAGTTGATCTTGGTGGCAATGTATATCTGAGCTCATTCCTTGTTTCTGTTATTGAGATTCCTTCAGATTGTTGCTGTGTTTGGTCTGTTAACAGGTACGTATGCGCCCACCAATAAATAGAAATGTCATTATTATAACTTGCGGAACTTTTTCATTTTACAAGACTATCACCAAGATAAAGACAATATACTTAAATACTTTTGCATTTTCTTTGTTTATCTTTAAGGTTTGGTAGAAAAAAGAGCGTTGTTATTCCGATGATTGTCGCATTTATTGCTTTTACTATTTCTGTTTTTATTCCATCAAATGAAAGTTCAGGTATAATCCTCATTTACAATGAATAGAAACATTCTCCGTCTCTAAAATTGAAATTTAAAAGTGAAATCATAGAAAGAGTCGACTTGCAGTCGCTTAATATTCAATTACTGCCTGAAATGGCTTACACGAAAGTTATCTATTTTTTGTTTGTAGAAAATAATGGTGGACGTATAGCTGCAGCAGTAGTTGCAAAATTTTGTATAAATCTTTCTTTCAGTGCTGCATTTTTATGGTGTACTGAACTATTCCCCACAGTCATAAGGTATAATATCAACGGACTTTCATTCCATAGAATTTAGCCGAATACATAAGTATTTACCATTGTACTTAATTTGATCGTTCTAAACCAGTTTTTCTTGTCTCTTTTGTCTGTGTTATAAAAGCTCACTAACACTCAATGAGTGCGACCTAAAAATCACGCTTCCTCTAGTAAATTTCAAAGTCAAATCTCCATAGATGGCAAGACTCTCACTAAAATATTTCAAATCAAATAATCAGTGTGTTAAAAAGGCATCTTAATCGAATAATGATGAGGTGAATTTGAAGCCAGTCTCAGTGAGCTTGAGTGTGATTTTGAGCTTTTTGAATACGGGCGTTTGTGTTTATTTCTTGTAACAATTGACTTCAAGAGGAATGGTAAAAGCAGTAAGTATTAATATTTTTCTAATCCGTACATAAGAGATAATCTGCTAATTCTTTATCTGTTGTGTATTATATTTTGTGCATTTCTTTATGTGGAAACTGCGTACGTTCTTAGGTCAACTGCATTGTCGACTTGCTCTGTTATGGGTAGAATTGGATCAATTTCATCAAGTTATATCATTTGGCTTGTAAGTTATCCATAACCTACTGGCTCAATGCACACATTTCTTTAGTTACACTTTGCCAATAAGAGCCACGAATAACGTGCAGTTTGGCAATTCTATAATTATCCATCACATATCTAAATAACGCATAATTTTAATAAAAAATGTTTTCCACATGCATGCATGCCTTCAGTAAAGTTGTGTTTTTTTAGATTCGTATAAATGCAGCACTGCCATACGGAATTATGGGTATTTTATGCTTTCAAGCTGTTGCATTTGGAATGCTCTTGCCTGAAACGATGGGCAAATCTACATTGGAAACCATGGCAGATCTTAGTCTTGGAAATTCAAATGAAAATTATGAAATTGACCTGAGAAATGAAAATGACAAGGATGATTACGAAAAGTTGATCTAACAGAAAGAGTTCTTTTGTTAATCTCTATCAATGATCTTATGATTTTTATTGCAACTCTGTTTTCTTTATGGTTGTTTTGTGGAATTTTAGCTTCTGCTGTCATGGAGCACCGAATCACACAATTGATAAAAAGTGATGAAAGGGCATGTTAATATGCAACTGTTCCAAAGATATTTTCCTTTAAGGACAGCTTACTTCAAAACTTTGAAAATTGAAGCAAGTTTCAAGCAACGGACGTCTACAAGCAATTAAGTTTTAATCTTCTAGACTGCTACCCTCTTTCCTTATGTTTTTAACAACAACAGGCATTTTAAAACTTTCACTGATTGCATCTTCTTCCAGTTTTTGTTTATTTTCAAGTCGTTGCTTGTTTCGAAATAAAATTTGGAGCCCAAAGCTTGCCTAAAAACGTCACAACTTCCATGAACAAACGTGTCTCGTTTGAGTAATAGTGAGTGCTGATTTCATTTTGACTCAGATTAAAATCAGATGTGATGTGTCAACTTTTGTTACTTAAAAATAAATAATTCCTGGTGATGGCCTTCACAACAGGGGTGGCGTCTGGAATTCCCCGACAAAGGGGACAGAGGGGCTAAGGTCCCCGACGGGGAGCTGAACCTTGGTTTATATGAACACGTTGTAAAATTGTTCTTCAATAAAGAAAATGAAAACGCTGTCACGATGTAGAAACAATGTTTGTTTGAGACAAACAGTTGTCTAACTTCGCTTAGTAACTTGATGCTGTAGAATTAATAAGATTACTGGCTGCGGCAAGCCAACCCAATTCCAATATTGCTACATTTGTGCTATGCAGAAGTTCGTGATGAGGTACGTCATCAAATAATTGCTTTTTTAATTCTTAATTCAAGCAACCATTAGCAAAGTCAACTACACACCAAAGTTACAGAAAGCCAGCTTTATTATTCAAGTAAAATATGAAGGTTATTCTTCATTACTTTCTGCATACATTTATATTGTACATCGTGTTTATTTCAAATGTTCTAATTTCTCAAATCGATGTTTTTAAACATTTACAGGCAAACTTTTTATTCAAATACTAAGCGTCAATTTCAACATTGATTCACTGAGAATTACTGTAAACTTGCTTAACAATGCTACTAAATTTCTGATAAATCACCAGTATTTCGGATTTTAGGTTGAACAAATAACATCTCAGTAAATCATTTGAATTCAACTTAAATAGTTATACTACAAAATGAAAAATACAAATAATTGGTAAAATATAATGTTTGTTGAAATATTCAACATATATAAAACATATTCACAGAATATTTAAAACAAAAATGCTTGATACAAGCTACTAAAAGTTACAACTAGAAAGTCATAACAACATGGATGGTTACTTCCCATCAGGTTCTGAACAAAAAAAAAGACATCTTTACTATAGGTAAAGATTATTATGGAAGACTTCATCTGTTAAACAAAAGTCTTCAGAGTCGAAAACAAGATCATCAAAACCAATCGTTGGGAGATCATCGTCAAAGATACTTGCGGATGTATCAATCAATAAATCATCATCAGAAAGATCTGAATTAACTCTTTCCAAAGGCTTGCCACTCGTATTTTCATCTTTTCCACCTGGAGACGTAGCAGGAGATTGATTGTTTTCAATTTCATCCTGAACAATTTCTTTTGTAGGAACTGTTGCAGTTGGATCAAATCCAAGAACCTTCTCAATATCGCACAGAAATCGATACACATATCGTTTACCATGAACCTTTGAGATGATGTTTTTGTCATAGTAGTATCGGAGACCACGACTTAATTTCTCATAGTTCATTTTGGGTTTATTTTTTTTTAAACCCCATAACTTCGCGACATGCTCTGGATCAAGTAATTTGAATTCGAAACGATCATCTTTGGTCCACTCAACATCTGTCTTATGTTCACAATCAAGGAGCAGTTCCAAAAGAAATTGCCACAGTTGAATAGGGCCATTTCCTATAACAAATTTAACATGTTATCAATACATATTAGTAAATGAGCACTTGAATGAAAAGTATTGTAAATCTATTACTATAGATTAACTGGTAATATTTAATAGTAGAATTTTCCATTTATGTACCTGTATATCTTATTGTCGGTTTAGGACCACGTTTGCGTCCAGGAGGTGAACGTACAGGTTTTGATTGACTTTCATTTAAGTTAACTATTGGTGGTGGTGGTGGTGACTGAACTGGTGAATTATCCAGGTCTAAAATGTAATCATTAATTAATTAGTTATGTTTAAGCATGCACACTACAGGCTATAAACATTTAATTTTTACCAGAAACACTTCCTGGTGTATTAACCATACTGCCATAATCTGAATATTCAGAAGCTGGAGGAGATGGTACACTTGTCAACTTTGCCAAAAAGGCATCAGCATCGCTAACCAAATCAGGAATTGTGCTTGAAACATTTTCTTCATCTCCTGGAGATACAAATTTTTCTTTGAAAGAAGCCATGTCAGACATGCATGACACTGAATGCAATCTCTGCTTCAACTGTTCTTGCTTTTTGTTGTAGTCTAGAAAGTACATTTTACCTGAGCAAACCATGCAAAATGTGTAATGTAAAAAGGTAGTCATTTTCAATTTAACACAGCAATAACTACATTGTTAACCTACCTCTGCAGATTCTCTGAAGTGATTGCCATAAAATTTCCCCTATTGCAGCAGAAGTATTCATACATAGATTGCGTTTAGTAAGTCTACATAAGGCTTTTCCATCAAAAACACAACCATTACAATCCATGAAACTAGATATTTGAATTCCAAGGTTGAACTTAGCCTCCGCCCAACCAAGCCATTGACAAACGTTTTGCCAAGTCCAATCTCGTGGATCTTAAGAGAAAAATTTTGCACAAAAATTACAAATAAAATCGAAGTGAAGAGAATGTTCTAAAAACATTCTTAATGTAAATGAGTTTCATATATCATTCGGCCAAACAGGTTTCTTACTTGACCATGCCCTGCGTGGGCGAAAATATTTGGTTAATTTCAAACAGTGTATACGTCATTAGAAAAACGGTAATTTGTCATCATAACGAAAGTGAAAGAAAAAACATGGATAAAGTTTCGACACTCACCATCAGGAATGCCGGTGGTTTCCTCGCGAAATGTTAGGAATAGTGAGTCCAGGCTGTTTAAAACGCATTGAACTATTAAATGAAAAGAAAACAGTATCAGGAAAAATGTAAGAGAAATAGTCCAACTGCGATCAAATTAAATTCAACAAGGATACAAAATAAGGTTTTCAGTAAAATTCAGTTTTGATGTACAAACATCCTTACCATCTGTTGGAACATACGGTGTTCCTTGAGAAGGAATACCTTGCTGCATCCACGCGTATATCTGAGAAATATTCATTTCGAGATTTTCTACAAAATAAGCGTATGCTAAGAATTATATCAAATCCTATAACTCGAAAACTCTATTAATAAAATGTAATAACTTTTAATTTCAGTTTAAATGTGAATCAGTATCTCAAAGCTTCTTATTCACTCGCATTTTGCGTCAATTCAATTATGACGCAGTAACAAATATCGCAAAACAAACGCAAACGTGCTAAATAGAGATTCTTATGTCGACGCCAGTGTGCCTGATAGCGTGTATATGAAAACAACTAAACGTTAAAAAACACGAAATTTACCTTTTTGTATGAAAATTAAACTACGCAACAAATCACGCAAAGTCTTCCTCGTTGTCAGTCACGAAATGCGGTATATGATGAAGGTACAGCAACTTGTGTACTTGATGTACACGTGTTATCTAGAATGTGATTGGCTAATTCGGTGATTTGCATTGACGTCAAAGGGCGGAGCTTAATAGAAATTGTGATGATTGAAGAGTTATGTTAAATGTCTTGGCATTTTAATGAAATTTGAAGAGCCTCACTTCATTTTAGTCAAACGATGTTTCTTTCCTGGTATTTCTACCCAAACCATTCATTCAATTTCTTTCTGCACATTTTAATAAAAATATAGATGTTGTCTAATAGATGTTGTCTATTTGTTGCATTTATGAATCTTATTCTAATTTCTTAAATAATTACATCGTGCTAATCATTTGCTTGCTTTGTAATGATTAGAAAATATGTTTTCTAAAACAACGAAGTTCTAGCTATTATCTTTGATACAGACAAATTCCTAATATTTTCATAATTATTGCCTGCAATCTGGCGTATTGTCGTTGACTGTGCTGCAATCCAATTTAATTTCTTGTATTATCTGCTACTCTACCTTTTACTGTGTAACACACTTTCAGTTAAAAAAATTACAGTAAAATGAGTAAACACAATATGTTTTGAGTAGATCAGGTTGCTCAATATTTCTGACTTTTAGACACTCATATGACAGCCGCACCTATGCAAATAACTGTACAGTTTCCTGTTTATATTGTGTGAAATATGCCCTGATTCGTCGGGAGTTTGATTGAAAAAAACCAGATTACAATGGATGTTTTTAAAGATGTATGTTATAATAGTATGAATATGATTGTTATAATGGAATAGAATATTACCATCTGCAATTGAACGCCACAAAATTCTGTGTTTCATTAAAATGTAAAGACTGTATGTGTTAGGTATAGGGTATTATATGCTCACCGTCTTAAACGAAACCGAAATGAAAGTGTTCGCGTGAAAAGTCCAATATTGAAGTTTGTAAATAACAAAGAAAGCGCATGATGAACATATGTTTGAATAATTAAGAGTTATCTATATCAATACAAAAATGTGATATTTATCAAAACAATCTCAAATTTCTATCCTCATTTTGCATATAAATTGTAATCATTACTCCCACAAATTTTCATGTTTTAAAGTGGAATGAAAAAATGTACTGTTTCCCTTGATCTAACTGCCTTTGCACAATTGCGTTAGTCACTAACTACGTCTATTTGTTTCTGCAGACTACAGTCCAGAAGAAAATGGAATTATTAACTTCACAAAGGCCAGTTTGCTTATTAACGTGTCGTGACTTGATTGAACAGTAATTATGCATAAAGTAAATATTTTCGTGTGCATAGTTGCATAATTCTACTTTTGTATAAAGAATTGCTTTTTGAGTAAAGTTGTTTAATTTTGTTTTCATTTTAACCTTAACCTACTTAAACAGTAAAGGATTGTTTTTGTATTTACATCACCCAAGACTAAATGAACTACAGTTGTCTTTACTACCAAACAATCCATCTTATACAGTTACAATACACAGACTTAGAGAGTTATTTGTTCGTTGTTCTATTGTTGCATTTACATTTTAGAAATTATTCGGAGATTAACAGTTTATGTATTTCTTAAGTAAAACGACAAATGAAAAACATGGATGAGCATACAATATAAAAAATGTCTTAGAAAATCGCCTTTTACTTATTATCAAGGAGCAGTGCTGAGTGCTGATCCTACTTGAGAGTTTAAATCAAGCTGAGCTGAGATGTTTAATTTATGCAGTATAACACATTCTTGTCTAAAAGTTATGTAAATAGAAGCTAAGCTGTTGATAATCTCAAAAAGTCCTACGCACGCCCTCACATCCGTTCGGGTTATGCTGGTTATGTCATGATGATGAATGCACTAACAGAATGGGTGCCACTGAAATGACCGCCTCACCTGCTCATATACGCCGTAGTTAATATACTGAATTTTGTGTCTGTAATCACTTGTCATGGTGTTTTAATCACAAATATAATAACCAAGTGAAATTTGCCCCAAAAATTATTGAGCAGTATACAATGTAAAATTCTATGATCATCTTAGGCCTAGTTCAAACGTCGACGTTTACTTGTACCGAACGCATTTAAAATAAAAGATAATGACGAAGTTCATCTCATTTTCTTTTGTCTTTCATGAGTTCGGTACATGCAAAGTTCGACGTTTGAAACAGGATTTAGGACATAAACATTGCAATTTGACAACATCTTTTCTATTTTAATGAGGTTTGGCTTATAACATTTGTTACGTAATTATTGACATTTTTTTATAGTAAAAGAGAGCATTGCTGTCCATTTGCTTTTTATTTATCGTATTTAAAATTACCTTTGTGCTGCTCACTGAGTTGAAAATCCTGCTTGATTTAAAACACGATAGTCTTGGCTCTAGATAAATAAGATAATTACCACGGCTCTGCCTACTCTGACGTAACTCATTAGGAAAAGGCTATATGCCTTAAAACAAAAATAAACGTGTTTTTTTTATTATTTTTTCGTTAACATACTGCGCATTACGATAAAAGGATAGGCTGAACTGATTTTTCATCAATGCAAATGTGTTTTATTGCAATTTGTAAGTGCTTTTATATTTTATATACGCTGCTCGACTTATCTATTCAAATACTGATTAAATTGAAAAGGGCATGCATTTTGTATGTGACTCTAGAGACTAGCCTGCTTCTCAGTTTCTTTAAAACTTTGCGAGTTTGCGACTTGGAAATTTGGAAAGTTGATGCTGAAGTATACTTATCAATATAATTTTGTTTATTACACAGGAAGTGCGTGTTTCCTGCACTTTCTGTCATCGCCAGTGTTTATCACGGTATATGTCTAATCGTTTGACGCCAATTGAAAACGTCATGTAGAGTTTGGCAAGTCCTTCTGCTGAAAAAATAATGTACCAGCTGAGACTCAATAAATTTTTCATATTCATAAAAGGTTAGACTAGTTGCCATAGTGAATTAAATTTTTATCGTTAAAATTACACTACGTACGTCTTCACAATCAGTAGTTGCTAAGATTTGAAATCTAAAGTCATTTTCCTGAATTGGAGGTCGCAGTCGCTACACATGAAAATAAAACATGTGATTTTGAGTTGAAAGAATGAGACGCAGAAATTTTATCGTTTTACAGCTAGGTGGACTATTGTTGAAATAAATGTGATCTTTGCAAAAGCAATTTAATCCATTTATTATTCAGTGTGTTTGTAATTATACAAATGTTTTGTTTAATTACATCGTGCTAAATGCGGGGGTCGTGTATCCCACAATAAAAAGTCATTTATTTTTGTGAAATTCTATTTTTGTGTAAATAACAATCACAAAACTTTACGTTATTCATGCCTTGTATTAAAATGAGATTATCCTATTTTTTCTTGATTACGTATTAAGGTCGTGTCATGTTTGTTTCTTCGGAAACTACGATTTGACACCAACGTCAATAGAAGTCATGAACGTATAACACACCCGTTGAAAATAATGGCGCTCAGTAAAATCTACAGTGGCAAAAAACTGACAAAGGGTTTATAGTATAAAAAATTGTGTCTTCATACAATGAATATTAATGGTGTGAATGGCAGGACTAAATTTTAAATCAATGTTGTAACTCTGTAAGCATGCAATTTTTGTAAAGCAACTTTTATGTTTTCAAGACATTAACCATTTAGTGCGTCTTCAAAGACGTAACAAATACGTACTAAAAATCACACAAGTACGTATATCTTGGATGAAATGATCGCAAGCTTCAAGAAAAAAACGAGCCTCGTTTTGTGAAATGGTAGAGTTGGTGTACATTTCTAAGCTGACACTTGTTTCTAGTCTTTTTGTGTTTGGATTTATGGTAGCAGGTTATTCCAGGGCTATAGAACTAAATTTATCAGATGGGAGGCTCTCTTGACGAAGCTGAAGCCATTAAATTATGAAAAATTACCCATTTCAAAGGTAGAAGGGGGGCTCCTCCCCCAAGCGCCCCCCACTTCTACAGCACACTGAGTTATTCAATTGAACGGACACCCTATAAAAAGCTTATTGTATTGCTTTTACGTATAGTACACAAGCTAACAGAATATTATTTTGCATGGCTACAATTTCCCACAAAACTATTCCTTCATGGTGAGAATAGCGATCATTTTACCGGGGTAATCTGACCAAGAACCTATTGGAGTTAATGCCCGAGTAGTTTACTGTTTATTGTAAAAAAAGTCCTATGAACTAAAAAATAAACTTTGGAGTAATACCAAGCCAGAGCAGATTCAAAGCAATGTAAATCGGAAACTGTCATGTTTTATGAGAATGGCTTGTTGAATTTAAAATATATATGCTTGATCTGACATTTGACTGTACCTATTGACATGTTCCACAACGTCTTTTCAATAACCAACGTACAGTGGCACTAGCAGTTTATTCTTAATTCTCTGTTTAATTAATTTCTTTAAAACTTATTGCTTATACTTATTGCTTATATATATATATATATAAAAGATAAAAGTTTCTCCGGATTTAAAGTGAGTTTTATTGAGAAACTTTTATCTTTTATGTATTAAATGCCTGGATTACAAATTTTCAAACTTATATGTATATATATATATAAGGATATATTTATTGGTTTTATAAATATCTTAAATTTCCTGTCGCCTAAATTCTGGAGATGCTCCATGGACAGAAATTGAAGACATGGGTTAGTCAAAAGTTTTCTATGGTTTTCAAACTTTAATTTCTTTTCAGAAAAAGAAAACTGGAAAATTTGATGCATCAACACCTGACTTTGATGATGGAGGTGCAATCTTGAGCGTTGATCTAAAATTTCGTGGGGTGATGTGAATAATCGTCTAAAAGATTGCTGCAGATACCTTTTGAGATATGATTACTTTGAAATTCATGAATTGCAGTAGTCATGCAGCTGTTTCATTTTACGTTTTGTCTGTAATATCAATTTTAATAAAATTGCTGAAAAAAATTGCATCGATCTCTGTGCACTTTTTTCGATTTATATTTCGAAATATCAAATTACACTTAGACATAGGGCCTACTTGATTCGAGCCCTATTCACACGACATATAATAAATCAACCCAGGTTATTAATTTTTTTTCGTGTAAACACCACTAACCCAGGGTTTATGCTTTAGCCTGAGTTAAACTCAACCCATCTTAAGAGTTAGGTGAGAGACATGTGCGAGTTCGAGAGCTCACGCACCAAGAATTTCAAGAAAGCCGATGGTGTGAATAAAAAAATTCTTTCTGAAGTAAAACAGCGAAAAGCAATACCTGTTTTTATTTGTTATCTACCTGTTTGTAACATAACTATTGAACGTATAATACGAAATTTGTGTTTAGCGTCAAAGTGCGCAATTCAAGCCCAATTTCAAATGAATGCTGGAATTTCGCGTATAGATCATTACAGAGATACCAGGAAGCCCTACAGGGAATTAAGGCTATAAATGTCTCCCTATTTTCAGACTCTTTTTTCAAATGGTGAAAATTCTTTCCCCAAATTATGAAATGTGAAAAACGAGAGTGGTAACACTGGCTCTGATGATATGCATATGATGGCTTCCTCGTCTTTGTTGTAAGCAAGTGCAAGGTTCAAGGGTTCAAGTACAAAAAAGTCGTTAAATGTTTATCAAGTCTGGGAATGCATGTAGTTGCATTATATGATTATTTTCCTGGTCAAAGTGACATCACCGACGTTTGGTATGCGCAAGCACCACACATTAATACTCATTTGAATTTTGCAAAAGGAGATCTCTTCGAAGTCATTGGTGATGTTGATTGGTGGCTTTATGTTAAAACAAATGACGGTGAATCAGGTTATATTCCAAGTTTGTTCACTGCTCCCGTGAATGACGATTGTTTGAATAAAGATGAGTAAGTGATCATGATAATTTTTTAGGTAATATAAACTGACCTCTTACCATAACATATTTTTGTTTCTTATTAATAGTTTAAGCTATGAAGTTTTATCATGTTATGGCGATGTACCATCACGTGCTATTGATGTGTCCGCAGACTTAACTTTTTTTCCAGATGTGCAACTTCATGACATTAATGAATTTCATCACATGGACATGGTAACCTTATTTCTCATTGTTACTGATGCATAAATGACAATAAAAAGTATTATGGCAATAGGATATTTCATTCATTAAAGTATTGTGATGATTCATGTTTCTTTATTAAGGCTAAATGCCCTGAAGAAAGTGCTAATATCTTTTCAAGAATTACATTTTGGTGGATGACAGGGTATGATTTTTTATGTGATTGACTTCTTTTATATGCTGTTCATTGTGAACAATATGTTCCTTTTTTTTGAAAAAAGTGCTTTTTGCTAGCTTAGTACGGTTAGGCTATAGTAAACCATTGGTTACCAAGGACCTTTGGTATTTGCAAAGTTCGCTAATGTCAAAAAATATTGAAGGAAAGTTCATTGAAATCTGGGAGCATGAAAAAGAAAGAGTATCAAGGTATGCATACCTATCTCTTGCAATACAATTTCAAATTAATATAATCTGCTCTATGTTGATACTTTCTCATTTACAAAAAGGAGATTCAAACATCAGTTACATCAACACACGATGTTTGTTGATTATTGAGTCCTTGTAATGATAGAAATTTTCATGCAAGTCTTGAAATTCCTATCAATAATTCAATTGAAATTTGAAAAACAAAATTTCAATGGATAATATATGTTATGTAGTACAATTGCATTTCACAGCACCTAATTTGCTAACTGATTTGATAATATTTTAAGGTTTTGTCTGTGTGACTTACTAATCAATCAATGTAATGACTACGTAATGACTTTTCAACTAAATTTTTAGAAAGTTTGAAAAACTTAATTCAGAAAAGACAAAATATGTAAATGAACAGTCAAAGTATGACTCAGATGACCATGAAAACTTACATGATGAAGTAAAATATTCCTGTGATGAAAGTAAAGAAAAACATCCATCATTAATGAAGACTTTGCTGAAAATGTTCTTTCCATTTTTAATACCTGCGATCTTGTTCAAATTTTGTTACGATTCATTGGTGTTTGTTCAACCTCAGTTACTTGGGTAAGTTAGTTCTATGAAAGTGAATGATTTAAACTCTGGAGTATTGTTACATGTTTGTAGATGTTGATCATCCAGGTTCGTAAAGTCCTGAGAAGGACTGTTGGTGTTGATGTTGACTGAGGTTTTGAAATCCTTAGTGTTAGTCATCTTCAGAGTCAAACGAGGAGTTAACATTAGGTTTGCCATATTTGTCGTCTAGTTTATGTGTCATCATATTGTGTATTGTGGAAATGTTTGGGTGTCAATTGTGTATTGTCTTCATGGATTAGTCTAAAGTAATGCGCTTAAATGTTCATTCATTTAAGGTTTGTGATCTTAATTACGTAATTGTCAAAACTTTGTAATAAGCACAGAATATTTATGTTGGAAAGTCTTTTCATCTATCTTGTGATTTTGGCACAATGAATTCTGGGCTAACTTTATATCTTTTATTTCAGAATGATTGTGGAATTTGTTGATGATGAAAATGATCGCCCCTTGTATGAAGGCTTAATTTATGCTGCAAGCATGTTTGTCGTTGCAACATTTCAAACGTTGGTGCTACAACAGTATTTTAAAATTGTTTTGGTTACCGGTCTTCGGCTTAGAACATCAGTTCTTGGAATTGTTTACAGAAAGGTAGGAATAATAAATTATAAATTGAAAGTGGCAAAATTTTTAAGTTTTGTATTTTGTACTGTTCATTAACGTTGATGACTATGTATTAGAAGGCAGTTTTACATATACATATCATTTGAAATATAATCATGAGCGCTTAGCAAGAGCTGAAAATGTGTGATGTTAAGTACAATATTCATTCTTAGCAGGTCTTTTAATCTTGTCTTTGGCATCTAGGCTCTGGTCCTTAGCAATTATTCCAGAAATCAATCAACAATTGGTGAAATGGTTAATTTAATGTCTGTAGATGCTCAACGTCTTATGGATATTTTGACATACCTTAACTTAATTTGGTCATCACCATATCAAATAATCCTGGCAATATACTTTCTATATCGCGCTATGGGTATTTCTGTTCTAGCTGGTGTTGCAGTTATGTTGGTCATTTTCCCGCTTAACTTTTTTATTGGACGATGGTTACGTAACTTTCAGGTTGATATTCCTTTTGGTTTTGTTCCAGTAAATAATTTTGTAGGTTTTATTCCAGAAATTACTCCTTTTGGTTGCATTCCAGTAAATATTTCTGCAGGTTGTATTATGGCGGGCAGTGTTCTTGTACGTAGGCTGTTTTTTGGTGGGCAATATTTATCATTAGCAATAGTTAATGAGAACTATTTCTGCTACCATATAACTTTACGTGTGTCCAACATAAACGTTTTATGCTTACAACAAATTTTCCCTTTTTAAATTGATTTGAACATCACCGTTAACAATCGTATCTGTATTTAAATTCAGGTCAAACAAATGAACATTAAAGATTCGAGAATTAAATTGATGAATGAAATATTAAACGGTATTAAGGTACGTAGTTCCTGGCAACAGACCACAATTTTACCCAATTTCACGCAGTGCGTTGTGCTGGTTTCATAGCGTGTTTATGTCTTCGTTTTAGGTCCTCAAACTGTTTGCTTGGGAAACGTCATTTTTAGAAAAGACTTCTCGAATACGAAAAAATGAATTACGTATACTCCGATTCTTTTCTTATCTTAATGCAATCTTGAGTTTTTTTATGTCCTCGTCTCCTGTACTTGTGAGTAATTTTACTTCTTATCACGTAGCTACGTACGTTGCTTTTAAAAAATTTCAATAAATCGCAAAAGTCGGCTGCTGAATGCGTGGTAGCATCTTCATTAGCTAACATGACAAAAAAAATAAAAGGAAAATTTTAAAAAATTCCTGTTAGCGGGATTTTGTAATAACCAAGTTTGAAAAAGTTTTCGGTAAATACATACCAGTGACTTTTATCTTAATTCAAAGTAATTTGTTTCGCTCTCTTTATTTTTTTAATCTCTAATAGTACAATTGCATTGTAATTGCATTATTATTACTTTCTTATAGGTTTCTTTGGCGACATTTGCAACATATGTATCTCTGGGAAATACACTTACTGCATCAAAAGCATTCGTTGCACTTGCTTTATTTGAAACTCTTCGTTTTCCTCTTAGCATGTTGGCGCGATTACTAACAAATCTTATTCAGGTATTGTGTAAACTCGATATATTTTTTTTATGACATGTTTTTACGAGCACATTTCTTTAGGCATTAGTGTCCATTAAGCGTTTGCAAAGATTTCTCAACATGGAAGAGCTTGACCCTAATCACATTGAACGATCCGACATTTCCAAAGGAAGTAAAGGTGATGTATTTATTTGAACTTTTCTAAGTTCAATATTTTTAAATGTATGCTGATTGAACTTACGAGAAGTTGTGATTACTGGATGTTGTGCAGGAATGAATCTTAGTATGTACAAAAACCGTGAGACAATCAAGTATTTTTTTATTGAACTTATGGTGACAGAACGATATACTCGAATGATATGAATGGTTAGACACGTGGTGAATGAATGGTTAGACATGGGGTGAATGAATGGTTAGACATGTGGTGCATGAATGGTTAGATATGGGGTGAATGAATGGTTAGACATATGTTGCATGGATGATTGACGCATAGTGAGTGAATGATGCACCCAAGCCTGAATAAATTTTTTTCTTGGCAGTAGATGTTCGTATGCAAACCATTTCCTCCAAAATTCATTCGCAAATATCGCTAGGTCACAGAATAGATACATAGATAGATAGATATAGAATAGATGTATCTATTCTGTGGCTAGGTCTTGTTTAGTTGTTTTATTCTTGTTGCTATTTTATTCTTTTTTCACTTTACATGCACGGTTCATTTTTTCACTTGACAAATGAAATAAATGAATTCATTTGTATGTTTGCGATTCGCGATGTTTTTTTTTATTCCTCAAAAAATTTCCATTGAGATCAAAAAATTACTTGGAGCTTGCTGGCAGATTTTCTCAAGTCTTTGATAGCCATTTTTTAAATTAATGACAGTCATACGTATGGCGAATGAACGATAGAAAAATGAAAGTCAGTGAATTTAAGCCGATATATTATTTGAAATACTTTTGTTTGAAATCGTTTTTTCGTTTTTAGAAACGGCTGCAATTAAAATTACATCTGGTACTTTCAGTTGGGAAAATGAAAAGCAACCAATTTTGAACGAGTAAGTTTTTTCTTACTTTTATTAAATACCTGTTGTTTCAAAAGCATTTCAAGCAAAAACGATTCGCATTTGACTGACATTCTTCCCATTCGCAATAAAATTTTATTATACAAATGATACTTCTTGTTACAACACGTAATTTATATTCCCTGTTGTCGCCATAATGGCCTTATATACTGATTCATGATCTTGAGCTCAGGATGCAAGTATTTACATCAATGTATACGGTTTAGTGTATGATAATATCATTGAATCGTATAGAATAAATTTGAAAGTTAACCATGGTGGTCTTGTGGCAATTGTGGGACATGTTGGATGTGGAAAGTCATCTTTACTCTCCGCCATACTTGGAGATATAAAAAAACTTGCAGGTCATGTTTATCTACAGGTTGGTTGGTAGAACTGTTGTCAATATGTTTTGTCATAATGTGTGAATGCAAAGGATAGTTATTTTCTTTTATTACAATCGTTTTGTCACTAGAAGTTCACACAATCTAACTACGTGCATAATCGCTTTTTATGACGAAAATTCACATATCGCATTCAAACTTTTCGGGGTGTCCGAAATCTTTGTTGTTAGCGATTCAAAGTAGACTGTACCAATTGGCTATTTAGGCTATCATTTTGTTATCTTTACTGCCCTGTAAAAGACGTTGTTAGTTCAAAAACGATTTTTTTACATATTTGTAAGTTGTTTTGTTGCTAGGTTTTTAGTGTTGACTGAAACTTGACAACCTTGGTGTAGTCATCTTCAGGTCAGGACTGCACTGTGTATAACCTGGACGATCCATATTTACAAAGATGTAAGGATTCTCTAGGGTTCAGACAATTCAGTTCAAAAAGGCAGTTTGTAGTTCGAAACTTTGCTCTTCCCCCATAGATAGCCTTGTTTTATACAAATAGCCTTGTTTTATACTCGCACATGTCTCTCACCTAACATGTATGGTGTGCGAATGACACTTCATTCACAACGAAAATTTTATACAAAAACTGTCCATCTTCTTCACTTACGTACTTAGCAATAACAATTTTTGACCTGTTTTAGGGCTCTGTTGCATACGTATCGCAACAAGCCTGGATTCAAAATGCTACTTTGCGTGAAAACATTTTGTTTGGAAAACGGAAAAATAATGAAAGATATCGTCTGGTCATTGATAAGTGTGCTCTCAAACCTGATTTGCAAATCTTACCTGGTGGAGATATGACTGAAATTGGCGAGAAGGTAATAAATTTAACATAATAATCACATCAATAGTATGTAGATCATTTAAGTATAACATATTTAGGGAGACAGAAATTGATATCACAGATATGATGAAACGGCATTAGATCATTAGATTCTGTAGCTTTTTGTTATTAAACTGAAGATAATATTCACATTTGTTATTTGTGTATAAAAGGGAATTAATCTCAGTGGTGGACAAAAGCAGCGTGTTAGTCTTGCTCGTGCTGTATACAGTGATGCTGATATTTATTTACTTGATGATCCTCTCAGTGCAGTCGACGCTCACGTTGGAAAACATATTTTTGATTTCGTCATTGGTCCGAACGGGATGTTAAAAAATAAAGTAACAATTCATTAAAAAATTTATGATAAAGATCGTACGACATTTATGAATTTTGTATATGCATGATATGTGAACATCGACATTGTTGAAAATGTTTAGACCAGAGTTCTTGTCACACATCAGGTCAGATTTCTTCCCCAAGTAGATCAAATAATTGTGCTTCGTAATGGTGTGATCACTGAGGTACATAAATAGTAATTAATCATTCTTAATTTTGAATTGCTCATTTTTACAATAGCTGTAGTTAGTTTATAGTATCTTATATGTTAATGCAAACATCTCGAGCAAATCTGAATGTTGTAAACTTTGGGAGTCTTTTACGAAAATTAAATGGAAATAACGCTATGATTCCATTTTGTAGATTGGTTCATACACTGAACTTCAAGCCAATCAAGGAGATTTTGCTGAATTTTTAAAGATTTACGCTACGGAACATAACGAAGATCGAGGTATAAACAGATTTTCCATTATCCGTCTGTCAAATGGCTTGCATATCAGAAAAAAATGTTGAAAATAAAAATGTACGTAAATTGCAGAACACGTTGGCAATAGGAGTCGCTCAAAATCACAAATAAGTACAACCAGTTTTATGAACAATTTAAATGTTGATGACGGGAAATCAAATGTTTCTTCATCAAATGGCAATACAAACAAATTAACGACAAAAACTGACGATGAAAATGCGAGAGAAGACCACAAAATGATAAAGGAAGAAAAAGCTGAAACTGGAAGGGTGCGTATTTAAAATTATTGGGTGAATGTAAAGAGACCATTTATTGGCAAAACATCGCTTGTTGATTGTTGATTGTTAAAACGTTTATTTTAGGTCAAATATTCCGTTTTCATCTATTACTTTGCGTCGTGTGGAATACATTTTATTTGTCTTCTGATATTCTTCCTCCTTTGCTCAGAAGCGTCGTTAGCTGTATCACGTGTATGGTTGGCTCACTGGAGTTCCTCGAATGTAACTGAAAGCTCGCAACAAAATTATTACATTGGTGTATATGCTGCTTTAGGTATTAGTAGAGGAATCTTTATACTTTTGGTCACTATGACTCTGGCGAAAAGTTGCGTTAAAGGATCGAGATTTTTGCACCATAATTTATTGGTGAACGTTTTACGTTTGCCACTCTCGTTCTTTGAGAGCACACCTCTTGGACGCATTGTGAACAGATTCTCAAAAGATATTGATGTCATTGATGCTCAAATTCCTCTTAATTTATGGTGGTTCTTCGAAACGTCCACATCAGTCTTGGGCGTTATATTTCTGATATGTTACTCGACACCATTATTTATGACAGTTTTGTTGCCTCTCGTTGTACTTTATGTGTTCATACAGGTAAGTTTGTCTGTTATCTCATCCTTTAATATTTTAATATACCTTTTAACGATAGAGTTTTTCTATGAAGTATTTTTAATTAGAAATCCATTCAATCAAATCACACGTTATAAACGTATAGCTACTATAGTATTTTCATGGTAATCTTTTTTACACCTATAGTTTTTTGGCAGGTGTCATTGATTTCATCTTATCACAATGATTATTTGAATTAAGAGATTTTACGTGACAACATCTCGGCAACTTCAACGACTTGAGTCCATAAGCAGGTCACCTGTCTATTCTCATTTCTTTGAAACGCTCAACGGCGTGAGTACGATACGAGCTTTCAATGCTCAACAGCGTTTTATTATGTTAAATAACAAGAATGTTGATGAGAACTCAATGGTTAAATATCCTGTCATCATTATCAACAGGTAATGAAAACAAAATAATGATAAATTTATCATCTTTTGGGTAAAATGGGAATTCACTTCTTTGCATGCAATGAGGGATGGATCTATGTTTTTTTTTGGTTAGATGTTCTTTAGTTTTGATTAGATTTCAATGGGGTTTTTTTGCCATACTTTGTCAGACTTCTTTATTTAAAAGTGGAAAGTTTCCATGCAAATTTTTTGTTTGACTGACTTGAATTTCAAGAGAAAAAGGCTGTTTGAAAGTTTGCACAAACTTATAGGACCCCCAGTTCACGCTTATTACGCATGTGGTTTTTTCACGATAGAAGTCAATATATTTTAATTGTAACATTTCAAAATTTACATGGGCAAGAAAACGACTCCATGCTTGGCTCTATTTTAACGCTTTCTAACTTTCTAACGCTTTTATTGCAGTCTTGCAGAACGCATGTGTTCACGTTGGTGTATTATAAATATGGCTGCTGGCATGAATTTCATTCCCTCATTAGCTTATTAATTATTAATGTCAAACTTTATAAAGTCTTGAGCTCAATCATTTATTTCTACATTTATATTTTTAAAGATATGAACTAGTTGAAAATTTACAAACAATATTTGCTTTAATCAGAAAGACAGAAGTTGTTCGAAAACAAAAAATCTTGTTCGGTCCATGACTGTTGCTTGTGACAAATTTTATTAAAAATTTTATTATTTGCCATGATGTCAATTGATGTTCTCCGTATGGATCATGATACATGAATCAAAATTAGTTAATGGAGAAATAAAATAAATGTATAAAACAGGAGTCGATGGAAAATATGAAATAAATATATGAAACATTTTATAGTTGATTAAAGTTACGAGTCAAAATTAAGTCAGCTTTGGATCCCTAGACTGGAAGGTTTTTTAGAATTGTGCTCCATTAACGTTGTCTGCTTTATTGGTATTTTACAGGATATTGATACCCCTCCTGCACCCTTTCTACCCAAGGCTAGGTGGGAATTGTACCCTCTGCATCCCTTTACTAAGTCCATCCCTCCATTAAATGATCTGCCGTCTTTGCAGGTGGCTTGCTGTGCGTTTAGAACTCATTGGTAATTGTGTGATATTCTTTGCTGCTCTCTTTGGCGTACTAGCTCGTGAAAGTATTGAAAGTGGCTTGGTTGGTTTATCCATCACTGTTTCTCTTAAAGTAAGATTATTAACATTTTATTCATGATAAAATATGCTTCATTGTATAGCATTGTTTGAGCTAAAACCATATATTAATGCAGTACACGAAAAACTGGCAAGCTTGCCGGGACTGTATAAAAGGTTATGGTGTTTACAATCCATTAATCAACGTGAGAATGAAAGTATGGAACAGGCCAAATAAAGGGGGAGGGGTGCGCTATTGGCGGTCGACAGTGGCTCCGCGCAAAGCGCGAAGAGCCTGCTATTGAATAGTTAGTCTTCAGGACGGATTGATGTGATAATGAAAACGATTGAATTGTTGATGTCAGGAATGGATTTAATTGATGAAAATGAATAAACTGTCGAGCAACGTACCATGTGGGTTGACTCGATGGTAAAGGGTGTATTGTGGATTTATGTCTTGTTCAACATAGTGAAAACAAATGTGTTTTAGAGCTGCAATCTACTTTGACGTTCCGAAAAAATTTGCGTCACTGACCCATGAAAAAGAAAATTCAGGGGTTATGCAAAAATTATTTTTAATTTCTTCTTTTTCCATGCAAACATATTTAGATCACGGGAAGTTTGAATTGGTTAGTGAGACAAACAAGCGAGTTGGAGACCCATATTGTATCGGTTGAACGAGTAAAAGAATATACTGAAGCTGAACAAGAGGTGTGACAATAGTGGCATATTAGAATACAATAGTAATCTAGTTGGGATAAATTTTGAGTAGACATGCTCCCTACTGCTTTATGAGCATTTTTCTTTTCTTTTAATTTAATGATGCTTTTCATTCTTTAGGCTGCATGGACTAATTTATACCAAGCTCCTGCCAATTGGCCAGATAAAGGTGAAATCGAGTTTAAACAACTGGGAATAAGATATCGCAGCAATCTACCTCTTGCATTGAAGAAAATCAATGGTAAAATTGGTTGTAATGAAAAGGTACGTAAATGTTTCTCTACTTCACGTTAATGGTAGCCGCCATTCTATTGTAAAGAACTGTAACCAGGAATAATTGATTATAGTTTTTTGTACATTTTTTGTCTGAAAGATTGGCATAGTTGGAAGAACGGGTTCAGGAAAATCAACGTTAACAATGGCATTGTTTCGTACATTAGAAGCCAGCGAAGGAAACATTACAATTGATGGTATCAATATCGCACATCTTGGTCTTCATCTTCTTCGTTCAAAAATCACTATAATTCCACAAGTAACTTTAAAAATAAACAATGGACATTTTTAATTATTTATTCGAAAACATACTAACATACATATATTCAATTTCTACAGGATCCAATTTTATTTTCAACTTCGCTACGTTATAATTTGGATCCGTTTGAAAGACACACTGATGAGGAAGTTTGGTCTGCTCTTGAAATGGCTCACCTAAAATCTTTTGTTTCTCAACTTCCAAATTCTGTAAATTTTATGATCTCGGAAGGCGGAGAAAATTTAAGGTGATTATTTTAAGTTTGTTGTATTGCCCGTAAACAAAAGCATTTTAGGAATTTATTTCTATACGAAACTTATTTTACAGAGGTTTGTGGAACACTAAAATGTTTAGATATAATGCACCGTGGTTAATGAACTTGCTAAGACACAGGCCTTTTCCATTGAATGAAAATGGATGGTGCTATACTAAAGGTTTTGCAGTTATAATTAGGAAAGTGATGATAGAGGATATGATAAGGAAATTTGTTTTCATCGAATAAAATCGTTCCATTATGATTGTAGGAAAACAAAAATAATTACTAATATTTAGGTTAAATGGAAATTTACTTTGTGCTATGGGCACAGAGTGTATCTAAAAAAGACGACCTTTAGATATGAACCTATTATGAAATTACAATGACTGAGCACTATGCCATAGTTCCTTTTTGTGTATATTTTCCTGTAATGAGTTATGTCGAATTCACAGGAGCAATAGCTTTTGTGCTCGAAATAAAGAAATGCAATAATGTACACTTACGTATGTAGCTTACAATATTTTACTGACTGGTGTAATAAGTATAGTCCATTGAATTTATAATAATTGGTTGATATTTAAGCTCTTGTGTTTTTATACACCCTATAATCTTTTCGCATTTTTCGCCACGTTATCAACATAGTGGAGATAATGACGAGCATTATATACAATTAAGCGTATATTTTTTGGTTTCTAGTGTTGGTCAACGTCAGTTAGTGTGTTTAGCGCGTGCTTTGTTAAGAAGAACGAAAATTTTGGTTCTTGATGAAGCAACAGCTGCTGTTGACTTGGAAACTGATGAACTTATTCAGCAAACGATTCGTAAAGAGTTTGCTGACTGTACAGTTCTGACTATCGCTCATCGATTGAATACAATTATGGATTATACAAGGTACTATATTTTGGTGAACTAACTTACTGGAAAATTAGTACGTTAAAACAACCTAATTTATTTACAGAATAATGGTACTCTCTGAAGGAGAAGTAAAAGAGTTTGACTCCCCAAGTAATTTGCTAGAGCAAAAAGGCATGTTTTATGAAATGGCAAAGCATTCTAATCTTGTTGTTTGATTAAGGGTACATGGCTGAATCTTGTGAGTACAGATTACCTCTTACCCTATAATTTTGTGTGCATTGTCTAGAGTAACCTTTCAATATTAATTGCTTCTGTATTTTGATCATAAACCAATTGTTTATAATGAAACAGAACCAATCATTTTTGAAGGTTACTCTCTTTGCTACCAAGATTACAAATTATCTTTCTTCAAGATTTATCATTTTCCCTCACTATGACATATGTAGACTTATACAATATAGGCTATTCTATACAAGAATTATTGGTAAAATCTCCTGCCTTCAAACTCAATGTTATTTATTCTATAAGTATTATTGGTAAAATTTCCATGCAAACTATGTAGTCCATACAAAGTTTGTGATTTGGTGCAAATGAAACTTCATACTTTGTGTTGATAAATGTAGGAATCATTTAGCTTATGATACTACGCTACAGTATTTATTGGTACTTTGTAAACAAATTGTTCTGTTAAAAAAGTTCAGTTTAAAATGTTATGAGGTACAAATGTGTATTTTCATGTTTGATTACCATTAATAAGTTGATGTTGATAGGTTGTATCCATTTGATTTACAAGAGCACTCAATTCTGCAGCAGAATATCCTAGTAAACTCTTTAGATCACAAACAAATTTGTACACAAATCTTTTTCCATGTACTTTATGAATCATGTCACCATCATAGTAATATCGTAGAGCTCTGCTTAACTTCTCATAATTCATAGCTGGCTTATTCTTCCTTTTCCCCCATTCTTGGGCTACTTGTTCTGGAAGGTTTAATTTAAATTCACCTTGATCACCAATCCATGTAATTAGATGCTTACAGTCTTTATCAGTTAGAAGTTGAAGTAAAAATTGCCATAGTTGAATTTGGCCATTGTTTCCAGCTGGAACAAAATATCCCAATTTAAGGCAAGCATATGTCAGAATTTTCAATAAAATACAATGAAAACGTTTTAATGTTATATTTTTTATTTGTTCCAACATGATAGTATTGAACTTATGGTAGCAAGCAAGTTCACATACCACTCCGACTTGCTGTAAGTGTCGGTACTTCTGGTGATGATAATTCTACATTAGGATTTTGTCCTAAGTAATGATAAATAAAGTTCCTCCAGTTGGTTGTTTGCTTCTGATTAAGGAAAGTATTGTATTTACAAAATACAAACCCCACATCAAGGAACTCACCAATTGGAGATGCTAAATTATCTACAGGTTTATTCAAGACCATTATAGGAGTAGCCGTGGTGTTTGACAATCTTGCATTACCTATAAAATCCACAGACAAATTAAGGTATCTTCTTGAAATATCTATGGCAAATGAGATAAAACTCAAAATGACAATTTTCAGCTACATTCAGATAACAGCTGTTATCTCATGTTATTACACTTTATTATGCCATTGTTGATTAACCTTTATTGTTGGAGGACTTTCGTCTTCGTTTTGTTGGGGAATGTGGCAGAGTTTTGTTATTCTTTTTTTGTTCACCATTTCCAAGCAACTCTTACAAATAAAAAAAAGTAATGGATTTGTAATGCATGTACTACATAATGAATAAAAAACAAATGATGAAATACATTTAGCAAGTAACTTTAGGAGTTCTAACTCATAAAAATTGCTACCTGGATTGTCAGCATTGTTGGGAGTCAAATGGATATTTAATACATCCATTCGCTTAACTGTCTCTCCATTTTCTGAAACTATAAAAATATTGAACTTAGGTTACATGAGATTTTGCAAACTTTATATAACCAACATACATTAATACCATTTTTAATTTGAATGTTTAAGGTGACTGTTCCATTCAAAGATCCAGCATGCGAGCCAACTGCAACACAATCTTCCATCTTCATTAAGACAAAACAATGTTAACATGGCCGAACAATCAAATTTGAGTTCATTTGAAGGAGGAAATGATTTTGCTAACCTCAATTTCATGATAAAACATAAAACAAGTTTCTAAAGGCACATGAATTGAGTCTGCCACAAGCTTTCTAATCGTGCCAATAAGTTCTGATGCTTTTACTCGTACTATGACAAACTGTAGATTCTCTGCAGCCAAAGTGGTTTGAGATTCAGCGAAGCCTGTAATTGCTTTTTCATCTGGTTTTGTTTCAAATTTTTCAGCCAGAATAGAGGTCAATGGATATTCAACAGGCAAACTTGAAACAGACTCTTCTGGCAGTTTTTGCTCAGGTTCACCAACTGCTACTTCAATCTGTGTCTCTTCTTCAACATTTGGAGGTAATCCACCTTCTTCTTCAGGGTCTTTCTCAACAGGTATTGTAAGAACCTGTGACACAGGTGTCAGAACACCAGTGGCGGAAAGCAGCAAAGTCGCAGAATCAGATAGTTGTGCTGGATCCATTTCTTATGTGGTACAAAACTATGTAAATGTTAGACTAAATGCTTAAATGGACAAATTGCATTATGTTTTGTTGTAAAATAGCTTAACCTTTTCTAGTTAGATGAAGTTTCATCCACCAAGCAAAAATAGGGATAAAATTATGTTTCCTGCCACAAGGGAGAATTTGATGGCAAATATGCATGGAAAATAGAAAAATTGCTTCCTGCAAGCAACTTCCTTTAAAATACTCAGTTGCTAATACGCGCACACTTCATCCGGGTAAGCATAAAGTATACGCACTACAACGTCCTGCTGTTGACAGAAAGTTGTTTTTCAAAACTTTTCAAAGATCGTTTAACAGAAAACTCACCTCGCTTGTTTATTTTCTTAAAAGCGAAGACTGCTAAATGGTTGCGCGTGATATCCGGCCAAATATTAAAGCATTTCACTTGTCAAGCACAAATAACAAATCGTGTATTTGCCAAAAGAAATGAGTTTATTAGAGTTACAAAATTATATCGAATTATTGTTCTTGAAGATTATTTAGCCACAATATTCCACACTGAAAGTGATTATTCGGAGTGTTAGTTTTAGTTCTTGGCAATCATTTTTATTTCTTCCCAAAATGACCCTTGACGCGTTCGCCCGAAAGATGTCGACCAATTACGAAAATTCACGTTTGGTAATTGTACATGACAGTGGCGATAAATTTTCCCAGCGGGAAACGTAATCTTTTTTTATGAACCCAAGTGCATTAGTGTCCGTTACAGGAAGTTTTATTTGCGCAATTTTTAATTCTACCTACGGCCCTGGAGTATGGATAAATCCAGCGTCATTGTAGATTATCTGGCTACACACAAATGTTTTCTCGTACGAATATGTAAATATTATGTTATTTACTATAATGAATAATGAATTTAGTCGAATATAAGGATTTTAAAAGTCCTTTGAAAATGATTTGAGAGTTGCTAGTTTACTGTTTAATAGTTATTACAACATCTGCTTTTGATGAAGCGTTATGAATTGTGGGAAATTTTTATTTACTAATTTTACTTTCCAGATGATGTTTATGACTTATGTTACCAGATTGTTGACGCTCGCTTAATGGTTTGAGTCGCTGCGGAGATAGAATAAAGATTTCAAGAAGCAGCGAAAACGTAAGTTTTTTGCTTTATTCAAGTTATACACTGAGCATTTGCCTCTTGTTTTGTTGTGATGTTATTTCAGGAAATGATTTTAAAAGCACTTAAAAGTTAAAACGACGGCACTTATCAATGAGAGCAATTTCGGAAACGTTGAGTAACTTTGAGTCTCCACAACGTAAGTCTTCCAAGAAACCGTACAGTCATTTCTTGGGTAACAAACGAATAACTGAAGTTATGAAATTTAAGGCCCGTTTACACGGTAATCAATTTTGGTACGGCACGCGAACCTGTTTTCTTGAGTGCGGCTCTCCTAATTTTTCTCGTGTAAACGGATAGCAGGCCTAAAATATAGTTAGGTCTTGTAAGGTTTCAAGTGCAGTTGGCAGTTGCCTAAAGCAAAAAGCACTGCTCACCGAAGTCTCTCAAGCTTATTGAGCTGAAATTTTCTTCACAAAAATGAAAACTTTGCTATCTTTAAATTAAAGTTTTATGTTATTGACTTTCCAGTTTTGCCTTCAAAAAACTATTATTAACCAATGGATGGCACCAACCAACATTTGCTTGTCTTTGCATGTCTTAATCTTGTCTGTCATCGCCTCACTAAAATGTTTACCTGTAGTGAATGTTACCTAGCAAGAGCATAGCGGCCCAAAAAATCACTACCGATCTAAATAATTTAATGGTTTAAAAAACGATAACTCTCTCCATTCCATCGTAACAGGGTACAGAGGGTACAGACCGTACGCTGCAAACTTTGTATCAACTGATTGTATCTATATTATATATTTACTAAACGTAGGCAACTATTCTCGCAGTTACGAACACATTTAAGAAATAATGCGTAAAAAGACAAACAAGGATTAAAATTTTTAATTTAAAAAGACTTTGCTGCAATTGGCATACCAACGAAAAATGCGCATTATAGTTCAATGGGCTAAACCAATTGCACTTAAAAGACGTTTTGAAAACAATGGCGTACGCACCAATATGAGGCTTTTAGCAGGGAGACAGAAAAATTTTACAAACAAATTGAAAAGTTCGCGCGAATTTTTCGTAATTTTTGTCGTCCTTTTCAAAAGCTAAGTATGGATTCATGTAGAAAATTATCCTAATTTTTAGTGATATAATTATTATTTTGAATTCTTGTTTGTTTTTTTTACGTATTATTACTTTATATAAAGGCATTTGTTCGTAACTGCAATGATAGTTGCCTACCTTTGGTAAATATATAATATAGATACAATGGATACAATCAATAATTCAATTAAAACAAATTAAAGTTTGCGGCGCGCGGTCTGCCACGATGGAATGGGGAGAGTTATTGTTTGTTTAAACTATTTAGCTAGCTAAGTGATTTTTTGGGCCGCCATGATTAAACCTATTGCAAATAGTTGTTCAATGTTGTAATTTATACATAGTGGAAGTATGACATTTTATGGTTTTAGCTATAAGCTTGTTTCTCTGAAAAACTTTCTTAGCCTTAATTCTCCAAATTTTCATGGGAAATAGATCCAGTAGTTACATCTATACTTGACTCTGGTTCCTGTGGCCACTGATTGAACGATCATGATGAATCCATTGAAAAAATAAACTTTGTTGTAATGTTTTTACGTGCATTTATGAAAGTTCAAACAAAAAAATTTACCATAGGAACATTTTGTTTCTGTGACTGAATAGGCAAAGGTAGCAACCAATTATGCAACTACTTATGAAATTGCATCCAAGCATTTCTTATTCACATTATGTCATTATTTATCATAAATATTAACTTGAATTATTTTTGTTAGTTTTTGAAATAAAAGATGGGAAAAAGGAAAGTCGTGGATCAGAAGAATGCCACTCATGTTGTTGCTTTGTATGATTACTTTCCAACTGAAAATATAGTGTTCAATGAAAATGAACCAAGTTTTAGTTCTCCTAATGTGGATGTTCAGTTGTCAGTGAAGAAAGGAGAATTATATGAAGTAGATGGACCTATTGGCTGGTGGTTATTTCTAAAATCTCATCATCAATATGGTTATGCACCAAGTTATCTCATGTTGCCAGTTATTTATAATAAGCTTACTGTTAATGAGTAAGTCAAAAAGGACTTCAGATTTATTGATAATGTTGAATTTATGGCTACAGTACTTGCTATCAAAGAGTACAAACTTTTAAGGGCTCTTTTTTAAAGTACAAAATTATTTTACTATGATATGCGAGTTAGCTATGATGTATCTTAAAGGATATCAAATAACACCATCCTTTAGTTTGATGGTTTTGTCACAAGGTGGTGATGTTCCTTTACATGCTGTTGATTGTGAGATTGATCTAAAATATTTTCCTGATGCTCTACATATCAAAGAAAAAATTGTTCATGACGTAAGTGCCATTGTGTTATTAAAAATAATTTAACAGAAATATGTCATAAAATAAATCCAGTGATAATTGAAAAATAATCCTCGTTTGCTTTTTGCTTCGACTTGTTTGAAACATGAAATGCAAAGGGCCAAAAGCTACAATAGTTATGATAAAGGATTTTGTTTAGAAACAAAAAATTAAACGTACAAAAATAAAATAAGAGACCAGATATGCATGACTGTGTGTGCCCAAGCTAGCGTTTTATTTAAGGACTTCTTTTTCTTCGTTTCTTCTAATGTTACCGTTTGTGAAATATTTACGAATTCTAACGGTTTGGATTTGAAAATGTGGCGTTCCTGACATGTCTAACTTTTTTTTAATTTTTATTGCGTTACATGCATGTTTTATGAGCAGCACGTCACATTTCAATTTTAAAACGTTTTTTGTTTAATTTAGGTGGTTTGTCCTGAGGAAAATGCAAATATTTTTTCACGTATGACCATGTGGTGGCTGACTAGGTAAGGAGTATATCTATATTTGTCGATAGACTAAATTAACTCCCCATGTTACTGCACTGTGTGCTCTGATATCACTACTTACTGCATTGTATGTTCTGTTCGTCTATGGTATGGTATGTTCGTGTTTGGTATATTATGTTCGTGCATGGTATGTTATGTTCGTGCATGGTATGTTATGTTCGTGCATGGTATGTTATGTTCGTGCATGGTATGTTATGATCGTGTATGGTGTGTTATGTTCGTGCATGGTATGTTATGTTCGTGCATGGTATGTTATGTTCGTGCATGGTATGTTATGTTCGTGCATGGTGTGTTATGTTCGTGCATGGTATGTTATAATTTTGTATGGCATGGTATGTTCCTGTATTGTGTGTTTTGATCATGTATGACTGTATGGTTTTTATGTTTGTGTAAGGTATGTTAGTGTATGGTGTATTATGTTCGTGCATGGGTCCCGTGATTATAGGCAAGCTCTGGAAATGTTCTCGTCTTTAGTAAAACGAATTGAACTGACTCAAGCATAGTTTATTTGAAAAATGATTCTTTACGTCAACTTCAAACTTTATAAGTTTGAAGATTTTTGCTATCCAATGGATAACGCTATCCAGGCTTTGTGCAACCGGCCCCTAAAATTTACTTAGCAGAACAAAAGCTTTCGGGCTAGCTACTCTGATCTAGCAAAGGAGTACATGTAACTACAATATGAAACAACTGCCTTAAGTGTCTCCCCTTTTATTATTTTACATCATTTTTTTTTTGTTTTAGTTTAATTTATACTGGATTCAAAAGACCTTTGACCAATGGTGATCTATGGACGTTGAGTGAACATAATTCTTCAAAAGATATTATTCCAAAATTTCTTGAAGGTTGGGCAAAAGAAAAAGAAATGGTTGCTGAGTAAGCAAATAATATTCACTTTCTCCTGGCTGCGCTTACTACAAAAATAAATCGACCATGCACAATCTGTCAATCTCGTATTTTGGAGTTCACTACAATTCATTATTTTTCTGCTCAGAAATTTAAAAGAAAACAAAGCAAGACTATACAAAGAAATTGAAACTGATGAAGTTACTATAGGCAAAGAAAAGAAAAGGAAAGATCCGAAACCCAATCTTCTAAAAACAATTGGCCGTGTATTTGGAAAGTTGTTCATTTTTTCATTTATTTTCAAGATTGTACAAGATGTTTGCGTTTTCACTCAACCTCAGTTATTAAGGCGAGCTACGTATTTGTAGTTTTTTAGTTTGAGCATTTCCATCGATATTATACTTTATGGCTGGACTGTTTTCAATTGTTAAAGCTCTCTTTTATCCTCAATCCATCATCAAACATGAATCTATAAGAATTCGATATCCTCAATCTTTATGGCAAGTTTATGTGAGTTGGTATAAATCAAGAACACACATAAACTACCTCATCATTTTAGTAAATGTGTGTATTGACTGAGAGGGAAACATGCACAAACCATGCATGTTTATTGTTAACCATTTTGTGGTAAATTTCCTGATTCAAGAATGCCCAGCTTACCCAAGTGTGTGTTTTTAGGTGGTGACATTGATGTTGCACGAAATGGTCGACAAGCAGTCATTGATTAACATGTATCTTTTTCTGAAGGTTGATCATTGAGTATGTTGAAGATAAGAACGCAGAGAAAAAAGAGAGTTGGTCTGGATATATTCTTGCGTTATCAATGTTTATTGTGGCTGTAATACAAGTGCTTTGTGTGCAGCATAGTTTTCAAATGACTTTCACTGCTGGAATGAGGATACGAACTGCAGTTATTGGAGCAATTTACAGGAAGGTATAAATATTACCATATGAGCACTGTACAGCCGTTAAAACACGGAGTGAAAGAGTATTTAGTTCGTTCTCGTTTTTTTATATATGTTTTCTAGGCGTTGGCTCTAAGTAATTCTTCTCGAAATTTGTCTACATCTGGTGAACTAGTCAACCTCATGTCTGTCGATTGTCAAACACTACTTAATGTTGCATCAAATTTTTCCATCATTTGGTCATCACCTTTACAAATCATTGTTGGTTTATTTTTTTTATTTCGTACCCTTGGTGTATCCGTTCTCAGTGGTTTGGCCGTCATGATTCTTTTGATACCAATGAACATGGTTTCTGGAAAACTGGTGCAAAAGTTTCAGGTATAGTCAGTTTTGAGAATTTTCATCTAAATTTGTAAATAAGTAGGGCCCTAATTCATGCACACAGCTCAGTCACATTATCATTATCCTGAACAGTGACCGACTTTTTTGTATGTGATCGAACAATCTGAACTGTTTAAATTCTTGTATATTTAGAAAAAACGAATGAGTTACAAAGATTCCAGAGTAAAAATGATGAATGATGTATTAAATGGCATTAAGGTGTATGCATGCATCTTGTACTTATTGTTTTACTTCATGTTTTATGATTATTCTCATTCAGGGATGGTATCTGTGTCCTGTAGTACAGCTAACAACGCTTCTGACTATTTTCTTTAGGTTTTGAAATTATATGCCTGGGAAAAGTCTTTCATTGAGAAAGTGTTAAATATTCGCAAGCTTGAACTAAAGCAATTAAAACTTGGAAAATTTGTGTGGTCTGCATTATCCTTCACATATCTTTGTGCTCCTTTTGCTGTAAGATATTTTTCTTAGATTGTGATGATAGTTTGTATCAAGTCTTCTTTGTTTGTAACTGCGCGTTTTCTGCAATAAGTTTGCCAATGACTGACTTAGTTTTAAATAATATTAAAAAAATTTTCCTTTTCCCAGGTTTCTGTGGTAACTTTTGCAACGTACATACTTTTGGGAAACACATTAACAGCGTCCAAAGCCTTTGTATCTCTAGCTTTGTTTAATATTCTTCGATTTCCATTAACTGCATTACCTATGATGATCATGAATGTTATACAGGTACACTCATGCCTAATAAAATACGTACATACACCAAAATACATATTCACATAGGTACATAATATTATTGTTGATAGATTCTAAAATTGTCAAAACAGAATGTACTTACAATCGTGCATGGTGCATCTTTGTAATAAATTCGTACAAAATGTGTAAGCAATTGTTAAAGATAGGAAAGATCAAATATAAATTCTAAATATTACTACTGCCCAATATGTATATCAATATAGCAGGATGTTTTCTATTTTTCAAGGGTTTTGTTTCCTTAAGGCGTATCGAAAATTTTCTGTGTCTGCCTGAGTTGGATGCAGAATGTGTGAAGAAGACATCGGAAACAGGTTTAGTAAAAATCTCTCACACTTTCTTATGTTTCACACAAAATTTAATATTCGTAACATATATTATAACTCAACAACTCAATGTCGAACATGAATGATAAACATTTTTGTAACAAATTAATTTCAATAAGTCCTTCTTAAAAGTATTCATTTTAGTAAAACTGCCTTTGTATCGTATTACATTGTTTAGATGATGTAATTAGTGTACAAGATGGTCATTTTTCATGGGATGAAAACCAATCTATTCTCAAGGAGTGTGTAAATATTCGTGCTATTTTTATTTTTTTCACCATTTCATAGTCCATGATCAATTTGTATTCATTTTAAGCATCAATATACGCGTTGAGAAAGGGTCATTGGTCGCTGTGGCTGGTCCAGTAGGCTGTGGAAAATCGTCTCTTCTTTCTGCACTATTGGGTGAAATGGAGAGGCTACAAGGACGAGTCATCAAAGTTGTAAGTTGTGTTTTACCTTAAATGTTTATTGAATGTTATAGTTACGACATGTCGTTGATAAACAACTATTATCTGTATTTCAACATGAGCGAAGATTGCACGTGCCATTGTCTACGTCTTTTAGCTGTACAATTTGTTTCAGTAGTTGCTAAGCTCTCTGTAATTTTGTTAATTGTAGGGATCAACAGCCTATGTTCCACAACAAGCTTGGATACAGAATGATTCGGTGAAAGACAATATTCTTTTTGGGCAATCTTATGATTCAAAACGCTACCAGAAAGTTATTGATGCTTGTGCTTTAACGCCAGATCTTGAAATTCTTTCATCAGGAGACGAAACCCAAATTGGAGAAAGGGTTAGACTATACGTATATCTATAAATAGAATTAAAGAAATATGTGGATTATTGATTATAATATCATCCGTATACATGCATAGGATTAATATCATCTATACTACAGATATGTATGCATTGTAAATCCTTATGTGTAATTGTTTAGGGGGTAAACCTTAGTGGTGGACAAAAACAACGTATAAACTTAGCAAGAGCTGTTTATTTTAACGCTGATATTTATTTACTTGATGATCCCCTGAGTGCAGTTGACGCTCACGTTGGAAAACATATTTTTGATCACGTTATTGGACCAAAAGGTTGCCTTAAAAAGAAAGTAAGCTGTCTGTTATATTTCAAAGAAAAAAGTTGTTTTCATGAAATAAGCTCTATCTCAGTGTACGTTATAAATTTTTTACATCACTGAGCGTAGAAGTTGTTGCAGGTCTTGCAAAAATCAATATAAAATATATTATGAAACATTAACACAATTGCACAGAATTACAGTATTAGAACTATCATTGATCATTGTTGTCGATTGTTGCAAATTTCATCATCACATAGGTGTGCAATTAACTGAAATGAAGCTCGATTTGTCTGCTTTAAATGCTTCTTGATACCCGCACAAATTGTTCACTGCTGTCACTTTTTAGACAAGAATTCTTATAACGCACAGCATTAGAATTTTACCCGAAGTTGATAACATTATAGTTATAAAGGATGGAAAAATTACGGAGGTAATGGATTTTTTCACTCAATTCATTTTCGTGCTTTGAACAAGTTGATTATCTCTTAAGAGTTGAATTAATCCTAGGGATTGTGTATGCAAATAAATCTACATACGTATAATGAATATTTTTTATAGTATACATTGATGTACATATGAGTAATTAAATTACTTAAGATTTCCTCATCGTATTTTCTCATCTTAGTTTTGGATTATATCTGTTTGATTAGAGTGGCTCTTATTCTGAGTTGGTGGAAAATAATGGAGCGTTCTCTGAATATTTGAAAACATATACGTCGGAATTGGAAAACAAAGAACAAGGTAAAATGTGTTCACTTGCAAGACAAAACTTGATTTAGGTTTAATGAAGGATTTCGTATTTCTTTAAAAAAATTTGTGAGTTTATCATCTGCGAATTACTTTGTGTGCAAGTTGAGTATGCAATAATCTCTGAAAGGCCAGTGCTCTATACAATTTTCTTCAAAGAATCACTGATCTGCAACTTCAAAATTGCAGAAATGTGGAATGATTTTCACTATTTTTATGATTTCATACTTTGAAAAGTGTTACAATTGAAAAAAGGGTTACAATTGAAAAAAGTGTTACAATTGAAAAAAGAGTTACAATTGAAAAACGACATAAGGTTAAAAAAAAGGGTTATGATCATATAAAAGTTTCATAAGCTTCCTTTATACTGCTGTCCTTATACAGTCCATACCTTGGCCTGAGCTTCAGCGTTAGTATTGCCACTAACCTAGCCTAAATTATGCATAAATGTTTGTGTCGTATATTCTCTTGCAAAGCCATTAACATGCAACTTTTATTATACATTGTAGTGGCAAATTAAACTAAATTTGTTCATTTATGTTTCCAGGTTGGCATAAACTACATTATTTTGAACGCTTAGATCATCAAGTTCGGCTTGAATTCTTTTTCACTTCACAGCGAAATATACAATATTTTTGGCATCTGCTACAAAATTCGACATGCAATTATAACAAGTTTTTTTTGTTCGTCAACACAACAATGTCTGTTATTGAGCAGTATCGAGTCAATTATTTATATTCTCCTCCAAAATACTGATAAATATTGGTTGGTTATGGTTCTTGCTTGCTTCCGTAGGCTCTATTATAAGCAGCTGCCATGAAAACTAGGCTGGACTTAGACAGTAAACTTGTTTACTTTTAAAGACTTACCCCAGAATCTCGACTGACCTAATACAGTGTTCCTAGAGCTATGTGCAATCGTGCAATGCAGGGCTTGAAAGTCGGCTTGGAAGAAAGTCCTAGGGTAGTCTTGATATGTCTACATTAGAGACCTAGTCGGTCCTAGGCCCCTAAGTTGAACACGGCAAAAGCTATCTTGACTGAGTTTTTGTTTTTATCTTTATATAAAGTTATGGTTGATGGTATGACAGTCGATGAACATGGACCACATCCTGATTTTAGTCGACTGACCAGCGTAGTCTCTGAACAAAGTGAACTAAATGATAAAGATTCCATTTGTAAAAGGGAAGAGCAACAGAACAAACTAGTTGAAGACGAGTCTATGGAACAAGGACGTGTAAGTTTATCGTAATCTGCGTGCAGGTCGAAATAGGCAATAAAATGCAATGACTATTCATATAGTAAATTGATCTTTGCATTCGATTTACGATTTATCATTTGTAATGTAAGTTTCATAAATTGATATTTGTCAATTGATTAATTCCATTGCATTTCTGATTTACAGTAATCTGCATGAAAAAAACATGTAGTTTTTTCTACATTCATTTTTTTCAGGTCAAAATTTCTGTTCTCTTATCGTATTTTTCTGCCACGGGTTTTGGCTTTACTGCACTTGTATTCATATCTCTTCTACTTTCTACTGCAAGCCTGGTGTCTTCGCAGATTTGGTTGGCTCGTTGGAGTTCCTCTAACATAACAGACACATCAGAAAACACTCGTTATTTAGGAATTTACGCTGGTATTGGCTTGGGTCAAACCATTTTTGTCACAGCAAGCTCATTTCTCATGGTATATGCTTCATTCGGTGCATCATCGACCTTACATGAAAAATTATTGACGAACATTTTCCACCTTGCTTTGCTGTTTTTTGAAGTTACCCCAATTGGTCGTATAATTAACAGATTCTCTAAAGACATGGATATGGTTGATGAAGTTATACCACAAGTTCTTATGCAATGTTTGGGATCATCTTTTAATGTACTTGGTGTTGTTTTCATTATTTCATTTTCAACACCTTTATTTCTTTGTGTATTATTTCCACTTACACTCCTGTATATTTTAACTCAGGTGAGACTTTTTTGTCAGCTTGTATTGGATGTACTGTCAATATTTTCTAAACGCTATAAAGTTTTGTTTTCATATATTGATATTTTGCTCAAGATTGGCTAGTTATGTCTACCTTTTATGCGAACTTACGTAAGATAGTAGACGTCCACATTGCTGGATAAAATACTCAATACATTGCTCTACTTGAAATTCCTTCCACCCTCTTGTCTTTATTGGAATTTTCCCAGTCTTTGCTCCCTGAACGTTATTAATAATTCACTTGTTTTATTTCTTTCAGCGTTTCTACATTCCCTCGTCCAGGCAGCTGAAGCGACTAGAGTCCGTGAGTAACTCTCCAATATACAGCCATTTTCTTGAAACTATAAACGGTGTGAGTACGTTGCGAGCGTATGGACAAGAAGAACGATTCATTATGGAGAGTGACGGTCTAGTTGATCGCTTTCAAATGTCATATTATCCAAATTTTACTTCAAACAGGTTTCGGCGATGCTTTGAAGTTTTCGTTGGATATATTTAAGCAGCTGTAAAGTATGTCATTTTTTTCATGTTACTTGTGTTTTAGATGGTTAGCCATACGTCTGGAGTTTATTGGTAATTTTCTGGTATTTTTTACTGCCTTGTTTGGTGTAATTGGTCGTAATGAAGTTGAAAGTGGTCTCATTGGTTTATCTATTACTGTTGCGTTGGAGGTAATTTGAATTATAGCGTAGCTTAATGCCTTCACTTGTGATATTTTTTTATGTTGATTTTAGTTTGTTTAACGTGATACTTTAATTCATTTTGAAGGTAACCCAAAGCCTAAACTGGGCTGTTCGTATGTCAAGTGAGGTGGAAGCTCATATTGTTGCAGTAGAAAGAATCGACGAATATTGCAAAGTTCAACGTGAAGTATGAAATATTGTATGTTGTTGGTATTTTTTATTTAATCTATTTGGAGGTAGAATTGCATTCATATTAGCTGCAAAGTAATAAAAAATGTTCTTACATATACAATATGCTTTGACTATATGTGTAGGCTGAATGGGTGATTAAAGATTGTCGTCCTCCAGATGGATGGCCTGATAGTGGTGTGATTGAATTCCAAAGATTTGATCTCAAATATCGGGAAAATCTCCAGTTTGCTCTGGATGGTATAGATTGCTATATAAAGCAGGGTGAAAAGGTACACGCAAGGAAGTTGTGATTCGTGACATGATAAAAATGTGAAATTGCTAGGATATCATATGGACGTAAACAGAAAACTTAAGCATAAGATGAGTTATGATCTTAAAAACACATATGATGGTCATTTAAATAGAGCTGTGCGGTTCCAGAATCGAGAATAAAGGTTTACTGCAGGGGCGGATCAATGCTCATTTGACAAGAGGGGTGCAAATTTTCCAGGGGGTGTATCCTAACTAAAGTTGCAAGGGCCTCGTTCTATTGTGGATTTTTAGGCTTACAGATAAATGAACCTTGCGCAATGACAGTTTCATTGAAAACGCGCTTGGTAGTACTCAATTGCAAATGGTTGAAGTATAAAATATGTAATTGCCTTTGAAATGAAAAATTCTACGTTTACTCAGTCTTACTGTGTAATTTCATAGGTTCCAATATTGTTGTTGTCTACAGTGCGTAATACCATTTGAGAATTTTTCTTGCACGCCACCAAAAAAAATCTGCTACTGGTTTTCTGTATTTTAAGTTTATATTGCTTTGACTTAAGCATATTGCTGTATATTTTAGGTTGGAATTGTAGGTCGTACAGGAGCTGGTAAATCTACGATGACAATGGCTTTATTTCGAATTGTTGAATCAGCTGGTGGAAAGATTGTAATTGATGGTTTGCCTATATCACAACTTGGTCTTCATGATCTAAGATCCAATCTTACAATCATCCCTCAGGTGAATATTCAATATCTTTATGAGCAAGGTTTTTGATTTGGCGATAATTGAGATTAAAATGTTTTATAGGTATTCTGAATAAAAAAAATTTGAAACTGCGAACTCAAATTTTTTTTATGTCACACTCAAAGGTCGTATAGTAAATACATATTGTTATAATAAATTATGATGACGTAAATTATTTACGTATACAGGATCCAGTTGTATTTACTGGAACAATACGTTTCAATCTTGATCCCTTTAATCAATACGATGATAAGGAACTATGGAAGGCATTGGAAGTCACTCATCTAAAGACGTATGTTAAAAAACTTGAAAACGGCTTACAACATGAAGTATTGGAAGGAGGGTCTAATCTCAGGTTTGAAATATTTTCTTGTTTTATTAACACTCAACAAGTTTTCGTAATTAAATGAATTCTTGAAATATTTTCATGTTTTATTAACACTCAACAAGTTTTCGTAATTAAATGAATTCTTGAAATATTTTCTTGTTTTATTAACACTCAACAGTTTTCTTTCCTGTCGATATCATCAAAAAATTAGTTTCATAATTCTTCATTGTTTTTATTATTTTATTTCCACTGATCGTTCCTTCATTTTTTCTTTGTATATTTATTCGAAAACTTTTCACAATCGTGGTCAATAACTTCCCAGGCAAATAGCCTGGAAAATTTTTGTGCAAAAAGTTTTCAATTGTATATATAATTTAATTATATATTACAAAACTATAACTTTTAGTGTTGGTCAACGTCAGTTAGTGTGTTTAGCGCGTGCTTTGTTACGAAGAACGAAAATTTTGGTTCTTGATGAAGCAACAGCTGCTGTTGATTTGGAAACTGATGAACTTATTCAGCAAACGATTCGTAAAGAGTTTGCTGACTGTACAGTTCTGACTATCGCTCATCGATTGAATACAATTATGGATTATACGAGGTACTTCATGTATTGTAAGTTTATTTATGCTTGCTATATTTGCTTGACACCTTAAAAATGTGTAGAAAAAAGCGGTTGAAATACCTTGTTTCATTCTATAATGTGATTGAATCAGGTTTTTTTATAAGACAACGTTTTTCCAAGTATAAATAGGGAAATATAGATAAACAAGCAGTTATTTCGTCATGCCAATTAAATTTGCATTTGTTAATATGTATTCATTAGCCGCATTAGCTATGTAATGTTTCTGGTCTGGTTGAAATTTTGTGATATATTTGGAATTTTAAATTTTTGATTTGTAATTCTAAAAACTTTCAAATCAATTTAACCGTAGTCCTACATGCATTTTTTATATTTTGGTGCTTAGTGAAATTTTAATGAATTTGTAACTTTGGTTTTTTTTAGGATAATGGTGCTTTCGAGTGGAAAAATTGTTGAATTTGATTCTCCCAGCTTACTCCTTGAAAAAAAGGGCGTATTTTACGATATGGCTAAAGATGCAAAGTTGGTTTAGATGATGAACACTTTTAAACTTTGTTTATTTGCGAACCTGTCAGTTGTGGATAGTTATGAACGGAAAGTGTTTTGACAGGATGTCAGGTGTATCAATATGGACAGAATATTTGAACAAAAAACCATCCTTATTATTCTCAACAAATGGTCCATATATTTATTCGTTTCTCACCCCACGTTACTAGTACAGCTGCTAAATGCCTACTCGTCGAGGATGAGGGTTTTTTTGTATTCTGTCTAACTGTTCGAGATGAAAACCAAAAATTTATGGATACACCAGTGCCATCGAGAAAAACAAGCAAAACAAGTTCAGTTTTTAGTCTTTGCTAGTAACCTTCTACCATGAGTACGTTCGGACTTTCTTTTAACGAACTGCGTTTTACCAGCAAGCTAAAGTTATATGGCAAGCTGTTATATTCTTTTTACTTTATACAATATAGTTGTGAAATATATTAATAATCATGTTAGCCATGAAAGTTCCTTTAAATTATAACAGCTTATCGATTCGTGAAATTTATCCTAACTGTTAGTCTGTTAGTATTGTTATTAAGGTATTTCGAATAAAAAGTCAGCGTCTATAATTGGTCTTGCAAAACTCTCTTGATGTGCTACTGATAATCATAGTGATGGGCGATTACCAGATTACTGATTACTTTGTAAACCAGCCAATACTGAGCCTAATCCGGATGTAGTCGATACTGTGTGGTATCGAAAAAGAACTAAAATTACTTCTGAAGTTTTAATATGTTATTATCATCCAAATTTGTCATTGTTTTTATCCTTAATTGAGAAAAGTATGTTATTTTTTATTTTGCTGCTTTATATATCTTGATATTTTATAAACTTATAAATACTCTTTCGCATTCTAGCCTTCAGAAAATTGACAAAAAGGGCGAGGCATTCATTCATTTTTTTGAAGATTTGAAATGCAATCGCCGGGTACAGCGTAATCTCGTAGGATTGTGTGCAATTGTTTTTTAAAGACACACACGGACAAATAAAATGTCAATTATTTAAGCATTAGATATTGAGAAATCTTTGAATACCACGTCGAATGTGATAAATTTTACTGATATTGTTGGAAAAAGTAATCATCATCGTTTCGCCCATCACGGAGACCCGTAATTATTCGGGTGTTTTACTCGCCTGCGGGCAAACTTATACGTGGCCATTAATTACTCTGCATCTATTTCGATTTTAGGTTGAGTTTGTGTCAAAAAATTTTCAGCCAAAAATTGACAATGGAGTTGGCAAAAGTATTGTTTTTTGTAGTTTGTTCTTTTATGATACGAGCTGCAGAAAGCTTCTATTTGCCTGGCTTGGCCCCAGTGTCTTACTGTGAAAAACAAGAAGGTGTCGAACAAAAATGCAAGGTGAGTTGGAACTCGAGTCTATTAATTTGGATAACTTTTTGCCATTGAATATTATCGCTCTTCTTATAAAACATTGTTTGAAAATTCCAAGGTAACTTTTCATCATTGTTTAATTAATTTGAGATAGATATAAAATGATCTCATGGAGAGTACAGAAAAAACATAATTTTGTTTTGCTAAATCATCCTATTATTATTATTGCTAAATATTCATTGTTGTACATTTTCAATCTTTCTCTGAATTTTATATTACTGTACCACGAAGAACATTTAAAACAGAGTTGCACATTTATCAAGACAGTGAAAGAATGTTTTAATAATCATTTTAAAGTTGTAAATAGTAAAGAATTCCTGTTTGGGCACTGGTTTATTTTCCTTAATAGGTAAAAGGTAGTTAAAGTTTCAATTGGCAACATAGTTTCACTTAAAATCATTGAAAGATTTTTGGCTTAATTATTAAAATATTACTATATACCTTTTTAAGTTAGGTCTATTGTGCTATGTATTCAATCGGAGGAATGTGGTGCATGTTGTTTACTATCTAACATTATACCTGAAATGGCTCTTATTTTTGACTTGCAACCATTTTCATGAGATTACCTAACAATGTTGCTTGCCTAAGTTGGCCGGTGCCAACAATAACACTAATAAAATATTCTTTTGTATCAGACCACCATCTTGGCTTAATTGGAAGTCAAGAATATGTTTGGGTGTTTTTGCTGAAGTGAATGAATAATATGACCTAACAATTCATGTGTATAACAAAAAGATCTCTAAGAGCAATAACAAAAATATGTATTTCACTTTTCGTTGTTGTTTACAAGAAAATATTTACTGAGAATAACAAACTTTTTGTTACGTGTTTGGACAATGCATTGCAAACTGCAACATAATGGTCATAAAGCAAAGCTTGCAAGCACTGATGTAATCTGGACCAGCAAGTTCATACTGTCTTGTGACACATGATGAAGTAAAATTGTTAATACCTTTGAATATTTTTGCAAGTTTGTGTTAAAGAATAAATGTGACAAAACATAAATTTATACAGTAGACATGGAGATTTTGCAACAATAGGTATTCGATAGTCATTCAGGGCTGCATGCTTGATCCAAGTTTTAATTTACTAAGTGTCAGTATACCATTTGAAAGATATACATGCTAACAAAAGAAAAATGTAATTTTAACTGACATCAAAATGCGTTGTTATTAATGTGGCATTAATTATACATATACAAGAAAATGCTTGAGTCTTTTATCAGGATTTTCTTCCAGACAATTGGTGAAATTATTGACGTGTTCTATTTATTGAAATTCAAATTATTGTAAAAAACTAAAGCTGTTTTAAAAGGACATCTTTATTTCAACTTGATTTTTTTGACAGTGGTTAGCTGGCTTTGTTGCTCACCTGTGGTTGTAAATTTATATCTATCTTTAGATTCTTAAGTTTAATTTAATTCAATGCAACTTTTAAACCTAATTTTGCTGATATGGTATTGCACATTTGATTTTTCGAAATTGTTTCAATAAACTGAAAAATTCTCCTTTACTTTATTAGAGTCATATACCATTGTTTGTAAATAGACTGGATTCAGTGGAAACCATTATTCCATATGAGTACAGCAGGTTTGATACGTAGCTCATCTCTCAATCTATATATGTTGTATTTATGCAACATAGATCTTATGCAAAGTATTTAAATGTTTGCAAATGTTCGTTTTACTTTAGGTTTGATTTTTGTTCTCCTGGTAGAAAAGATTATGCGCCATCTGAAAACCTTGGTCAGGTACATAATGCGTATATGTCATCAATATTTTACAATTTGTTATTGGTAAAGGTGGGAAAATCTTTTATTGTCACAAATGATGACAAATTGACGTGCTTGAATCCGATATACGTTTTTAAGTGAGATTATTTGTAGTATCTTTTGTCCTTGAGGTCATATATTTGGATGGGTATATATAAATCTGTTTTTAGAAATGTGATTTGGTAAGGTAGTATTTGTGTTTGATTTTTTGGACCATTGACTTTTAAAGGATATCCACTACACAGGATAAAAGATTTAATAAGTTAATTTGATATTACAGTTATTGTTTCTTGACTCAAACTATTTCAATAAATTAGACAAGCATTTGCCAACAATTTTCAAAGTCAAGATACATTACAAGCTCAAATGATAAAACTCACACTCACACAATACCTGCTCATAAATAAACCATTTCACTTCACTTTGTTTAGTGATGAAAATTGCAAATTTCATCAAGAGGCACTTAAAGCCTACAACATTAATGATCTGATAATGATTTTTTGATGAACTTAAACACTTTTTATACATAGATTGTATTTGGAGAGCGAATACAGCCATCAGCATATAATGTAAGTGCTAGTCTAAACTTAATATCTCTTCTTTCTCCTTTATAATGATTGTGTTGTTTATTATTTTTTATTGACATATTTTGTATGTTTACAGTGCCTTGTAACATATGTGTTTAATATCATTTGAATAATTATATGTAGATAACATTTAATGAGAAGAAATGCAGTGTAGCATGCACTAAAGAATACAAAAAGGAAGATCTCGATAAGGAACCACTGGATTTCATAAAAAATGCAATTCGATTAAATTACCAACATCACTGGTAACTACATATTGATGTTGTTTTTATTCTCATTTTTGTTGTTTTTTAGTAAAAATATTTTGATGTTATTTCATTCTCGTCATTGAGTAGCAGGTTTATTTTGTTTTCAAAATTTAAATAATCCATATGATGATCATGTTTTGACATTGCTAGGATAATTGACAATATGCCAGTGACATGGTGTTATGAAGTGAGTACGACTGACAAAAATAAACAATACTGCGCAACTGGATTTCCTGTTGGTTGTTATGTTGACAGTGATGGGAACCAAAAAGATGCATGTGTTATAAGGGTTTGTATATTAATTTTCTTGTGTTTGATAGTTTTAAATTAATTTTTTTCCAATTGTCTTCATATAATCACATGTTGGCATGGCAAATTAATTTACCATTTATGCTATAATTTATTATTGCAATTACAAAATGTGCAAAGAAAGCGGTGGGAAAATGTGAATTTGAGTTGAGACCATCAACTTTTCTCATTTAACTAAAAGTTTGCTACAGTTGCATATGTTGCAAATGTGCAACAATATGAGTTTGTAGGCAGATTTCAGACTATCTTATTTTTTAATAATTCTATCAAAATGTGCATTTGCTTTAAAAAGATTATTCTACCATTTTATAATTATAAATAAAAGTCAGTAAATTATAATTGCATCCTTACAGCCCAAGACATATTCAGAAAAGGATACATACTATTTGTTTAATCACGTTGCTATCAAGATAAAGTATCACAGTGGAGAAGGGGAGGACTGGGATGGAGCACGGTTGCTCTCTGCCACATTATGGCCCAATAGGTAAACATTTATGAGGAGGAAATTATTGTGTTGTATCTTGTTTTCTTTATTATTTTGCTATGTCAGCTTTATCTGAATTGTTTTTTGCATGTTTTTATGATATATTTTTAAAGAAGTGAATTAATGTTGCAGTTTGTTACAATACTTAGTCATTAAAAATATAGAATAGAAGCTAGCCACAGAGACATGTTGTAATTATTGGTGTGTCATGTGACAATAGAAAATTATTATACATCTCTGTCATTTTATATTTTATTTTTAGCTGTAAAAAAGGATGTGATGGGTGCCCTGAAGCTTTAGGTATAAAGTCAAAGCAAAGTGATCCTTTGACCATATCATATACCTATCAAGTAGAGTTTGAGGTGAGTTCTTCTTTAAAATGTGTGAAAAGTTGTTGTTCCTTGTCAAAATGTGTGAAAAGTTATAGTTGCTTTCAACATGTGTGAAAAGTTATTGTAATCTTATGAGCAGTTAACACTGATACACTGTTTACACATAATTTCTGTTGTAGAGAGATGACACAATCAAATGGGCATCTCGTTGGGATTACATTCTCCAATCCATTCCACACACTAGTATTCAGTGGTTTAGGTTGGTGATATTTTTGTTGCATTCTTTATTACAAAATATTGTTGAATAATTTAGTTTAGTGATGTATAAAGTCGAAGGTTTTTAACTTTGGTGCCATTTAACACAAGATTCAACTCCATTAGAAAGTCCCATGTCTGATGATGCATTATATTATAGAATGTGAAAATGGGAGCAATTTTTATCTCAAAAATTTATGCATTGATTTTATGAACATATCCCATCATGCATGATACAAGGTTTTGGTTTGACTGAGAATTATTAAACCTAACAGAGGTTAGCTTGTCTATGCTATGCTCTGTGCTAGAGGAGAATTTTCTTAATGCTACCTGCTCACGAAAAAACAACCTTACATGTCAGTAATGATTGAGGACATGACAAATGTGTGAGTTGTAAGTTTCAGCTATTTGTAGTTCTGAAGGTTGTAAAGTAACCATGGACAGATTTTCAGGGGGGTTTCATGCGGGTGATTTCATAACCCCCTTCCCACCTAAATAAATTGTTCACACCTCTAAGAAACATTTTAACTCTCAAATTTTTAGCAAAGCAAGTCATTAGTACAGATAAGCTTTACTTCTACATTATCATACACTACCCACACTACCCTACCGTCTCCATAATCATTCTTTACTTTTTACTTTTTACTCGTTTATAATTATCTCGTGTATTAGATTTTTGTCAGCGTTTTTAGATTAATTTAGTCCGACGTTTACCAAGATCTCATTACAAAAGTTTTATTTCGACCTGAACCTTGGCACCTTTAAAATACATCATAACTCCGGTTTTTTGATTGTCCGTATTGTGTGGTTGTCAAGTCTCTACTTTTGTCCATATTAGTATACATGTATTGTGAATATTTTTTATTCGTGTTTGAGTTTCTTTTTATTGACTTTTTTTCTCAGTATAATGAATTCCTTGGTAATCGTACTCTTCCTTTCTGGTATGGTTGCAATGATTATGTTAAGAACTCTTCACAAGGATATTGCTCGTTATAATCAACTGGAATCATCAGTTAGTATATATTTTAGTTGATTTCTTAAAAGCGATTTACTATATTGCAAGATAAAATGAAAAAACAACAGTGTTCGTCTATCTCGTTCAGGATGATGCCCAAGAAGAGTTTGGTTGGAAACTAGTCCATGGTGATGTATTCCGTCCTCCAGGAAAAGGAATGCTGCTTTCGGTGATGTTAGGGACTGGTACCCAGGTTGTAACCATGACTTCAATTACACTTGGTAAGCTTTAATTAAGCTGAATTCAGATTTCATCACAGAGAATATCAAAGTTTTTCATACATTGTACATTATCAATTCAATTTGAAAGTCACTCATCTTTCATTTTGCGTATAACATGAACAGAGTTGAAAAGTTTTGCCTACAGTTTCAATTTAAACGCCACATTATAAAGTTTTAAAAGCCTTCCCATCATTTAACTTCAATATTGTACAAATAACATGTTGAATAATTAGAAAAAAAACCTTTACTTTGTACAATTTTGATAAAATTCATTTTTATTCATTTAGTGTTTGCTTGTCTTGGATTTTTGTCACCAGCAAATCGCGGAGCTTTAATGACGACTGTATTGGTAATTTATAAAAATTTTTACAGTTAATTACATTTCTAACAACATATGTAGTTATATGTTATATTGTCATACCTTGGTTTTGTGTTAATTTATACAAACAGTGAATTTGCATCGTTACGTTTTAGGTATTATTTGTTTGTCTTGGTGGTCCTGCAGGTTATGTTGCTGCCCGAATTTACAAATGTACGTTTATCTATTTTTTGTTCTAAATATTAAGAGTTTCGACCAAAGTTTTTACGTTGTGATATATTTATTCATTTAGTATTTGGTGGAGAACGATGGAAAACCAATGTATTGCTGACATCTTTCTTATTTCCTGGGTTTGTGTTTAAAATAAATGACGTTTTTTTTGTTGTCGTGATGGGATTTTAACAAATTCAATGTTCTGCTGCTAGTGCCGTTTGCTTGTAAATTTTTATTGACTTTGGTTTTCTGCCAATCACAGCGCGTTATTTACGTAGTCATTGCGTTACAAAAGATCTAAAATTAAATTTATTTTATAAGCATCATCTTTGGAATTTTCTTTCTTCTCAACCTGGTTTTGTGGGCAGAACAATCATCAGCTGCCATACCTTTTGGAACTTTACTTGCTTTACTTACATTGTGGTTTGGAATATCTGTACCTTTGGTGTTTGTTGGCGCATATTTTGGCTTTCGTAAGCAAGTAAGTTGGAAAGAAACCAAGTAATTAAAGTTTGTGACGTCGTTTTTTTTTTCAATACATTGACTTAAATTATTCACTTTTTCGTTCAGGTTATTGATTTACCAGTGCGTACAAATCAGATTCCTCGTCAAATTCCCGAACAGGTGCATTGCAATTAATCTTGGCATAAAAGCTTCGAAGCTTATTTTGTTTTTTTTTTAAAACTATGTGCTCAGTTTCTGCAACCCATTTGCTGATAGAAATAATCTTTTTTTGTCGTGTCTTTTTTAGAGTTTTTACAGTCGTGCAGTTCCCGGAATAATAATGGGAGGAGTTTTACCATTTGGCTGCATCTTTATTCAACTTTTCTTTGTCCTCAATAGTATATGGTTAGAAATACGTAGAACTGTGATGATTTGTTTTCAGTGCCCCTTTCAGCAAAAATTTTAATTTGCGATATTAAATTTAGTTGTGATTTCCAATGTATCGGTGAAAAAAGTTTTAAAGTTTGTCAAATCGTTCAATTTTTTGGCAAAAAGTTGGCCAAAATGCTTCTTTTGATAAACTTGTCCGTAGTTTAAAAGGCCTGGAACGACTTACATGTATGACGTCATGCAGGGGATTCCTCAATACAAGATATACATACCAACTACCTTGGATGAGGTCAGAGTTCCGCCTAACCCAGTCTTCATACCACGACTGACAAGGTCCATTGGAAAGCAACTTTAAACAAACACAACAAGAAGACGATTTGACCAAATTGAAAAATTTTTTCACCAATACGTTAGACATTAAACCTAGTCATACTTATAATAAATAAAAGTTTTTGGTGATGGAGGGGACTTTAAATTTTTCAGCTTAGTACTAATTTTCATATATAAGAACATCAAAATCTCATTTAAATTTTTCAGGTCTCATCAAATCTACTACATGTTCGGCTTTCTTTTTATTGTCTCGGTTATTTTGATTATCACAGTTTCTGAAACTTGTGTTTTACTTTGTTACTTCCATTTATGTTCCGAGGTATGATTGATTGATTTATTTTAACAGTGTTATTTTTACTTTATGATATGTTGAACGATATTGTATGTTATTTTCTGCAGGACTATCATTGGTGGTGGAGGTCATATCTCACCGGAGCATGTACTGCCATCTATCTTTTCATCTATTCATTTTATTATTTCCATAAGTTGACGATTGTTGGGACGACAAGCACTGTTTTGTATTATGGCTACACAAGTATCATGGTCATCCTATTTTTCCTGTATACAGGCAAGTTTCCGTACAGTACAAAGTTTATGTGCAAACTTAATAAAAGATATAAACATTTATTAAATTTAAAAGTCTTATGGTTCTTTAATTTGTCTTTCATGATGTGTATTGAGGGTATACCTTCGAGATCCTTCGTAAAAATCGTATTGGAATTTATATTGTTGGATTTTTAACCTGAGTCTGTTTATTTTACCCTAGTAAGTATTTTGTTTTACATGATTTATTTTTAGGGACAATCGGATTCTTCGCTTGCTTTTTCTTTGTCCGCAAGATTTATTCATCTGTCAAAGTCGATTAATAAAGATGGTTGGTTTGTATATTAAAATCGACGTATTGTCAGACATTGTTCCTCGTACTTCATGACTACTTGAACGAATTAGATGTTTTTGCTGCACAGTGTCTTATTTTAGTCCTTCCTTACTTGTATTCGTGTATATTGTAATGTATAAATAGTTTTCCTTTACCTGTGCACGTACTTCATGTTACCTTTAAATGATTATGGGCGTAAATGTCCGGTGCACGTAGTGTCGATTTACTGAAAATACACATACGAGTGAAAATACCGGGCTCTTCATAAAAAGGTGATTTGTTAATTTCTAGTTATAGTGCTATAACTTTACTTTTACTTTTGGTTGTTTTTTTCTCGTCATGTTAGCTTGTTTAACTAAATTTCACAATGAAAACGGATTATATTTTTTATTTTGGGGAGGGGTGGGGGAGATGGCTATCCAAAACCACATTCGGGTGCAGGTAAGGGGGAAAGATGGCGATCCATGCTCTACTCAGTCCACTCACACCCCCCACAATTTACTGACCTCAGCATCGTCAATAGTCGCATATGTAATATACTTCCAAGAATTAAACAATGATGACAGAACGAAAGAAATACACCTGCTCATAAACATATTAGCACACAGCTAAAAAATAAGTGAGATCGTGTCTCAATAGTAGGTTTGTCAAGAGAACAATGACATAAGTGTGTTGGCCTACATCAAAAATACCAAGAGATAGTCGCGTGCTTTTATTCTGGTTATTGTTGTTGTACCTAGTCCACTATTCAGTATGTAAGTCGTAAAGTAAATTTTTCATTTGATTCTACTTTTTCTCTGCTATGTTCAACAGATTTGTGGACTGGAAATATATTTCTAATATGCCACTAACCACTAAGTATTAAAGATATTAAAGTTTGAAATTTTGTCGGTAGATCTCTAAATAACTAAACAAATTTAATTTTAAATATTTTTTAAAGTTTATTTATTGTATTAATTTAGGCTGTGTTTAAGCTATATCCCGCTATATTAACGGTCTAGCATTTTGATTGGAAAAAACTTTTCTTTTTGGCAAAGAACGTTCCATTTCTTCTCAAAACAAACCAGACCAAACTTCGAAAGTCACAAATATATAATTTATGAATACCATCAATGTCACTGATGGACAATTGAGCAAATAAAAGATGATTATGATTCACGTATTTCACTATGGTTGCACCAATGGGTTGCACTTGCAAACAGAATTACCTGACAAAAATGCGCAGTCACTGGCTCCTGGGTGGCTAACTTTGGCAACATTGCAACTCTAATTTTTACAGTTTAAAAGTCACAGCCTGCGATGAGGTGGAAATGTTGCAAAAGTGAAAGTTCTTCGATGCAAATGACATCTTTTGTTTACATTGTTCTGCTTCAGTGTTCAAAGCAAATTGGTGATGTATATACTTCATAGTATTATATAAAAGTATTGCAACTTTATAAAACGGTAGAGTTTCGAAGATGCTTAGCTCTACTATTGCTGCTCAACAAACGTATACCTATCCTGTTGGCGATACTTACCAAGGAACATGGGACGACGAGGGAAGAAAACACGGTATTGGAAAATTTAATTCAACAAATGGCAACTTGTATGTTGGTCAATTTGAACACGGTTTATGCTCTGGAGTTGGCGTTTTAAAATTGCCTGACGGATCGCGTTATGAAGGCGAGTTTCTTCAAGGCAAATTTCATGGAGTTGGAGTTTTCACTCGCTCAGATAAAATGAAATATGAAGGAGAATTTTTTGAAGGCGACGTTCGTGGATTAGGTTTGATCACTTTTCCTGATGGTTCTCATGGAATTCCCAGAAATGAAGGAAAATTTGAAGGAAATAAATTTCTGGAGCAAGCTAAAGCGACAGACACTGTAACTAAAGCCCGGGAGGCTGCTTTTAAAGCAAATCAAACGTTATGATTCCATAATTAAATAATTATTCAAAATAAAAATTCAGTTTTCCTTCTTATTTTATATTTGTGTGAAACATTTGGCATGTGGTTTTTTAATATAGAACCTTTCTGTAGCCCACATTAAGGGACTGTAGCCTACATTAAGGGACTCTAGCTATTCATGTGAATGAATCCTATTTATTTATTTGAATCATAAGTGGTACTAGCTTTTTAATTCAGATTCTCTTCTGACATTTCAAACTATTGAAAATGAACTATTTTCAAAATCACTCGTGTCATTATTGTTGCAAACTTCCGAAACACTAGTTTTCAAGACAGCAGATAGCGTCAATGACTGTAACTATATTTATTGTGTATTTATTGATAGTCTGACAAAGTTAAATTAAACGAATTTAATTAAAATTCTCTAATAAACATTTCACTGGAATAACAATGCTTTTTCATGATAAAGCTATTGTTTTTCAACTTCTCCCAAGAAATGAGTAGAAAAATTAATTTTTTCGATGTCGACGTTGTGCAAAATAATGTTTATTACATTGAGCTCATGAGTATATTTTTTAACATTGTCTCTAAGCCAATTTTTGATCCTGTACTCTGTTTAACAACGTAAAAACAGGGTGCCCGCCTGAGTCACATTTAACTGCATCTCTTCGTTTGTGGCGTTCTCTTTCTCCAAATCAATTTTCTCTGGCTCTTCTTGACTAGTTTCTTTCATGTCCAGATTAGCTTCTCCATTATTTTTTCTTTTCAAACTTCAACCTCCCTCATCTTTCTCATAACAAGCTTCTCGCCAGCCAACTGCAGCGAACCAATAACGAGCAAGATCAGGATTCGATCTTTAGTTGCGCACTGCGCCCAATGCGGAGAATGATAGAGCGCCATAATAGTAAAAGTGTTCCATCGTTTAGTCTTTTACTTCAAATTAGCGGATGGAACCTCACGAGAATAAATCTAATGAAACCAGCTCATCATCGAACGGGGACATGAGGAGTTATTCTAACTGGATGGAAAAATTACCAAACGAAAAACAATTATGCCCCCTAAATAAAATTACTGTACCCGGCTCTCACGACTCTGGTGCATTTTGGCTTGACGAGGACATGGGACTCGCACCGGACCGACCTAAATTTGTTGCAAATATTAGTCAAAAACTTGGATTACTTGATAGCACTATTAAATCTTATGTGAAGAAATGGGCCATGACTCAAAGTTTGAATATAGCCGAACAACTTTCAGCTGGTGTACGGTATTTCGACTTCAGAATTGCATATAGAAAGGAGAGTGATGAATTCCGGGTTGTTCATAGCCTTTATGGCAGTGAAGTTGAAGGAATTCTTGAGGAAATCAAAGTATTTTTACGTGAAAATTCTAAGGAAGTAGTACTTTTAGATTTTAATCATCTGTATGATATGGAAGTTGAAGAGCACCTGCGATTGGGCAGTTTAATTAACCAATGCTTTGGACAAATGTTGCATTCCCCCAGAAAAGATTTGTCTATTGCAAGTCTTCAAGAGCTTTGGTTGGCTGGGGAACAGGTTATTGTGTTTTATCACAATAAAGATGTCATTGAAATGTTTCCATCATTTTTTGGAAATGCTTCAATATCTTCAGACTGGCCTAATACTGACGACTTGAACAAATTAACTCATCATGTGTCTTCACAAGGACTTGCAAGCAAAGCTGCTAATCTATTTCATGTTACACAGGCTATTGCTACACCACAACCATCAACAATTTTTAGAAATCTATGGGGTTCGTTAAAGAGCTCCCTTTCATGTAAAACAAATGAAAATGTTAATTCATTGCTCGAGTCAAATCATAACAATTATTCATTTAATGTCATATTAGTTGATCATGTTGCTTTTGATGACCTTATGTCTAATATTATTAGTTATAACTACATATATTGATTTTGTTTTAAAATATTTTATGTAATTTACATTCATCAGTCGTTGATAGTCCAGCCTGCTTATTTAATTCTGCTATGTAAATTTCACAACATTACCATCTATCTGCAGTAAACACATTGAATTTGTAGAGCTAATTATGCAAGCTAACTTTGCAGCTGACTTTCAAATGTTGAGGATTTATTTAGTACACTTGTGGTATGACCAGGAAAGATTGCACATATTACAATTTCCTTGAGGTTTATTGTGCAATCAAGTTTCAAGATTCAGCACCTACCCACCATTGCACAACAGGGATAAATTCTAAATTTCATTCAACAAACTGTCATTTTCAACAAATTATCCTAATCAAGGAAGATTTGCACAAATCCCAGACTACCCCTCTGAATTCACACCTTTACTAAACACATCTTGTGTTGCAAATGCGTTAGTATGTGTGTATAATTTGAGAAAGGCAGGGCTGTAGAAGTGGGGGGGCGCTTGGGAGAGGACCCCCCTTCTACGTTTGATATGGGTAATTTTAAAAGGGCACTATTGACAAAAACGTCAAGAGAGCCCCCCATCTGATAAATTTAGTTCTACAGCACTGGAGAAAGGTATATATAAATCTATTGACTACTTGGCTCAGAGCATGAAAATTTCATTTTTTGTTCAGATGAGAAAATTGGGAAAGATTTTTTTAAGATCTATAAACGTTGATTTAATTTTGGATTTATAAATCATAGCCCAGTGTATGGAGTAAGTCAATCCGGAAGTGATGTGTTGGAATATGTGACATCACCATTCTTCATAACATTGACCGATATTGATTAGACAGTGATAGAGGTGGTGAAATTTTCGAAAAAATGACAGAAAGTATAAGAAAAATGTACGATTATTTGGTCATTGGTGGTGGATCTGGTGGCTTGGCAAGCGCGCGAAAAGCAGCATCGTACGGCATCAAAGCAGCTGTCATTGAACATGGTAGACTAGGCGGTACTTGTGTGAGTTGTTAGATAAATTACATATCATGTGTTGTCTGTGGATTTTTGTAAGAAATAATATACTAGAGAGTTTTTTTGCATGTGAAATCATCGTATTTTTTAGATATTTCAATTTGAAGTCGATGTTAATTTGTTGATATCAATATTAATAAATAGTTTCATGTTACATAACTCAATTGTCAAGTTGGAAGCATTAAGCTGAATCGTGTAAATAATTAGCATGGAGCTTCATAAACTGATACAGTGCTTGTGAAACAATTTTCTATAGTGCTTGTTGAAAAAATATTTCTCTTGTACTTTTTTCTAGGTCAATGTTGGCTGTGTGCCTAAAAAGGTGGTTCATTTGAGTAATAAATGAAAACTTTTTATACTGCATGCTATTAAAAATAAACGATGGTTTTTACTGTGTAAAAAGAAGAAAATTTTTTGTTCTAGGTCATGTGGATTGCTGCATCTATAGCAGAAAAAATGACATATGGATATGTGAAAGATTATGGTTTTAATGTCACTCCAGATGACGCGAAAATTAATTGGGGGTATATATTAATTTTATTCCTGTGTGTATATCATTATGTACAACATTGTCTTTAATCAAAGTTGATGAAATGATGAAATGTAGTTTGACATTCATATTATGTTAAATATTAGGCTTATTTAGTAGCAAGATCATTAAAGATTTTGCTGTGAATTCACTGTTTAAAATATATACCTAGTGATAATCTAACAAACTACATTTTAGTTGAAAAGTTGAAAAAAAATAAGAATATAAATGTGAACTTTTTACATGTTTCTTAGTACAATAATTTATATGCCAATATTTTGACAGGATGATTAAAAAAAAACGAGACGAATATGTCAAAAAACTCAATGGAATTTATGCAAAACTCTTGGATAAAGTAAACTATACACATTGTTTACTTATTTATCAGTAAATATCCCCTCACATGATTATTTTGCTTTTAATACTTAATAATTTTTTAGGCTGACGTTGATCTTATACATGGCGATGCTTCCTTTACAGCCGATGGGAATGTAATTGTTGATAATAAAGATGTCTTTAAAGCCAAAAATTATCTTATTGCTACTGGGGGGTATCCTACCATCCCAAAGTTTCCTGGTACTGATTTGTAGTTTGTAAACAGTTTTAAAAATATTGTAAACTTTTGCATTCTTTCATTTTCTCTTGGCTGTTAGGTCATGAACATTGTATTTCTAGTGATGGATTTTTTGAATTAGAAGAACTTCCAAGGTACATACCATTAAAGGGTAGAAATATTATGCTTACTATTTACATCTATTGATAGTTAGGAACCTCTGAAGGTTAATGCTAATTAAGTTTTATGATTGGTCAAATATATGGTCAGTTTGTATTAAATACAAAAAGTTGAATGATATGCTGCATATCTACCAACTTTGAGAAACCAAAAAAAAACTTAAATTGAGATTTTTAATGAACTTTTTTGTAACGCTAAAAATGGTATAGTTTGTAGGTCTGAACGTAATTGTCAAGTTGAATTTTTCAAAACATCTGTTGTTTATCCTAGTTCTTAAGGATGGCAAGTAATTTTAAAAATTAGTGGCATTATGCAACTGACCTTTAAATTATTGATAAACATTCAAAAAACATTTGATTTTATTCCTTAGGACATTTACATTATTTAATGAATTAAATAATACATACACTGATACACAAACTTTTACTATGCTAGCATTTTTTAAATATTTATGATTTAATGTCATTTTATTTAAATGATTAATTGATAATCAATTTGACAGAAAAACTGTGGTTGTTGGTGCAGGTTATATTGCTGTTGAGCTTGCTGGTGTACTTAAAGAGCTTGGTTCTAATGTCACTTTATTGATACGAAAGAATAAGGTTGTAATGCTGCTTTTCATATCTATGGCATGTCAAAATAAACTCTAGATAAAAACTCAGGATCTTATATGGGATTTTCAGCAGGGACTTAAGGCCAAGATTAAAATATTTTTTTCATTTTAATTAATTTTACAACCCTTTCTCCTAACATTACATAAAATAAATGTGAATTGTGCAGGTATCTATTTCTTTATTTAGGTTTTACGTAATTTTGATTCTACCATCAGCAGCCTGGCAACAGAAAATTTAATTCAGGCTGGTGTAAACCTCATGACAAACACCTCAGTAAGTGATATGAAGATGTTTGAGAGCGATGAAAGATAGGATTCATCCTCATTAAAACACTTTCACAACATTATTCTTATAATATTTATTAACTCCTACTGATTACATCAAACAAGTGACGATCTTAATTTTGAATAATGCTGAATGCAAAATTCTTTTGTACTTTAAACATTATTTTTCTGAATATTGATTTGCCCACAGAATCCTTTTTGCCATCTGAACAATTTCCTTTTCTACAGCATTTACAAACTACAAGTATTAATGTATGTGACTATGAACTCCAACTTACAGTTTTCTCGTGCTTTTTTCTCTACATACCTAAATTTAGCTTTGTTTGTGCAATTTCAGATTTCATCTGTTACCAAAAACAAGTCAAATGGATTACTTTCAGTAAATTTTGATGTAAATGGTGATAAAAGAGAAAGTATCAATGATGTTGATAAAGTGTTATTGGCAATAGGACGATCACCTAGCACTGAAAGTTTAAATCTACCAGCTGTAGTAAGTATTGTAGATATGTGTCGACTGGTCCTCCTTTTTTTTTATAAACATCATTTTCTTCAATATCTTCACCAACAATATATTTGTTTTTCAGTTTTCAGTTTGTAATTTGTTCTTTTTGTACATCTAGGGAGTAAAAACTGATGAACACGGCCACATTCAAGTGGATGAGGTAATTAACAAAAATCCAGACAAACTTTTTCGTTTGGCTAGAGTTAGTATACACTGTTTATTACATATCAAAAAGAGATAGTAATCATGAATTGGTGAAGTTTAAAATTTACTCTGATGTGAGAATAATCTACTGATAATGTTGAAATCAACGAGTGTGAGTACCTTTTTGCAGTTCCAAAATACGTCCAGAGAAAATATTTATGCACTTGGTGATGTGTGCGGAAAAGCTTTACTTACTCCTGGTAAGTAATATATGTACGTCATTTGTGAATACATGCGTAGGCTGTAAAAATACCTTGATGTTCATGAATTTATTCTCAAAAAAGAATGTAAGTTGTTTCAATGACTGTTATTGTCAAAAGAAATCTTTTTACGTAACAAGTCTTTTTACATGCAATGGTAAAAATTAAGGAAGAACTTGATAAAATAATTGTTTTAAAAATTTATTCAGCTTGTCTCTTAAAGTGCATGTAGTCTAGTCCCATTTGCTCACCAGTGTGAACTAAGGATTTTTCTGCTTTCTTTATTATTTTTTCTATCTCTCCTTGATTTTTGTCCATTCGCAGTTTCAAAGATTCCTTCATTCGTCGAGCTAATTGGGAGTAGGTCTTCGCCGAGTTTAATTTTTTCCTTACTTTGTTTAATTTCCACCGTACTTCGCTTTGGCGGTCTTTAAATTCTGGTATCTTTTCAAGAGAATCGCCAGATCCCATTCCTGATATTTCGGCCTGTTGAAGTTCCATCACAATATCTAAGTTGGATCCTTTACCATCGCTATCTTCCGATTCTGTCAATTACAACGGAAATAATCATGAAACATGCTCGAAATTGTTGTGCCTGTGATTTTATTAAAACTTCTTGATTACAGTCGACTTACTTGAAGCCTCCATTAAAACAAGCATCCCTAGGACAAACAGCAAGAGATCCATTTGTGTTGAAACTTGAATGTTGCTTTTGTATGTTGAATGCGCTTTCGTTCTTGTGTGAACATTGCTTGGTGATGAGATAATCAAGGGCAAGACAAACTTTTTTCTACATTAAACACATTATAATTTGATGTTTTGTGAAAGCAGGTTTATTTCTTGAACTTTCCAGTTCAGTGAAGCGTATGTACATCAAAAATTATGTCATACCGTGTTAAACAATAGTTTAATTTAGGTATTTATTTATTTGTTAAAGTTATTAATTACGTTAATCAAAAATTTTCGAATTTCTTGTTATGTGTTAGAAATATATGAGCTTTTTAATACCACTACAATATATTTTATTAACGAAATGGATGTTTCTAAATTTATGAAAGATTGTTATATGCAGTGCGGTGTTTGAAATTGAATGAAGATATGATCTTCGCACTTACCTAGACAATTTAAGCAATTGTCTCATTAATCTGAAAAATTCGTTGAGTCACCTGAATTTTTCAGGTTAATGAGACAATGGCTTAAATTGTCCAGCAAAGTGCGAAGATCATATCTTCATTCAATCTGTTTCTAAATTTATTAAGCAATCATTGCATGTATTGTATTATTTATAGTTTATATGATATTTGCAATTTGTGATGATAAATACTGATGTTATAAGAAAATACTTGAGAACATATATCATTAAAGTATGAGCTTTTAAGTGCATTATTCCCTTGTTGATGTGCGTAGAAAGAGGAGAAAAAATGGAGCCATATACATTTTATGGATTTTCTTGTTTTTAGTTGCAATTGCTGCTGGTCGTCGATTATCAAATCGCTTGTTCAATGGTGAAGTAAACTCAAAGTTGGATTATGAAAACATTCCAACAGTTGTATTCTCTCATCCTCCAATTGGAACAGTTGGTATGACACAAGGTACGTTATTTGCAAAACATTTTGATTTTATGACGTCATTGACACACTTTTTTACTTATTATCTTGGATGAGTTTGCTCGCGCGAGGTTTTTGCATGGAAAATGTTTTCTGAAAAACGACGTTTGTGTTCATAAACTAGCTCAAATCAAAACTTTGAACGGTAAAATTTACCTTATTTTCCAATAATACACACGAACAACTTTTACTTCGATATTGCGAAAACAGTAAAAATTTATACGTCAACATTTTAATTTACTGTTGAAATTATTCGATCTACCTCATGATTAATCTGAATTTTTATCACATTACTTTAAGCTAAATGTATTTATTAATGATTGCAAAAATGGAGAAAAAGACTTTTTAAAACGTGACGGATGATGATCTGTCGTTTTGCTGTGCTTTAGTTCTTGCTTTACGACATGTAACATATTTATAAAGCGGATGGTTTGAACCTGGGAGTATCGTTACATGTTTATGGATGTAGATCGTCCAGGTTATTAAAGTCCTTAGAAGGACTGTTGATGTTGACTGACGTTTTGACAACTTTAGCCGTATTCCCTTGACTCTGAATATGACTACCGCTAAGGTTGTTGAAACGTCAGTCACCAGCAACACCAGTAGGACTCTACTATTCTGGACAATCTACATCTACAAAAATGTAAAATATTTTTGTGACACTTTTTTGTAGAAGAAGCAATCAGTAAACTTGGTGCTGATAAAATCAAAGTGTACATGAACTCTTTTGTTGGATTATATCACGCTATGACTGCACACAAAACTAAGACAACCGTCAAGTTGATATGTTATGGCGAGGAAGAAAAGGTTTGGGGTTAAATTAAATGTTTTCTCTAAATTTACTTTCGAATTAAATGTTGTTAAGTTAACAAAGTTTACACAATCAAATCTTCATCCAATATACGTACTCTCTGAAAAAGAAACATTGTTTAAATTTTTAGGTGGTTGGTTTGCACATACTTGGCAGTGGTGCTGAAGAAATGCTTCAAGGTTTCTCTGTTGCTATAAAAATGGGAGCGACTAAGAATGATTTTGACAACACTGTTGCTATACATCCAACCTCAGCCGAAGAAGTTGTCACTCTTACCAAAGAGCATGTTGTTAAACTAGAATAATCATAAAATCTGCCATTTAGGACCTGTTCATATGAGACGGGCCAGCCCGCTTAAGCCGGGCTAGGTAGCTTTGCCGATATCTTGCCTCATATATTATTTTACAATGTTTTTGAAATTGCTTTCATATGAATATCGGGCCAGCCCGGCTTGGCGAGATTGCTTGAATTAAGCGGGATTTCGCCATATGAATGCGAATACAAATTGGCCCGGCAAACTAGCTAGCCTGGCTTAGGCGGGCTAGCCGGCTCATATGAACTGGCCCTAATATAACATTCTACAGACAAAATTCATCTATACACACCATTTTGGCATTGTTGAGCAACAGGAAAATGTTTTACCATTACATTTTCGTCGATAAAATTAGCTCGTTTCAAGTAAATAAAATATTTAAATCCTGGTATTTTTCGTAATATTGTGTTGTATATGCCACTACGTATATACTTTCGACTCTAGTCTCAACACACAAACCTATCTTTACACACCACTGAATCACTGACAATATTTTCATCGTAGGCAGCGGAAGATGGTTTAAATTAGGAGCTGTCTGAATCCTGGGGTAGTGGGGCTCGAATGCACGAAGAGCATCAACGATGGGAGAACCGTTAAAGTGCTTCCTATCAAAAGATTTGAAATGTAACGTCTTAATACTTGAAGTATAAATAAAAGTATTGAAGAATGCCAACTGTATAATATGGCAAACTGCATAATATGGCAAACTGTATAATATGGCAATGCCCTAGTAGGCACCCAAAACCTCATAAACACCAATTTTTTTGAGATTTGACTTTACAATACAGTTACACTAAAAGGCCTAAACAATAACGTTAACAGCTACACTAAAAGGCCGAAATATTTTTTCGTAGAGCATTCTCAATTAATTATATACGATTTTCATTAACCACATCTTGGGCAGCGCATCGTTTTTAAAACTTGAGAACCCAAAAATGAAATTTATGTCCGTGCTCTCACACTGACCTAGTTACAAATATTATTTAGGATTGAAATCCTCATTTTAACATTTCCACGAACAAAAAGGCTAAAAAATCTGAATTCCGAGAAAACGGGGGCCTCCCATGTTGCGTCTGTGTTCAATTTTTGGCACAGAAGTAGAGGGAGTTATAGAATTAAATTCAAAATTAAATTTAAAAAATGTTATGGTTATTACAACATGTTTTTTTTAAAAAATTATGAGTTATAATGAATATAGTTACAGATTGAACACTCTCGTTTGAAACCAGCCCAACCTGTCACGTGATTGTAGCTTGTTACTTCCAAAATGGCGATAAATAGGAAAGATAATAACAGTTGTTCTGTTCGAGGGATCTAACTTTTGAACGTTCAATTTGAGAAAATTATGCAAAGTTTATCGTATGTGGGATGAGCTGTTTCCCCTGCTCTTTGGGTGCAACATTTTCCTTTAGGCTTATGTAATTTCTATTCCTATGTAATCCAGTACGGAACCGTCGAACAGCAAGTTGTCGAATTTTGAATGGCAGTGGTAAACATATTTCGTATTTCCTTGTCGTTTTAAATATTCGGAAGTATATATAAGACTTAAAACTGTACTAAAGTGAGAAATATCACGTAATCATAATTTGTTATTTCTTTAACGTAGTTTGTTTCAAACGACTTCGTTATAAAGACGGAAGTTTCGAGTTTATCCTATTATACTGACATAGATTTTTAATTTGTAGAACAGAATGCGAGAAGATCCTGAGGATGTTTTTACGAAACAAGAAGAAATCGGGAAAGGCTCATTTGGTAAAGTGTACAAAGGGTAAGATAACCATTTTAGCCTAATTACTAAACATGTTCCAGGTGATTAAGTCTATGTACAGCGTCTTGTTTCAAGGAGTGATATACTTATCTAAATAACACCTTTTGTTATTGAAATGATTTTACTTTGACTAAAGTAAGCAATTATCCATTGCGTTTTAGCAAATTCTTGTATTGAGATGTTATTGTTTCTTCTTCTAACAAGAGAACAATGTTGAAATTTTAAGCTATAATTATTCCATTATTTTGCTTCCTTGTTTGATGTCTTTGTAATTTTCCCACAAAGTTATTTTCTAGTTCCTTACTCTTCATCATAATGGTTGATTTAAAAAAAATTGGAACCCTGTTTTACCACTTGAAAGAGTTATTTTATTTCCTCATTGTTTTAGCATGTTTTGTCATATGTTTTATTTCACCTATAAGATATTGGGTTACAGTTGTTTACATAATATTTAGTTGGTAAAAAATTATAATATTTTTTAGAATCAACAAGAAAACAACAGATGTTGTCGCAATCAAAATCATTGACTTAGAAGAGGCAGAAGATGAAATTGAAGATATACAACAAGAAATTACAATTTTGTCTCAATGTGATTCACCATATGTCACCAAATATCACGGATCTTTTTTGAAGGTATACTTAAAGTATATTATTGGCTACACTTCACAATTTGAGAAACAGCTTTACAAGGGAGTACCTAATGCATTTTAGTGGGCACTGTTAAATCTGTCTAGCCCCTTTTTTAAAAGTGAAATTGTTTGGTATAATACCGAAATTGGGAGATTTTTAAATAATCATCATAAATTTTGTAATTTGATTATAGTCATTATACTTGGCATTTTGTTGATCAAAACAAATTTGAGAAAATGAATCACAATTTTTTTTGCCGTCACTATTGCAAATGTGCAAGATTTGCAAATTGAACTTACTTTGATAGTTCATCCTATTCCCATGAGAGACAATGAACTTTGACAACTGTCAATGCATGAAACCAATTTGAGATTCATCAAAATGTTGGTTACTTTAATGACATCCTTTATAATATTTAGACCTACTGTCATTAATTTTTCTTTTTTGTTATCATATATACTTGCATTATAAGAGAAGATCAGTATTTCTCTGAATGTATTTGTCAAAAACTATTTTATGCAACATTTGTGGGAAACTCTCCCAATATCTGCATTTTTCTGCACAATGCCTGAAGTTTGAAAACAACTGATGGTTTTTATACTTAAAACAGATACCATGTAATATTAGAATATTCTCCAATCAGGTTATACGTAGTGCATATTTTGTATTTTATACTAAGCACTGTTAATGATAATGTGTGCAGTTTTATCAGTTGTATGTATTGAAAAATTGTTGTTTGAGATATTAATCATTTCCTCAAAATTTCATATGTGATTTATTAAAGTGCCACTAAAAGTAAAATGTTGTTGTTGTGTGGGGATGGTTTGTCAAAAGTATTTGGTTGCAAATATTTTTGCAAAGCTGATTTAGTAAGCAAGTTTAATAAAACATTAAAAAAAGCAAAGTTTGTGTTTGATATCTGAATGACATGTAGGGTTCTAACCTATGGATAATAATGGAATATCTTGGAGGTGGTTCAGCTCTAGACTTGGTAAGAAATTATTTTGTGTTGTTTGAATAATTTATTATACGTATTGCCTCATAAGAAACAAAATGTTTGATTTTTGTCTGGTACATAAAGTGGTAAAACATTTTTTAAAGATCTTGTTTTTTCATAATTAGATCTTTCATCAAAGTCCATCATGCCACTTATCCAAACAAAAAAGTTCAATCCTTTGTTATAGGTTTTTCAATTCTTCCCAGTGTCATAGCCAGGCCGCATATTTGGTCATGTTATGTAAATTTCAGATCATTAACATAATTTATTTCTTCGGAAATGTATTGTTTTACTGTGTGTTTACACAGAAATATTAACGTACCATGACCAAGTTGAGGTTGGTTATGGTACTGATTCTTTCAACTATATAAATATGGCATTTTTCAATTCAAAACATCACTTTTTAGTGAAGGAGAATCTGCTTTAAGTTAAAGAATAGTATCAACTAGTAGAGGGCAAGTGCGCCGGCTATAGATACGTAAATAAGGGCAAGAGGATTATTTATGAGTATGAGTTCAGAAAATGGTGAAATCGTTCATATTATGGTGGTGTTTTATGTTTTAGTTAAAAGCTGGATCGTTTGACGAATTGGCAATCGCAACAATATTGCGAGAAATATTAAAAGGGCTAGAGTATCTTCATATGGAGAAAAAAATTCATAGAGATATCAAAGGTAAACTGATTTGTCATTATTGTTGCATTTTATTTACATTTATGGCGTCATATCTGCAAATTAGTGAAAAACTGGCATTAGACAGCTTGTTAATGTTTCAATAATTTGTTGCCTGTTGGAAGAGTTGGATTTACGTATGTTTCTCATCAATACTATTGCTACAATTATTTTCGTTTTTGGCATGAAGCAAATGGACGAAAAAAAATCAATGTTCATCATATTTCAGCTGCCAATATTTTACTCTCTGATCATGGTGATGTAAAACTTGCTGATTTTGGAGTTGCTGGTCAGCTTACAAACACAATGGTTAAACGGAATACTTTTGTCGGCACACCGTTCTGGATGGCACCAGAAGTTATAAAACAATCAGCATATGATGCTAAGGTATGTAGAGCTTTGAATTGGATTTGCTGTATTCACTTACCACGCAACTACAACTCGATTTACCTAGTGGCGTAGCCAGCTCGCAAAATTAGTAATGTTATGTACATTTTTCATCATTATCTTTATTCATTTCTTTAGAAATTTATTGATTTTACTGTAAGGGAACACCAAAAATTTTCATAGCATAAATAAATGTACCGGCTGACTACGTCACTGGTTTACTTTCTCTTTACTTGAGTAAATTTATTTGTTTATTTTTAGGCAGATGTTTGGTCCCTGGGTATTACAGCTATTGAGTTAGCTAAAGGCGAACCACCTAATGCTGACTTGCATCCCATGAGGGTTCTCTTTTTGATCCCAAAAAATAACCCTCCTCAACTAGACTCGCAATATTCGAAGAACTTTCGTGAGTTTGTTGGAACGTGCCTTCATCATGATCCATCTTATGTACGATAATTTCATTTTAATTACTACAATGCAAGGGCCAGTTTAGTGTAAAACCAGCGATGAATAATGATTGTTTAAACAAGTCCTAGTAACTTTAACTGGAACTGTTGATTTTGAAAATTTTCCTTTAGAGACCATCTGCAAGGGATTTGTTAAAACATAAATTTATACGTATGGCCAAAAAGACTTCATACTTAATTGAGTATATTGACCGCTACAAGAAATACAGAGAAGTACATCGTGATGATGATGAAAATGGCGATAGTTCAGGAGACGAAATGTACGTTGCTTTTGTAGTCTCTGTCGGTTTAATTGCTTCGAAATTATTTTCTTTAAGTTACTAACAACGTAAAATGGACTTTCTTGATGATTATTCTAGCGATGAAAGTTCTCACAGAAATCCCATTGATACATGGAAATTCGTCACCGAAAGAGGCACGCCAAATGGCATCCTCTCAGGTGGGTTTGATAAAAATAAATGCTAAAATTTAGGTTATTATAAAGAACGTATAGGCAATTAGCCCGCCAACTTTATGCTTCAAAATCGTTAGAGGTTTGTGCTGCTGTTAAAATGCGTTAGTAGCCTATTTATTATTATTTTTGAGAACCAATTCATTACGTCCGTTTTATTTTTTATTAAAGATTCTCCTACGATACCAACATCAAAAAAATTACCTACTATACTGATTCCCGCCCTGGAAGAGGTAAAAGACGTGTTAATTTTTTGCTTTTATCTCGAATATCGCCATATATCTTTACAATTGCAAGTAATATTTTTTATTCTTTAAGGTTTTAAAGTCATTCCCGTTTATTTTATAAGTCGCCCATGTACTTTGTTATTTTTTAAGTGTTTCCATCTTTTCAGTTGAGGTTGAAATATGGTGCTGATGTTATTGACAATGTTCAAGACATTTTACTCGATGCAGATAAAAATGCTCCGGAAATAATTGATAAACTCCTCGTCCAACTAATACATAAAATCAAAAGGTAAAGTTAGCATGTAGTATTACTGTAGCCGTTATTTTTATCGCACAATAAATTGTTCATCATCAAGACTTTTACTTTATTTTTCTAGTGTGTCAACCTAGCGACTGGTTGAATTTAAGATGTCGTGTTGTATATAAGTTTCATCTTTCTTTCTCAAGATCAATTGAATTCATTTGGCAAGCAAACTATTGTATTAGAAACTGTAGTAACAGGCTAACAGCCATCTTGTATTCTTCGATTGTACAGTGAAAATGCGAAATGCATACGTTTACGCATTGTCTTGATGTGCATGTTCGTATAGCTTGGCATTAGTTAAAATTAGGTTATTTATCTACCAATTTATGCAAGTTTAAATTATCGCAACATAAACAAGATGGTGAATATCGGTTTCACTTGAATATATTGCTGATGAAAATCGTAATGTTTTGGTTTGTTTTGAGATACTGGATTTTGAGCATCGTAGACTAAAAAGTGAAAGCGTTGTCGTGCTTCATTTAGTCATATTGGATTTTCACTTGACGCGTTTGTTCTGCGCAAAGAGAGATGCCATTGTTAGTATTTGTTTTACTGACCAAGCTTTCGAAACGCAGCTTTTGAACTCGCTTATTCGAGACCTAAAAACATTTCTTTTTTTACTAAGTGTACTAAAACAATCATGCAAAATATCTTTTTCACGCATGTAATCGAGTAGATATCATATGTTTTATTAACTTATTGTAATAGACCTTGTTGCATAGGTTGCATATTGTAAATTTGCTAATGAGTAAGTAGTTCGCATTTTTATTTTTCATTTCGTTGAAATCTTTCTGCATTTTTCAATTAACTTGTTCTTCACGTTGGAAAACTTCACTAGCTTGCGGTAACTGAAATTTAAAACATGATACATTTTTTGTGAAAAATTACCTTTGATATGATTGGGTTTTGTGTGAGAACGCTCGCACGGTTATGCTTAGGGAATTTGACACAAGTTTTCCAACCTGCTTGGCTACGTGTCAAGAACAATGAAAATTTGGATTTCTGATGAAAAGAAGTAAATAAGACCATTTCCCCAAAAATCTATTGCTAACACAAAAGATTGGCTAGCAGTTGCACTTCACTCCTATTTTACTTAACACTGCTGGTGAAGCTAAAAACCATGTTTCTGTAACAAAAATAACACAAAGTACCGTACCGCAACAAACAACATTTATATTGGTGCTGGAGTAACTATATATGCATATGTGGATTTCGTCAAGTCTTTTATTGTTAAAAAAAATGGTGGAGGCAAACATCGCGTTACGATAATGTATTATGAATTGACTCTCGGGCATTTTTGGTGATGTTTCGTGCTATTTTAAAATTATTTAAGCGAGCTAAGGCGTTATTTTGCGTTGCATGTATGATACTGACAAGTAAGCATTAAATTTGTAAAGTTATTTGTAGTTATTTTATTTGTATCTGCACTGTACATACATATACTGACGTACCTCAGTAATGATATTAAATACTTCAATCTGCTGCATAAATTTTTGATGTAGGCACAAAATTTTTATTTCAACATGAAGGGATCTAAATCAAAGATTTACCTTTACTAATATACTAATCATTAAAATATGTGAATATCTTAGTGAAGGTTAAACCCAGGTCACACTTAGCTGTGTAAACTTTCAGAAAAATTTTGTAGGAGTACTGTAGTAAAGTACTTTTTAGATAGATAAAAGTACATACAATTTATATTGACAAAATATCGTTATAAGACTAAATTTTCAGGTTTGAGTATAAGGCTTATGTTTTATTTACTTTTTCATATTTATCTTATTTTCAAGTTTGGATGCTTATTGAAGGACTCAAGAAAGTATCTGGACAAGCAAGGTATTCCTCAGAGATAACAATTGCTAGTTAAATAAATTAGTAAAAGTTAAAATAAAATGAAAGTACAGAGATGGTCATGTTCTTTTGATCATTTGTTTCAGTTCTATTGTTCGTTTCAAACATTTGAAGCAACTGAAACAAGAGTTGGAAGAAAAATATATTGAGGTAAATTTTTATAGCTAGCTGTACCCATTTGAACTTATTTGCTTTTAATGAAAAGTTTGACATTTCTTTAAATTGTAATAATTTTACTCAAATGTAACCTTGTTAAAAAATTTCATTCCAACATAGTTATCTACACATTAAATATGTTTATGTTAATGGAGGTGTTTCTTTGAATCAAATCTTGCAGGATTTTACTTAGTTTGTCCAACTTTACAGATCCTCCATCCTATAAAGTTGAGGCTATCACAATTGGAAAAGACGTAAATATAAAATTATTAAGTCTTTAACCCACGTGCAAAGCCAGCCTGGTGTGCAAATTAGCTTTGCGTTTATTCCCTGAACATATGATGAATAAGTGGAATTTTCTACATGATAAACTTTGTGAAATAATGTTGAAATTGTTTATTAATTGCATGTTTTCCTAGTAAGAAGTTTCCTCCAACTAAGGACTTACCTGAAGGTTATCGCAAAAGGATTTTAGTAAGATAATCACATGTTTTTCAGTAATGTAGTATTTTTGTCTTTTATTCATGATTTATTTTTGATGAGTTTCAAAGTTTAACCATTTTATATTTTGGATAAAATTTATTAGGTGACTGGGGGTGCAGGTTTTGTTGGTTCACATTTAACTGATGCTTTAATGATGGCTGGTCATGAAGTAAGTATTAAATGAAGGAAAATAGAAGGTAATAAAAATGTAAATACCATAAATGATTCGATATATGCTCCCTTGAAGTGTGAATTTTAATTAGATGCTTCTCTCTCTAACAGGAATCACTCCTACACATGTTTCCATTCTGATAATAATGTTATTATAGTAGATTTTCTATTGGGCTGTGTATGTTTAGTCTTAGTTTTGTGTTCATTTGTTTACACTAAAAATGGTATACACGCCTCTGCCTGTTAAATACCTTGTATCTATTAAATGCCTCTCTTAGAACTGCTAGAATTTATTATTAGTTCCCAGGCATCTATTAGATCATTTACAGTAGATATATGAACTTTGATTGCACATTTAACAGCAAATAATCTTGGACTAAATGTCCAGTGTGACTGGGATTAGTATGATTTTTCCTATTGACTTTTTCCCTTGAAAAATAGTAAAGCTCATAGAAAAGCTATTCTTGAAGCTTATGTTTTTGAGATGATTAAGGATTGAATTCATTTTGCTATTCTGACTGTGCCTACGTCCTCTCTAACCCTTCTGTTCTCAGTGGTTCATTTATGCTCATGCTTGACATATCTTTCTCAACTTGCCTCATGTTGTCTGATCTCTGTTTTAGGTTACTGTCATTGACAATTATTTCACTGGTAGAAAAAGAAATATTGAACATTGGTAAAAAAATTATATTTTGTTCAACATATGAATTTTGAAGTAAATGGTTTGAACCCAGGAGTATCGTTATATGTTTGTTGATGTAGATCATCCATGTTAGTAGAGTCCTGGGAAGGACTATTGTTGATGTAGACTGGCATTTCGAGAACCTTAGCTGTAGTCATCTTCAGATTGAAGGGAAGCTTGAGGGTTGACTCTGAAGATGACTCCCTAAGGTTGTCGAAATGTCAGTCAACATCAACATCAATAGCAACACTCTTTCTCAGGACTCTATTAACCTGGATGATCTATATCCACAAACATAAATATGAATTTTGATTATCAGTTTGCATTGTTTTTAATTTTTCTTGTCTGACATATCAATCTATATCTAGCAGTCAGTATGACATGCATTTATAGCTAAATATTTATGTCTCCTAGCTGGGGTCTCAGAAAATGAATGTTGTCCTCTTTTGTTTTAATTTTTATTGAGATATGTTAACGGAGACAGATTAATTTTATTTCAGTCACAATGGCACAACTATAATGAAACAAATTTTATCGTCAGGCTTTTGTTTTTTTTTGGTTTTTTTACAATGTAATGAAAGTTATTTTCCCACTTTTCAGGATAGGTCATCCTAATTTTGAAATGATTAATCATGATGTTGTGGAACCTATATTTTTGGAAGGTTAGCAACGATTTACATTATAAGTTTGGATGATTTAAGGAAGACGATACAAAGAGTTATGTTGCTTAAACTTTGGCCGTTTATACAAAGTTCAAAAGTATTTTCTATTTTGGCTGAAAAGTAAATTCTTGAAACCTGTAAATCGCGGTGTGAACCGTATTCTTTACGACAATAACCAGGCTAATGTTTTTGCCTTGATTGTAAAAATCAAAGCTCATAAAAGTTGAGCGTTTATGCAATGTTTAGGAACATTTTCTTATAAGTAAAACATTTTGAAAGACCGAAATTTTTATATGATTTTTCCTTCTAGTTGATCAAATTTATCATCTGGCTTCACCTGCTTCACCTCCACATTACATGTACAATCCTATTAAGGTACGTTTTTTAAACACATATACTTGGTAGTATTACTTGGTTTCTATCTTTGCTGCACATGTGTTGAGAACAAAGCCCACACAAGGCCATCGAGGCCGGTAATGCTGTACGTATCAATATTTTATCTACCTTTCCAGGAACTTCTGATATTTCTATGATATTTACTCCTTTTTTTACACTCTGATTTTTTTGTATAGAAAGTGTTTCAAAGTACAATATATTAAATTAAATTTTACGATTGAAATATCTTAAAACACGTTCACTTATTGCAACCCATGAAAAAAATTTCCAAGTTTGTAGTCGTTTTTTAGTTTTTGTTGTATAGCTTGTACGACTTTCAGTTGTTTTTAGACGATAAAAACGAATGCTCTTGGAACTCTGAACATGCTTGGTAAGCTCAATGTTTACTCTACTGTAACATTAGCTATGTCATGTAATGTTTCTCTATAAGTTTATGTTCCTTCAGGTTTAGCTAAAAGGGTTCGTGCTCGACTATTATTGGCATCTACATCTGAAGTTTATGGAGGTAATGGAATATAATCAATAAATTTCAACTATACACGCATCTGCTTCTTGCTTGTTGTATCCAACTATGATTTTAATTCGCAGACCGTTTTCTTTTTTCTAACATTTTTTCTTTTTGCAATGTGTGCTGATTTCATACAGATCCTGAAGTAAGTTCGACACAATCTTAATCAATTTTGGCTATTTGTTTTACTCTCGTATTTGACGTTTCTAAAACTGACTAAAAATGTAAGAACTAAGTAGCTACGTAAAAACTATTGTTAAGGTATAATTCCTGTTTTTTTTTGAGCTTATTGCGTTTGAGTAAATTTTATTTTTTATGTTTATCGAAATGACTTAACAGCTTGTGTAATTTCAAAATTATATATGTAATGAATGATTTGCCTTCAGATTTAATGTGAAAGACAATTTGCTTGAGGAGGAAACATTGTTTTTTCTTATATTTTGTTTTGAACTCTATATATATGACATTTTCTGGATAGATACATCCCCAACCAGAAAGTTATTGGGGTCATGTGAACACCATTGGACCGAGAGCATGTTATGATGAGGGAAAAAGAGTCGCAGAAACAATGTGCTACGCGTATGCAAGACAGGTTAATGTACCCTTGGCTGATGATATACTTATCTTTATACGTAGTATGATTATTTATCAAAATATATAAACGAAGCCCAAAATATTGTCTTAACTATGTTTCATTTTAGGGTGGTGTTGAAGTTCGTATAGCGAGGATTTTCAATACGTTTGGTACACGAATGCATATGAACGATGGTAGGATTAAGGAACTCTTTTAATTTGTACAGCAAGCACTTTTTGATAGCTGAAATAAACTTACACACTATTCGAATATTTTTGTCTATATACATATAGGACGTGTTGTAAGCAACTTTATTCTACAAGCTCTTCAAGGTCAACCAATTACGGTGATTACTTTTGCTCAATAATCTTTCTCTCCGTTTATATTTACCATTTTATGTTCCCATATTGTTTTGGATAATTACTTTTTTGTCTTTATTTGTATCATCTGACGTAAATTGGATTTAATTGATTCGATTGAAACGGTTTACATATTGACTTAAATCAAATTTTTCTTTTAATGTTCTTTTAGATTTATGGCGAAGGTCTTCAAACTAGATCGTTTCAATATGTGAGGTACTCTAATATTTTTCTTGGTTTTTGTTTTGATTTGATTTTGTGGTGTTAATTTTTGCTATTTTAGTGATCTGGTGGATGGTCTTATTAAACTAATGAACAGCAATGTTTCAACTCCAGTCAATCTAGTTAGTTCAATTTAGAGTAATATTAATGACTTATTGCGCATGCGTTGTGGTTGAATTTACATGTTGACTGTTGAGTTTGTCTTACATTTCTTCTCGCCATTTTTCTTGAGATTTGACGGGTTGCTTTTCATTTAAAAATGTTATGGCGACTTAGTTAAAGATACTGCTTGAGAAAAATTCTCTTGAATTGTGCTCTTTTGCACTTATGTATAATCAATTATTACCAACATATGTTTCTGACATCAAAAATAGAGTTTCTTTAATCAAATATCCAACGAGAAGACATGTGTATTTATGGTCTAAATATCTTTTTTATGAAGTTGTGCATTTTACTTCATTTTATCTTTACATTTATATTTTAATTAAAGGGAAACCCCAGCGAACACACGATAAAACAATTTGCCTTGATGATTCGGAAAAGAGTGGGTAGGTACATTGCACTAGACATGCACACTTGTTTTTGCATTGATATTCCTTTTTGGTTTTCTTAGTTTTGTATTGAGACACATGCGCAAATTGCATTGGGTTTTTCATGACATAATTTAACATAGCATTGTGCTAGTTGCCTGGACTTGCATGTCAATATAGCTGCAATGTAATATTAATTTTCATTGAAAGAATTACTTATTTACAATATTGGACAAAATACTCAAAAAAATTACAAAGTTGCCTGGGTTTTAGTGTAATAAAGATGAATGCCCGGCATGAAATTTTAATAACAGCCATTTGCCAATTATTTTTTTACATTTTTGTCAATTGTCAAATATCGTCATAACACAATCATCCTCGGACTAATGTAGATTAGCTAAGTGATAAAAAAAATCATGAATATACAATCATTTGCGTTCAAGCGTTGAGTGCAAGAAATTTTTCACGATATTTCCATGTCTGAACAAACGTGTTACACAAACCTGCAAAGATGTTGATCCACAAAGGAAACTTGCTTAACGGGCTTGTCAAACGTTGACATATTTTCTTTAAAAGATGCGAATCCACGCCTAAAACATGCAGTAAATGACAAGGAAACGTAACGTTTCCGACAAGGAAACTTCGTGAAAAGACTATTGCAAATATCAACACTTGTATGTCTTTTTACTTCCGTTTTTGATTGAGGAATAATAAGGACAATAACAGTGTTATTATTTACCTTTTTTCCTATTTTCACCTTTTTCCTATTTTCTCAGTCACTCGGTTATATTTCAAGACAGTCGCCATTTTCGACGCGAAAATAATTGAATATACTCTAAAGTTTTTTTGCTCATTTTGAGATACATCTATTTGTAAAATGTTACCCCTAATACCAAATGTATTCATCAATTTTGACTATTGTTTAGGAAACAATAGCAGTAAAATTGTTATGCTAGACGCCCAAGAAGATGACCCAAGGAAAAGAAAACCGGACATAAAAAAAGCTAGAATTACTCTTAACTGGGAACCAAAAGTAAGTTTTCTTTTTAGCTTATAATCGTTTTTTGCAGCTTGCATTATTAATATTGAGGGATTATAGTATAAAGCATCTAAAATTAAACATTACAGTTAACAATTTTGTAGCAATGCAAAATTGTTTTTGAGATAACAATCAGCAATTAGTAACAATGATTTCATTCAACACAAAACTTACTCCTTATAAAATAAAAGGCTCTTTTTGAATTATCATTATACGTTAATTATAGGTGAGCCTTTCAGTTGGGCTGGAAAAAACAATACGTTTCTTTCGAAATGAATTGGCTCGGCTTTCTGAGCAAAAGCAACTCTAACTTCTAGTCATTCCTAACTCCAAATTTGGTTTGGGTATGATAATAATATTGTTTATAACGCGTATTATTTAGATATTTATAGAAAAATAACTTCTTTATAATTGATGTGTGTGATACTCGCATATGTATTGGATAGTTTACAAAGCAGTAAAGTTACAAGGAGACTTTACCAAGCTAACGAATGAGCCAAAAGATAACTAGTCTAGCACTCATGTTTCATTGTTGTTCTGTTTATATATTAAACAGGAGCAATTCATATTTAGTTAGGTTTTAATGGATGGCATGCGGAGTTAATTTGGTTTTAGTGGATGACATGCTAAAATTTAGCCTTGTGCTGCAAACGAATGCATCATAGTTATTGGACCAACGTATGGATGCAGGCCTGTTGTGTTCGTTAGTCTACAATAAGGGGTAATGCTGAGAGGCATGTTGGATACGACGTGCCTTAGTTTGAACACAATATTCTCTTCGCTATTGTCGATTGATTTTGTTCATGTTGAATGCATCATGTTGTGTGAATTTGTACACAATATTGTGTGATGTTACTTGTTGAGGGACATTAGCTTTTGTTTTTGGATCAAATTCAAATCGGTTAAAACATATCGTGCAACATTTGACCGCCTGATAATTAGGATCGTTCGTTCAGATTATGCACTGGTGCAATGTTTTTGAACTGTTTTTTTATATACAGCGAAAAATTCTACTTAATTTGATTTGAGCTGCAAATTTTCGCAACTTGTTGTACCTGTTGGCTTCATCGTTTTTGAAATTTGTATTCAAAATTACGTTTCAACCGTGATAAATCCTGTAGATCGCCTCCATATTTTCCTCTAAAGTATCTTTAATCATGTAGAATTCTTCGAGTATTCTACATTGACGACCAGCTGTAGTTGACATGGTAGCGCATCTTCGTTTATTCATGATATCATGCAATGTCACATTACGATCGTAGGCTTCTTCTCATCACAAGAATATGATTGAGACGAAACCTACGATTATACTGGCATCGATAATTCTTTTTCTTTACTGCTTCTTTATATTTCAATATTCGTCTTTACCCAAGACCAAAGATGTCATCTCGCGGATTGTTGCTACAATTAAAAAAGAGATTTCAATTAAACCACACTGGAATACGCTTAATGCTGACAAAATTTCAATTTCGGATTAATGAAATGTTGTATTACATTCTTTATTATATGCACAATGACAAATATGTCTTTAAAATCGTATACTGTAGTTGTTATTCCGCTCTCACTTCAACACATGGTTCTACATTGTCAATAACACTTCGAATATTTGCTGAGGTAGGCAATTATAAATCATGATGCAGCAATAAATCCTTTCTCCAAATATTGTTCTTATCATCCATTATGAAGCCACAAAAAGAGAATGTGAAATATTCCCTTTTTTTCATTAAAGGTTATTATCGTGTACATAAAATTATTCACAGTTTTGTTTATAAACTTTGTGAGTGAAAAATGCTGACCTAGAAAGTATTAGTTTGTGTCACTACAGACGCGCATACAGTTGTTAAAATTATAAAGAGAATGTGGTTTACCTTTCCAAATTTCAAAACTTCTTTAATTCTCTACATAAATACTTGCGTGTTGACTGTTAACATGAGGCCTTAAAACGGACAAACCTTCAACGTAAACTGCACAACTAAGGACGGCGTTGATGGCGTGCTAAATCACGTTCATAATTTGTTATCTATATTGGCCCAACTTACAAGTGTATTGGTGCATATCAAATAACTAGTTACCATGGACAACTAGTTCTTACTATCTTACATTAGTGTTGCCTGCCTACATGTACTATACGTATTTGTTGTTTGAGTCTTTTTGTTCTTACTATCTTACGTTAGTGCTGTCTGCCTACATGTACTATACGTATTTGTTGTTTGAGTCTTTTTGCTCACGGAAAGCAAAATGTGTTCTTACCTGAAATTGTTGTCATTCGTCCTTAGGCGACCAATGAGCTATGAAATATGTATGTTTGTAAGTTTTATTATTTTATATTTGAGTGTAGATCGTTTATTTTTCCTAAAATTGATAATTCATTCAGCTAAGCTGAATTTTCACGATGTCACAAAATTTTCGTCTCCAACACGAGGCTTATAGCTGTAACGACTGCATTTTTTGCACTTAATGATTTTCCTTGTGTTGTTGTTGACCATAAAACACACTGTGGGCACTTGTAATCCAGAAAATATATTTGTCCCCGAAAATGAAATTCCACTGAGCAGCATGTTTGTAGGCTTTTAGAAGTCACGAGTAACTGTCGTGATACTTTAGTTAATAAAGAAAAACCTCACCTCATACTTAAACTTATAACACAAACTTATATGATACAAGATACTACATAGATGAATACAATCAATCAGAGTGACTTGAAACTTTTTATTGACTTTCAAAAATGAAAACAGGGTTGGAAAGTATTTAGTTGTCACCACCATCCAATGTAAGCTTATCAAATTGATTAATTGATACACACCAAGTCCATCACCAACACGCTCAAGATTGGTAATGTAGTCAGACAACTTCTTCATGCCTTCAGTTTGCTCATGAAGAAAGTTGCTTTCAATAAAATCAGCCATCTACAATCAAATTGGAAATTAAGTTTAAAATACACAGTTGTGAACGTGTAGAATTTGTGATCGAGCTTTTTAAGAAGTTTGTTTTTGCTGCAATCATTATAAACATCCAAGTAGAACTCGTTTTTGCGCTTGACAAAGGTCGCAAGCGTTTAATTTGTTTAGACGAAAGTTTACCAAACTGGTCTGCACTTTATTGAAGATTACTTGGTATTCCTTACCTGTTTTACGACAATTCCTTTTGAATGCAGGGAATATTTTACTAATTTTAACTGCGTTTTGATACTAATAATTTTTGAAATGCCAATATGACAACGCATTTTCCCAACCAAAAGTTATTGCATGAGTTTATTATTAGTCATATAGACAGCATGTTCCCGCAAATTTAATTATTCCAGGTAACATAACGTCACGACAAGCCTGAATTCAGAATAGTTTGTAGAATTATGTGTCATGAGGGTTACCGTCGTCATAACTGTATGATAAGGTGCAAAGGTATATGAGTAGTTGCAGTCGTTAATCTGCCAAAAAAAGTTAATACACAAGGACCTGGCCTAAAACTTTAACACAAATTTGTATCATGAAAGATATTACACAGATAAATAGAATCAATCAGAGTTATATGAAACTTTTTATTAACTTGCAAAAATGATTACATGGTTGATGTTCCAAAAGGTCAAGATTAATTATGAAAAATTGTATGGAGGAAAAAGTATTTAGTTGTCATCACCATCCAAAGTAAGCTTATCAAATTGATACACACCAAGTCCATCACCAACACGCTCAAGATTGGTAATGTAGTCAGACAACTTCTTGATGCCTTCAGTTTGCTCATGAAGAAAGTTGCTTTCAATAAAATCAGCCATCTACACATAAAGAAAATGTCAGCTATCTTTTTAGAAGTTATCTTATTTTTAATAACATTAATTCTCAACTTCGTTGAACATACTTCATCATCTTTGTTGGTAACAGCAACCTCATGTAAATGAAACAATGCTTCATTCACTTTTTTCTCCAAGTCCAAGGCAATCTTCATTGACTCTATTGGTGATGTAATGTCATCAAAATCAGGTTTCTAGTGAGAGAAAATCCAACATAAATATGAAATGCAACCGATAAGATAAATGTTTGTGAAAGAGCGTCAACATGCTAACATGACGCACGAAATCAACATTAACTGTAAATTTTTTGTTCGTAAATTGGATCCAATTTTCAAATAAAACAAGATTATGTATTTGTGATCGTTTGAACTTGCAGGTATACTTTGTTTTAGGTAGCGACACACAATGTCTTCAATGGCATTGTGATCAACGCGGGTTTTACGCTGGGCAAAATGTCACGCCACGGGCTCCGTCCTTATTAGGGACCTGCGATTTAGGCTATAAAAGTAAATAACGCTACACAGTGTTTCAAAACTTTTTGAATCAAACTTAATTTAATACTAAGATTAACTTTTCAGTGGCTCTGATCGTGATGTGTTGTGACAAAATGCAGATATTAATCTACCACGTACCCACTGTCACTCACATTGGTGAAAACGTTACTTAACAACTTTGCATTCAAATCGTCATGAGTTGTATGAGTCGTGTGATGTTCGATTTGTATCAAAATAATTTTATGGTGATTTTTTGTTGTAAACCTGACGCAATCGGTGTTCAACTAACTTTCATTCCATAAATTTCATTTCATTTTTCTCTCACACGATTGCCAATTGCAACATACAGATCAAAATTACAGAAATTGCCTTTCAAACTGACCACGTCATTATGTGATTAAAAAATTTTCAATGTCGTTCGTGGTGTTCTTTACGATGTATAAATCAAATACCTTTATATCTTTCAATACAATGCGACCGCCGCGAGTGTTCTGAAATTTCATCAGCTGAAACACAAAAACGAGAAAAACAGGTTTAATTATGTACAATCACATCATCATGACGCAGCATTGCATGACTTTGTCTAAACTTTATGTCTCTACCTTTTCAGCATGTTCTTGCTCTTCTTCTGCGGATTTCTTGAAAAATTTATAAAACCCAGCCAATGCAACATCATCCCTGTCAAAATGGTAGGCCTAAATAAAGACAACATGAAATTAGATGAAAGTAACAACAATTTTTGTTGTAATATTTACCGACCATCGACAAATAAGCGTAGCTAGCAGACAACTCCAAGTTGATTTGCTTGTTCACTTCAGCTTCGCTGGTTTCATGATAGTTCTGACGGCATCGAGAACTCATTTTGAAGTTGTATTGATGGTTTAGAAATGTGATAAGTAACGAAGAATTTTTAAATAGGGAGTATTTGGTTCAATCACTGTCGAAGCGCAAACACGACCCAAGTCACAAACACGAATATTAATCTGTGTCGTCAGACGTACGTATTTATATACTCAGTTGCTGGATCACAATCACATGACAGTCATGGGATAAATGGGCACATATGACATGACTCAGCAAATGGTAAATACGTAGTAATGTTTCTAATTTTGGCTCAAAGTTTAAAGTACACAGATTTGTGAATTTTTGTGAAATTTATGAGGAATATGAGCTGCGATACACAACCCAAGTCATAAACACGAATATTAAATTGTGTCGTCGGACGTACGTATTTATATGCCCCAGCCGGTACTCAGTTGCTGGATCACAATCACATGACAGTCATGTGATAAATAGGCAGTGCTGTAGAACTAAATTTATCAGATGGGGGGCTCTCTTGACGTTTTTTTCAATAGTGCCCTTTTAAAATTATCCATTTCAAAGGTAGAAGGGGCTCCTCCCCAATTGCCCCCACTTCTACAGCAGTGTAAATGAGCACATATGACATGACTCAGCAAATGGTAAATATCGTAAGTTAATGTTTCTGATTTTGGCTCAAAGTTTAAAGTACACAGAATTGTGAATTTTTGTGAAATTTATGAGGAATATGAGCTGCGATGCGTGAAAGTTCTGTAACCGATTTTCCCATGAAGACATTTGTTGGAAAAGCCTGTAAGTTGGAAATGATGTTGTCGGATAAACAATAAATGAAGATTTAGATAGTACAAAATACCTATGACAAATTGGTACTTTTGTCCCTCCTGTTTATAGTAGTGTAACTAAATGTGGCGATAATAATATTCTAAGACATGAAACTGAAGTTTTAGCTTTCCTTTTTTATTAAATAAATCAATACACGGTTAAAGATAAAGCAACTGCAGTGCTTATACAAGATGATATAAAGACACACCCATTTTAATTATATTATTTCAAAAATGATTCAAATAAGAAATACAAAGTATATGAGTTTATTACAGTAGATAGTTATTAAATGCTTATATTTGTTGTTCAGGAAATTTAAGAAATGCTATCCTTGCCACCACCAAGGGTCCATTTGTCAAATTCGTATTCACCCAAGGAGCTGTCAAGCCGTTGGAGAATATGAACGTAGTTTGCCAATTGCTTAATACTGTCCACTTGTTCGCCCAGAAAGTTCGATTCGATGAAGTCTTGGAACTAAACAAAAGTTATAAACAAATCAGGGGATATCGGTGTAAAAAGGGGATTGGGTATAAAAATTGAGAGGGAAGCTATAGTGCAGATTGAGTAGTTAAAATGAAATCGCAAGAGTTCATAGACATACTTTAGAAAAATAACAATGTAATTATGGACCATTTAAACGAAAAAAAAAATGAAAATGGTAGTTGTAAAATCATTAAGTGAGCATTTTTCAACTGGTTCAAAATAAACCAAAGAATATTGCAATAGTTTCAAAGATCTTGACCAAAATATTACCTGTGGATCACTTTCTTGAGCGTCTTGTAATTTATGAAGCTTAAGCAGCATGTCGTAGATTGTTTTCTCCAAGTGAAGAGCTCGTTTCATAGCGTGGGTACCATTACCCCAACTTCCATCATGACATGGCGCCTGAAAATATTTTCCTATCGTCAGATCATCTTTATTATATTATTTGAGGTTATTAACGTTTTGTGTTGTTTTAATTACGCGAACAATTCTGCCAAAACATTAACGAGTATTCTAGTTTAGTACAAATTTTAAAATTTACTTACAGGAATGCTATTCAAACGGATCTTTCCTCCACGTTTGTTTTGATATTTCATAAACTAACAAACAATTAAAATAATGTTTTTTTCAAATGTAATCATCGTCCTGCATTCTGACTTGTTATATGTATTACTCAATTTTAAACACAAGATTGTAAAATAAGATTTAAGACTTTATACGAAACGCAAATCGGGAATTACAAATTATTATAAATTATAATTTATAACTGTAAGTCAGGCAACTGTAAAGTAAACAGAAAGAAATGAAAAAAGTTCAGTACCATTTGCGCATGCTCGTGCTCTTCTTCTGCCATTTTCTTGAAAAATTTACTAAATCCAGGCATGTAAATTTTGTATGAATCAAAATGATACGACTAAAAGATAAGAATTTCAAGCTAAATTCAATGGAGTCTGGTACATAAGAAAGCTTGACAAATATGTTCATTGCAGAAAGTATAACATGATTTTCTCAAGGAACTAAAACTTACTAAAGACAAGTAGGTGTAATGTGCAGAGAGTTCAAAGTTTATTTGTTTGTTGATACCCTCTTCCAAGGTAGATGCAAACTGTGGTCCTACATAATTTATTAAGAAATGAAGTTGACATGTTGATTTTATGTGTTTATCATTTATCGAAGGTGAAAACGACATTGCAAAAACTGCAAGTAGCTAATAGTAAAGCAAATATATTGTTTGCATAATCGACTTCATTGCAATCTAACTTCTCAAAGAACTTATTAGAAAAACCAATTTATTTTAGGGGGAAGGTACAGTTTTTAACAAAGGGTTCAGTTAATGCTTGAGAAAATATTACGAATCAATAATATGTTGACGAGCTGCATTGATTTAATGAGCATTGCATGTTGATTCTAATCACCAGGCATTTCTCACAAGAGATTTTGTTTGTCTATCAATGCTTCAAATTATATAAAAAATCATGAACCATCACGAAGGTATCAATCCCTATTCCCTGGCCGATACTTTCAAATTGATTATTTTAAGTTATTTGCCGAGAAGAGAACGATATTTTAACTGGATGTAGCACTTTTATTGTAGATTATTGCCGTTCAGCGATCTTCTTGTTATAGTTAGATTAAAGTCGGCCATGAAGCTGGGTCTCCGCTGAGAATGGTGGAATTGCGTAACAGACCAACGCAAAATACTTTCTTGAGGTAATTGAAATATTCACAAAACATTTCATTTTCAGTCGATATGTAAAATTGAAACGATTTCATGTTACATTATGAAATATAATGTTATTGGCGTAGGATTCTTATTTAAATTCTCAACAAACCATGTCCTTTATCGCCTGTATGTTTCCATGTTTTCTGAAAAAAAAATATCATTGTTATATTATTCATTAGAAAATGAACATAAACAATTATAAATTTCGTTTGAATTTTGTATAATACATTAGCGAACAATTCATTCGTTGTCACGTAGTTAAATAAGTTGCATCACACTAAAAACTAATTTAATTGAGTGAGAAATATCAAAAATTTCACAAACAACCACCGAGAAACGAATACAAAACTTTATGTAACACAAATAAAAATGAATAACTTATCACATACATGCTATAACTTACACTGGCAGTGATGCTGGTCAAATCACGCGGAAAACATTTATCATCAACTGCGGATATTAATGGAAGTGTAATACATGAAAAAAGTAACAGTCTGGAAAACATCTTCACGAGTTTCAGTCGAGTACTATATAACAGCAAAGAAACGGTGTATATTAAAAGAAAGCCACAAAAAACGAATATATGCTGCAAATATGTATATATAGTCCTTTATTTTATGATGCGTTGTAACTGCTACTTACATGAAAATAAAAAAGCCAAATAATCTTTATTTTGCGCAAAAGCAGTATTTTATTAAAATAGATAAATAAAATGTCAGGTTACTTATCAAGATGTTGTGCGCTTTTATCAAATATATTTTATAGATTAAGCTTTTAAATAAAATCTGTGTTTGCGTAAGACATAAATTCACTCTAAATAATTTAACGAATAAAGTACAATACAACTAACGTATACTTGCCACCTTTTTCAACCAAAAAAACGGTTAAATACGTTCAACAAACCATTTTCATACGATATCTTTATTCGACCGAATGCAAACAGATGAAATAGATACCTCGATGACAGTATTGACCTTGCGCAAGTCAAACACCCTGAGGTTATCGGCTTCCAGGGGTCTTTTCCTCCAGAGATGAAAATGAAAGATTAATTGCTGATACATGCATTTTTGGGTATTTTAACTGACATCAAGTTGAAGGGCCTATTCTCATGAGCCTATTCTTATAAACCCGGTTAGCGAGACATCCCAGAGGAGAAATTCAACCCCGCCTGTCGAGACGAAATAGCGAAACAGCCTTTTTCCAAATGCTGCAAGTTAAAAATTAACATGGCGCATCATATACCAGAATTCTTTGTATTGTATTGGTTTGGTTTATACAGTTTACAGTGTGTATTTTTATAATACTACTTTAATAATCAAATGATGAAATCAACTTTAAATGGAGCTAGTATTTCAGCATAATTGCTTTTTTCGGCTTAAATTCCACATACACTCCTGTGGTCGCATTTGGAAAAATTTTTTCCCCACCTACCATCCTACCTATGATCTCGTCTCCTATAGGCTGGCTATCGCACAGAATAGAGATCTCGGCAACCGAGCCAGCCCCCTTCTCATTCAAACGCGAAGTAAATTTTGATAGTAAATTTAAGCGAAGCAAGATCATAAGTAGGCGATTTGTCTCGCTAACGCTAACCGTGCCCATAAAAAAAACCCTTACAGGAAGCACGTGCAGTAAAACGTGATCGGTCACGAGAACGGAAAAATACTTGAATATTACTAAGAAAATATTTGATTACAACATATAAAACGTTGGCGGTTACTTTTTGTAAATGTACTTTGATAGGATTATGTTGTTAAATTAATCAGTGAACTGATACTGATACATAACAAGATGATAAAATTTTTCTTTGGGCCTCGCAACAGGTATTATTACTGTAAGAATTTGCATTTTACATCATTTTTAATTCACATTTTCATTTTAATATAAAAATAGCAAATTTGCCAAGGCGTACATTGTTTGAGATTTTATATCATTTTTACATGGACATATTCAACAATGCCGTAACTTTATAAGTTATATTCTTTAATCTTGAGAATAATTTAACGACAAGTCAAACAAAAGCGAGCTGATATTGCATGTTTATCCAATCATTTGATGCAAGTTCGTATAACTTAACATAAATATTTTGGTTAACAGACATTTTACGAAGACTGCAGATAAAGTAACTTGCTCAATATGTATTTTCATCATCTTAACTCATTATGTGAATACATGGCAAAAGCTCCAATCCTTTATTTATAACAACGAATATTTATTCGGCAAAAACCATAGCAAGGACCTCTACGGTAACGGCTTGAAAGGTGATAAAAGCGTTAACAACTGTTGGTCTATTTAGGACCATATATCTAGAGGAATTTTTGCTTATACTTAAAATAAGACTTGCAATTAAAAAGTGTAGAAGATGTATATACAGTAAAATAATAAATTTTAACTGCGTCATAATTTACAAATGAATTTCATTTGGCATTAACTGTTTCATGCTTTCGTCAAAATATACGTCCAAATAAAAATACTGCTTTCAGGCAAAACTTAACAAAAATATATGGAATATTGTTAATTTTAAACCAAAAAAAAACATAAGACTATTGAACGCCTTCTTTAGTTGACGTTGCTTCACATCAAATGAGGCGTTCGATAAAATATTCCTCAAAATTCATGGCCGTCAAAATTTATTCACCAAACAATTTGTCCAAGAAAATATTTACTTACCAAACAAATGATTTTGTGGATCAGTCTAGTCCAATCTTTCGCAATCTAACAGAGCACTGCCGTTGAGAATGCAAGTAGCTATTTGAAAATATTTTGTATTGTAATCTGCATAATAACCTGCACATAAAGAATTATGTGACAATGACATAATGCTCATGCCTTAAAAGGTAAAACACATCTTTTAATTAATTTTTATCAGGATCGCATAATGATCGCAATTAAGCATTGTTCACAATTATTTCATACTTTCTTTAAAAATGTCAAGAATTTTATAATTGGAGACTGTACTAACAAAATGAATTAGTTTAATTGTAAAAATTGTTTAATCCTTTCGTATTTGTATAAATGTAATTTTCAAAAAAATTATAAAGCCTTTAAATCTTTCATATTCGACTCTGATTTTGCTGAATTTGTGTTCTAAATCTGTTGAACAATTTTCCTCGTGATTTAGAGCTCGATTTGTAAACTTGTCCATTGGCATTGTGACGAATCTTACATTTTTTCCATAATTTTAATAACCTTCGCTGATGAACGAAAACGTAATTTTTTCTTTCTTCGCCCTTCTGAAGTATGTGAGCACATAATTTGAATTTCTAAAACGTTAGATTCCAAAGAAAGTATTCACAATATTTCCAGTCGACGTCATCTTCGTTGCCTTAGACTTGAAGCATTTCAGTCTCAGTCACGAAGTAAGCTAAGTTTACAAGAGAAGGAAGCCAGTTTATGTTTTAGAAAAGGAAAGATCAAAATCTTTTTGTCATCTATTCCTCAACAAGACAACCGGTTTCTGTCTTCGGGTGACTGTGGCCCACATTGCTAAGGATGACAAATATGATTTTATGGTATGGCTGTGTTTTATTGGGGAAGAATATTTCCACTGGATGAACTGGGATGAAATTTTGTTATTGCAATCGCAATTATCGATTTCAATCAAGGTACCATGCACCAAAAAAAAATTGTAACAGGGACTGCGTGGCAGGAGAGGGGAAAAAATATTTTCTAGCTGAACTTACAAACATGAAAAAAGTTTGTGCTACGAGTTTAAGACTAGAAGGTGGAAAAGAATTTAACCATCATTTCAGCCCTCTTTCCCAAGAAAACGATTGATAGAGCCTTACCAAGGTTCTACCACTGGGTTGTAGTCATTTGTACTCTCGAAATGACTGTACAACATTTTGAAGAGCTACTTCCCCGGAAATGACGTTTGCTTTGCAATAAAAAATATGGCGGTCGATCTGAAATATTTGGATATAGACACCGAATCACTGTCCTTTATGAATGAAGACGACCAAGATCCGCTGTGCTGTTGTGAATATTACAACATTAAAAGACAACGATCCCATATTCTCTCTTTTTTTTGCGAGTGCGAGGATCTAGATGAAACAGTTGATAATTGGATAAAAGGAAATCCTCAGAAAATAAACAAAATTGTGGACATCATTGACACATTTGCAGATCGTTGTCGGGTACCTTGGTTAGGCGGTGCCAAAGCATTCGATTTTGGATGTGTGTTTCCGCCAATCTTGTTGACTAATTCTGCTATTATAGCTTCTTGGCATTATGTTCTTACTGCCATGATTTTTCTTGCACTGCCACCAATCATCATATTTTGCTATATGTCATCAGTGAAACTAAAAATAAAAACACGATTATTCCTGTCTTTAAATATCACCTCAACTATTGGTTGCTATGCTATTTACTTCTATTATGTATCTTTATCTCAAAATTTTTTGATAAATTTAGCAGTTGCCTTTGGTGCTATAGTTACTGTGATTCTCTTTAAACAATGCTTAAGTAAGGATAAAAAATATCATGTCTTTCATTACGAGGACAAGGAAAGCGTACCTTACCGTGGAAAATATTGTAGGTATGTTGAGTTGTATTTGGTGTTTGCATTATTGGTAAATTACACTCTTTTAAAAAGATGAAGCCTTAATTTCTATTACAGCAAATATTGTCCATTGTTAATTTCAGAATATGCAAGCTGTATGTGGCAAAATATGATCATCATTGTGTTTGGTATGTTATTTGTGTACATTAAATTACATTGCAGATTACAAAACTACTGCCTTACATTTTATCTATTTCTCTGGTATAAATAAGTTAATTTTTAGAAAAGAATTATTGCAACTTGCTTTTGCACATCATTTATTCTCAACCAATTTACACACTGCTACAAAAACATTAGGTCTATGTATCATTCAATGAGTTAAATTTTTTGCAAGATTGATCTTGTTTCAAGCTTATCTCAATTTATTTTGATATTGTTATGACAAGTGATTTGTAACAGATCCAGCCCAGGTTATAATCAGAATAAACTAAAGTATTTTTTAGAAATATCTTGTGGTGTTCTTGTAACATTACTTCAAGTATAACATGTGCTATTACAACTATTACAAATGTATATTTAGACTTAAGTTAAATCTTCTGCTATTGATGGTACACATCACTTGTTCATCATTTAATATGCTCTTGTACTTTGTTATTAGGATGAACACCTGTATTGGTCAACATAACCATAAAACATTTTTGTCATTGCTGTGTGTGTATCTTGTAAGCATCGTATTTGGTTGTTTTGTGCAATTGTCCTTTGTTTGCCAATGGCCAACTCTACTGACTTTGGACTGCTCAGATGTTTATAACTCAGACAGGTTTGTTATCAAGGCACATACCTTTAGTATACTTGTTGTATCATAGCCAGGGGTATAAAAGTCTGGTGATTAAAGAGATTGTTTGCTGGCTGAGATGGATATTTTGTTGAATAAGATTTATGCTTTGGCATGTTATCAATTCCAAGTTAATTTCCTGATTTTTTTCTGTTTGAATATACCATAATAAGAAGCTTTTCATTATACATAAAGCCTTGCACAAAAAGGCTTGTATAGTTGATCATCATGTCTCCCTGCCATTTGTTGTTGGCCCCATAACTCCTCTCTGTGTGTGTGTTTATGGAGGTGGAGGTTATTTCAATATAGACTGCTGTTTTACATTTTAGATTGGGCTTGGTTTTTGTATGTTGCTGTTATGCTTTGGTTATTGGTGTTTTTTTGGTTATACTACTCATGCAACAGGTTGTTTTGATTAGTTTCAATGTTACTACATTTGAATGGCGTCTTATGAATCATGAAGAATCAGTTTTTACAAGTTTAATGTCATCACCTTACCATAAAGGCATTTTTCAAAATTGGATAGCTTTCATTAAAATGGTAAGTACCTTAATCTTATAAAATACTTGGTAATTGTAATAAAAACATTCCCTGCAAAAACAATATTTGCAAATAAAGTTTTCTCTCAAAGCATTTTGTCTTTTTTGCCCTGAAATCTTTGGCATGGTCCAAAATATTATACCACAGTATGGAAACGTTCGCAAAAAACTTCAAGATAAAAATAACACAATATCACATTTTTATGAAATATTCACATTTGTATTCTAAATGCTCACTCTCCCTCAACGAGTGTAGGTTCAAAATCACTTCATAATAATTTGAGGAGGGTTTTCTGCTTCACTTTTATGAATTGATTTTAAATGTTTTTATTGATGCATTAATGATTATAATTTGAGCAAATTCGATGAAGAAATGAGTTTGCCATTTTTTAGTGGGGGTAAATAACTTCTACAATTCATGTAGTTTTATTTTATTGTAACTTTTTAAGAGTTTTCCAGCTTCGAAAAAGATTTAGGTATATAGAATAAAAGGGAGGGTACATAATGAACGTAAATAAAGTTGAACTTTAACACCATCGTTTTACCAACTGTTGAAAAATTAACATGCATTAAATAATCATTTATTAAACAAATATTTAACTTATTTCCGTCGACCCGCTTTATAAACAAAAATGTAGCTATGTACAAAGTCGCATGTCTAAAGTAATAAGTCTTATTCCTGTTACTATTAGCTTTGCTTAGAATGCCCTGTGACTTATCTTGTTGCCTATTTTATTTCATCTTTTCTGTCGTTTGGGTGAGAAGTCAAATGGATTCTCTTCCTATAAGAAAGTGTGGTGAATCAAGTGAAATAAATCGAAACTCTAATTGTCCATACAAATATGACTAAGTTCCCGAAAGTATCCAAATGCCTAGGGAACTGTTGACAGTTAAAAGTTATCTTTATATGCATGTTTACCTCTTCAGTATTGTGTGAACTGTTCCAAAAAAATGTTGTATTTCTCTCAAACTAATGCAATAGAGGGGAAAATTTTTGTATAGACAAATTAAAGATACAAAAATATTCAGCAGATGCTAATTTTTACTAAATTGATCATTACTACTTGACGTGGTATAACATACCAATATTTCCTGCTTTCCTCGAGTTTCTGCAACAAATAAAATTGATTGTTTTAGTTATCACCAGCTAAAAGCACTTGATATGATAGGCTATTTTTATGTTTCTATCAATTTTAAATCAAACTTGTTCATATTATGTATACAAAGTTAACAATATAAATTCATAACTACCACGTGATGTAACGGCAGTCTTGTTTATGTCACGTGATTGTTTCCCGCGTCCTCTTCCCCGTCCTCTTCCTCGACCTTTACGGCATTAGCAAACCTTTATTTGAAGTGTTCTAGTACTAGTCGAAATGGTAAATAATAACTAACCTCTAGTAGCTCTCGTAATTTCAACTTCAACCTCTTCTTCTAAAGGTACATAATTTTGTTTTTTGCTTCGAGATTGCCTCATGGCGTCTTCAAGTAACTTAATTAGAAACACAATTGAAATTTTTAACAATCTGGAACATGGGAATTCAGCATTCAATAATGATACTTTTCTCCTTCTCTCGTTTTCTTCTTCACTTGGTTCTTCTGCTCTACTTCGCTCGGTTTCTTTAACAACTTCCTTTTCTATGTCTTCATCTCGAATGTTTTTCTTCGATAATGTTTCTTGAGTATCATGAAGTTGGAGTTTCACGATTTCTCCAATGGCATCTTTCTCGTCTTTATCCACAAATTGTTGCAATGCTAATCCCATCATACGTTCAGATAAAATACTCAACTGTAATTTCTACGCAAAAAGACCACAATTTCACCATTTCGAAAAAAGTTAAAATGAATGTTTGCAACATTGGCCACATTGTGCGAGGTATTAGCTAACATTTTTTTGTTCGAAACATACATTTTCATTTGAATTGAGATATTCGTTAACCAGGTCTTCAACAGTAACATCGTCTAATATCTCTGGACGAATTCGAACTTGCGCAAAATCATTTCCCAGTCTTTCTATAAATGTTTCAGCTTTTTGAAGATGATCTTCACTTATTATTGTGCAACGTGGTTATATTTACAACAAACTTAGATTTTGGTGTTTTGTGATTGTATGCGTTGATGGTGATGAATGAATGCTGGACATTTTCATAGAATGAAGGAAGACTTGCAAAAATTTACCTTTTAAAGTAGATTTTTTGGTACGATGAAATTTTAAGATATCTTTGGTATTTGCAACATGTTTAATGAACTGCTGTCCAAATCTTGTTACATTGAAAGATGAATATCCACCTGTATAGTCAACCTTTGAAAAACAACAATTTTTTACAAATTCTATAAGTTAAAATTAACATGTGTTTTATACTGACATGGCTCACATGCTTACACGTATTCTTATAAGAGGTACTTTTGGTTGTCTTGGGTCTCCAGAATGCTTCTCTTTAGCCAATTCTATTAACTCTTCAACCTTGAAAGAAAAACAAATAAAGTTGACCAATAAACAAAAGTTTCCGGATTATTTTATTTTCACCTGTTGCGTTAAATATTCTTGCACTATACTATCATCAGTGGGATCGATGCCAGTATCCTTTAGTACGACATCTTTCATGAAAAAAGGTCGAACAGTTTGAAGTGGAAATTTGTCCATGCGAAACATTTTACCACAAACTCTTAAGATGCCAATATGCCTGAAATAAAGAGAAATTGCTGGGGTAGTAAAAAGCAAAACAGCATGAATGTTGAGATGACATTTTCGCGTGAAAAAAAAAGCTAGGTGCCGTTTTGAAATCCCATCTTCATAACACGACTTGAACAGTCAAACATTCTATCAAAGCTTCAACGAAACGAAATATCGACGTCCTCATAAGCTTAAGACTATTGAATCAGTGAACCTAATGCATAACATAGTGTAAAATCAACTCACTTCTGTTTTGATTCCCCTTCACATAAAGATGTCGCTACTGATGATCCAGGCTGACTAATAAATATATCTTTTCCACTACTAGAATGCTGAGGATCAATGAGACACTCGTGTTCATGACCCCAAATTACAAGATCAAGAAATTCATCTAAGAAATTTTCAGGAATGTGGTTTTTCGGTCCATGTTGTGCTCTGAAAGTGACAGGAACAGGTTTGAAGAATTTCATTCTTAAGGTGTTGCTAAAACTTTAAATGCACCATGTAAATTAATCTTTGGCACTACGGACATTTGTAACGATAAGATTTGAAAAACGAATTCATGTGTAATTCAATAGATTGCGTACAAATACATCCCCTCTATAGATAGTGTAACTCGTTTAGCCACCATTCTGACCAAGTGTATTGACTCCCGCCTTGATTTAGTAAAAACATGATAACGTGATATCTCAACTTCGTAAAAAATGTACTTTATACATTCCATAAGAGATATAAAGTTTTTTCAAGGCAACCAAATAGTATGGAAATACTATTTAACGCGATATCTCAACTCCGTAAAAAACGTACTTTGTAGCTACATTCCATAAGAGATAAAGTTTTTTCAGGGCAACCAAATAGCATGGAAATAATATGACAATACTGCAATGATGTATTTTATGCTTATGGTGTGAAGAGATGTACGTTGCTATTGTGACCTGAATGTATGCAAGAGACTTTCTAAAAACTGTACCTATTTTGATGCAAAACGAAACAGTTAAACCAGGCATCTGCATCTTCTTTTGGACGAAGCATTTTCACCTTCTTTTTAAGAAATGTTCTATGTAGTCTTTCATCTCGTACAGAGCCTAACCCGTACACCGCTAACTTTGTTTTGCCTTTCTTTATAAGCAGAGGGCTTATTGTAATATCGTCTACATTGAGCGCTTTGCCAAAATAATTAACTAGGCCATTCACACTAAATAGATTGAGAGTACACAGATTTCCATCCTAAGGAGAAAAAAAGTGTTGAAATGCTTTGGAGACATTTTGACTGCGATGATATAAATGTTTCTTTGTATCTATAAGTTTTTCGTCAGCCTTATAACACATACGTTAACGTCAGTTCAACGGTCGAACTGGAGTCGTACGTACGTTAATAAAAGGCCAACAAGTAGGATTGATCATGAAAAAGGTTCATTTGATAGATTCTCATTCTAGTGATTGAAATAACCTCCGTGATTTGTAGAGATGTTTTGAAGATTAGTTTAGATTATCGTGACAACAACGTGATAAAATATTCATCAAACAACTAACGTGAGATTTGAGTTAATCTTTCTAAATCATTACTGGTACATTACATACATTAAATTTAATAAAAGATTAATCGTCAATGAGTCCGGAAGCAACTTCCCGGTTTGTAATTCTCTTATTTGCTTACAATGCTTAGCATGATTATCAAAATAGAGTGTATTTATTTTCGTTCTCCATGGGGTAAGGAAACTCAAGCTGCATTCATGGAAACAACCCTAAAGTTAATTATTGAGTATAAAAGCTACGAAGTTTTCATACCCCAGCAGGATCATCATGATTTCCATGAATTGAGAATATAGGAATAGAGATGTTATAGTTGGGATCCTCGTAATTGACGGATGGAAAACTGTAAACATATAAGTAAAACTTTTTGTTTTATGTTAATGTACAAGCTTTGCGTATTGCTGTTGTCAAAAACAAGTACCTATTGGCAGCAAAGTTTATTGATTGATCACTTAAAAATTCCAAAAAACATGGTCTATCTCCCATACAGTATTTCCGCAACAGTTCCATAGTTTTATGAACCATTTTTCGTGAAGGTTTATTTTCATGAAATAAATCGCCACCAAGCAAGATAAAGTCCACCTAACACCAAAACTTAGAATGATTTATCGATGGAGATAAATTACAGCTATTTCTCTTCTTTGAAATACTACAAAGTCAAACGTCAAAAAAGCCAAAAACATTTGAATAGACTGATTCTAAGCGATGGGTAATCTGTTTGCATCTGAGGGTATTCCTAGGTACACTAGGAACTTTTTAATAAAAAATTGATTAGATTTGAAGCAGTTTGGAATATTTCTGTGTAAAGTTAGCTGAAAGTACTAGTTAAATTATGCAGTCTAATGCACAATTGCAACACTTTTGCAGGCAAATATTTGAAACATGTATGAAAAATATTAAAATATTGGAATGATATTATTTTTAATAATATGCTCAACTGGCATAACCAGCTTGCAAATTTGGTCATGCTGTGCTAATTGTTTCTCTGCTCACACTCATTGTGGAAACAACAGAACTCTAAAAAAATGAATAATGGTAATGTTCTGAAATTTAAATCACGGGATTAAAACTTGCAAGCTTGCTATTCCAAGTTCTCAATTGAATGAGTCAAAAGAGATGCTTAAATATAACTTAATGAAAATTGCATGCCAGGCAGGCAAAACCTTGTTTGTTTGAGCAATTTGCAATATCTCTTCAAAAGTTGTCAAAGAATCATTTCCTCTTTCTGGATCTTTTTCCATATACCCAATATGATTATCTGTAGCTACAAAATATATCATGGCATAGATTGTAAATTGTAGAGAACTCTTTACGAAAAGCAAATTTCTAGTTGTTATAAGTTGAGACTGTCAAGTATAAGTTATGATGAGATTGTCAAGTGTTGGTTTTAAACAAAATCATTTTTAATTTATTGCCACTTAATTAAGCTTGCACATGATACATAACTCATCTCTTATCATTGAGTATAGAGATTTCTTACCAATGAGAATAGACATGGTGTTTTCATGATCAAGTTCTTCATCCCTAATTGATTTAGTTGATCTGGCAAATCAATGTAAAAATTGTTAAAAAAATTTCTCTCTTACCACTAGCCCTAATGGGCTGGTACTAGAACTATTAGATTAAGATGATTCCTAAAATTTTTTAAAATATCACGTGTTTTACTAAAGAACAAAGATCTTGGTCGCTGCACATGTGCATCCTACTGGCTCACAGCTAGCATGCAGCATGCTTTCTGCCTTTCTACTTTCACTTTCAAAACACGAAATTAATCAATAGAAAGCTTGACTTCCGTCAATTTAGAAAATAATTATACCCAAAGACTTGTGAGAATAAAAGATAATCTACCTTTGACTAGAATGATTATCTTCCATCTCCATAACAGCACAATTTCAAAAGAAGTACAATTGATTGTAATCGGTCGGGCATGATCGGGTTTGTTCGAGATCAATCGTTGTCTGCTGGGGGTATGCCACATGCCTAAGTAGCCGCCATATTGTAAATTGATTTTGAACTGAATTTTTTTGAAGAAAAGACTGAAAAGAGTAGCGGATTCGTACTGGGTTGACTATTTTGTATCATCCTAATGGCAGCTTAAGGGATTTGAAAAATCGGAATTCTCTGAAGTCGGAGAAATTATGTAATTTGATTGAATACACTTGCAATTTATCGACTGAAGAAAAACAGAGTAAAGCCTTTCTCCCTTAATACGTTTTTGATATGTTGTTTATAATAACAAAACGCTGAAGTAACCAGTGCGTGGTTTTGGTTGCCAAATACACTCAGCTTATATTTTGGTTAAAAGATGAGTGGAAGGCCTCGGACAACCTCTTTTGCTGATAATGGGAAATCTCAAGGTTCCTCTTATGGCGGAGTTAAAGTCAGTCGTGAGTATTTGTATTAATGTTTGATATTAATAAGTTATATGCTAAATTTCTCTTTCACTACTGTTTTTATTTTCAAAATGTACAATTATTGTTTCTCCTCGTCTTGACTTCTTGATTTTAATCTTTTATGACGTTTAAAGGGGACAAAGATGGAGGGAAAGTTACTACTGTCATTGCAACATCAGGTTCTTTGCCCGACCGAACTCAAGAAATAAGTTATGCTGACACTAAAGTTATAGGAAATGGGTCATTTGGTGTTGTTTATCAGGCAAGATTGTGTGATGGAGATATTCCTGTTGCTATTAAAAAAGTTTTACAGGATAAAAGATTCAAGGTTAGATTTTTTTTCACAGTCTTTGCAGACAGGTGTTTGTTTTCCAAGGATTTTGAAAATTTTCTACTGAAATCTTGTTTTCATGTGAGTTAATTTTATTACAGAACAGAGAACTTCAAATTATGAGAAAATTAGATCATTGCAATATTGTCAAATTAAAGTATTTCTTTTATTCAAGTGGAGAAAAGGTAAGAAAGAAGTTGTACTTGTAAAATATCTTTTTTTTAAATCCTAGTATGTTGTATGCTATTGTCCAAATTGGAATTTTTGTGTATTGAATGTTTGGGTTTTGATTATTGACCTATTCATAAATTGAAAAAAGTTCAATCTTTATTTTTTTCTGTTAAATACAATGTTTAAGTATATTTTGAGCTTTTTTAATGCTAATTTTAAAGGTATCCAAGATATCACGTTTTTGATTTAGTACATTGTATTTCTGTTTAGTGGAAATAATAGTGTGTTATTTTGCATGGAGCTGCTCTGAAGAACCATTTCTTTAAAGCCAAAATTCTTTATTTCTTTCAAGAGTTTTTAATTTGTGCTGAAGAGTTTCAACTAATCTTTGTAAAAAGACTCATAAATTTTGCATAATATCTTAGTTTATTTGCTTAGGTCAGTAATGTTGGTGAAATGATTTGTAATCATTGTGTTTAAACCATAAAAAGTGGGGTTATTTTTATCATACTATTTTGTTTTATGATGTTTGAAATACCTGAAAATTGTGGTGTTATTGTTTTGTTATGTAGAGAGAAGAAATATACTTGAACTTGGTGTTAGAATATGTGCCAGAAACTGTTTATCGAGTTGCAAGACATTATAACAAAAACAAACAAACAATCCCCTTAGTTCATGTCAAGGTATTTTGTTTTGTTTGCTAAGTCATAATAATTGTGTTTTAATGTAAATTTTTGTCAGATTTAAGACTTTCTTGTAACTTCATTACTTATCGATCCATATCAATTCTTATCAACCCTTGTCAATTCTTATCAATCCATATCAATAAATCAATTGTGATCAATTCCTTTTTCATCAATGACATGTTTCATTCGTTCATCCAATTATGATTCAAGTTTATAGCTATACACATGGGTTCATCGAAGACATGTTTCATTCGTTCATCCAATATTCATTCAAGTTTATAGCCATAAACATGGGTTCATCAAAGACATGTTTCATTCGTTCATCCAATTTTCATTCAAGTTTATAGCCATAAACATGGGTTCATCAAAGACATGTTTCATTCGTTCATCCAATATTCATTCAAGTTTATAGCCATAAACATGGGTTCATCAATGACATGTTTAATTCGTTCATCCAATTTTCATTCAAGTTTATACCCATGAACATGGGTTCATCAATGACATGTTTAATTCGTTCATCCAATTATGATTTAAGTTTATACCCTTAAACATGGGTTCATTGAAGACATGCTTCATTCATTCATCCAATTTTGATTGAAGTTCATACCTTTAAACATGGGTCACTGGACTTATCCCACTTTGGCGGCAATATCGTTATCTCCATTTCCCAGTTGTTACCAATTTTTGTGCTATTGTTAGGGCTTTATTATAATATTACACTTATTTTGTATACGGTGTATGACCTTGTTTACTCTAAGCAACAGTTTTCAATCCCTAGTAAGTAGTGCTCCCAAAGCTATTATTTCTCCCAAGTTTTGGAAAAATTCTCGAAAACTACTCTAGCTTGAGAAAGCAACATAGATGCTACTCTTGTAAGCTCTAAACAGAAATGATAGGTGAATACTGATTACCGAGTAATTGATAGGGCTACCTTAATACCAGGCTACTAGCAAATGTAATGGATACTATAATGGTAGTGAACTATTTTTTTGCTTGCTGAATTTCTCCTTTTTAACTGGTATTTTTAGGCATATTTATTACAAAATTTAACAATCAGAATTAAAATAGAAATACAGCAACTATATGTCTAAAAATCCATCCTCAGCGAAATGCCTCCTCTTCTAAGTAAGGTTTTAGAATTACGTATTTTAAAAAGATATGATCCGAAAAGTTGACATGATGCAAATAAATGATTGGGTGACCGGGAGTCATGTCAACGAAAACATTAAACTTGTTTTTAGACAAAAAAAACCAAAATAACTGCTCCCTAGTGATTATTAATGCTTAGTGTATCAATATTCAAAGATACATGTTATTTTTTGTATATAAACTATATGTGGGCTATAGCTAATGAAGATATATTAAAGATATTACACATTGAGTAGTCATTTGAGTAATTGGTACAATAATATTTTTTATATAAGTAATTGTACATATTGATAATCATAACCAAATCAGTATTCTTGGTATTTCCCATCATTATTAAACAGAGCCTCTTACCTTTAATCTGTTATGTATCTATCCCAATCAATTCTTTGTGCATCTAAGGGATCCTTTTAAAGACCTTAGATATAACTCTTCATCAAATTTTATTAATTTCTTTTGTGTCAATTCTTATCAGGGGGCATTTGCCATGGGAGAGATGCAAATCCCCTTCCTGTCTTGGCTAAAGGGGTAAGACAGGGATAGATTTTCTCAAAAAATATTAGTATATCAAGCAATTAAGCCAAAACAATTACTATTTGACACAAATTGTAATTGTTTTTGCTTAATTGCTTGATATACAAAAAATCTCACAATCAAGCTATAAATTAACAGAATCTTACAAAAAACTGACATTGTACAGCATGCACACATAAAGTAGCCACCAAACTTGCATCACCAGCACATACAAAATCTTCACGGATCCATTTTTATCCTTATCAATCCTTATTAGTTCCTTAAATGTTTAATCTTTTTCAATTCTTACTAATTTATCAACGAGTATCAAACACATGGACCAATTCTTATATATTTTGTTCTTGTACTTATTTTTATTTCTAGTTATATATGTACCAGCTGTTTCGCTCATTATCATACATCCATTCACAAGGAATTTGTCATAGAGATATCAAACCACAAAATCTATTACTTGATCCTGACACAGCTGTATTAAAACTATGTGATTTTGGAAGGTACTTAATTAAAATAGTTTTCGTATGTTTGAAACTGGCAGATTATCATTAGTGTTGAATTTTAGTGCCAAAGTCCTTGTCAAAGGTGAACCAAATGTTGCTTATATTTGTTCACGTTATTACCGTGCGCCTGAATTGATATTTGGTGCAACTGATTACACATCAAATATAGGTAGGTTGAGTGTTTCTTTCTTTAGTTTACTTTTTTATTGTTTACAATTGCTTTTGCAAATCATTTTTTATCAATCATTTCAAGTTGCCAAATCGAATTTTTACCAAATAGGCAAAAGTATTCCAAATGGTTGTCTAAGTAAATCAGACAAGAGCAATGAACACAAACCGATCGCTCTTTAGATTTATCTCCATACAGTTTACTACGTAATCATAAATCCCGATTATAATACTACCAATATAATCAGGATTTAATGAGTTTAAAGTTTGAGTATTTCAATCGTAGTTGCATGCAAGCATGTGTATTTTTCATGGTTATACCCCAAATGTGTTGAGGTTACATATAAGTATTACACGTTGTTTTTATTTTCAGTCAGTATAATGCACAATGTTAATCTAATGCTGTGTTAATGTCTAGATGAACTATGTATTTTTTTGACATGCTAATTTGTGGATTTGACTTTTATAAATTATTTTAACAAAAATTATTCGCAACTCCAGTGTTGTATCACCATGTTTATAAAAAAAATGAGTAAATTAACTTTATGAACAATGAGCGAGCATCTGCAATCCTATTTTGGAGTCAAAATACTTGAAAATCGTCCTATTCACGATTCTCTCGTGGTAGCTACTAGTTAAACATTGGTTTCACGATCAGATCTTGTACTGAGTATAGTCGACGAAATATATGAACAATAGGATATCAATAGTAGAAAAGTAATTATAATTCTTTCTTTTTTCTGGCATAATCGTAGAGCTTGTAGAACAAAATTTCAATAATCTGCAACAAAATTCACAAGATAATTTACTGTGCTGAGTTTCAGAAAATGTGTGTCTGATTTGACTAAACCACGTCTTGTAGTTGACTAACACGTCAAGTGAGAAATTGATAATCAAATTTTAGCTACAAGTTTTTTAGTTAGCACAGACCTATAATGTGTTAAAAAATTTGACGGTCAGTTGGTGTGGTATGTATTTCAAGAAACGCAAACTTTTCTCTCAAAATCCAAAAAATAAACAATGGCGGTATTTGAGTTAAGCCTACATTTCCCTTTCATAAAACCAACATTTAGGAAATCTCTGCCAATTTTTATTAACATTATTGACAATTGTTCTTTTAATATGATTATTTTTTCAATGCCTTGAACTTTTTGCCCCACATGCAGTAGGAAACTACCTAAGATATTTAACATTCAAATAACTTTTCAGTACATAAGGAAAGAGGTGTTAATGTGATTATGTGGTCTTAGTAAAATAAATATTCTTCGTGATGATCTATACTCACCAGGTTTTGGACTTTGGGCCAATAATTGGGTACTATTATAGTGTTTTCGCAATAGTTTACGTATATACAATGACGTGTTTGTTAAGGAAATATCACTTACGAATGTACAAATCATATTAATAAGATAGAGACTTTGTCGTGGTGACAAATCTGAAAATCGTTTTAAAGATCGCAAATAGCGTGTTGAATGATTTAATTTGAAAAATGTAGATGTTTGGTCGGCTGGATGTGTTCTAGCTGAACTTCTTCTTGGACAGCCTATATTTCCTGGTGACAGTGGCGTAGATCAACTTGTAGAAATTATTAAAGTACTTGGAACTCCCTCCAGAGAACAAATCAAAGAAATGAATCCTCATTATACAGAATTTAAATTTCCCCAAATAAAGCCTCATCCTTGGAGCAAGGTATTGAAATTGCCTTACAGCATTTTAGCTAATCTTCGTGAAACAATTTATGAAAAGATATGTTCTACTGTCAGTTGTAAATTTTTTTCTTTCCTTGTTGATGGAACTTTGTATTTTGTTGCTGTGGTTAAATTACAAATAATCTTCAGGTATTTCGACCTCGCGTTCCTCCCGAAGCAACTTTACTGTGTAGTAAACTACTTGAGTATACTCCATCAAAAAGACTTTCTCCAGTTGAAGCATGTGCTCATAATTTCTTTGCTGAATTGAGAGATGCTAATACTAGTTTACCAAATGGAAAAGAGCTACCGCCTTTGTTTAACTTCAGTTCTTCAGGCGAGTATCAAACAAGTTTTGCCCACAACTCAATACCATAATGCTCTTCGTGCATTTAATATTCTTGAGCTTTTCAAGGTTGTAAAATTTAACGTTGGTAATAAACTTGTGAGATCTGCTTTGTTTTTTACTTTCTTGTAACATGTATCGTGAGAATGCTTTTAAACCAGAGAAAATACAGTTCACTAGACTTCTAGGCTCTATGAAATGAAGTAATGTCATTTACTTTAACAATCAAATACGTTTTCAGTTGCAATTACTATATATAGACCCTTCATCATCAATGTCTGTGTTGCCAAAAAAATCATCCTTCCCTGACATTTCACACATAGATCAACATTATTTTTCAATTGCATTACTGGATTGCTAGTCTTCGCTCGTTTATCGATTGTTTTGTTTTTTTTAGAACTTGCAATAAAGCCTTCACTGAATGCAACCTTAATTCCATCTCATGTGAAGAATATGTCGTCAGGTACAGTAGCAGGAACTGCGACAAACACATCAACAGATTCATCGGCACCAAGCACTAGTAGCACTGCATTAATGGATGGTACGACTTCATCCTCTGTTGCTACTGCTGCATCATAAACTGTAAAAGTGTACAATGCATTTGTCTTTTCCATGTATTTTAACTGTGAGAATGTGTGTTTTTGTGCGTCGTGCGTACCTATTTTATTTTGCCATTGTTTGCCTGGGAGAGCTTGCTTTGGACGTGAGAAAGAGCAGTTCTTTATCAAAAGGAGAGTTTGAACTGAACATAAGAACACTATTTTAATTTTAACCAATAATCTAATTTTAAACTAGTTTAAAAAAGGGAAATCATCAGCATCGTTTTAAACTAAAATTTCTTACGTTGTACTGTACGAAAATATATTAATCTAGTGTAAATTATTTAAACTTAAGTGACAGTCAGAGAATATCGTGGGATATTATTAGCATTTCTTTTACTTTAATATTACTTGGTGCTGTTGCTGACTGCCAGTGATATAGCTATTGTAAAATGTGGCAAAATATATATTTCTTGTACAGTAAGCTTTGATCGAAATGTGTACTATATTTTGATTTATACGATAATGAAGTCTATTTTACATCAAGGCTTGTTATGAAATCTTAACATAAAAAGAATATTGCTACTGATGAAATATTCAATTCGATTTGTAGCTTAGAATCTTGGACTTGTGCGCTTCCTTGTAAATTTTGTAGGGCTTTTCTATTAATTTATGAAATTTTTTACATACAATGAGTGAAATTTAACTTAGAGATAACAAATTGGTTGCTGACATATCAATTTCAACACGTGCAAATTTTTAATCCAATCTTAGTAGTATCATTACAAAGATTTCATTTCGTCTTATATTTTTATACACGAAAACAGTGCGAATAGATATCGAGATATATCGAAACACTTGAGAATTTATACTTTTTCAATAGTTACAGTAAATCGCGTCTTGAACATTGGAATAAATATTATAAATCTACGTAGAACAACACTTTTGGTAAACGTTCCAGGCAACGGATAAAGGCCCCTTGCCACTGGAATTTTCCAATTAACATGTAATATGAAACGTTATTCTAAGTTGATATAAATGCCATCGGCTTAATTCAGTTCATTTTGTGCATAATTGTAAACTGTATTTGTATTATATATAAAGACTGTCATAATTATAAAATCAAAAAATACTTTGTTCAATCTCGTTAAGGATTTACTCAGATTCGAGGTAAGATAATGCACACTATTCCGCAATATATTGTTTGAAAATTAGATTATGTTAGGAAAACAATTATCAACCAAGGTATAAATGTGTGAAAGTACTAATTAAGATTGCTGTTGTTATTAGTATATTTAGAGAAAGAAGCTTGGAATTGCGTAAAAAATAAATTTGATTTAGGATTTAATGCTAAGGTATTCATGGTAGTCGCGCATGGCGGATGTAGCGGCACCAGGCTTGGTCAAAACAAATAATGATATTGGAGAAACTTAACTAAACTATACGTTTTGTTTTTCTACTTCATTAAAGAAAATATGATCTATTTTTAAACAAAGAACTTATTGTCGTGTATATATTTGCTTACTTACCAAGTCTGATTATTTTACAACTTGGAAAAATTCTAGATGAACTAAACATGATATTAGTTTGAGTGCTTATACATGTGCTCAGATTCTGACTTTGTCATATATATTTTTCAATGAAGTGTATATTATGAGAACATGTCTTGGAATTTTTCGTTTTCAAAAACTACAGCTGATTGAAAATAAATTTTACGCATAATGTTTTATCCCTGTCCCATACTGTGCTCCAGATATCAATCTGCATGAATTGAATTGTCACGCTTGTATGTGTTAACATTTGCATGTCATAATAAAACCTTCACACTGTGATCGTCGAAGTTTGTAAAGATAGTGTACGCGCAACGTTTTATAAAACAGGCATTTAATGTTGTCTCAGGTGAAAATTTCAATGGCTTTCTTGTGCACTTTGTTGGCGTCTCTTGTTACTCTTATCTCGCTTTCACCGACAATACAAGCAGTCAACGAAACAGAGCAAGCTAATGCTGAAACATTTCTAAAACGTGCCAATATAATTCTACAAAGAAAAGAATACGAATTTATGCTAGCGTCCTGGGATTATAGCACAAACATCACGCAACACAATTCAAAAAGAAAGGTTAATGCCAGTCTGTCGTACAGCAAGGTTTATGCAAAGATTCGTAACAACGCATCAAAATTCGATGTAAAAAAACTGAAAGAAGATGCTGCAAGACAAATTAGTTTTTTAAGAATGTCTTCTGCTCTTAAGAATGAAAGCGAGTTAAAAGAGCAAAAACAATTAGGTTCGAAATTAAGTGAACTTTACAGCACTGCTAAAGTTGGGGGTAAATCGCTCGATCCTGACTTAGTCAAACTCATGTCCACATCACGAGATTATAACAAACTTCTTCATTCTTGGTGGGGATGGCGCAATGCGTCCGGCCGCAAAATGCGACCAATTTACAAACGTTTCGTCGAACTAAGCAACAGAGGCGCAAGAGAAAATGGCTATATTGATCAGGGACAAGTGTGGAGATCGTGGTATGAGGTGGAAAATCTTGATGTATTGGTCGAAAATCTTTGGAATGATCTTAAACCTTTATACTTTGAGTTACATGCGTATGTCCGACATAAGTTAACAAAAGTTTATCCTGGCAAGGTGTCAGAAGATGATTACATCGAAGCGCATTTGCTAGGTAATATGTGGGCTCAAAGTTGGGTTGACATATTTCACATGGTGAAACCGTACGAAAACAAAGCCAGCATTGACATCACTTCAAACTTGAAGAACGACTCGCGATACAATAGTCCTGTTAAATTAACCAAATTAGCCGAGTCTTTTTTTGTTTCTCTTGGTCTTAAACCGCTACCTCCGGCGTTCTATAATAAGTCTTTATTACATAAACCAACTGATCGAGAGGTGGTATGTCATGCGTCTGCTTGGGATTTTGCTTTGCACAAGGACGTGAGGTGAGTCAATAAGTAAAGGTCATAAAATAATGATTAAATCAAAACTAAACACAGAGATCTATTTATGCAACGGCCAACGGGGTCATGGCGTTAAATACATCCAAAATTTCCAGTTTCAAATGTTGAGCAAACATTTTCAATTAGACACGGCAATTAAAGTAAGGATTCTTAAACACACTTATAAACATAATGTGATAATACATTTTAAAACAATAATATGATACTAAAAGGAAAATTGGAGGATGCTTTATTTTTATTTGATTGTAATATTCACGAAAACAGAAAAATATTACCAATCTAATTCTATGTCAAAATTGTACCTGGTTTATAAGCTTTCGAGCGCTAATAATATTTAAACAGAGTCTTTGAAAACAGTAAGGTTAATTACATGTTTGTAATTACCTAGTAGTACATCTTAGTAGTACATCTTCAGAGTCAAAAAAAAATTGACTCTGAAGATGACTACCGCTAAGGTTGTCGAAACGTCAGTCAACAACAACAAAAACAGTCCTTCTCAGGACTATACCAACCTGGACGATCATCATTTACAAACATGTAACGATACTCCCGAGTTCAAACCATTAACTTTAGTATGGTTAATGATAGCTATGATTGTAAACCTCTACAAAGTTCATGAATGAGTTTTCCAGATTTTCTTTGGCCTATGACAAATATATGCAATTATTATTGTAATAAAGAGCTCACACATGCAATAACGATGTGCAATTATTTTTAAAAACATTAATGCATTCTTCACGCCCCTTCACACGATCCGGTTTGTCGGTCCGATTGTTTCGGTTCCGACTTTTGGTTACTTGTTCAGACGGTGCGATACTTTTGTTTATATTTATAATCGTTTAGATATTTAAAGTCGTGTCAGCAGCCATTTGTGCTATCCAGTACATTTATCAATATATTTTTGGTATTTTCGTTTTTGTTTCCCGTCTTTCAACTTGATGTAATTTGACTAGTCGGCTTACTTTGATCTTGTCGGTTGAAAATAAAGCAAGTTCTATTTCCATCCGATTTTTTAGTTTGACGGATCTGAGTAAGAGGCTCACTTTATATGTGTTCATACAATCCGTTTTTTTTAGGATCCGACATATCGGATCGTGTGAACAGGCCTTTAGCTAGAATCATGTTAATTATGAAAAAAAATTCATTATATTTATGTAATGTCTTGTAATTTTTTTTACTTAGAATCAAGCAATGTGTACAAATCAATCACAATCATTTAGTAACGTTACATCATGAACTTGGGCATATTCAGTATTTCCTGGAATACTGGCATTTACCCATCGTCTATCGGACTGGAGCGAACCCTGGTTTTCATGAAGCTGTAGGAGATCTGATGTCTCTTTCAGTTGATACCCCAACACATTTGAAGACACTTGGTTTGTTAAAAAACTATGAAAGTGATAAAGGTAAGACAAAAAGTTTTGATAGGGATTTGACCGTATTGAATCAAAAATCGGTACATAATGATGAGCATCTTGAGCTTGAAAACCTCGTATATAACTGTGAATCACAACTGTATTTGTGTGGTCTTTTGTATTTGAGCACTTGGCCGTAAATGTTCTTTTTGCTGGAAAATTTTTCTGTAATTATCTGGTATTTCTATTTTCACAAATTCGAATTTTGCAAGAATTTTTTGAAAATTTGGACTATAATGAATTTGAATGTTATAGAGGCAGATATTAACGCGTTGATGAAAATGGCGATGAGAAAAATAGCATTTCTACCGTTTGGGTATCTAATTGATCAGTGGCGATGGAAAGTGTTTAATGGTGTCATTAATGATAGTAATTACAACGCAGAATGGTGGCGTCTTAGAAAAAAACACCAAGGAATAAAGTCACCTGTTGAAAGAAGTGAAAATGACTTTGATCCTGGAGCCAAGTTTCATATACCTTCAAATGTACCTTACATAAGGTATCCTGTCTCGTTAACTCTATTTTTTTACTGAACGCAAGAAAAATATAATTTTTGGCCTGGTTGTTGTAACAAAATACACAGATGAGGATTCGGAAGTTTCTATTGTATCATGTAGGTTTTTATACTTAGGTTAATTTTATTTACTGTATAAAGCAATCATCGTTTTTTTTCACGGTATAAACCTTCAACTTTGGAGCGCGTTTAAAAACTTCGCCAGTTGATGAAAAAAAACAAGAGAAGTGACTTTGGTTTTTTCTTTGCATTCATCAAATAATGATTCAATTTTATTCTTCACTTTTGATTGTCATTTTCTATGGCTGATTTTGGTACAATGACAAAAGATGCATTTCAAACTATATATAATATTCCTTTTTATTTGATTTTACGAAATTCTTTACAATCTTTAGAGTCGTCTGCTTTTATGTTTAGATATTTTATAAGCTATGTCCTTCAGTTCCAATTTCACAAGGCAGCATGTGAAGCAGCAAAATTTGATGGACCTCTTTACAAATGCTCTATTTACAATTCTACTGCAGCTGGAGAAAAAATTGGGTAAGCTTTATTGCCATTTTGATTTAGATTTTTCTCAGTAAAAGGGGTTACCGAATTCATCAGACACGTCCCAGTTTTGTGGCATTCTCTTCATCTTAAACATTTTATCTCCCTCCATTTACAACATCCTTTTTCTTCGAACCAATTTTCCACGTCTTCTTTGATCGTTCTTATACTTCCCCTTGCTTTTCATTTCAAGCTCAAAAACAAATCTGAATTCATACCACTGCATATCAATTTTTCATATTATAATATGATTTGTAGTTTCAATAAAATGGAACATCTCAGCTCCTACCAATTTAGAAATTCACTCATGAATTAAGAGAAGATTGTTCTTGTAGTGATATGTTGAAGATGGGCAAAAGTAAACATTGGCAATTTGCATTGGAGAAATTGACAGGAGGTAGAAATATGTCTGTGGCACCAATTAAAGAATATTTCAAACCACTTCAAGAATGGCTGGTTAAAGAAAGATGCAACAAAAAATACAAAATTGGTTGGCCTGAACAGCCTGCTCGTGAAGTTGAAAAATGCAACACAAATGGTGGTGCCTATAACTGGAGTATTAAACAAACCTTTCTCTTGGCTGTAATATTTACTTTCATTCACTTTTTTAGTTGAATCCGAGCTTTGATAATGATGATTTGATTTTTCATCAGTTCAAAGTGTCGGTATAAACAGACAGAAAAGTCTCCGTTTAAAGAAAATTCAAATTGAATGGAAATGCAAATATAAATAAACTTAGAAATAGTGAACACGTCAATTAAGTGTCTTTGCCATTACATAATTCTACACTACTTAGTATCCTTGCGACGGTTATGTTTGTTATACTTTTATTTATCTTATGTGTTTTTGCATTTTCCGTCTAAAAAAATTAATAAAAATTAAATTTCGTGTTTACATAAATTTCTCCGATGTTTTAATTTGCGTTGCACGATAATTAACTGGCTCTTAATTTATCTATAGAAAAATACCAAATGGATCTTTCAATTAACCATCAAGGACACGAATTCAGAAATAATCTTTGATGAGAAATATCCAGTTCTTCCACTTGCTCAAATATACAATCCTTCTTTTTTATCTTTACTTTCATAATTAACTTTGTTCAGGGTGCCTCCTTGAAAGCTGATTTCTTGGGTGACTAACATCTATCATTAAATGAAACATCTATCACGAAAATTGTGTGTACATTTGTGTCTACCTTTAAGTCTACCTTTTGTTTGCCTTAATTGTCTTTATTTTTGTATACCTTTTTCTCTATATTTCTATCGTTTTGTCTCCCTTTTTCTTTATCCATCTAATTATCTCTATGTCAACTTTTTGTATCTATCTTTATGTATAGTTTTTGTCCATTTTTTTTACTTTTGTCTATCTTTTCGTATATTTGTTGTCTACATTTTTGTTTAATTTGTGTCTGTCTTTGTTTCTACCTTTTCCTCCTTCTGTCCATCATTTTGTACACTTTTATGTCTACTTTTGTGTCTATCTTGTCACTACTTTTGCGTTTATCTTTTGTCTCTCGTTTCGTATATATTTTTGTCTATCTTTTTGTCTAACTTTCTGTCTTTTTTTTCGTCCATCTTTGTGTCGACTTTTTGTTTAGCTTTTTATTTTCTTTTCGACAACCTTTGTGTAAAGAATAGTGTGGTTTTCAGATTTCTGTCAACTAGTACTTCTTTCATCTATGTTTTGTCTACATTTTTGTCCACACAAAAGACTATAACTCATGCATCTTCACAAATTTTCACATTTTCACATTATAGTCTTTGGTATGAAAATGCATTAACTATAGTCTTTTAGTCTTTGGGATAAAAATGCATGAACTGTAGTCTTTGATATGAAAATATGTGAAAATGCCTAAACTATGGTCTTTAGCATGAAAATACGTGAACTATAGTCTTTGGCATGAAAATACATGAACTATAGTCATTGGCATGAAAATGCATAAACCATAGTTTTTAGCATGAAAATGTGTGAAAATGCATGAACTATAGTCTTTGGCAAGAAAATGAGTAAAAATGCATGAATTATAGTCTTTGGCATGAAAATATGTCAAAATACATGAACTATAGTCTTTGGCAATAAAACAAGTGAAAATGCATGAACGTGCGTGAACTATAGTCTTGGCATGAAAATGCACGAAATATATATAGTCTTTGCCATAAAAATGTGTGAAAATGCATGCATTATAGTCTTTGTATGTAAAATGCGAAAATTTTTTAAAATGCATGAATTATAGTGTTTCTATAGATGAAGCATTTTCACACATATTTATGCCAAAGACCATACTTCATGCATTTTCATGCCAAAGACTATGGTTCATTCATTTTCATGCCAAAGAATATAGTTCATGCATTTTCACACATTTAACACAAAAGACTATAGTTCACGAATATTCATGCAAAAGACTATAGTTCACGAATTTTCATGCAAAAGACTATAGTTCACGAATTTTCATGCAAACGACTATAGTTCACGAATTTTCATGCAAAAGACTATAGATCACCAAGTTTCATACGAAAGACTATAGTTCAAGAATTTTCATGCAAAAGACTATAGTTCACGTATTTTCATGCTAAAGACCATAGTTTAGGCATTTTCACATATTTTCATATCAAAGACTACAGTTCATGCATTTTTATCCCAAAGACTAAAAGACTATAGTTAATGCATTTTCATACCAAAGACTATAATGTGAAAATGTTCACGCATTTTCATGAAAAAGAGTAGAATTCACGAATTTTCAAGCAAAAGACAATAGTTCACGAATTTTCATGCAAAAGACTACAGGACACGAATTTTCATGCAAAAGACTATAGTTCACGAAGTTTCATGCAAAAGACTATAGATCACAAATTTTCATTCAAAAGACTGTAGATCACGAATTTTCATGCAAAAGACTATAGTTTTCACGAATTTTCATGCAAAAGACTATAGTTCATGAATTTTCATGTAAAAGACTATAGCTCACGAATTTTCATGCAAAAGACTATAGATCACGAATTTTCATGCAAAAGACTATAGTACACCACTTTTCATTCAAGGGGCTATACATCACGAATTTTCATGCAAAAGACTACACTGGTCAACAAAAAGAAACTTTTTAAAAGGTGTCTGATATTTTTTGACTGATTTACTATTTGTTTGCTATGCTAAATCTAGAAATAACATTCATTTTGCCCCTCGGAGGTCAAATTTTTTTGCAAATTTGAATTTAAAATTATGCGACTTTTTTAAAACAATGTTTTCAAGATTTACATGTTTTCAAGATGTTTCAAAACAAAATGTCAGTTTTTATGATAAAATTGCAGTATTCCAAGAAAGAATCATGTAGACTTCATGTACAGTACATGTAACTAAAAATGAAAACTTAATGTTTGCATTATTACGGTCTAAATTTTCGTTTTTTTGATTGTCGCGAATGTTTTGGTGCTTGCACTCTTTTTAAATTCCAACAGTAGTCCGCCATCATCACCATGTCCCACTTTTCTCTTAAGTCATGGTGAAAGCGCTCTCCTTGCTCATCGCTTAAAGAGCCAAGATTTTCGGGATCAATACCAGCTTTCAATTTTTCAGTTGACAAATTGGGGAAGGTTTTACAACGAAACTGAAAACACCATCCATCTTTATCCAAAGTTTTAGTGAATTGCCTTATCAAACCGAACTTTATGTGCAGTGGAGGAAATAAAATACGTCCCCTGTCAACTAGAGGCTTGCTTATCACATTTTTTGCTCTACAACTTGCAAGCTCTTCACGTACTGGCCATTCTTTTTTCACGTAATGATGAGTACGATCCCTACTATCCCAGAGGCATAAAAAGTATGGGTATTTGGTAAATCCAGACTGTTGACCAAGCAAGAAGTTGACCATTTTTAAGTCAACGCAAATCAGCCATTTATGTTGGTCATGAAATTTTTCTAGGACGTACTTAATTGCTTCATGCTGTTCTTTTAATGTTGTCGAATGTGCCAATGGCACAGATGCAAATTGATTTCCATTGTGTAACAACACACATTTCAAGGACCTTTGCTGCTGTCGATAAAAGTCGCCAGTCCTCTGATTTGTATTCAGGTACGCCGAGATGTTTCAGTAGCTCTACTATGTCATTGCGATAGACTAATTCTTTTCTTGAGCAAAATATCTTAAAAATTCCTGGTGCCTGGTACGGAAGAAACTTACCTTAACTTTACCATTTAGCATGTTCTTGTCCTTTAAACGAGATGCAAGAAGTTCGGCAGAGTCTTTTGGCAAATTTAAATAGTGAACAAGATCGTTTAGTTCATTTTTGCAAAACAATTTTGGCTGCTCATCACTGTCATCGGGAAAGGATGCATCATCGGTAGTGGCAATGCTTTGAGTTTCATCCTGGCTACTACTGCTTTCTTCAATACTTGTATCTTCAAATACAAGTACGGGAATTTCTTCACTATAAGGAGTAGGGCGCATAGCTGACGGTAGATTGGGATACTCAGGGTTGTGCAATTTTTCTGTTAATTCCCATGACATTGATAGCACAAAGTAGCAATCGGTTGCATGATTTAAGGCTCTCGCCAAATCATGGGGATGCCAAAGTACATGGACTTTTGCGTGCCTTTGCTCCATTGACGGAGATGCTCTGTGCATCTTTTGCAAACCATGTGAGGTGCCCAACTTTTGTCTTGATCGCCGAGCTTCATACCAAAATATGCATAGTAAACGCGCTTGATAAAAGTGGTGACAGTATTGCGATTAGGTGCAAGTGTGTATTCATTACAAACATAGCAAAAACATCTGGCTTATTTTATTATTTCTACTTTTATTATTTTTACTTACATTAATATGTTGGTGTGTTTTAACAAGTTTTACCATTGAATTCCAGTATGGGCTAAATAAAGCCTTATTTTATCTTTAAATATCCCATAATAATCGCAAAACCTAAACTCCCTAATTGAAATTCAATCAATAATTGCATATTCAAATGCTTTCTTCTTTGTATTGCTAGTGCTAAAAAATTTAAATTTGTTCAGATTATAGAACTTTAAAAGGTAAATGGTTAGTACTTCTGTTGTACCTTTTACAAAGTTAAAAATAGAAAATTAACGATAGCTTAAAATCTCGACCTGACCCAGCAAAAATAGTGTTATTTTTGGACTCAGCACATCAAAATTGTCCAAAATCAGTTTACAAAACTGAGACACCAAATTTGCTGTTGACCAGTGCTATAGTTAACGAAGTGTCATGCAAAAGACAAAATTCACCAATTTTCATGCAAAAGACTATAGTACACGAATTTTCATGTAAAAGACTATAGTTCACGAATTTTCATGCAAAAGACTATAGTTAACGAAGTTTCATGCAAAAGTCTATAATTCACGAATTTCCAAGATAAATACTATAGTTCACGAATTTTCATGCAAAAGACTGAAGTTCACGAATTTTCATGCAAAAGACTATAGTTTACGTATCTTCATGCAAAAGACTATAGTTTACCTATTTCCATCCGAAAGACTATATTTCACGTATTTTCATGCAAAAGACTAAAGTTCACGTATTTTCATGCAAAAGACTATAGTTCACGAATTTTCTTGAAAAAGACTATAATTCACGAATTTTCTTGAAAAAGACTATAGTTCACGAATTTTCATGCAAAAGACTATAGTACACGAATTTTCATGCAAAAGTCTGTATTTCACGAATTCTCATTCAAAAGACTAAAGTTCACGTATTTTTATGCCAAAGACTATAGTTCAAGATTTTCACACATTTTCAAGCCAAAGACTAAAGTTCATGATTTTCACACATTTTTATGCCAAAGAATATAGTTCATGATTTTCACACATTTTCATGCCAAATACCATAATTCATGATTTTCAAACATTTTCATACTAAAGACTATAGTTCATGTTTTTCAAACATTTTCATGCCA